AGCAAAGACACCACAATGCAAATCGACACAACAGATACAACTCATCCCAGAGATGCCGATACCATTGTTGTCAGTCAATGTTAGGTACATCAAACGAAACATATCGACACAGGCATCTAGTCATCCATTCTGTGAATACAGCAGGGGGACAAAAGAGTGCAGGCCCTACAGAGTTAGCCATCAACCTGGCTGACTATAAAGGAGAACAAGCAGACATCATTCTGATGCAAGAGCCCTGGGTTGGCATACCACCAGGCAGGAGAATGGGAGTAAAGACACACCCCAATTACAATATATTCTCCCCAGTGGATTCCTGGGACAGCGACAGTACACGGCCCAGATCTCTCATCTATGTGAGAAAATACCTTCAAGCGGATCAACTTCGGCCCTATGCTACACGAGACATCACCTGGGTCAAGGTACAAGGCATTACATTTGCCAGTGTCTACCGGCCATGTGACAACCCACAGGAAGTGGATGACATTCTGGAAGTATGGACTCCACCTTTTGGCTGCGTTATAGCTGGAGATTTCAATGCTGGCGACACATCCTGGGACTCAAGCAATCCAGGATATCATGGTGGTGCTATACTTGCACGAACTATGGCAGACCACGGACTGGATCTGATTTCTGAACCAGATGTCCCGACACATGATGACGGAAATGTACTAGATCTGGTGTTCTCTGATGTCCCCATGGCTGAAGCCTCAGTCAATGATGCACTTCAGTGCACCTCAGATCATGAGACATTACGAATAGTCATTCCAATCCAGGGAGATCTGGACCGAGTACCCAAGGCCAATCATTGGATAGTACCGGACGATAAACTACAGGAGCTGGCAGATAATGTCCAAACCAGGATTCATGAACTCCCCCGGCTGGGTGTATCCCCTGGCCAGGTAGACACCTTTACACAAAGCCTGATCAACATGATCCAAGGCTGTATCAGGACAGTGGGCAAGAGGCCCCGTCAATCTAGGCCCACTGCTTGGTGGAATGATGACTGCAAAGCAGCTGTTCAGACATACAGGGCCCTTTCCAAACAGACTACAAGCCAAGAAGGACGGAATTCAGCCCGACGGGAATTTCGCGGCGTGGTCCGGAAAGCTAGGAGAGAGTACTGGCAGACTCTAATCAATTCAGCAACTGAGCCAAAGGACCTATACAGAATCGTCTCTTGGCACAAGTTATCAGCAGGATTGCGTTCCCCTCCAATCATCATAGGAGACCAAATATTCGAGTCACAAGAGAGCAAGGCAAATGCATTACGCTCAGCCACGCTTGAACGAAGTACCTCAGACAACGATATCATCGACCCCTGGTCCGCTCAGATCATACAACCCAAGCCACACATCCCCCTTGAATACCACGTCGGACTGGAAGAGGCTGAAGGGTGCACTTTAGGAACCAAGAGCAACTCCCCGGGAGTAGATACCCTCACAGTACGGATTCTGAAAGCTTGCTGGCCAGTCATTGGTGAACATATCAGAGCCCTTTTCCAGACCTGCCTACTGATTGGACACCACCCTAAACCATTCAAAGTAGCTGAGGTGGTGATGATCCCAAAACCAGGAAAGAAAGACTACTCCAATCCCAGGGCCTACAGACCAATATCGCTACTGTCATGTCTTGGCAAGGGCCTAGAACGACTCATTGCGAAAAGAATTACCTGGTTTGTTGTCAAACTTGGAATTCTAGCCCCACAACATTTTGGAGCTCTACCAAAGCGCTCTGCCACTGACCTGGTAGCTGCACTCATACACGATATTGAGCAGGCCCTTGACCAAGGCCTCGTTGCAACGGTAGTCACATCAGATGTGAAAGGGGCCTTTGATGCTGCCCTAATGGGACGGCTGGTGGTTCGCATGAGAGAACAGGGCTGGCCAGGCTTTCTCATAAGATGGGTCCAGTCGTTCATGTCCGAGCGGTCCGCAAGAGTTCGGTTTGAAGGTACTGTGACCGATATAAAAGCTCTCACTTGTGGGCTCCCACAAGGCTCACCAGTCTCTCCAATCCTCTACATGCTGTATACAGAGCCAATCTGTGCCCGACTTGGCATGAAAAGAAGACGCTTTGGATATGCAGATGACTTAGCAACACTCTGCATTGGAAAGAACCTTGAAGAAACAGCTACAGAGGCTTCTGAAAACCTTCATTTACTCAACCAATGGGGACATAACAACGCTATTGAATTTGATCCCGACAAAACCGAGATCATGCACTTCTCACGGAAAAAGAACTCAGACAATCCCCCAGTTTGCCACGGAACAATGAACAAAACAGCTAAGCATTCCATGCGATGGCTAGGTGTCCTTCTGGATAGGAAACTAAACTTCAAAGACCATGTTTCTCACTGGGCCAAGAAAGCTAGTAGGGTAGCAAATCACCTTCGAGGACTATGCAACACAGTCAAAGGACTTCCAGTAAAGTCAACCAAGAGGGCTGTGAAAGCTTGTGTTATTCCTATTCTCACACATGGCCTGGAGGCCTGGTACCCAGGAATCGAGAAAACTGGGAGCTTAGGTGAGACATCAGCATGTCGCATTAAGGGGCTTCTTGGAACAATAGATGCCGTACTACGAACGGCGATCAGGGCTATCTTGCCAGTCTGGAAAACACACCCTGGACATATCTTACACTTTGAATCGCAGATTCCCCCAGCAGGAGTTCTTGCAGAGTCAATAAGACGACGTCACGGCCTCCGACTAGGACGAATAGATCAGAGACACCCTCTGGTTGGCAGGCTCCAAATACAAGCTCGCAAGGATCCAACAAGGCTACAAAGGAGCTTCCAGCTAGTCCCTGACTTCCAGAGACCAATACTTACCAGGCCATCATGGAGGAAGCGCCCAATCCGCAAAGACAAAGACAAAGAAACAGAGCTCTTCAAGCAATGGTTACAAGAGAGAAACGTGAACACTGACCTTGTCATCTACTCAGATGGATCACAGTTGGATGACCAAGGCACAATCCGCACTGGATGGGGTTATACCATCAGGAAAGGCGGCACTACACAAGAAGTATACCGGGGAAGGGGCAGACTTCTACAAGCAGAAGTAGTAGATGCTGAAGTCCATGGTGCTCTCCAAGGTCTTGCAGCAGCCAGGGCAATTGGACACGGAAAACAGCTATATGTCTGCCTGGACAACACGTCAGTGGTAGATGGGCTCAATGGGACTCCACCCGAGACATCACAAAACATTTTTCTACGATTTCAAGAACTTGCCACAGCACACACTCCTGGAGTGACCGTCAAATGGATTCCTGGACATAGAGATATTGATGGCAACGAAGCTGCCGACACACTAGCAAAAGAGGGTGCCATGCTGGAAACAGACACAACAAATCTTCCTACAATCTCTTGGGTCAAGAGAGATCTCAAAAGACAGGGCAAGAAAGAGTTCAACCAATGGTGGAAAGACCAATCAGAATCTAGGTATCAAGAAGTATACTCACATGCAGTAACTGAAAGAGACCTTATATCTTTTAAGAGGAGTACTTTACACAGACTTCTAGCGGCCAGATCTGGACATGGCGACTTTGCCAGATACCATGAACGCTTTGGGCACACAGATTCAAATGATCACTGCAGCTGTGGTGAGAAGAAAACACCACAACACATTTTCTTTTGTAAGAGGCTGGGGAAAAATCGGCTACTGCCTAGGCATTCGCCTAGGGCAGCTTGTTTACAATACTTAGGGGAGAGGAGCACAGAATGGGCAAAATTCGTGGAGAAGAGCAAGTTCTTTTCAACAATCTGCCCCCGATAGATAGCCTTCCTTGAAGGACCAGATGGATGACCCCAAGGTCATACCGCCGCAACAACGGGGATGGGCCCGTGAGCGGGACTGACTGTACTTATTATCTTGAGACCTCCACAACCCTGCGATGCAGAGGCTCTGGGAGGCGTGGTTTGCACTACTGAGGAGCTACCCCCACGTTAAATACAAAACAAACAAACAAACTCAGCCCAGGATCTCGCCTACCGCACCGCACCGAGCTCGCCGCAGCGAGAATGTTTCGCTTAAGCCACTAACATTATCATTTCAAACCAGTCCGAACGAGAGCTCGACCTTTGCATACGTTACGGGAAGCGATCGCTTAGGGTCTATTGTTTTCTTGCGCCTAAATGGGACATGGTACTGGCCAAAAGCTCTGTCAGGGACAGGTTTATATCGAGTTAACCCTTTGTCTATAACCATACCGATCAAGACGGGGATCTGTAATATAGCAGTTACGCTCCCCGACTATCTCGTCTCTGGTCGTGTTTGGGTGTCTACGACCGAGCTTGAATTTTATACACATACTGATAAAACAGGGGCCTTCCATCTGATCGAACCGACTGTCTCAAACCCCGATTACGCCTCTGTCGACGTGGATTCGGGATTCTTAGAACTTACTTATACTTTGAACGGGGGAATATATGCTAACTTATCGTTTGTTGACTTTGTTGGATTTCTCTTAGGCATGTCGCTAACCCTTGCTGATGGTATGGTTCAAATAGTTGCAGGCCTTCCAGTTGATTCTGTCTCAGGTATTTGCCAAGCACTGCACCAGCAGGCCATTGAAGAAGGCATATCATGGACCAGCTTGTGCGCTACTGTTGCAGGTAACCAGGCATTAAGGGTATTATCGCCGAACATATACAACGCAGCAAATTCCGGTTCGGTCCGAGCGCGAAGCTGCTCCTCAAGGTCCTGAACTCCCACAACACCAAAGTCGACCACATAACGATCAGCCCGGGCGAGAAGTACGGCAATACGGGACTAGTCAGTCCCAATGATAAGTCGCTGGAGTTGCCCACCTTTGATGATGTTGTCAAGGTCATGGAGTAATATCACGGCGCCAACGAGGAGGATAAGGGGCTACCAATATAGGACCACTGCGCCCATTTCACGATCCTTTACTTCTCCGTAGACTTGCTTTCTTGCGCACAACCATTCCTCCAGCACTGACTTGAACACCTCCAGGGGCCAGCTGGACGGCCACAGCTCCTGGTACTAGGATGTCGTAGCACGTTTACTTAGGAACGCTTTGATTCTCTCGACCCCCTGTGAATCGCCCTCTTTCGTTCCCTTGTTCTTTCTATCGACCCAGCCGTCGGTATAGCTGCCTCCGAAGTCGATAAGCCAGATAAAGCCACTCCTGTCAACCAGGATATTGTGTGGTTTGGCGTCCCCCCAGACGATGTCGACCCTGTGTATCTCTGCGATAAGAGTATCCAACTGGTCGGACCAGCTCGAGAGGACGTCGGGGGTGGCGACTGTGCTACTCGCTCTGTGATACAGCGTCTCCAGCCAAGGTTTCTGGTTCGTCTCGACCCAAGTCAATAGAATCCCAAGCAAACGCGAGCCCCCTTCCTCGCTGACGGGCCACGTATCCTCATCGTCATCGACCACGACTCCGTGCATACGACAGATCCGCAGGTCTGACCGGATCCGTCCAGCTGCCGTAGACTCGGCGATTCGTCTGTATGTGGCCAGCTCGGATAGGTTCGCGCTCCCAGGGCCGTTACCACCGTGCCAGGGCTTGAAGAAGTATTCATGGCCGCCTGCTAAGACCCTGGCAGGGCGGGCGAGGCGTGGCTCGCCTGCTCGAGTCGAGAAACTGGGAATAATGCGCGTTTGACGTGATGAATAGATGCTGGACACCCAGCTGCCAAGCTCGAAAAGTTGTTGCAGCTGACCCGAAATTTGCGGAATGTACTGTCCAGGAGGGACCATATCCTCCTTGGGGGTCTCCCCTATGAAAAAGGGAGCGACTTTCTCATCCCCTGCAGCTGCTCTGGCTTCAAAGGCGTAGTGCTTTGGGTACAGATAATCTGAAAGGAGGTCGCTTGGCGGAACTGGGAGTTTACCTGCCAAATCGGTCATTATCGACTGAAAGGGCTCCACCAGCTGCTTGGTGGTCCGGTCCCATTGGGCTCCATCGTCAGTTTCTAGCGCATGCCAGTTGTCCAGATATTGGTTCCGAAGCCCGTCAGACTTGATGTTTTGGAGCGAGTAGCTGATATTCATGACGCCGCCAAAACAGCGCATCGTGATTTGAATGTCATAATCATTGTCTAGTGCACTCGTTGTCACACCACCGAGTCTGAACCGTTGCGGCATGATAGAAGCTGGAAACTCCCAGCAATGACAAAGAAACAGATGCATTTGTATGGGCTATAATTGTGCTGCGAGGCTCGAAATGTTTCAAGTGCCAGCAGCTATACCCTGCAGCTATACCCCGCAGATATACCCCGCTTGTGCTAAATCCCTGCTCTCTCGGCACGTACATCGAGAGGCAGCTGTAACCACTGCCCGCCCGCCATGACCCTGTTGATATACCAATCGTTCCTGGGCCTGCTCAATTCTGGTTCCCATTTGGAGTCCTAGGTGTGTAAATGCTGCATCTAGGGGCCGTAGCACCTGTGGCATTCGGTATGGCCGCAGTCGACATTGCTGCAAACTAGAGCACCTCGCGTTTGAGTGTTGCACCTGTGGCACTGCCAGCCGTTTGCTTTCCGCGCTCTTCTTCGGCACGGGGTCTGATTCGTCATCTCCGGGTTTTGGCACCAAGTAGTTACGAAATGTGTTGCGTGCGACTCGGCGCCTCCTGGAGGTTGACAGTGATAATAATTGCCGTGGTGATCGGATGTAGCATAGGGGCATTGGCTGGCATCCTCGGGCATCCAATATACGAATTTGTGGTCACAGCCATATCTGGTAAGAATCTTCTGGCACATTATCAGGTCGTTATGGATAGTGGTGTATGTCCGTCTCTCTGTTAACTCTGTCTTGGCAGAGTTCTGTGTCGTAGAGGAAGCTATTAATTCGCATTTAGTTGAGGCAACGGTAGACTTGGATGAGGCATCACATACCTTGGCGAAACAGACGCAATGCGAAGCAACTGGAGACGATTGCTTCAAATCTTTCATTGAGAATGCGTTTGCCCTCTTAAATACCATGGGCAGGTATTCCGCAGGGCCCTAGTGCTGCAATCGCCTCATTATCATCACACCGGTCCTTCTGTACCATTTTCGTGAGTAAGGAGCAGCTCTCTATAATCGATATCCTCTCAATGCTTAATCAGTGAGCATTCCGCGGGTTCCTGTCGTGCACGCACACATGACACATCCTTTCGATTCGGAAAGAGACGGTCAGAGGTGCTTCATCTTATCCGCGCGTAGTCTGCGCGGAGTCTGCGCACTCCTGAGGCCGTATGCAAGGCGGCCCGCATGCGCACGCCATCGCAGGGGACTTGGCACTCCTGTTTCCACTCTTGTGCGCACGCAAACTTCCTAATCCAAGGTAGTTGACAGGGTTCGGACGGCCTGCTCACTCCGCAAATTTCAGCGATGGGTAAGCCCCGCACGCGGTATCAACCAGCGTCCTGCATCAACAGAAATCTAGCGAAGGTCTTCTAATACAATCGTTTTCATCTCAATGCAAATCCAACGTCCTGGCGGGCTACAACGCAACGTCGACTGCTACCTTGGTTGAATTCAAGCCACGCACAGTACTCCAGCACCACGCATCATTAACCTTCACTGGTCTTTCAAGATCAGCCTCAATGGCAAGTCTAGCACCGCATGATCGATGCTCACCCATCTTATACCTACTTAGGACCCAAGTCAGGATCTCGACACAGATGCCTTCAACGGTGCGGCGCATGCCGGTGCCGGTGTTTACAACAAGGGCACGATGTATTGGAAAGGCAGCAGTGCCTATTTCAAGCGGCCAGGGGATAAGAAGTGGAATGATATGAAAGATACTGGTCAATGGACACTGGAAAGCGGCTGCTTGGTCTATTTGAGTGGAGGGGAGATCAGGAAGAAGGCATGATATTTGCTGAGTGAAGTCCATCAGGCCAAAGCCCGCGCCATATCGCGACGGCATGTTGTGCTTCTAACCCAATGTCGAGCCGGCCTGGGCTATCGTCTGTCTCCCATATGGTCATAGACAGACACCTGGATAGCATCTCACCATTTGAAAGTTCCTCCATGCGTTGCGGCCCCTGGCGAAATGCCGTACTGACCACCTGCCCAAATAGTTTGTCAATAGGCACGTTTGTAGCCCCTCTGGGCTTTACACTCCTGTTGATATCGACCATGGCGCTATGTTCCAAGACGAGACATCGCCGCATCTGTATGACCTGGGTATGGACGCCAAAGAGCTCCTTTGCGACATGCTGCACTTCTCTGGCAGATATATCGACAACGAAGTGACACTCGGTTGGGTCCGATAGAAAGGACAGCATGACACAGGCTGTATCACCTGCCTTGACAATCGCAGTGCACATGTAGTGGGGGAAGACGAATGGGAGGTTCCTGGCCTTTGGCCACGCATATTCGTATTGTGGGTCGATTTCAAACGTCTTCCATTCTTGCAGCGCTTCTGATATGCTCCCTTCGTGCATCGTGACTTCTGCGTCGGCAATAGATGTCTTGAGGAGGCTGGGAGAAGCCATTTGCTGGTTGCGACGCAAGCTGTCAGAGCGCCGACGTTTTGTGGGACGAGAACAGGGCTCGGGGGGCAAGAGGAGCGACACCTTTGATGATTGGACGTTGGCCAGTAGTCCTGGAAAGTTAGCTGGCTAACAAACAAGTGCCTGCATGACTTACGGGAACGAGAGTTGCCACGGTCAGAAGAGTGTAAGATATGTTGGAGGCGTCTGTCCACAGAATCATGAGCATCGGTCGCGGATACCTCAGCAGCTACCTGTTCGAGTGTGGAGGTTGATAGACGAGCAGCATATTCTTTGACCATGAGGTTGCGCCCGGTCGCAAGGAAGTACGCAAACCAGGCCTTGAACCCTGTCTTCAAAAAGTCATACGAGATAGGTTCGGACAGAGAGATAGCTGCTAGAGCCTTGTCGAGTCCCGGTGGTGCTTTGATTAAGGCCTGCTCTTCTGAAAGACACAACTGTAGTGCTTCCGTGACAACGCTAGCGGGATCATTACTACTGATGTTGTGACCCTGGAAGTGTAAATTGACAATTGTCTGATCTTCTTCACTGGACATACTTATGTGGATTTGTGCGAAAGAAAGGGTGAGCTGTGCGCATTGCGCGACTGAGCATGGGGTGACTTTAACTCTATGCGAAGCTCGTGCGCAGAGTCATCGTCGTTCGCTTTCGCACCTGCGTATGCCTGGAGCCCCGTATTTTTGCGCACCCCCTTCGCAACGGGTGCGCAAGGGTGAAGCGCCAGCCAGCCCCACATCCAAGGCAACCGTATGTGTCCGCCTGCCCTTGGCAGATGCTCATAGCTTACCATGTACGAGGAGCTGCAGTCCTGTGACCAGTTGGGATGGCCGGGTCATATCATCTCTGTAGGTCTGACAATCATAGATCATGCTAGCGGCCGGGTCAACGCCGCCAGTAATGCGTGGCAGGGTCCTCCCTCAGGACGTCGCTAGGCGCTTCCAGCTGCCTCTGGATATACCGATGGATGCAGTCACCGACTCGAACTTAAGATGGACAGCAAGCTGAGTCAACTCGTATCGCATGGCATCATACGTGGGATGAACGAGGGCAACGTCGAGTGGGAGTGCGTACCTTGGGGCTTCGTGTCAAAGCACTCCTAGAGCTTGACGAGGGCCGCCATGTCAGACATGGTGATCGGGTCGGAGGTCGCATTCTCGGTTGCCATATTCTGCTGTACTGGTAGACGCAGTGGATTGTGCGTGTATGGGCGCGTGGGTGTGGGTGTGGGCGTTGGAGGAGGAGTTGACTGTGATGATGCGGGATGGGATCTGCTTGACACAAGGACGTGCTGTCATTGCGGGGCAGGACACCTACCCCCCGCTAGCGCCTCAGGCCTCTGTTCTGGGGTGTAGGGGTAGGTACGGGTATAAGCAATTCGAAAGATACGTCGTTGGAGAGAAGAGGTTGTCGGGAAAAGGACACAGGTAGTCAAATGGGAAATAGAGTTGTTGTAAAGTAAAAACCAAACCGCGGGTGAATAGAAGGGGTGTCAGCATTACAGGGTGTAGAGGAGACAGGGGGTAGGGGTCGGGGTAGGGTTAGAAAGTATTGATTACTGTACCAGACAATGATTCGATGATAATACCTGCTCAAGTGAAGTCTACTTCATAGCATGAACGAAAACACACAGGTTGTTGGAACAGGCTTGAACGATCAATCATAATACTCGAGTATGGGGTCAAGGTCATGATGTTGCTGATGGTTGGATTGGGAGGTCTAGCTGGACCTGAAGGTCTGGCTAAGTGACCTCGCAATCCGGTATCTAATCACTTATCTAATCATACATGTGGGTCCTGGTATAGATGGTTTGCAGGCTGGAATCGCATGGATCCAACAAGTACAGTCCAATCCCGTAGAGGTGGTTGAGACATCACTTACAGCAAGCCCGTAAGGAAGATCGCGAGCACGCCCAGCTTCTTTCGCGGCGGCATGTGTAGACCAAGAACCACGGTCAGAGGCAAGAGGAGAATGTAGATATTGAGAACAATATCACAGCTCCCTTGAACCATGGCCCAGTCCAGAAGCCTCTTGCACTTCGCGAACACATCCAAGGAGCCCCAGTCCCCGCCTGCAGATGGTGTGCAGAAATAGGAGAGCAGAGGGATGCTAGCTAGATAAACACCAAAAGCCGCCGTAATAGCAACATAGCATGCGATCCGAAAGCTCCTTTTCTGGCCGAAAAGGCGCAAATACAGCAAGAGGATTGGCATCCGAGACGTGAAGTACGCCAAAGCCTGTAAGGTATTCCCAGCAAATCGAATCTGTGATGTCAGAATGTCAGGCAAGTAGCGCAATAACAGCAGCAATGGCTACTCACTTTCCAGTAGTTTTCTGTGAACCAGATCTCCGGAACGTCCCACATGTGTCTGGATACGTAGCTCACTAAGGAAGGAGTAATCGACAGTAAGCTTCCATTCACCACGTACAAGAGACTCCAAGCTCCTACTTACAAGACAAGATGATTCCTATGTAGCCGAAGGAGAAGACGACTGCTAGTACACAAAGCCCTATATGATATTAGCTTCCTTGGACCATCAGGCCTGTGAGTTAGGTAGAAGGGAAACCAACAGTCTTCGATTCCCGGCAAGCGAGTAATACGAAGGCTTGTGTAGAGGCGTAGTGACACAAAGACGACAGTCAGGAAGCTCATCGTCGTACTGACAGCAATCATGATGGTCTGCTGCGATGGGGGGTTGAGGAAATTCGAGGTCTGGCCAGCCGGTGGCGAGGCAGCCGGTGTGTTGGCAAGATCTTCATAGCCTAGTTGACTCATGACGCACCGACTACAGTGTGAATGTTGAGATGATATTGGATACCGTGATATCAAAAAGCTGGTACTACCGAGTTGGTTCTCAGGAGCAGCTGCCTGGGAAGGCTGAATGCTCGCCCGTTATATAACGAAGTCTTCTGCCGAACAGTCCCTCTGGAATGTGAGGCTGTGGTTAGCCGAGAGGGCATAATATGCTCCTGGGTGTCAGAATCCAGCTACATTATACCCCTTAACCAATTAGAAGCTCCCATAAAGCACGCAAAGGCCAAAGGCCTGAAGACGGTCACCAACACTTGAGCGCGCCGCCGTGGTGCATTTGGGGGTGGTTATTTTCAATATCAACCTTGGAGGCAGACATGCACATGAGGCTGCAATGATGACTATTTTTGGATTCCGTGAGTCCAGAACAAGATGCAGGCCGGTCGCGCCTTGTTGGCTGAAGCAGTCTCTCTCAACTTGGTGTGGCGAGCAACCCCTGTCAGCCACCGAGCCAACCTCAACCTCCAATCAAAGCGATGTATTGGGGGCGAGTCACCGGGATGCAACTCAACCTACATGTCAGAAAGCGATAATCGCCATTCCGTCAGCCGTGGTTGCCACCACCGTGTTGTTGGAAACCAACAAGGCTACACCGGTCAGAACCACAAGACCATCTCGTGTGGGTGAATCTGCAAGTGCGTAGGATCGAGCGCTTACGTGCCCCCCCTTTTCCATTCCCAGCGTCTCCCCGGGGCCCCACCCCCACCCCCCGCCGACAACGCCCGGATTCCAGTGATGCAGGTGACGGGATGCCCTATGTACCGCTGTTGGAGATACGGCCGGAACCTAGCCTTGTGCTCAAGCCGACAACTCAGTACACACCTGAGTCTACCTAACAACAAGCAATCGAAATCCGCCCTGCAAGCGGCTGCGGCAATCGCACAGGATTACATCAACTTCAAACACAGCTTGAGACAGGTACCAGCCCTTTCCCATGAGTCTTGATCTCGTATCTCTTTCCGTTTCGCTACTCCTCTCTGTGTTAAGCTCTTCACTCCAAACCCTCGCCTGGCCGATTGTGAGCACGTCAACATGGCGAACCGCACTCCTCCAATGTACACCGACGCACCTCTGGCGTTGATACATACGCCAAAGTTTGAGACGGGCAAGGTACGTGCTGACAGTTCGATTACCTATCATCATACCCAGTGGCCTGATCACTCGCTAATGGATCTCCTTCTCAAGGATGACCCTTTCACCATCGAAGCTTCCCACATGGCCCTCAGTCATAATTCCTTCATTCGAGGCTTCAACAGCATCTATCAACAAGCCCCTCGTGTCCAAAGCTCAGCCGATAAATCCGACTTCGTCGGCTATTGCTTGGCTTGGATTGAGTGCGTTGCAACACACCATCACTACGAAGAGACGGAGTTTTTCCCAAATGTCGACAAGGACGCTGGCCAGAATGGGTTGATGGGCCAGGTAGTCCATGAGCACGAAGAATTCCAGGGCGGTATGGATCGAATGAAGGATTACCTCCTCCAGAAAGAGGCCGATTTCTCTGGCGATGAATTGATCGCTATAATGGATTCTTTCAAGCAGCCGCTTCATAGCCACCTCAAAGCCGAACCTGGTGCCATAGTGGCACTCGCCAAGTACAGCACCTCAGACCATCCAATCGATATCTTGGCTATCGCTGGCGCTGCCGGTAAGTTCAATCCACCCTGCTGCTGTAGTGTCTCACATCGTCGTCATCTGACACCGGTGCCTCTACTCTAGGCAAGAAGCAAGTCAACCTTGGCTTCATGTTCAACACCCTGCCGGTCTTCTTCCTCAATATGGAGACGGCAACATTTGAAGGTGGCATGTGGGAAGGCGTCTTCCCACCGCTCAAGGGAATGGCCAAGACGGTTATGAACAAGCTTGTACCTATGTGGCAGTCGCGTCGGTGGCGCTTTGTTAGCTGCACCCCTGACGGAGAGGTGGGACAGTTGGCTGTTTGATGAGCCAGGGTTGTGAGCTCTTTCTGAAGTGATAGCATGGGTGGCATGTTTCAAGATGGGGGGTAGGTCAAAGGAAACGTAGGATCTCTCGTGTCTTATGCTGTAGCAAGTTCATAGCAGCGTGTCGAATCACGGAGAACCTGAAACTTATGCTTGCGGAATGCACTGTGCCTTTTGGGTAGCGGTTCCAGGATAAGGACCAGGGTCACAAAAGGTGGCAATTGGTCTGTATTCTACAAGTTGCTTGATTAAAAGAAGGGATACCTAGGTAATGTCCCTATCCTAGAAGTAGCCATTATCTCAGTTGGGTGCAAATCAGGTACAAACGGGTACCAGTTGGGCTCCAAGGTACCTTGCATCCTGGTCCGTGACCCATCCGTCATTGTGGCTCGAAAATGGGTTGAACACGTCACACAAGCTCTGGTATTACACGTGCCTGTGGCCAGTGGTGCACTCAAAGACCGATCTACTGTAGCATAGTGCTGGTTGCCAAAATGGGACGGTAGTCAATTCATCAGGCAACTAGACTAGACGCGAGTTTGTAGGTAAACACAATAATCTGGGTTGGTAGATCCGTAAAAAGACCACAACCTAAGCTGAGCCTGCCATTGAACAAAAAGTGTCACGTTCAGAGACTGTGAGGTGCTGTCTTCTTGTTTATGTGGAATCTCTCTTTCATGGAAACATTGACTGCCAATTTTTGGACCACAACATATGTCTTCAATTGGTTCCAATCGACCTGCGTTCCCGGACCCATGGAAATATCGAACCTCCACATTAGGCGCGCCAGTGCAAGCCTCATTTCGGCCAAAGCAAATGATTTGCCTTCACACAAGAGAAAGGCGTACATGTCAGCTCCATTGTCGCGGTAGCGTCGACCTCAGACACAGGGCAACTTACCTAGACAACTGCGTGCCCCCAGTCCAAAGGGCTTCTGGTTCTGCCGATGGTCCCTGGCGAATTCTGTTGGCCGCATGTCTTCTGGGAGAAAACGCTCAGGCAAAAACTCGTGGGCACGTCGGAATTTAGCCTCCGAAAGCGACATAGCGGTCGTGTTGATGAGCACATGGGTCTGATTACACTGTCAGCTTGTTTTCGGAAGTGAACTGTTCAATGTGATATCCACGGGTGGTGAACGTACACTTTGAGGCAAAAAGTGACCGCAAAGGGTCGAACCGCCCTTGGGAACGCTGCGCAAGATGCCTCCAGCCACAGGGTTGCACATTCTCAAGCCCTCCCAAACCACCGCATTGAGGAAAGGAAGGTTCTGAATGGCACGTAGAGTGATACCCGTCTCGCTTGCGAAATGACCTCGGATTTCTTCTTCCAGGTTGCGTAGCTGTCTGGGGTTTTGGACGAGGCAGTTGACTATACCGCACAGCGTCGTCGCAGTTGTCTCACTTCCTGCAATTGGTGATATTATGAGTAAAGCAGCTTGTGAGGAAGTGATTGGATGGTGGCAAACATTCCAATGGTTGCAAAACTTACCCGCAAGAATGAGGATGGCTGTTGAGGACTCAATTTCTGGAACGGTCATTCTGTCAAAGTCGGGATTGTTCTTGAGCATGGGGCTCATGAAGTCGTCTCGGTCAGAGCCAGCCATGCGGCGGTGAATCTTCTCCAATGCCATCTCATAGTGATCATCTTGCATCTTGCGTATGCTCGGGGGCCTGAGGAATAGGAGGAGAGGTTCTAGGCCAGCGTAATACCGTGTCACAGCAGCGAAGGCCATCACTATATCGCAATGGTAAGTCAACGAAATTCGTCTAGTAGCAAAGGTGTTAAGACTGTTAGGTAGATCAACTGACTTTTGATGGAGCTGAAGATCATAGTTATCCACGGATGATGCTTCGTGTCCTCGAGGCAGCCGAACGACTCCCCAAAGGCAAGCTCACCGATGAGGTCAAATGCGAACCAATGGAACCAATCGACTACATTGACGACGCTCCCTTGGTTCTCGTCACTCATGGCGGTTATCCGCTGACTCAGCCTTTGCACAAGCAGATCCACGTAGAACTGGATGATGGGTTCCTGAGACGTGTTAAGGGGCTGTGCATGAATCCCCGCATGGCTAGAAAGACTGACCTGTCTAGAAAGTGCTCGCCCCGTGAAGGCTGGCATGATGACTTGCCGCATTCTGGCACTCGCAACTGGGTCAGCGGTCATGACTAGATTATCTGCCTGCCCTGGTGGTGTTTTGAAGAAGGTTGGGTTTCTGGGAAGTGGACTTCGGCTACCAAGTGCATCGTGCCACACGCCATCATCCGCAAACGAGATCTCGTCCGGGGCAGTTCGGACAATATCACCATATTTCTCGTGGAGTTTCCGTACGTCGCTCACAAGGTTCCCTGAGAGGAAGGAACGAACAAACCCCAGATGACTGGCCCGCCACCACAACGGGCCTGGAATTCGCGCGAGGGGGTGATAAAAGACATTATAGACTATGCACAAGGCCCAATACTTGTTCGTTATGGTCAGTGAGATTACAATGTCGAATTCGTTTGAATGCGGAGCTTACGAGCAAAACGAGTAAACCCAAAGCGCAAGCTGGAGACGAAGAAGGCTTCATCGACAATGGCACGTCCATGGTGGGTGGGCGAGCTGGACAGCTGGATGAGCGAACAATAGTCAATACAGTTAACAGCTTCGATGCCCGTCAACCCAGACCACATAGAGATCAGACGGCGATAAGCGCTTGGTTGGAAGACGTGGTAGAAGTGCTTATCATCTAGTCAAGTCGCATGCAACCCTGGTCTTCGTCTACGTATCTTCACGACTGTGGACCGAAAAGGTCACGGCGCAAGAGTGTCAGATGGCACCATGGCGGCATGGTACCTTCGTACTTGGGTAGCAGCAGGGAAGTTCTATTCCGACACCTGGTGTAATTGCAAGTACCCGCTTTCCAACATTGTTATCCGACATGACACCGAAGCATATGCAGTTGGCAGCCAATGGACACCTGCTGCATATGATGTTACCTTAGACGCGTACGCCCAACTGCGAACGACACAACTGGCAACGACACCGCGGCGGCTCCGCATTGCGTGAATTACCAATGTACTAGACCCGGTCACTTCGTTGGGCCTCGTTCAGCCTGGTGTGCGCCATGCACCGCTTCTTGCATATGTTTTCTTCTGTTTTATACACGGTGGTGCCTCCAAATTTGCCAAGTTCGTGCTCGAATCGCCAGATTGGCCTAGATATCGTCGAGACCCATCATGGATTCCCTCAGCGAAGTATTTCGTCGCGAGGGGGCAGAGCTGATCAAGGAGCTGGGGAACAAGCTTTCTAAAGGGGAAGCTTTTGGATCGTTCTCGTGTTCTACCTATGATACGGCTTGGCTAGCCCGTCTCCGCGAGCCAGATTCTGAGTCCAGGGTGGAGTTCCAGGTGCATTCCCGTCTTCGATATTTGAGTCAACATGGGTATGTATCGACCTATATCTGCAATGCTTGTCTTGTGTTGGCCACTAATGTATCTGGTCTAGATCATGTCAACTCTACTCAAAGCCCATTCGTGCAACCCGCTTGTGCAACCTGAGGCGATCAGCATCCGCACTTATCTGCAGGCTCAATTTGAGAGACAAGATGGACTGCTTGGTTTTGGTACGTTGATTCATAGTAATGGCTGCATATAGTGTCTGCTTGTGCACTCACTAACGTGACGCACAGATTCCGGACTGCTTACCGATGCGGATGACACAGCGAAGACCATTCTGTCACTGAATCTACTTGGATTCCCTGCTAGCCCGAAGCAAATGCTTGAAGAATTTGAAACGGCGGACCATTTCCGAACCTACAAGTATGAGAAGCACGCGTCGTTTAGCGCCAAGTGCAATGTTCTCGACGCCCTCCTTCATTGCAACAACCCCGAAGACTACCTTGAGCAAATCATCAAGGCGTCATGGTTCTTGTGTCGCCAGTTTAACCTGGGCAATATCCGTGACAAATGGGTATGTCTGCAAGCGGCTGCTGCTTCCCGATAATTCACTAACGATTTTCAGAACCTCTCGGAAGGGTATTCCAAGATGTTGCTGTCTCAGGCCTTCATCAAATTGCTACAACGCTGGGACAGTGGTCAGCTAAAGGAGTTGCCACTGGAGTTGATCTCTGAACAGATTCCCATCGTACTCTTCCAGATCGGAATGGAGACTTTGCAAATGCAGCAATTGGACGGCTCTTGGAGCTTCAATGGCACGTTCAGAGAGATAACAGCCTATGCGGTCCTGACGCTGAAAACTCTCTCCTCGGTCCCATGGCTTGCACATTTCCACACTCAAATCGAGAAAGCAATCAGACGCGGCTCGGCATACTTGGTGCTTAACTATGATCAGTGGGGTAACGACGAGTGCATATGGGTTGCAAAGGTCACGTATGCGCTGCCGTTCCTTGCCAGAGCTTATAACATTGCGGCTCTTTCCGCTGGTCCACCTTGCAGTTGGGGTCCCAAGGTGAAAGCCCTGGTCGCTATCTCGGTTGACCGAGTCAAGGAGATGGCTGGGTTCTTTTCGAGCTTACCTATGTTCCGCAAAGACGAAGCCTGGATGCTCGAAGGGGATTTGGTGCTAGGGTCTATGTACCACCCTCGGCTTCTACGAATGGGCTCTAGCGTCTTTGCGCAAGATGAAAAGGCTGATAACAGGTACCTCGAGTACATACCGTTCACGTGGATTGCAATGAATCGGAAGAACCACCGCCCGCTATCTAACACGACGCTCTGGGAGACGATGATGGTTTCTTTGCTCGTCTATCAGCTCGATGAGTATATGGAAATCGTGTTTCGAGAACATCGAGACCCCAGGATCATGGAGCAAGTTCGGCAAATCGTCCGGCTTCTGTGCGGGTTCGACACCAAGGGTGATGGGAACGTGAAGAGGACAAGTGACCATCAGCTGAACTACTTTGACTGCTCATCTATCCCGAGAATGGAGGAAATTGATGGCAGTTCCAGCGATGGCGCGTCACCGAGTCTGGCACTGGAGCAAGCAACAGCCACGTTGCGTGGTTTCACGTCGTACATCCTCCAGCACTCAGCCGTCGTTAAATCACCCGACCACATTCGCAGAGAGCTTCACGGTGAGCTTGCTCGTTGTATGCTTGCACACATCGATCACGAAGAGAACAGCCTCCATTTCGCAGCCCAACGGGCAAAGCAACCCCTTAGCAACGACGGAGAACCAAAGATCGTCCCTTACAAGCCCATCGAAGGGACGTACTACTCCTGGGTACAAACCATATCTGCCAACGATACACAGTCCCCAGTCATCTTTCTACTATTTTTATGCCTCGCGGCGGGCGATGGTCAGCCATTCTTTGTCGGCGCGCGTCAGCATTATCTAGCCAGCGCCCTCAGCAGGCATCTTGCCAGCTTGTGTCGACTGTACAATGACTACGGGTCGACTGCGCGAGATCTGGAAGAAGGGAACCTCAATAGCCTGAACTTCCCCGAGTTTCATGAGACCGGTCATGCGAGGAAGAATCCAAGCAATGAGAATGGAGTGCACTATGGTATCGATGATGAGAAGGCCATGAAGGCTGATCTCTTCTTCATCGCGGAATACGAACGTAAGTGTCTTGATCACACTATCCTCCAGCTGAACGAGGAAATGCGATGTGGGCGGCATGGAAGTTGTAAGGTTGATGCGTTGGGGACTTTCATCGACACCGTGGATCTCTATGGACAGATTTATGTGGCTAGAGACATATCCAACTGGTTACGGTAGCATGGTGACTAAGGTCCATAAGTGTTATGACATTCAACATGTACTTTCCTTGCTGTGGTTCATCCTAAGGTCCATCCCAGTTAGGTCATACCGTTGTGGCAACATTGTGCAAAACGCACGTGCACGGATATGATATACGCATTTTATTTATATCGACTCCTTTCACTGTGAACCATACACAGACTTCGACTGAGTACCATGTAGGTATCTTCGTAATCAAGAGCACGAACCGAGTATGGGACCAGCCCACGTCACTCGGGGTGCAACAAGGAGAGACAAACGACACATGGTGACGAGATCGAACCTAGCAAACTCTGATCAATCCCTGGAATGGGATCTGACACACAAGGAGCGCGGATCAGTACACTTCCAATGGCGATGGTATTGTAGCGGATGCCGGCACACAGTGATGAGCAAGAAAGGCAGTGTATCCAGCGATGCAGACATTTTCATGAGCCGATCCTGGGGCAGACGCCGTGGATTCGCCCCTGACCGATATCACATTCCTAATCTCGAACACGAACTACCTCGTGAAGCCAAGGAGCCCTCATATCAATCCCAAAGTGATGAGGGGAATTATGCAAGGCATTTGTCGCAACCCAGGTCGATTAGATGAAGCCATCACCACTCAAGTGGCAACAGACCAAAGAACAGCAGCCATGCCAAGTGCGGAGTCCCAATCAATGAGACTATGCCATATCATCGACCGGTGCAGTGTCCCAATAGCACAGCATCATATAGTTCCAGATAACCACGAGAAAGCATCTGCCGGTCTTGGTATTGTATATTTATCCATGTGCACCCCAGCCATCATCATCATGACACGTGTGTAGTACTCCCGCCATCCCCTTGGCCACTCCTCAATCTGGCTGAACTGCCACAGCTATCTGGCTATAACACTACGCTCCGTTTTGGCGGCCCAGAGTGACGCCTCCGAGGCGCCGCCATCAATCGAACACTCGGTAGCATATACCAGATGTACATCTGTGGCCTCGGGTGAAACACCACGTCTTCACTGAATAAGCCATTGTCACCTGGAGTGTTGCAGATCCAGTTCCGGCCCAGTGACTAAGAACGTAAAAGGCCACTGCCAATACCGAGTAGAAATAAGCCAGGTTAACATCTAATTATACTAGTCAAACCATACTTTTTTGGTTCTTTAAAAAGAGACTATGCCCGCGCTTAAGGGGGACCTCGTAAACGTTTGGAAGCGTGCCTGGATTGGATAATAATTGCGGGGATGAAAGAGCGAGGGGCCCTTGTCGTTACCCCACGGTTAGCTGCCCATGAGGGAACAAACAGGGGAATAAACAAGGGAACATTTTCCTGGTCCTAATAATGTCGATTTGTAACGATAGCAGGGCCGGCCATTTGGAACTACCATGGGACCTTGGGGAACTGTCCTTGGACAACAGATGTCAAGAAGAACAGCCAGCTTGCACACAGCTGCATTGTCTTAGCCTGATGTCAAAGCCTCGAGACTGAGGTGCAGCCATGAGCCAAATTGTAAATGTGCTAGCTACACAATGCTTGGCCCGGGAGAAAGGCAGTATCGCGGACCGCGATCTCTTTCATTGATGAGAGCGGTATAGCGAGCTCGCGGTCACATATTACCTTCTTACCGAATGAGGGTGGTATTGCGGGCTCGCAGTCACTATGGACCCGTCACTATCGCAGACCCGCGATCCGTGTCATTAACGATGATTACGAGCTGCGCTCGCAGGAAGGTATCATGCGCAAGAGTGTACATAATTGAGCATACCATAGGCCGTATCAATTAGACGGAACTGCTGATGTACTATGGTAGGTACTGTGTAGAGCTGGCCAAGGCAAGCGACGCTCGACCCCTATAACCAACTGCAGACATGAAGAACACACACACTCATGCACCAAACTACATTTGACCGCGCAAAAGCTCACTCAAAAAACAACTATTTTTCTTGGCGCCCCGCTGTTAGGGCGCAACCTTGATATTTACACTAAAGCAGGCACTTCTCTCAATAACTGACTATCTCTGTCAAGGCACAAGAGAATTTTTCTCACAAGCCGGATGGCACCCTTCCATGACGGGCCCCCAAACACGCCCGTGGCCGTCCCAAAGACGACCACTGGCGACATGCTCAAATCCCCGGCCCCTAGAAAGACATATAGCCCGGCAACTCCGAGCAGGCTCCACCAGGCGCTGATTGACGACATCAGCAGCAGCCCGTCACAGGTCTCTGAGGCTGACTTCACCGTTATTTCCCCTCTGAAAGGAAAATCCTGAAATATTAATGACAGCAGCACTACTGGAATGAAATGACCTCAAGTGAACAAAATCTCAACAGACCAAGCCATTACATGCGATATAGGGAATAAAGCCTCCTCCTCAGAGTGCCAAGACCAAGTTGCCAGAATACTTGCTAAAGACAAGCACTTCTATGAAACCAGGATAACAATGTTTCAAGAGTGTACTGCAGCGGTTGATAAGACACTTGAGAAAGCTGGAACCGAATTATACTCACATGCCAAAGAGTTCAGCGCCTTTTTCTCTAAATGTCTGAATGAGTGGCTGGAAACCCGAGATCTGCCCAAAAGGAAGACCATCCCTGGGGGGATAGGGATGGTAAAGCCCACCATGACCTTTGCCCAAGCTGTCTCCTCTAGCCAACGACAGCATCCACGGACAGTCAACACTACCATAAAGAAAACACAGCCTGGCGCCTGCATCACTGCCAACCAATTGAAGAAGAAACAGGATGATCTCCGGGTCTTTGTCTGCATGGATAATAGCCACTTAAAGCCTTACAGAATAAAGTCTACACTAAACAAAAGACTTAAGCTCCACCATCAAGAGCTTAGAGAAGTGACCCGGTGCCCCTCCGGATTTACCTTACACCCAAGGGACAAGCCAATTCAGGCTAAGCTCCTGGCCTTCCAAGAAGAAATCACCGATATTCTCAAGGCAGAAAAGATCGAGACCCACACGGTCTGGTATCACTATAAGGTCAATGGATGCCCAAGAAAGGTCATCAGTGCGGAAGGATTGACAATCGATATTACCGACATTGCTGTTGCTGATGAAATTGAAGCCCAAACAGGTGACAGACCTTTAAGGTGCATACTCTCAAGGAACACAGTTGATTCTGATCTGGAGACCACATGGGTGATCTCTCTGCCCCGTGCAGCAAAGAAACCATTCACGCTTTTTGCTTACTTAATGACCTCAAGGCATATTCAATTACTCCCCCAAGGTTCACTAATGTGCGAGCTGCTTCAGATACCATGGTAGGAACTACCGATGTGAAAAGCAAGTATGTGCATGTTGCGCCAGTACAGTACACCAGGGGGAGTGCGAAAAACCAATCCCAAAGTGTGTCAACTGCAAAGGACCTCATGCTGCCAACTTCGACAAATGACCTGCACGCCCCAAGGTTGTGAAAGGCATCATCCATAAGCACACATGGGAGCAAATCCAGGAAATAAGGCTGGCTGGAGAAAAAGCCAGATCCAAGGCCTTCAATGAAGCAGGCAGAAACCAAGCTGGGTCAACACCCAGCAATAATAGCGAAGACATCACAATGCAAATCGACACAACAGATACAACTCATCCCAGAGATGCCAATACCATTGTTGTTAATCAATGTTAGGTATATCAAACGAAACACATCGACACGGGCATCTAGTCATCCATTCTGTGAATACAGCAGGGGGACAAAAGAGTGCAGGCCTTACAGAGTTAGCCATCAACCTGGCTGATTATAAAGGAGAATAAGCAGACATCATTCTGATGCAAGAGCCCTGGGTTGGCATACCACCAGGCAAGAGAATGGGAGTAAAGACACACCCCAATTACGACATATACTCCCCAGTGGATTCCTGGGACAGCGACAGTACACGGCCCCAGATCTCTCATCTATGTGAGAAAATACCTTCAAACGGATCAACTTCGGCCCTATGCTACACGAGACATCACCTGGGTCAAGGTACAAGGCATTACATTTGCCAGTGTCTATCGGCCATGTGACAACCCACAGGAAGTGGATGACATTCTGGAAGTATGGACTCTACTTTTTGGCTGCGTTATAGCTGGAGATTTCAATGCTGGCGACACATCCTGGGACTCAAGCAATCCAGGATATCATAGTGGTGCTATACTTGCACAGACTATGGCAGACCATAGACTGGATCTGATTTCTGAACCAGATGTCCCGACACATGATGACGGAAATGTACTAGATCTGGTGTTCTCTGATGTCCCCATGGCTGAAGCCTCAGTCAATGATGCACTTCAGTGCACCTCAGATCATGAGACATTACGAATAGTCATTTCAATTCAGGGAGATCTGGACCGAGTACCCAAGGCCAATCATTGGATAGTACCGGACGATAAATTACAGGAGCTGGCAGATAATGTCCAAACCAGGATTCATGAACTCCCCCGGCTGGGTGTATCCCCTGGCCAGGTGGATACCTTTACACAAAGCTTGATCAATATGATTCAAGGCTGTATCAGGACAGTGGGCAAGAAGCCCCGTCAATCTAGGCCCACTGCTTGGTGGAATGATGACTGCAAAGCAGCTGTTCAGACATACAGGGCCCTTTCCAAACAGACTACAAGCCAAGAAGGACGGAATTCAGCCCGACGGGAATTTCGCCGTGTGGTTCGGAAAGCTAGGAGAGAGTACTGGCAGACTCTAATCAATTCAGCAACTGAACCAAAGGACCTATACAGAATCGTCTCTTGGCACAAGTTATCAACAGGATTGCGTTCCCCTTCAATCATCATAGGAGACCAAATATTCGAGTCACAAGAGAGCAAGGCAAATACATTACGCTCAGCCACGCTTGAACGAAGTACCTCAGACAACGATATCATTGACCCCTGGTCCGCTCAGATCATACAACCCAAGCCATACATCCCCCTTGAATACCACGTCGGACTGGAAGAGGCTGAAGGGTGCACTTTAGGAACCAAGAGCAACTCCCCGGGAGTAGATACCCTCACAGTACGGATTCTGAAAGCTTGCTGGCCAGTCATTGGTGAACATATTAGAGCCCTTTTCCAGACCTGTCTACAGATTGGACACCACCCTAAACCATTCAAAGTAGCTGAGGTGGTGATGATCCCAAAACCAGGAAAGAAAGACTACTCCAATCCCAGGGCCTACAGACCAATATTGCTACTGTCATGTCTTGGCAAGGGCCTAGAACGACTCATCGCGAAAAGAATTACCTGGTTTGTTGTCAAACTTGGGATTCTAGCTCCATAATATTTTGGAGCTCTACCAAAGCGCTCTGCCACTGACCTGGTAGCTGCACTCATACACGATATTGAGCAGGCCCTTGACCAAGGCCTCGTTGCAACAGTAGTCACGTCAGATGTGAAAGGGGCCTTTGATGCTGCCCTAATGGGACGGCTGGTGGTTCGTATGAGAGAACAGGGCTGGCCAGGCTTTCTTATAAGATGGGTCCAGTCGTTCATGTCCGAGCGGTCGGCCGTATGGCGCAATGGTCAAATGCGCCTGGTTGTGTTCTCGTTTGTGCGGTGGGCGACGAGAACAAGTGGGTTCGAATCCTGCTATGGCCCCCTTTCTGACCCGGCTTGTGCGAGTCGATAACCAGCACACGACAGTGGAGAGGCCCCATTTTATCGCAGAGCCCGATAGCCAAGCAGCTTGTCTCCACAATACCCACTCCTGCGAGGTTTTCCCCCTTGTGGTTTCCCTCGCCAGCAGATAACAAACACCTACTCCACCCACCAATGCGACATATATCGAACGGCTACTGGAACGATATGTACACCAGAGAACTGAGGTTCACTGGGTCGCTTTGTCACTAGATAGGAGGTTTTTCTGACGGAATCGTGCTTGGGTATTGACTAAAACCATCTGAACACTCCAGATTGGTACCGCTACAGCGAGGATAGGCTCGTGCGCGGATCTGAATGTATCTAATTTGACACCTCTACAACCTTGCGATGCAATGGCTCTGGGAGGCGTGGTTTGCACTACTGAGGAGCTACCCCCCACGTTAAATACAAAACAAACAAAAACAAACAAACAACATGTCCGAGCGGTCCGCAAGAGTTTGGTTTGAAGGTATTGTGACCGATATCAAAGCTCTCACTTGTGGGCTACCACAAGGCTCACCAGCCTCTCCAATCCTTTACATGCTGTATACAGAGCTAATCTGTGCCCGATTTGGTATGAAAAAGAGACGCTTTGGATATACAAACGACCTAGCGACTCTCTGCATCAGAAAGAACCTTAAAGAAACAGCTATAGAGGCTTTTGAAAATCTTTATTTGCTCAGTTAATGGGGACATAACAACGCTATTGAATTTGACCTTAACAAAACTGAGATCATGTACTTCTCAAGGAAAAAGAACTCAGACAACCCTCCAGTCCGCCACAGGACAATGAACAAAACAGCAAAGGACTCCATGCGATGACTGGGTGTCTTTCTAGATAAAAAACTAAACTTCAAAAATCACGTTTCTTACTGGGCCAAGAAAGCTAATAAGGTAGCAAATCACTTTTAAGGACTATGCAACACAGTCAAAGGACTTCCAGTAAAGTCAACCAAGAGGGCTGTGAAAGCTTGTGTTATTCCTATTCTTACACACGGCCTAGAGGCCTGGTACCCAGGAATCGAGAAAGTTAGGAGCTTAGGTGGGACATCAGCATGTCGCATTAAGGGGCTTCTTGGAACAATAGATGCCGTACTACGAACAGCGATCAGGGCTATCTTGCCAGTCTGGAAAACACACCCTGGATATATCCTACACTTTTATCAGATGCAAGTGAGTTCAGATTATTTAGGTTATCAAGTGTGTTCTGTTGTTGTGCTTGTCCTTCTCTCCTTCTTCAGCGTACACAGATTGATCATCTGTCTTGGTGGGTCAGATGCCCTGTGCGTCTCTGCCCCACTGGAGATCTTCCGGTGTCTATTTCCGGCTCCCATTCAACAACTTTGAATCGCAGATTCCCCCAGCAGGAGTTCTTGCAGAGTCAATAAGACGACGTCACGGCTTCTGACTAGGACAAATAGACCAGAGACATCCTCTTGTTGGCAGGCTCCAAATACAAGCTCGCAAGAATCCAAGAAGGCTACAAAGGAGCTTCCAGCTAGTCCCCGACTTCCAGAGACCAATACTTACCAAGCCATCATAGAAAAAGCCCCCAATCCGTAAAGACAAAGACAAAGAAATAGAGCTCTTTAGGCAATGGCTACAGAAGAGAAACGTAAACACTAACCTTGTTATCTATTCAGATGGATCACAGTTGGACGACCAAGGCACAACCCGCACTGGATGGGGTTATACCATCAGGAAAGGCGGCACTACACAAGAAGTATACCGGGAAAAGGGCAGACTGTTGGAACAGGCTTGAACGATCAATCATAATACTCGAGTATGGGGTCAAGGTCATGATGTTGCTGATGGTTGGATTGAGAGGAATCTAGCTGGACTCAAAGGTCTGGCCAAGTGCCCTCTCAATCCACTATCTTATCTTATCTAATCATACATGTGGGTCCTGGTATAGATGGTTTGCAGTCTGGAATCGCATGGATCCAACACAGACTTCTTTAAACAGAAGTAGTAGATGCTGAAGTCCATGGTGCTCTCCAAGGTCTTGTAGCAGCCAGGGCAATTGGACACGGAAAACAGCTATATGTCTGCCTGGACAACACGTCAGTGGTAGATGGGCTCAATGGGACTCCACCTGAGACATCACAGAACATTTTTCTACAATTTCAAGAACTTGCCACAGCACACACTCCTGGAGTGATTGTCAAGTGGATTCCTGGACACAGAGATATTGATAGCAACGAAGCTGCCAACACACTAACAAAAGAGGGTGCCATGCTAGAAACAGACACAATAAACCTTCCTATAATCTCTTGGGTCAAAAGAGATCTCAAAAAAAAGGGCAAAAAAGAGTTCAATTAATAATAAAAAGACCAATTAAAACCTAGATATCAAGAAGTATACTCATATGCAGTAACTAAAAGAGACCTTATATCTTTTAAGAGGAGTACTTTACACAGACTTCTAGCGGCTAGATCTGGACATGGCAACTTTGCCAGATACTATGAACGCTTTGGGCATACAGACTCGAATGATCACTGCAGCTATGGTGAGAAGAAAATACCATAACACATTTTCTTTTGTAAAAGACTGGGGAAAAACCGGCTGCTGCCTAGGTACTCGCCTAGGACAGCTTGTTTATAATACTCAGAGGAGAGGAGCACAGAATGAACAAAATTCGTGGAGAAGAGCAAATTCTTTTCAACAATCTGCCCCCGATAAATAGCTTTTCTTAAAGGACCAGATGGATGACCCCAAGGTCATACCGCCGCAATAACGGGGATGGGCCCATGAGCGGGACTGACTGTACTTATTATCTTGAGACCTCCACAACCCTGTGATACAGAGGCTCTAGGAGGCGTGGTTTGCACTACTGAGGAGCTACCCCCTACGTTAAATACAATCAATCAATCAATCAACCTCCAGAGCATTTTTGCAGAGCTGAATAGCCTCCAGGTAGGCCAAAGCCTATACCATGTCCCACCCACCACTCGGCCACCCCCACCACTCGGACTGCAAAATCTACTGCCACACACCGAAACATCAACAACTTCACTTACAGCGAAATCAGTCAATTCATGGTATCTTTGGCTGCGAAAACGTGCAATTTACTCGTCTATGGCGGTTTAGTTATTGTATCTAGCCGGCCGGCGACTCTGTCGGCCCAAACGGGTCTCCCTAGCGGCCACAATCTCCTCCTTTTCTTCTGAATCAGAGCTTTTATCCTCTTTCTCCTCATCAGTGGTATCTTCAACAACCACAGGCTGCGCGGCCCTGCGGCCTCTTTGGGGCTGTTCCTCACTAGCTGCCAGAATATCTGGGATATTTTTGAAACGTTTATTTGGGTTGGGGATCTTTCTGCGCTTTTTAGGGCGCATGCGGTCTAGTTCGGCCTCCAGGCTATCGATCTTCTGGTCGTTTAGCACCATCTCTCCTGATTGCTTCTCAAAGGCTTTCGCAACCTTGCGTAACTTCAGCCGAGTGGTTGGGGACTTGTTTTTGCCCATATCCATGATTTGGTGGCTATTTTCAGGCATCTGGAAGTCTTCAGGTTCTGAACTTTCGACCTGTTCAGGCTCAGGGGTTACGGCCTTATCCTGTTGAATTTCTGGATGCGATAAAGCCTTTCTGCGGTTAATAGGCCAATTGCCAGTAGTTCTAAAGCCAGCCTGACAATTTTTGACCGTCAAGCCGTCGTTCTTTGCCTTGGAGTAGCATCTGATGAAGTTGATCTTGTCCACAGGGGCAGCATCAGTTAGAGTAGCTAACTGAGCGATATGCTTGCGGTAAGCAGCTTTCATGGCATTAAAGGGGCCGTTATCAAGTGGTTGAAGCCCATGGGAGGTATGTGCTGGAAGAAAACAAAGCTGAACGTTATTCAAGAAGCACGTAGTTATGAATTCATCCTACCACTAAATGGTTAGCTATACATCTATGGATTTCAAGCGAAATAAAATAGAGAAAAATAAAGGAGTTAATACGTACGGAGGTATGGCTCTTATGCCCATTAAGGATCAAGAGTACCGCTTCAGAATTGTCATCTTCTCGTACCTGGTTGGCTTGAGAGAGGAAAACACTTTCTAACCACTCCACGACAACTACGTTATCCGTCCGGCCATTATCAGTGCATATATAATGCCAGGGGGCAATCTCTCTGAACTCCCAAAGGAACCACTGGGCCTGGAGATCTTTTCCTTTAAATATAATGCCTGGTGTAAGTGCCTTGCCTGTAGCAGAGATAGCCTCAATGAAGGAGGTCCAGCCGCGGCCTTGGTCGCTCTTTAAGAAGGTCTTTTTCGTCTCTGTGCTGCCCAAAACGAGACCATCAAGCCCTAAATAGGTTAGTTAATGGATAAAGTTAACAGGGGATTATTCAGGGATTATTCAGGGGCTTTCCCGTACCGAAACCCGCCATGATACCGCCCTTATCTATATTGTACGTGTTCTTGGGCTTTACCCAATCAAAATCCTCGCGATGATCCAAGTACCAGTTAACAGACTTTGGCATAAAGCCCTTAAATCGAGCGGCTTCCTGTCTGCGGCCAATTTTTGTCTTTATTTGGGGGTTACGGCAAAGAAATCCATCTATCCAGTTCTTCCTAACTGTCTCAGTGATGCCGTTTAACTTGGAGGTAGCCTGAACGATTGCCTTGACGGTGCTATGCGATAAGGCAAGCCCCAGAGACTCCTGACGAAGTATCCACTGGGCTAGGCGTGTTTCATGCTCGTCGGATAGTCTTCTTTTTGGCTGCTGTGTCTCTCCCTTCAAAGGTTTGCCGTTGAGGCGGTCAGACAGCGTCTGCTTAGGGATACCCCATTTCTGAGCGGATTTTCGGACCGACAGCTTGTTATCGGTGACATCTAGTATGGTATCTGCCATAGTATCCTCCGTATAAGAAGGCATTTCGAGAGTCACGATGCTACGTTGCATATAAAAGAAGAAGAGAACAGATGCATAAAGGGCAAATTTGCCCTTATGAGGGGTAGAAACCACAGGCAGGGGGACTTCTCATCGCCGGGTCTAGCTAAAAGGATCTACATTGGGGTAAACCTCAAGAAAAGAGCTATTCAGTGAACTAATTACATCGCGAATCCCTTCAAAAACAGCTGGATTCGGTATAAGTGAAGTTGTTGATGTTTTGGTGTGTGGCAGTAGATTTTGCAGTCCGAGTGGTGGGGGTGGCCGAGTGGTGGGTGGGGCATGGTAGTGTGCACGAATGGCTCGTTGGCGGCACATGATAGCGACCACAACTTACGAGCGCCGCCCGGCCGTGACAAGATGGACTCAACCGTCTTCCACATGGATGGCGAAGCGCACCTTTATGTCATGCTGCCCTTCTTCCATGTAAGGCTTCCCTTCATTGTAGACGAGGCTCTGTCTAACTCGACCCGTGGCTTGGTGGCTTCATGTTTTTCATAAGTTCCCCTGAGCCCGTAGTGCGCGGTAGCTGACCAGAAGAAGACCACGCCATCTTCAACACAATCACACTCGTCCTGGGGCCGCCACATATTCCTCCAGACGCCGTTCTGTTGAAGGACATAGCGCAACAGCAGAAGCTTCGAGGCGTCATGGTCATACCAGCCCTTCTGGAACAACTCCTCCATGATCCTGACGGCAGCGGGTTGCTTCAGAGCTTGGAGATTGTTGCTTGTACTGGAGCACCACTTCCTGCTGCGGTCGGAGATCGAATCAAGAGTATCGTGAAGCTCTACATGTTCATGGGCTCCACCGAACCATTTCCTCTACCCGAAATATTCAAGTCTCCGGATGACTGGCAGTATCATGAGTTCAACCCAAGCCTCATACATGAGATGCAACTGTATAATTTGAATGAGGGCACTTTCGAGTTGGTCATCTTCGCCGACGAGAGCGCCAAGGATACGAACCCTTTGTATCATAACGTACCAGGTGTCAGTCCGTACTATACCAAAGACTTGTTCACACAACATACGGACCCAGAGAAGCGCAATCTCTTCAAGTATTACGGATGCAAGGAAGATATTCTCGTCATGGCAAACTGGGAGAAGGTCAACCCTATTCCACTAGAGCAACACGTGCAGGGCCATCCTTCCGTCAAGGGCGTGCTACTCATTAGCACAGGTAGGGTCCAGTCGGCCTTGCTCGTTGAGCCTAAAGAACCCGAAGGACTGGACGAAGCCGGTCAGGCCGAGTTGCTCGAAAAGCTCTGGCCGCGGATTGGAGAATCGAACGCGCGAGTTCCTGGTCAGGGACGTGTTGCCCGTGACAAGGTCATTCTGGCCCTAAGCATGCCTTTCAGTGGGATTGGCAAGGGGACGATCATACGCAAAATCACCGAAGATGTCTAACATCTCCCACCCCCCTGCGGACCACCCCCCCGCGGACCAGCGCGTTCTGACCCACAAACGCGTAATTCACCAACCACCAGGATTATGGTGATCCACCATCTATACCATCACTTTTGCATCTTTTTTTTCACAAAGCACACTATTTGAATCCTTATCCACTGCTGAATCTCATGATGTCATTTTACGACTGTCAAATAAAAGCTGAAGCTGCCATTTTGGCCATCCAACGCGGAGCTCCAGTCCGCTCGTCAGCCCTCGAATGGCAAATCAGTCGCTCGTACGTCAACCGACGAATCTCTGGCACCCTAACGCGGAATGAGACCAGCGCTCTCCAACAGGCTCTCTCACCGTATCTCGAACATAAGCTGGCAAGCTGGGCCCTGGGGCAAGCACGGCTAGGGTATTCTCTGGCGGTCTCTAAGTTCCGTCTCATGGCCCAGCAGATGCTCCATGCCACCGGGGATGCTCGAGAATTAGGGAAAAATTAGGCATCCAAGTTCCTGTCTCGAAACCCGGAAGTCAAGATAATGAAGTCTCGTATTATCGATTATAACCGAGTGAATGGTGCTATAGCGGCAAATATCAACATTTTTTTCGATCGGTGTGACGCCCCTGACGTGGTTAACCTCATGCCAGCACGCTGGTACAATGTCGACGAAATGGGAATCGCCCAGGGGGTTGGGGACTCCCATTGGGTGGTCTTTAAGGCCTCCGGCAACGTGGCTATGAAGAAAGAGGTCGAGAAGGGTGAATGGATAACTGCCCTAAAGTGTGTGAGCGGATCTGGTGAGACCTTGCCGCCGCTGGTGATTCTTAAGGAGGTTAACATACAAGCCCAGTAATTTAGCAACCAAAATGAGGGCAAATTCACTAACTGGAGGTTTATTACGTCGCCCAATGGATGGACCTCAAATCCCATTGCGTTAGAATGGCTTCAATGTATCTTTATTCCTCACATTCGGGAGGTCCACGGCAACACATGGGTGGTTTTGGTGTGTGATGGCCACGACTCCCACACGAATGACGAGTTCCTAGCCACCTGCTTGAGAAACAAAGTATGGTTGATCTTTTATGAACCTCACTGCTCCCATGTAATCCAGGTGTTAGATGTGGGAGTCTTCAATTTGGTGAAAAAAAGGTTAAAGACCTTACTCTAGGAGATGCCCAGCGGCCGTCTGGGACTCAGGCCATCTAAGGAGGAGGTTTTGGAGTGCTACGAGCAGGCCCGGAAGGACATAATGACGCTCCTCAACATCAGAATTGCCTGGAAAAAGACTGGGATTGTTCCTCGCAACAGAGCGGAGGCATTGAAGTCGAAATATGTGATTCTGGAGGACAAGGGGGTGGCCAGGGCACGCCAGAGGGACCCTAAGGCTTCCGAGCGAGCCACAACACCAGATTTTCTCGAGATGGTAGCTAAAACCATTGTCACAACACCCTCTGGAAGCCGGGCTTTGCGGGAGAGTGCTCGAAAGCTTGAAAGAAAGGACCCTTCCTTTGGGGGGCCCTCTGAGCGCTTGTTGGTGCGGAAGGCTGGCAAGGCTATGGATGTTCAGGCTGCTACCATTGCAAATCTACGGGCCAAATGTGAGCTGCTTGAGGCTCAAGTGGCTAAAAAGGCTAATACCACTCGAAAAGCAGTCAAACCAACACCAGGGGAACGATTCGTCACAATGGCTAACATAAGGGAGGCCAAAATGGAGCTGAGGAACAGGAGGGTCTATAGGGACTCCGCTGCAGGCGAAGAGGTCCCACAAGAGGTCCCTGGTGAAGATTTAGGGTCGGAATCGGATTCTGGGAGCTGTATTATGGTTAGAACACCACGACCTTAGTGTATTTAGCAACTGTGGTGGTTGTAGATGGCTTCATCTGAATGAGAGTGGTGTGGTGTGGAGTGGTCCGTGGGGGGGTGGTCCGCAGGGGGGGGTGAGATGTTACAAGGATGAGATAGGGAGACTATACGCAAGCGCCATGAACCGGGCCCCAACTGTCAAGATAGCTCTGGAAGCAAAGACTACTTACCGACCGACGGCAGTGGTCAGTTTTCTTCGTCAGGTCTTCGAGATCTCGTTCGCCCCGGCACGCACAATTGTGGAAGATGAAGATTTCTTCGCTCACGGTTTGGACTCGGTACAGACGTTGGGGATCACGGCAAACCTAAAACGCAATCTGGAAGGCCTTGAAGGGCAGAGTTCGCGTTCGGTCGCTTGGATTTCGGCACGTACCATCTTCTGTAACTCGACTTTTGCTGAGCTTTCCGAGCTACTTGCAACTTTTCTGAACGAGGGAACCGTTCCAGCTAGAGACTCTCAAGCGAAGCAAGCACACGGCGTGGATGAGGCCGTGAAACGAAACACCAAAGGCCTCCCGGACAGAAAGTCGTCAAAAGCGACGCCTCCGAGGATATCCACGCCTTGGTAGGCTCGACTGGCTATCTCGGCAACCATCTCGTAGCAACTGGCCGTATGGCGCAATGGTCAAATGCGCCTGGTTGTGTTCTCGTTTGTGCGGTGGGCGACGAGAACAAGTGGGTTCGAATCCTGCTATGGCCCCCTTCTGACCCGGCTTGTGCGAGTCGATAACCAGCACACGACATTGGAGAGGCCCCTTATCGCAGAGCCCGATAGCCAAGCAGCCCTCTACAACACCCACTCCTGCGAGGTTTTCCCTTTGTGCTTTCCCTCGCCAGCAGATAACAAATACCTACTTCACCCACCAATGCGACATATATGGAACGGCTACTGGAACGATGTGTACACCAGAGGACTGAGGTTCACTGGGTCGCTTTGTCACTGGACAGGAGGTTTTTCTGACGGAATCGTGCTTGGGTATTGACTAAAACCATCTGGCCACTCCAAGTTGGTACCGCTACAGCGAGGATAGGCTCGTGCGCGGATCTGAATGTATCTAGACTGACACCTCTACAACCTTGCGATGCAATGGCTCTGGGAGGCGTGGTTTGCCCTATGGAGGGACTGCATCCACGATAAATACAATCAATCAATCAATCAATCAATCTCGTAGCAACTCTGCTGCGGAATCCCGAAATCGTAAGAGTCTACTGCCTTAATCGGAGCGATGGTGCGCAAGAAAAGCAAAACATAACCCTCCGCAGCCTAGACACCGGCCTGGTACTGTCCAAACTCATGTATATGACGATTAAGATTGGAAAGCCTCTACTTGGGCTGAGCAAGGTTGAGTACGACCTCCTCGCCAGCGAGGTGGATGTTGTCGTTTATAACTCATGGCGACTTGACTTTGGTCTCGCTATTCGCTCGTTCGATCCCTTCCTAAAGGCAACCAGAGGCTTGGTCGAGCTAGCCGCGGCAAGCAAGGAGAACAACATGCGTGTTGTTTTCGTCAGCTCAACGTCCTCAGTTGAGGTTCTTGCGGCCGGAGATACAGTCCCTGAGGCTCCTGTCGAAGACCATATGGCTGCTATGAATACTGGGTACGGGCAGTCCAAATTGGCGGCAGAAGGCATTCTTGTCACTGCGTGTCGACAGGCCGGTATACCCGTGTCGATTGCCCGTGTCGGCCAAGTGGGCGGCCTAAGTCGTGGTACCGGGGCCTGGCCAGACCAGCCATGGATCTCGACCGCAGCGGGTATTCCAACCACATAAGCATTCAGTCTGCCATGGGATCTGTTGCACAAGCTCGCCCTCTATAGCTTTAAACCCTGCCACTTATTACGTCTGCCACGCTTTGGTACTCTTTCCGTTACGTCTTGACCCGGCTCGACTTGGTCTTGCTGTAATACCTTGTTGCGGTCAACCGACAGTCTTCTAAAATCCTTCCACGCTTGCCCAGGCTTGGTTTGTGCGGAGTTTTTTTTATCGTGGTTGAGATGATTTCCTGTTGGCAGCAAAGGAAAGGGATCATTGACTGGAGCCGTGACTCGGTTTTGCTCGCTGGTTATCCCTTCTGATTTGCTGCTCGTTCCATGTGATCTGGTCCTGATCCTGACCCCGACCTGATCGATCTGTCCTGCCGCTTTGAAGTTCCTTACTAGACTTTCTGTCCTCGACGAGTTCCACTCATGATGTCGCAGCGGGCGTTCTCCGTCAGGACTTGGGTAGTCACTGACTAGTGGGGGCCACGCGTTCCTGAGGTTGTTCTCTCGCACCGGGAGCTGGGAAGCAGCACCGGGCGCTGCTGAAAGTCCCAACTGCCTCAACAATCTCTTTGCCCTCGACGACGCCCATAAGGAATCATCCGGCGGGCCTGTTTCACTCGGCGTCGTGTGATACTCAGATAGTGATGGAAATGCATCCTCGTCATTGCTGTCCGGGCCCAGAGCGGAGAGACTGACTTATGGGACATTGTCGCGACGTAATCGGTTCCTGAGATCCCGAAAGGTCTCGATCTCCACGAACTTGGACAGCGAGCATCGAGGCTCGGACCGACGAACATGTATCTCACCCTCTGGTCGCGATGTCGATCGATTACATGCAGTCGGTAATCCGAATCCCGACTAAAGATGAGCATACGATCCGCGCCTTTGGAGATCAAGTAAAGTAAAGTATCGTAGATATCGTCCGCATCGGAGTTATTCAACAGATTCCAAAGGGGGGTGTCGCCAATGTTGTCCTTTGGATCGAGCTCGCTGCCGCCTTCAACGAGACATCTCATCACCAAGGTATGTCCGCACCTGACTGCGATGTGTAGGGGCGTCTGAGACATGCTGTCCTTCGCTTCTGGGTCGGCTCCGTAATCAAGTAAGTGCTGTGCAATGATGGGAGACCCCTGGGCTGCGACCAGGTGGAGTGGCGTGTACCTCTGCATGGACGTCTTGACTTCCGTATTGGCACCCATGGAGAGCATGTTCCTTACGGTATTTGCATGGCCGCACTTTGCAGCCCAGAGCAGAGCGTTGCTACCGTGGACTTCGACGTTTTCCCCATAAAGGTCATCGTTGAAGATGCTGTACAGGCGGCTGCTTATCTGGATGAACGCGTTGAAATCGGGTCTTCTCAGCAAATACTGGGAAATTTGGATGAGAATCTCGTCTGGGCAGTGAAGTAGAGACATTGGCGCTTCTCGGATATGTTACAGTTGTAGAGTATTGGAGCTAAAAGCGCGTATACGATTGGGAAGCCCTTCACGTTTTTGTCGTCAAAACCCGACAGTTCTGGAAGATCCGGACATCAGAGCTTCCCAACAGGTTGCTGGTCCTGGATTGGCTGAGCCGACCTGGTCATGCAGGTCGCCGTCCAGTGCACGGGTTGCTGCTTGTCGTAGCATGGGATTGGCAGGAATACGGCATCTGTATGGCAGTGCTCACACGGCGCAGGCTAAGGCGGTGCTCACGCACAGCCTTGATCTAATAGAATACCTTGGCAAACCTCTGATCGCCACGTAATCCATCTGGGCGTGTACACCTTGGCTTGTCCTCCACGTGTCTTCCGGGACTCGTTGTACTGTGCTCATATGTCAAGCGCCAGACCAACAGTTGTGTGAACGTCAGTGAACTTGTGACTGTTGGGGGATTAGAAACGAACACGGGAATATAGAGCTACTTTCTAAGCTACATCTGTTCCAGTAAACATGCGAATTGAGGGCACTGTGCATCTCGTGCTGTCGATCTACGCACATGGCATCATCCAGCAACTTCCACGTGATAGCGTTGCGGCACCTGCGGTGGGCTGGTCTACCATAACTCATCCCAAGATGTCTTCTACGCGACTTTGTTCAACCACACTTCATCCTTCCTCTTCCCCGTACCCGATGACCCATCGTGGGTCGTTCCAGGGCCGGTCCTCCTGCAGATGGTACTGCTCTGCAGACTGCACATGGGGAACAATTCCGTCCTGCCAGGTCTTGATTCCAGGTTCAAGTAGGTCATTGACTATGGAGCCGGGGACCACGACTCCGCATTCGAAGTTCGTCAACTTGACGAGCTTTACGTCGCACGTGGCTTCATTCCGCTTCTTGTCCTGCTCAAGAGCACCCTTCGCAGATTGTGACAAGTTGGCAGAACCGAGGTAGACGTAGTGGGGCGCAGTACGGTCCCGAGGGTTGAACAACAGGATCAACTCTTGGTGGAAGGGACAGCCAGCATCTTTCGATCTGTAGTGGTGAAACAAGCGCTTGATGCCGATAGGTGCCTTGTTCCACGGCCGGGTGTAGCAGCCAATATTGCTCGCTGCGTGCTGGGCTGCTTCTGTGGCACTTCTAATATCCGCGACGGTTGGATAGAAGATCTGCCTGCCCGAAACAGCACGCAGCATCATGGGAGATGGCTCCGTGCCCGCTACTGGCTTCAACAAAGTGCCCCTTGGCTATCTTGTTCCACGAAGCAGGTCTCCAACTCCCGTACCGGCGCCCAGGCATAGCAAGGAGCGGCAGATTTGGTATCCCAACCCCCTCGCGTCATTGAAACTTCTCAAAGTAGTCGGCACCGCTATCATGCTAATATCATACGGTCTCGGATATGCCATCTATTCGTGTCTGCAAGCATTTTTGTCGACGTTGTTCCTGGATATATATCGGGTTTCTGGTGTATACAGTGGCCTGATTTATATCCCGTTCGGAGTCGCCTGCGCAATTGCTGCTTTCGGTACTGGACGGCTTCTCGATCGCAATTACCAAAAGACTGCCAACGAGATGGGTATGGTCGTCGACAAGACCAAAGCCGACGATCTCCTGAGGTTCCCAATCGAGAGGGCACGGATACGAAACATCGGGCCTCTTTTACTCTTGAGTGCCTTGCTGATTACTGGAAATGGTTGGCTACTGGAAAAGAAAGTGACAATTGCCGGACCATTGTTGTTTCAGTTCTTCATCGGTCTGACCCTTCAGGGTCTATTCACGTCCTTGAATACTCTGATCGTAGATACCCACCAGATGTGCCCATCTACAGCTCAAGCAGCTTGTAACTTCGTCCGCTGCGAACTGGCTGCTGCCTTCCTTGCGGCACTTGACCCAGTGTTACATGCCTTGCGACCGGGCTGGTGCTTCGTTCTATTCGGGGCACTTATACTCGTTCTGGTCTTGCCTGGATTATTCCTCTTACAGTGGCGTGGCCTGCGATGGAGACAGTGCCAAGCTGAGAAGTACTTGGCTCGTTCCACATGATCAACGAGCGTCCCAAGCCGACGGTACATGGTGGACTTTCAAGCAGCGTATATGAGACGCTGAGATTGTGCCTAAAGTACATGAGCGGACCCTAGTAGATCCGAGGCAGAGGATAGACCGACAGAGGGCAGAGAGACGGAAGCGGCGTCCAAGCGACTGCTCTCGATCAACCCCATCATCAGCCCTTGTTCGACTCTAATCACGCAACTCATACTTGTCTATCAGATAGTTTAGGTCGGACATGATGAGCTCCCTCATCCTCTGTTCAGGGAAGTCCAACGACGTAACAATCATTGTCTGTGCCGCATAAAGACGGTTTCGGTCGTCGGCTTCTTCGCGTGGCTCGCTTGGCGGGTAGTGTTTGAAGTACTCCCGGCGGTATTTCTCATCTATCATCTTATGGTGAGCGCACCTCCAGATACAATCCGTGGACAAAAGTCTCCGCCCGATCCCCATTTTTATCCCTTCCATCTACTACACCCTCCAATTCAATTGAACCACAACGCATCCAATCCTAGTGATAAAATTCTCAAATAAATTGTATTTAATAGCTAAATCAATAGTATGTATACCAACTACCGGCGCGCCTTACTGCAGCCATTCGGTCCTCCAGTGACTCCATCAAGACCCGAACCTGCTCCGGATCGATCTCCGACCACGCCTGCTCAATTAACTCGTGTGTGTAGCAATAATGGGGGATATTGTCCTTCAATTCCGAAAATTCAGGCTCGATTTTACGTATCTTCTTCTTCAGAAGTTGCCAAACATGCTCCATTGGGTTCATATCGGGGCTGTGAGGAGGCCAGTCGATACAGTGGATGCCGTGCTCCTCCCTCCACTCCGGAACACCGCCAGTGAGGTGAATTTTCGCGTTATCTTGAACAAAAGGATCTCCAGCCTCGTAAAACGGAAGTAGGCCTTCCTCAAGAACCCATTTATATGACTCTGCGGATACTCCTCCGCGCGGAGCATCCGGGTCGAGTGGGCAGAAGACCAACTTGCCTAGTCCTCTTTCTCTGCCGCGTAGCCAGATCATAGACCACACCATTATCGAAATACAAGGTCTGCCGTGATCCGTCTCGTTCACGAGATCATAACGGTACCACTCTGAAGAGAATCGGATGGCCCAATCGCCTGGATTATCGGATGAGTTTTGGACCGTACATTCGTCTGAGAATATGGCTCGTAACAACTCCTCTAGGCGCTCTGGTGTGCTGTAATAATTGGCGAAAGCGAGCCTCTTCTGAGCGTCCTCATCCGTGAGCTTGATTCGCTTCGCTGCGTGCCACTTCTAGAGGCCGTATGCGTGACATATCCTCTTGATAGTCTTAAGAGAGCACGAAACGCGGGCTTCGTTTCGGATCTTCTGCCACGTCGCCCTGGGGAGCTCTCTCGCCTTCTCGATCACACGAGCGCGTTCGCGAGTGTTCAAAACGGGTGGGCGACCGCTCCTTGGGGCAGATTTCGGTGTAGAGGTGACCTCAAAGTTGGTGGTGATGTCGGAGATGGTTTTCAGGCGCTTCGTTTTGAACGCGGTTGCAACATCCCTGCGCATTCTGCCGTCGATTCGCGCCGCCACAATTGCCGAGCGAGCTTCTGAAAGGAATTCGCCGTTAGCGACGCGATCGCCGCTCAATTCTTCCCCAAAAGATCGTAAATCCATTATCAATTGCGGTGTTGAGAGAGTGGTGAAGTCGAAGGGTGATTGACGCGTTGTTTTGATCTGAAGGAGATTGTGGTGGGTCGGGCGGAGACTTTTGTCTACCCAGTTTACCAACCTCCTTCTCGTGGTGCGCATAATAAGCGCACGCATCGTATATGAAGATTTCATCCGTCTGTTCGTCTGTGCCGATATTGGACTCCCAGAGATCACCGTGAATCAAGGTTGGCTTGATGGTCCGGCCGTCTGCGACGAGAGCATCCAACAGCCGCGGAATGAGTCTGTCAAGCGTGATTTGGATCACGTCGTCGAACTCCTTCCAACAGCCATTCGCGGCCTTTTCGATCTTGTATATGTCCTCCATGAGGCGTCTGAAGTAAGACGTCCAACTGAGGTCCCAAGTAGTATTGAGAGGATTCTTGCCGTCGAAGGTCGTGCAATAGAATCCGAACTGACCAGTCGGCGACTCGCTGCTGAGGTGGAATTCAGACAGCTTCTTCCTGAGGTCGACGGGATCCGGGAGTTCGTGCGTCAGGTTCAGATAGTCACAGACGAAGAAGTAAGTAGACTTTTGTCCATCGCAAGGGCCGAAGCCGCGAGGCTTTGGCGCAATGCTAGACATGGTCTTCCAGACGGCAGACATGGCCTCGTATTCACCATAGACTCGCTCTGCTGCGTCTGGCACGCTCAGCGTCTAGATCGCAACCCTAGTTAGTTACGCCTTCAGCCCTACCGTCTACGCCGGTGAGGCGGCATACCTTGAGAAAGTAAGACCGATTTGTGCCGTCGACCGTTTCGACGTCAATCCTTCTGGTCTCTGCCCAGAGCGACTTGCCATATGCATTCACGCCAATGACCTTGTCCCCCTCTCCGAGTGCTGACAGTGGAAATCAGTATGGAGGCACACTTCCGCGTCCTTATGGTGTTGCTCAACATACCTAACAGAATGGCAGTGTCTAACACATCCACCCCAGCATTTGCGTTTACCGCACGCTGGTTAAGCCGCATCAAGGCTTCGATATCAGCATTTTCAGCAGCCCGGGGGGTTGTGGATCCTGGTGACTTCGCTTGCAAGGTAGCCATGGCTCCTAATTCCCTCACGGCTTGCGCTGTTGGGGTCTCGTATGGATACTAGATCGATGATAGCGGCACAGGAGAGAGAAAAGACCTACTCTAGACACAGGAAAGGAAAGACCGGGAGAGAGAACCTCCAGATGTTATATTGCACCTTCGGACTTCCAGGATCGGAACCCTGGTTCTTGGAGAGCGGGGTACACGGTCCGTTGGTTGGTTTGGCTTTCTTATCTCGCTCACCCTGGAAAGCAGCGGATGATGATTTGGGGGCTAGATAGTAGACAGACCTGAGGCCGGGGTGGCGTTGGCCTTCATCGTGTCTACTATCCAGAGATTTTCGACAGAGTCGAGACTCGATAGCGGCTGACAATCACCACACTCAGCACGTAGATCGCAATACCGAGTCCCAGGTCAGATGCGCAACAGGGACCAGTTCTACCTACGTGATGTAGTCGAGACGCAGGCGCCCTACGAAATACCCTACGAAGCTGCGAAGGTTCGGCGGGTGCGGCACCGCCGGAGTTCGAGCTTCACCTTGAACGCGCGACAATGGTATGTGATGATCTTGCACTGACCTCCACCCGCCTGGCTTCGCGAAAACGTCTGACATCAGCCTTTGCAGAGACAACTTTTCAGGTCTGCCAAGAAATCTCGAAACACCATCGATTTGCCCGTGCGCGGCGTCGAGAACGACTCCCCGCGTTATTCCACGTCCGAAGCCTCGACAAGTCGGAGCGATCAGAGACTTGTGCTGCAATCGGGCCACAGTGATATATCAGACGTGCACGGACAGCTGCTTGCACACGAGCGGCCTTTATCGCATCAGCGGCGACGTTCCCACGATAGGCGTCAAAATCCGATTGGGTTGACGGTGTTACACGAGCCCAGCAATCCTTCGGAAAGAGCTGTAGATATACTATTCGTTCATGGGCTTGGTGGCACAAGTCTGCAGACTTGGTGTCACGGTCGTGACTTGGATAACCTGTGGCCTGAGCGATGGCTTCCTTTCGAGGCTGGCTTTGAAACGGCCAGAATCATCACGTACGGGTACAATGCACATTTCTCATCGACGAAGGATCAGGCTTCGCTGGCGATTGGAGACTTTGCCAATGACCTCTTGTTCCGCATGAAGTATGAAGAGCTGGGTAAGCATCGCCTCGGCGAGGTCCCTATCATCTTTGTTGTTCATTCTATGGGCGGGCTTGTCTTCAAGAAGGCCTTCATCCACGGCCTTTTGAATCGAGACTTCCACGACATGATGGCCATGGTCACATCAGTGTTGTTTCTGGCAACGCCACATCGTGGGACGGACCTGGCCGAAACATTGAATAAGGTACTCACAAGCTCGATCTTTGGCCACTCGTCGAAGGACTACGTCTCAGACCTTGCTCGGAGAAGCCCGACTATCAACGAATTGAACGAGTCGTTCCGCCATCACGCATCTAAGCTCCAAGTCTTCTCTTTCTATGAGACCATGAGTACTACTATTGGCCCGGTGTCGACCATGATCCTAGAGAAGGACTCGGCTGTACTTGGGTACCCAGGAGAAACACCCCAGCCTCTGATGGCCAACCACCACGAAGTGTGCAAGTTCAAGGGGACTGATGACCCGAACTACGCCGCTGTGGTTGGTGCACTACGCAGTGCTATCAGTGCCTCTACTGTGCGGATTCCTGACAACGGTTTCGAAGACGATTTAAAGATTGTTAAAGACGCCCTAGGGGTGTTGGGGGCCCCGGAGGACGACATGGCTGTGGCACGATCGGTGCGGAAAGAGCGCACATGTGATTACTTTCTGAGCACCCGCGAGTTCGTGGACTGGCGACATTCGACAGCTCCTGACCTCTTGTGGGCGCACGCCCACCCAGGAAATGGGAAATCAACCTTGTGCGCCTTCACGGTTGACCGCCTGATAGAGGAGGGCGTCATCTGCGCTTATTATTTTTTCAAGTTTGATCACCGCGAGAGAACCTCGGTCAGCGGTATGCTACGATCTTTGGCTCTCCAAATGGCAATGGCTTTGCCGACCGCTTGCCAAGTGTTAGCCGAGGTGGCCCGCACCAACGTCCACTTTCATAGGGCTGATGCATCGAGCATCTGGAAAAAGTTGTTCTTATCGGCACTTGGGAGTGTGAGAAGTGACAGGCAGATATTCTGGGTTATCGATGGCCTCGACGAATCCGAATCGAGCAGGAAGGTGGTGGAGCTTTTGTCCGAGATAGGAGCCTTCGCCACGAACATCCTCGTCCTGGTTTTCAGCCGTTCACAGCCAACAACCAGCCAGGCTATGCAGAAAGCTCGCAAGAAAATAAGGATAACGGAGATGGATGTTTCAAACAACCGACAGGGTATCCGTTTGGCTGTGCTGGAGGATATCGAATATTTACCATCCGACGAAGGCTTCAAGCAGGAGACCACCGAGGAAATTACAAGAAGATCGCAGGGCAATTTCTTGTGGGCGAGCCTGGTTGCGAGCCAGGTTGCTCATTGCCACCGTCAGGCTCAAGTGAGGCGGATACTCGAGGTGACCCCCGATGGCATGGATGATCTGTATGACAGAATGCTCCTTGCCGTCTCGAGCCTCGACTCATCTGAGGACCAGGACCTCTCCAGGATCTTACTATCATGGGCAATGTATGCCAGGACGCCTTTGACGGTAGATGAACTGTCCGAGCCCTACCGCCGTGAGCTCGCCTCACTCATTGAGCTGAAGCACACCGTGCATCATGTGTGTGGCCAGTTCGTCGTCATCGACACAAACAACAGAGTGACATTGGTCCATCACTCTGCACGTGAGTACCTGAGGAAACGGCGAGACCTCCCTTTCTCTCTCGACCCCAAGCAGACCCACGAGGACCTACTTGGAAAGTGCCTGGTGGCTCTTTGCGACAAAGATCTGCGAAGATGGTGTCGCTCAAAGTACCCCAATTCCTACACTACGCGGCGACATCATGGGCATTTCACTTGGAACACTGCTCAACCCAGTCTGACCGTATTCTAAATGGGTTGGTTCATTTCTTCAGTGGCATCTTTGTGTTGTCATGGATCCAGTACCTTGCCATGTGTGGTCATTTGTCAGATCTGCCCGCAGCATCACGGAGGCTCATTGTTTACATTGCCAAGGTGCGGAAATGGGATGCTGAACGTCCACCAATACTTCATCGATTGTCCAACTTGGCTATCCTTGAGTTATGGACGACAGACCTTTTGAAGATTACTGCCAAGTTCGGACGCAAGCTGTCGGAAGATCCCACCCTAATTTTCAAGTGCATACCTGCTCTGACTCCCTCGTCGTCAGCCATTTATCAAAAATTCGGATCCAGCTCTTCCACGACGTTGTCAATCGTCGGTGTACCGAACGAGGAGTGGGATGACTGTCTTGTGAGGGTACCAGGAAACGGTGGTAAAGCTCTGAGGCTTGCGTCTTGCCTTCGTTTTCTAGCCGTTGCAGCGGAAACTCCACGAGGCGCATTCTCACTCTGGGATACGTCGCTCTTTCGAAGACGCAAAAGTTTCAGTATCAAACAACGGATCACGGAGATCGTATTCGATAGCTCGGGGTCACTCATAGCCTGCTGCGGCGTCACTCGAACATGTATTTGGAGAGTCGACGATAGCTCGTTGGTGGCAGAAGCAAAGAACCCCTTTCAAGAGCGCGCAGTTGGCTTGAAGTTCGACGGCCGCCAAACTCTGCATATGGTGTCTGATCTTCGTCGTGTCTACAGCCTTCCTTTCAAGGACACCACGGCATGTACATGGGTACATTTGAATTGTGATCTCCTGGCGGAGAAGGACCTCCCGCCAGGCGTGTGGCTCGGCAGCCCTCAAACGGTTGCTTTCAACAGCGACTGTACCGCAATTGCGATAGCTTACAGGTCCTTCCCTCCGACGGTCTGGGCCGTCGACCCACCCAGAGTCATTGCTCGCCTCAGAGCACGGAGCCTGTCCCAGACAGATCTTTCGGAAACTTACATTGGGGGCGAAGCGAGGGTTGTGTGGCACCCTTCTGATACCCAGGTACTCGGGATACACGGGGAGGTCTCCAAGTGGACACCGTCGGACGATGTATACGAGGTCGTGAATGGAGGGACCGGGTCCATACCTAATGCCATTCAGTGTAGTCCCAACGGGCTCGTCTTCATCACTGGTGATGTAGAGGGCACGATCAAGATCTACGAAGTATCGTCCATGAGTTTGGTATATACGTTGTCATCAGAGGATGGCATCAATCGCATCTGTTTCAGTTCCGATAGCCTCAGATTCTACGATCTTCGCGGGGCTTATTGCAACGTCTGGGAGCCGAATTGCCTTGTCAGGCTTGCTGATGCTTCCGCGGAAAAGTTCAACGACGGGGCGAGCACCACCGATAGTTTCTGGTCGGATACGGAAGACGCGCGGAGCACATCGATTTCTCTCCCAGCTTCTGAAAGCCATGACCAGAGCAAGCCGCGCGTCGTGGCGCTGGCTCACACAGCAGACAACAAGATGGTGGCCTTCTCGAACATTGATGGGTCTTTAGAGCTATTCGAACCGCAAAGGAACGCGCAACATGACCTTGCAAAGTCCACATTCGGTGTGTTTGAGCATTTGGAGTGGAGCTCTCAGCATGGCGGCTACCTTGTACAGTCTGAGTCGTACGGAGCAGTGTCAGTCTGTAAAGTCTACGCTGCCACCGGCCCGAGAGCAGTCCTCGAAACCCAGAATGTCTATCACGAAAGCAAGTCCCCTGAGACGCGTGGGAGCACACGGCAACTGCTTTTTGGGCCAATGGAGGAGCTTCTGCTCGTATATGGCGAACGCAAGACCCAGGTCATCAGGATTGCAACCGGCAAGGTCGAGGCCGAACGTGACACGCCCCCGGGTGAGCTCGCGGCCTGGGCAGTCCATCCCTCTTCGCCTCAGCGGCTCATTTGCCTCGCAACGAACGCGATCACCGTTTACGACTGGTCCTTGGAACGACAGCAATTTTTTCTGATGTCTCTCCCCACTTCGTATCCGACTCACTAGGTCCTTTCCGTCGACACGATGTTGAAAAGCCATTGTAGAGGAGGAAGGCTCCTTGTTCGGACCACTGCGAGTAAAATAAGCCGCCGGCAATACGGGTTTGTCGTCATCCCTACCGACGCGATACCCACCACCGAAGACACCAACACGAATTCGACGAAGGCGATCAAAGCCTTGCACGTAGATGAAGCTGTTCTCGATGCTATCGAATATCCCATAGGCCTCTTGCCTGATGGCCGCATCGTGTTCCTCGACGAATCAATGTGGGTTTGCACTTCGCTGTTGCGGGACACAAAATCAATAACGAGGCATTTCTTCATACCGCATGACTGGATTACCAGCGAGGGGGCCGGGCTATGCCAAGTGGCGCAGGACGGGACGTTTTACTGCCCAAGCAAGGGCAGAGTTGGAGTTATGACGGGCAATATAGCGTGAGACTTCTGAGGATGCCGGCAACGCATGAATCTAAAGGGCATGGTAGACAAGGCGCGGCGTTGGGTTTGTCATGAGATGGAGAGAAAGCAGTCTTCACCAGATCTACAGAGGTTGGTTGCTGGAATGATGAGTGATGTAATTTAGCTCCGGAGCATCGCAACCTGAAGAATGCTTGGGATCCAATCCGATGGATCATATTAGCGTATGGTTCGGCCCGGTCGGAGTATTTAGGGCGAGGTGGAGATTCGGAATTCCTGTCTTGACTGCCAGTCTGTCGATCACGCCGTGACTGAAGGATCCCTGGCATGCAACAAGCTGGCGTTTCATCGACAAGACTTTATATCTGAGCGGCGTCACCACCATCACCCTCGAAACACCTGTGCACGAGTACATAACTGTGGGCTCAATTCCTGATTCCTCGTCCGACCAGTCCTTCATTCACCGTCTGATCTATTGCCGTCGTGCCACATTTTCTTCGATAACTCATCCCGGCACTCAAGAAAGATGGTGCGCCTACAATCTTCGCACGAGGGGTTCTGGCTTCACAGGCTGATGGGACCGACAGGCTCGATCATTGTCGCAAGAGGAGATCCAGGTCTTCAGGGACCTCTTCGATTCATATGTGAGTTCTCCAAGATCTCTGTCGCGCCCTAGCGAACCGCACACTTACACTTCACCTTCAAAGGACACGGATAAGGGCGGTTAGTGGCCCCAAGACTACGTAGCTGGAGTCTTCATACTCCAGGTCGGGCGTTATCATCGCTTACCAGTGCTTCCATCAGGCAACATCAGTGTGGAGGAGTTTGCCAAAGTCATGTCTCAAAGCCCGGGCAAGCCTCCTACCGAGGCAGAAGTACAGCAGATCATCAAAGAGGTTGACCTTGACGGAGATGGCACCATCAACTTCAATGGTAGGTTGTTATGCCCTTCGCGCAGTCCCTCCAAGCACTACAACTCGAGCCCTCGCCTGGCCACTTTATGGTCGGTCGAAAAGGGGCCGCTAACAGGAAGACAGAGTTTATCACCATGATGACGGGTCAGCTGTACCCACCGCAGGAAGAAGGTGCCGAGTACACTGCCGCCTGGAAGCAGTTCGAACCCTCACTCAATGGCTCCATCAATGCGAGTCAGTTGCGACAGCTTATGGCGGGGCTGGGGGAGCCGGTCAGTGATGTCGAGGTCGAGCAGCTCATCAACAACGTGGATGGCGAGGGCAAGCTAAGCTGTAAGCCGAACTGCAAGGTCTATAGGACTACTCTGCTGACGTGTGCCAGATCGGGAGTTTATGCATTTCGTGAAGAACAGAAACGTCGAGGACGATATAGTCAGTGGGTACCAATGATGACCAAGTATCAAGCACGGCGTCGTGGAGATGGTGAAGGGGTAATCGACGATGATATTCAGCTCCTACCAGACTTCACTACTCCCCATCCGTGACTCCCATCCGTGACTTCTCTGCCGGTCCTTGTCGCAACGCGGTGGGAAACCTGCCAACCTCGCGATCCCTCGCGATACTTCTGACCTGTCTGTTGCCGGACTATCTCTCCAAGTTACAAGGCATTCACCCCTCATAGATGACCCCTCCCCTTCGTAGCCCAAAGCGACCTGCCTCAGCGGCAATTCGTGGAGATGTTCCCATCAGAGGTAGAAGGTTGGCAACGTAGGCGCCCATTGTCGTTTGAAATGTATTGGCCTGAGTGCCTCGTCAGCCTTTATAACGTTACTTGCTACGTGGGAAGCATTGTACCTAAGTCTATTGAGTGAGTGACCCAAGCAGCATGGCCAAGACATTCGATCTGCAGTATCGTATTGCTCTTGGTCACTGGCGAGTCCTCGTCCGTTGCTAGGAGGGGCGAACGACAGGTTTTGGGATATAACTGGAATACCTGCGAATAAGGGCCCCACGACGAAGGGGATCCTATTAGCGTGGGCACTGAGTCTGCGTTGTAGAAACAGCTAGGGCGAATGTCAGCTGTATGTTCTCTTTGGTTATACACTTTGCTCAATGTGCGCGTTGGGCGGCTTAGGCCCCCTGTTGGATGGAGTAGACGCAGGTGAAGGCGCATGGAACATCACATATACTTACCGATTCATATCCAACGAGGTACAGAGGACATCGTCCTGCGAACCGGAGGCCAAGTACATGGTACTAGGGCACATCGCCACGAGATTCAGCGCCGTGTTGTCCGGGCTAGGCTCCACGTGCCACGACTGGCAATTGTTGGCGAAGCCATGATCAGGAGCCACCAGATCATCGCGGTGGGTGATTGCTGAGACGGCCAGGGATACACGGGATAGTGGCGACATGATGGCGGGTTCCAGCCTGGTTCAAGTGGTGATGGCGTTGGAGGGGGGTAACGGCGGGGGCATAGATGTGGGACACCTCTCACACCAAAAGGCCACACTTGCACCCACCCATAACTCCATCGGGATTGAGGTTATATATAATGTAATTACAGCAAAAGAATCGCTTTTTCTTGGAGTTTTCAGAAATACTAACTGTTCTCTCGGTAGCGTGCGGGTTGGCGGATTGAGCGGCGTGAAGATCGGGCCACAATGGGCTCCTCATCCTCTTCATCCTCGCTATTATCCCCTTCGTTAACAGCAACCCCTTCATCGTCATGAGGCCCGAATTCCTCCAAATCTTCTGAATATGACTCTGCAGAGTCCTCAAAGAGATATCTCTCTGATTCTTCAGTATCTAAGTTCTGCATTTCATATAGAACTCGTCTCTCTGCCCGTGCCTCTATAGCAGCTCGTGCGGCCTCTGTATGCTCGATTTGCTCAGCAACAATGTCCTTAATTCGCCATAGCCGTTATTCAGGCTCTTCCTGGGGTGTCTTACGGCACTTTTTAGGCTATAAACGCTCAATTTCGTTGTCTTTTGCCTCTAACAGTTCCTTTACAAGCGCTAACTCAACCACCATCTTATCGTACGCTCTCGCAACTATGCGGACTCCTACTTGCTGCTCAGGGGTCTCAGCAACTGATGATAGCATCAGAGCTATGTCCTGCTCTGATTTAGGGGCTTCTAGTGCTTCGGAGGTGGTCTCGGGTTTCATTATAACAGCAGCTGTTGCTTGGGTCTCTGCTGCCTTCACCACATGCTCGTTCGCGAGGGTTTTCCGTCGGTTTCAGGCCAAAGACCGGCAGCACGCCATCCCGAACGCACTATAGCCTCCGTGGCTTCATCACAGGCCTTAGCTAGGCAACTGAGGAACCGTAGCTTGCCTATAGGCGCCGAATCGTTCAACTGACCGAGCTGGTTGATGAGGCGGTGATAGGCGGCTTTCACCAAAGAGAACACGGTCAAATCCAGGGGCTGGAAGATGTGAGACTACTTCTATTAGCAAAATAAATACTAAGACTTGACGTTGGCCCCTTTTGAGCCAGAACTGCCTATCACAAGACTATCAGACCTAAATCTCCTGGTCAGCCATCCAAAAACCACTTAGATTGGACAATTCACGTACTGCCGACCCTGCATAACGCCGTACTTATCGACATTTGCCTGGTTTTTGGGTTTAATAAAGGCGAAATCCTCGTAACGGTCATAGAAGCCATTGATGTTTTCGGGAATGGCAGCATTGATACGCTTATAGTCAAGTTTTCTTCCCATCTTGGTCTTGATCTCTAGGTGCCTCCGGATGAAGTTTCGCATGTATTTGCCCCCTAAGTGATCTGCCTTGCCCATAGACTTCAGGATCCGCTGGATAATGTACCTCACATTGTCGTGAGTTGGCGCGTGGCCAGCCTTTTCTTGATGGAGGATCCATGATACCACCTTAGTCTCTTGCTCAGGGCTTAGCTTTTGGCTATTTCGAGCCCCTTCACGGCTATTTAGCGTTGGGCGCATCGTGGTGCCCTCTATCTTGCGTGCGAGAGTCGATTTTGGTACTCCTCAGCGCAGATTGGCCTTGCAGAGGGATAGGCCATTGTTCACAGCAGCGATTGCCTCTGCGAGGTCTTCTTTAGTGTATAAAGGAGGCATTTCAATGTACTGAAGCCTATGATGCTTATAGAAAAAAAGAAAAAAAAAACCACAGAACTTCTGTTATATTGAAGGGGATAGGGGCATGGGTCCCATTACTCCTCAGATTAGGCCTGGAAGTGCTAATATCCGACCCCCACCGCCGCCGATCCCCCGCGTCTAGACCATGTAAAACCCAGGTCAAAAGAAACACCAAAAAAAGATGATTCAGATGCCGTACTTACGGTATCTAGGGCTTCATTGGCTATGGAGATGTGTATAAGTGAACATTGTGGGTTTGGGTGTGGGAGGTGTCCCACATCTAGGGCTGTCCCACATCTATGCCCCCGCCGTTATTGCTAAATTGACTGTGGATCGCGACGAGCTTATGGGTGACGGAGCGTGGTGAGGCAGGTGATGTGTAGTGAGGAAACAGCGAAGGTGCTTGCTTGCACGGTCATGAGTTATATCTTAATTGTGCCGGTGGCATCCTTCGACAAGGCGGACCTGCGGTTCCATTCACTACTTGTCTATTCACAGGTATGATTCACCACTGTCATCTGAGACTGATGGATGACTGGTGACTAGCACTACAAGTGGCCGGATGTCACCAGACAAGTGGTATCAACTGACTTCAATGTCTGTCTCCCACTTGCAAGACGTACTGGTCATCCATCATGATGGTGAATGTGTGTTCCCTTATCTCTGAGCACTGCCCAATGAGTCACGGTCAGGCCAGAGCCATCCGAGCTTTTCGGTCAGGGGTATGTATGTGTGATAATTCATCCTATACTGTTGACTCGTCACCGACTTTCTATCTCCATACTGTAGCCGCACCATTACCAGGAAGCTCTTTCACATCTTCCAATGGTCACGCGCCAGTCGTGAGGGCACGAAGCTCTGAAAAGCCATACTCCACACCGGTTTCGTCTTGTCACTGCTCGTCTGTAGGGGGCCAGGGCTCACTCACTGTCCATCTTTCCTAGTGGGTGGCCGCCAGTTAAGTCCCGGCTGACCACTAGGTTGCTCTCATGTTTATCGGCACTGACTGCAGGCCGGCAAGCTTCGACTCTAGCCGGAGAAGCATCAACAACATGTAGGCTGCTACGAGCTGCAGAGCATAAGTTGTGCATGGGCGGAACGGGGAGCTGATGACCAGGCTCTTATTGCAGTACCCAGTGGCGAGGTCCTATGTAGAAAGCTGGGTTGAGTAAGGTCAATGGTCAATGGTCAATGCAAGAATGCCACTCCCAATGCAACAGCATCTTTCGCGTGCTGCGAGAAGCAGAAAATCGTAATATCATTCATGGAACCCATGCCTAGGTCCAGAAAGCGGCGAGGCATGGCTCACGGTTATAAGTGCCATCATCTTGATCCTCTAGGCGAATAGCACGCAGTGTATCATTGTATCGGACCCTTGAATTCCCAGCTGTGATGCAGGCTATTTCAGTCGTCCAGACCGGACTTCAGAGGATCCCAGCATACCGGTGCGTACTGGTCCGTCTCCAGTTCACCCATCTCCTCGCCGGTCAACTCAAAGTCAAACAGCTCGGCGTTCGCCTTGATCCTCGAAGGGGTGACGCTCTTGGGAAGCGGGACGCAACCTTTCTGCAAACTCCATCGAAGCAAGATCTGAGCTTCGGACTTGCCTTGTTTCTCGGCGAGTTTGGCGAGAGTCTTGTCGCCCCATCGCGTGCCCTGGACGACGGGCGAATAGGCTTCGACGGCGATATTGCGTTTCGCACACCAGTCGATGATGTCGTTACGGGGGCACCAAGGATGGATCTCGTACTGACCGACCGAGATGACTCCGCCTTTGCCCTTGCCACCTCTCTCGGTCTCGAGCTCCGATATGTGCTTCTCGAGCTCGTCCAGGTGGTGGACACCGTAGTTGCTGACGCCGATGGAGTTAATCTTGCCCTCCTCGACAGCTTCGACGAGTGCTTTCCAGGCACCCTTGCGGCTGGCCGAACCTCCGTATGGTGCGTGGATAAGCATAAGGTCAATGTAGTCGAGACCGGCCGTCTTGAGACTTTGATCTACTTGAGCCTTGGTGGTCTCGTAGCCCAACTTCCCGGTTGGGATCTTGGAAGTGAAGAAGACATCGGGACGAGGCAGCTTGCTGGTTCGAATGGCATCGCCGCAGCCGGACTCGTTGCGGTAGCCGGCGGCAGAGTCGATGTGACGGTAGCCAGCCGCCAAAGCCTCTAGACAGGCTTTCTCGGTCTCAGGCAGAGGGCTGACAAAGGGTATGAGTGATCTAGATTGTGGAGTTAGGTGGACCACGCTGGAACTCACGTTTGGTATACCTAGGTAAATATCGAGTTAATAGGTGTCGCCAGCCTGCGAGATCACCACACTCACACCGAAGCCCAAAAGTGGGATCTCATATCCGCTGTTGAGCTTGAAGGCTGATTTGATGCTGTAAGTAGCCATGTTTCTGGAACCGGCCCAAATAGTCAGTCAGTGAGGTACTTAGGAAGAGATGAATCGTAAATACTACTCCAAATCTAGGAGGTTGGCGCTCCCCGTTTCGAAGTGCCGGGTGCACAGGAGGCATATTGACTTACCTCGACTGGGCACAGCGCCGGCTTGCAAGCGTGGTAGGGGTTTTCGAAATTGGTATCCGGAGCATAGGATATCGAAGACTAGTTCCGGCAGCAAGTCAGTTCCTCCGGTAGGGTCAGATTGGTGAATGTGCGGATAATTCAGACGAAGGAAATAACTGCAACGTTGGAGTTCCTTCCATCTTATACCTACCTGCTTATGTACGGTGATGATGTAATGTACCTACCTCCTATGCCCACAGATTACCAATCTCCCATGCATACAGTAAGTCCGACGACATGGATGTAGACATGTCTACGAGGGTCGTTCCAGGTTAAACGCAGCGGCAATGCGACGATGAGCGTGGGGAGGATCATTGGCGGCACTCCACCGGCGTCAACCAGCTTGTTACGACATGTACTTTCATGGTCACTTTATGCATCCGGATTCATAAATGCAAGCGGCATACATGATCGGGAGTTCATGTAATTGATACCTTTACCTCTGTGAAACACAGGCGACATCTGCTGGCTACACCACCTGCATGATTGATGCTTTGTCCAGCAGTATACGAACCCCACCTGCCCCACTCAAGCTGTCATGGCGTGGGTGCTCCTGAATGGAGGGGTAACTTAGACAGTGCGGGGCACCGATCGTCGACCATTTCCGACTCGCGAGGTTCACATCTTCAACTTCCCGCATCACGACTGGAGTTACAGTACCACCTGCAAGTAATAAGGTTCAGCCTCGCCCAGGAACGACAAACCTTCCCATCTCCAAATTATATTCTTTGTTCTTCGACGAAAAGGACGGCCGGTGTCCCTCCCAACTCACGCTGATTACATACCTACCACCGCGCAATCATCTATTGCGACAGACGAGTTCACCTCCCGAAACACCAGCCTTACAACCCAATTCAGGCATACCTCCACCGCCACGCCGTGCCATATCACATCGCCGCCATGCAGCTTGTCGGTTCGAAAAGGTCGCAGCGCCTCGAGGATATCGGCGAGGGGAGCGTGTCGCTTCTCCCCACCGACCCAGAGGACATGGTGAATAGACTGACGCACCCCTCCATGTCGAAACTCGTCAGCTAATACACACGCCTTGTCTAGTGGCATGCGAACAACTTGATCGGTCCTGAAGACGAAATCAAGGCCCACGCCATCCGAAAGGTGACAACCGAGTCCAAGACAGGCAGCACCATGTCGGAGCGCGTACATACCGACCTCACCATAAAGGTCACCTCGACCTTCTTCGACCCTGGCTCTTCGCAGCTGCACGTGTCGGGCACCGTCATCACCGAGAACAACTTTGTCAACCTCGGACAGTACCACACCCTCGACCTCGAGCTCAACCGGTCCTTCACCATATGGAAGAAGTACGGCTGGGACACGGTCGCAAAGGCCACGCTCATGGACGCGCTCCAGCAGGACAAGGATGGCGCCGTTGCCGCCGTCGTCATGCAGGAGGGCATGGCCAACATCTGTCTGATCACCGAGTTCCGCACCATCCTCAAGCAGAGGGTCGAGAGCACCATCCCCAAGAAGCGGTCCGCCAGTTCCGACCAGGACTCGGGCATGCGGCGCTTCTTCGACAAGACCCTGTCGACCCTGCTCCGCAGCATAGACTTTGCGAAGCCACGGCCACTGCTGCTCGCCAGCCCGGGCTTTGTGGCCGGCGACTTCAAGAAATACATGGCGGACGAGGGCACGCGGAGGGCGGACAAGCCCCTGATGGCCATGGTCAAGTCGGCTACCGTGGTCCATTCGAGCTCCGGACACCTACACAGCCTCAACGAGGTCCTCAAGAGCTCCGAGGTGACGGCCACGATGAAGGACATGAAGTTCTCCAAGGAGACGGGATACATGGATGAATTGTTTGAAAGGCTGCGCAAAGACGACGGTCGCGCCTGGTACGGCACGGGGCCGGTGGAGAAGGCAGTACAGGAGGGCGCGGTCGGACGAGGCGGCGGCGTGCTGTTGGTCAACAACTCGCTGTTCCGAAGTCAGGACATTGCAACGCGGAGGAGGTATGTGGCGATGGTCGACAAGGTCAACGAGGACGGAGGGAATGCAAGGATTCTGAGTAGTGACCACGAGAGTGGGCAGCGACTGGATGCCCTGGGCGGTATTGCGGCGATTCTGACTTATCCCATGTTGGACCTAGACGATGATGACGACGAAATACAGGACGGCGGGCAAGCTGAAGCCGAGGGCATGATAATATGATGTCGTCCAGCTCATTCTGCCTTCCCAAGTGAACCTTTGTGCGAGGTCGGACAGGAGCAAGTGCCAGGCCAGGCGTACCGAACGCTGCTTTGTCAAGGGAGACTTCCCCACGCCATATGTCAATCCTACCTGTATGTTTGTCTCTCTCCCGAGCTATGAACGGTCCGGCCCAGCTCGCCGTACTGCAGCACACTACCGAATGAGGTGATACTGTACCTGTTCGCTTGGCTTACTCATGCTCATGCAGAGAAAAAAAGATGCGAGGAACATCCTAGTATATCAGGAGGCGTGCTGACTACCACGGTTTGGGCGATGCGACAATGTACCGTATCCTGACCGTACGGTGTCAGGCGTCAGTTTGGGGGGTGCTGGTTTTGCGGGCAGTGATCGTACAGTAAGTAACTGTAAGCGACTTGAGATACGGTAATCTGTTGCACAGTATGGTACTGAGGTGATGGGTGATGATTACGTAGGGGGCAGTGTCAACTTTCTGAGGTTAGTGGGCTGCTTCACCGGCTCCCAAACTCAACAACAACAACACGCTGTCTCCTAATCATAGCTACCGATACTACTCAACACACTTGTATTCATACGCAATGTTCCATAGTTGATGTACCATCACATAGCCCAATAATATCATTCCTTTTGTGGCACATGGTCCTTTGTGTCCCTGCCTTTGTCGACCTCCGACGACCGTCCGAGCCGGGGAGTACGGAGTCTTATGCGACTCCGCCTACTTTCGCATTCGTCGGCCGAGTTATGCGAGAACGCCAGGGATCGAGACCACGTAACCACGGCTGCGCCAGCTTCCGACTATTCGGAGCCTAGTCTCATGACATTGCCAGCCAACTGACGTCCAGCCAAGCCAACCGCCCTCCTGGCTCCTGCACGCCACGCCGGTGCTGGCCACTCCCCACGAGACGCATGCGTAGAGGCGACGACGACAGCTCGACAAATCCCCGTCCCAAAACTCCGCCCGTGCCCAGTGGCAGATAATGGACCATGTCAACCTCTTCACCGGTCACGCAGGTCGACGAGGGCGCGCGTCCTGTTCCACCAGAGTCGTGCGCGTATCCCACAACCAGCCCAGGCCCCAATAGTCCGCCTTTGGTTCCTGAGCCGCCGCCACTGTTGCCGGCTTCTGACAACGGTCAAGGTCAGGGTGGTATGCTGCCCTCGTCCAGTGTCTGGCCATCGACCAATCTCCGTATCGTGGGGTTCAAGCTGTAGAGGCTGTGCTAACAAGAGATCGGAACAGGCAGCATAATTCAAGCACCGGCGGGTCCCGGCAAGAGGGGTGCCGCGAAGAACCAGCGAAAGGACGGCGGTGAAAGGGATGCGAAAGATGCAAGAGACCCGAGAGATCCGAAAGCCGGCGCCAGAACCGGATCGCCAGTCACGCCTTCATCGGCCATTGATCCGCTGTCCCAGGTACGTCCTCCTTCCTGGCCTGCCGTGTTGGTTGCGGCGAGACTGACTCTCGTGTCCTACCGCCCAGCATATATTCGTAAGAACGAACACCGACCGCACCATCCCGTCGCGGCTCCGTAATCCTGCTCGGCCAGGTAGCCCTGCCAATGAGGGACTGCCTCGTCCAAGTTCCGACCTCTCCGTCAAACACCCGACTCCTCAACTCGAACCGGCGAGGGATAAAAAGTATGTATCACATCGCAGCGGCTAGGTTTCTCGTGCTGCGCTGGTCTGGTACTGGTACCTGCTGCTGTGATGGAAGCACTTGGGCTAACACGTCCATGAAGCAGAAAGGGGGGTTCGTTCCTCAGTCGCTTGAGCATGATCGGCGGCAAAAAGAAGGACGACGACAACCTGGACGACGATTCCGAGATCAATGGAGAGAGAACAGAGGGCGCTGATGCAGTCGCGTTCGGCTCTGCCGCCATCGGTGCCAGTGGCTACATCCCACATCATAAGGAGCCGCCGCGGTACATTCGGGTGAGGGCCCGTAACAAAAAGGTCAGGGAGTTTAATCGCATCTTCTTGGCGCAAGAGCTGGCTGGGACTCGGCCGCCTTCCCAGGATGGCCAGGCAAAGCCGCTCCACGGGGGCACGCCGACCCAAAGTCTCAACAAAAAGGAGCATGTATCTGGCGGTCCAATCTGGGCTATCGAGTTCAGTAGGGACGGCAGATACCTGGCTACCGGCGGTCGTGACCGTGTGGTGCGCGTCTGGGCCGTCATCGCGACGCAGGAGGACAGGGATGCCTACGAGGAGGAAGCGAATGCGGCCGCAGGAAACGAAGAGCGGTTGAGTGCCCCCGTCTTCCGCGCCAAACCTGTCCGGGAGTTCACTGGTCATTCAGGGGATATCCTCGACCTGAGCTGGAGTAAGAACAACTTCCTCTTGTCTTCGTCGATGGACAAGACTGTCCGGCTGTGGCATATGAGTAGGCAAGAGTGTCTATGCACATTCAAACACAAGGACTTTGTCACATCCATCGCCTTTCACCCGCGTGACGACCGGTTCTTCCTAGCAGGCTCCCTCGACTCTACGCTGCGTCTGTGGAGCATCCCAGATAAAGCAGTCGCATACTCAAGCCAACTGTCTGATCTCATCACAGCTGTGGCGTTTTCTCCCGATGGCAAGACTGCCATCGCTGGTTGCCTCAATGGTTTCTGCATGTTCTATGACACGGAGGGACTCAAATACAATACACAGATCCACGTGCGCTCCTCGCGAGGCAAGAATGCCAAGGGAAGCAAGATCACTGGCATACAGACCATGAGCTTCCCTTCGGGCGGCTCGGGCGCTCCCGGGGTCATCAAGGTCATTATCACCTCAAACGACTCCCGGATCCGAATCTACAATTTGGGAGACAAGAATCTCGAAGGCAAGCTCAAGGGCCACGAGAATGCCTGCAACCAGATCAGGGCCAGTTTCAGCGACGACGGCAACTACATCATCTGCGGTAGTGAGGACAGGCGAGCATTCATCTGGTCAATGGGCACGGGCGACTCCGACGTCCGAGAAAAACCGCCGTATGAGTATTTCGAGGCGCACTCCGACGTCGTAACAGAAGCCGTTTTCGCGCCTACAGCTACGCGACAGCTTTTGCAGTCCTCGGATGACCCCATTTTCTCACTCTGCAACCCGCCGCCAGTGACATTACTGAGCAAAGAAGAGACGGTCGCAAATCCTACTCTGGCAAGCTTCGATGTGCGATCAGAGCATTCGGCCAAGGCTAGGAAACCCGACGAATCGCCCGCTTTCATCGCTCGTTCTACCCATTACGATGGCAACATTATCGTGACCGCTGACCACGCAGGCCTGATCAAAGTGTTCCGACAAGACTGTGCCTTCGCCAAACGGCGGCACGAAAACTGGGAGACGGGGTCAACGTTCTCCAGGAGACTCGGTAGGGACGGGTTACTGGGTAGGACCGGCAGCATCATGACACGTACCAGCGCGGGAAGCCGGGAGCCGCGCTCTCGACGTGGATCTCTGACGCAGCCGGTACAGATCAACTCGGACAGGATCAATACGTGGCGTCACGGAGTGGAAGGGAATCCCGCTCGGCCTTCGTCTATGGTCCTCTCGACGCCGGCGCGCAGCGAGAGGTCCGTATCACCTAGCAAGGCCACGCGCACTCCCGCGACCTCGAGCGTGGCAACCCCTGCGTCAGAAGCCAGGAGACAAGCTTACGCAACCACATCACCCCTTATCCATTCCACAAGCCCGACTTCGAGCGTCCAGACGAGCAGGACGAACGAGAAACTGGGGTTTCGGGGAGACACGTCGATACCGCCAACTCCCAGCTTCTCCATACGGTCCTTCGACGATGATGCCGACGTGTTACGGCTTGATCCCGCTGGCGCAAGCTACTCATTCTGGAATCTGAACAAGTGGCGTAACATCAGTCAGTTACGTGGGAACAATTCCCAGGACCCCAGCAGCCTAGTGGGATCTGCTTCAGGACATAACCGCTCTGCAAGTGCCTCCCTACTACCGGACATGGAAATGACCAAGAAGAGTCGTCGAAAAAGTACAGGTGCGGGTGCAGTCTTGGAAGATGAACCCGTGGATGGTCATGCGGAAAAGGCTGACCGGCGCAAGAGTGTTCCAGCAGGTGCAATGCTGGTACCTGGAGAAGACGATAAGAACCACTTGTCGCCTCCGGAGCGCATCATATCTAACCAGTCAGGGTCCCTTTTAAGTCGTCTGAGCTCCGAACTCACCAGCGAAGAGGGAGAGGAGACGCGATGCTCCAAATGTGGCAGTGGAGATTTCAGGGCAAAGAAAGTCGGTGGCAAACAAAGATTGCTGTGTGGGAAGTGCGGCCGCTTGGTAGACGTATAGGTCACGCCACGAGGCCTAGCTGGCCACCCTCGCTTACTAGCTGCTCGGATGATTCATGTCTCACAAGTCCAGCCGCAATTATCGTGGGTATTTTGCACCTTTTGCCGCTGTATAGGGCGAGATCTAGGGTCGTGTTATCTCAGACGCCTTCTTGGAGTATTGGAGTTATGCCGGGGTTGTTCTTTGAATTTGAGATACCACCACAGCTTTGAAATACATTCTTGCACATTCTCGTGCGAGACACTGTCATGTCGGTATACTGGGTCAATGCTTTGTTGTTGGAGATGTTGGTATCCTACTACCTGCTTGCCCTCGTCTTCTTCCCGGCTTGCGCATACAATTTCTCAACCCCTCGGAGTTCGCTAATGCCGGTCACTTGCACCCCAACACTCAATAGCCACCACAACTCGTCCATGGTCACTTGGCCTTGCGGATCGAGCACGACACTCGGTTCCATTGCTCCTGCTACGAAGCAGACGGCCAGCTCGACCCAAGTCGCGACGTCTTCCGCACTGCGGCTTCCGGGTGCCTGGCGGAACTCGAGCGTGCCAATACCGCCGACTTCGAGCCCCGAAAAGTCCCACTTGTACACGCCGTGAACGAAGTCTTCCGTGTAGCCATTGGCCCGACCGTATGCGCTCTTGGCGGAGAATAGACACATGGTGCGGACGATGGACGAAACATCGGGACAGTATTCGATGTACTCGAAACACTGGGCTGTCGACAGCGACTTGAGCGCCGGGTTGGCATGGTTGCTTTGACACCAGTACGATGAAGCCCGACTGGACGGAAGAAGAGTGTCGATGGCGGGCTCGAAGTAGAGGATCGACTTGGCAATGGCGGCAAGGTCGACCGCGTGCATTGGAGGAGAGGTGGACACATGGACGTGCGTGCTGCAGTTTGAGGAGGGTGAGATGGTGAAGCCGGCCTTGAGGACCTTGAAGATGGTGCTCAGGTCTGTGGTCCACGCATGCTCGGGTGTGAAGACGGGTGATACAAGCTCCAAGCCCCCTAGGAGTAGCAATCGGGGTCCGGTCAGCACGTGAACACTGTTGATCAAGCTCAGGACGGACTTGGGATATTTGAGTACTAACAGAGATTCTTTCCAGCTTGCATGGGAACAGTCACCTCGTGGGTAATGGACCACTCGTGGTAGTTTTCCACCGACTTGATGTTGCCCTCGTTGAGGTGGTTGGAAATCCCAGCGTCAGCGAGTCGGACACTCAGCTCGGACGCCAGAGATTTCCACGACTTGTGGTTCTTCGAACGACTGCCGATCAGAAGCTCGATCTCGACTCCGAACTGGAGCATGGAGTTACTCGTCATGGCGTGTGGTCGACTCTTGGTGGCAGGGGCAAAAAGAAAGACTCTGGGAATAAGGGGCCGAACAAAGGGATGGCGGTTCTATGATGAAGGATACACGACGCCGCCTTCTATTTCGTCTACAGCTTGTCGAGTCACCCTTCTTATACTGGCCGACCTGTTCAGCCAAGCCAAAGTCCAAAAAGTTTCTGGCATCTTGGAAGGCAGTGGTCGGTGGAAAACATCGCCCGCCCGGCGCTGAAACAACAAGAGTGCGTTAGAACATCACGAGTATGGTATCATTGGCCCGCAAGCCTCCGTCTCCTGGATGTTGGCCCATTTAAGAAATATGAACCATGGTCGACGACAACAGCGGTCAACTCAAGCCTGTTTAAAACGCCGCCCATCTCACTAGACCGAGAACCAGAAGAGGACACAGGATGGGCAGTGAGCCATGGTATGGTGAAACAACTGGTTTATCGTGACCTGGACTGATCCGAGGTGAATGGCTAGGGACTCAACCGGTCCAGTGTCGAAGCGCCTGTCCAGGGAAGCTCGAGGTCTAGAGGGTCTCCAGTCGTCGTGTTGGTCACGGCGGGTCTTCCAGACGGGCACGGCTTAAGCCCCTTTGCCCATCCCAACGACTCGAGGCATGGCGATACATGTAGATGTACCACCAGACATGACTCAATGCCCGTCCGATATTAGACATGTTGGGGTCCACATCTACCTTCCAGAGACATCAGAGCAGACAGGCTCGGCTCTGATCTGGAAGTTTGAAACAGCGCCAGCCGTACCGGGACCAGCACGCACCCGATGTGGCACATGCTTGTTGAGATCCATACCTATTTCTGAGTCCTCTGGTGGAGCCTAGCTTGGTTGTGAAGGAGATCGAGAGACAGACACCCATCCCACCGCCCCATATTGGGGCTTTGATAAGAACAGGCGATGTTGAAGGAGAGGCGTCCGAGCGAGGCGCTACCTAATCCGGCACACGGCCCCGTCTCATTGGCGGCGGCGGTGGGCAGACCAGCATTGGGGTCCAAAGTTACGACCTCAGTTGCTTCCTTTCGGTGTGCCCGGCATGGGGGAGGCGACTAATAAGCGCCCAGCCGATCGCACACCCTGCTCATCGATGGGTCCTAGCGTCGGAGCCTCATAGGGATCACAGATACCAAGTGCGGGTGTAGTGGTCTCGTCACACGCTACGGCCTCGATCCCCTGCGTGTCCAGACGCGCTTCAGTCACTTGATCGAGACGAGCTGCCGACGAGGTTGCACTGATGCGAGCTTTCAGCCTCGGTGGTAGCTGGCAAGACTGTAGTACGGCATGGCGCCAGTTCCACGTGAGCCGAAGTTGCCTCTTCAGCTCTGGTTCTTCAAGACTTTGAGTATTCAGGTATCTGACTTTTGGCAGGCTTTCTCTCTGTGGCGATGGTCTCCTAGCCTAAATATATCAGACAGTGGCGTGGAGGTCAGTAGTATCGCTCGTTGGACAAGGGCCGCAACGTCACCATTCCAGGTTTTCAGTACAAGCTCTGGAGAGTACATGAAAATAGAGTGGGCGTGACGATGTGCCAGTTGATTGGTGTGTCGTCTTCTACATGTTGGTGTTGGCTCACATCTTCGTATGTAGGGAGAAAATCCGTTATCACAAATGCTGGAAGGCCGAGCAAGCGACCCAGACTTGTTGTAACCGTACGCGCTGATCCATTCAATCGGCATGGGAGGCAGGGAGGATACTGGGCTTGACGAATCATAAATGCGAGTACTCGATACTTCATAGCAAGGTCAGGTAGGGAATGGGTTAGACGAGAAGCAGATGGCAGACGCGGTTGAACCCGGCAGCCCGGTTGGCGGTAGTGAGGTACATACCTATATCTCGTGAGACAGTCGAGAGTCAATGATAAAGGGATTCACCAAGCGGAGCAAAGATAGTGGGAGACACAAACTCCAAGCTAGACGAGTTGGTTGCAGGTAGGGACCTTGAGTTTGTATTGATTCATTCAATAACAGCCGTTCCGATATAGCTCGAGCCCATCTCGTTTCACTTTCAGGGCTTTTGGATTCTGCGCCGCCCTACCCAGCCTGGGAAGCCTTCTTGTATCCCAGAGACATCAAGAATCCAACTCCTTCCGGCATTCGCGGGCTAAACGGCGTTTCCCCAGGACCGGTCCGTCAAGGTCAAGATGGCAGGCATCGTGGCACTGCGGAGGACCAAGGAGGCCTTGCAAGATGTATGCGAATATGTTCGCCTCGTCCTCCTATAGGTGGCCGTTCCACTTGTGTCACCCGGAGCTGATACCCAGCAAAGTAATGTGCTTAGTTCGATTGTGACCGAGCTGCCATCAATGCCACGCCCCAAACACCCAAGGCTCGGGACATCTACTTGCCCATGGTTCCGGCTGCTGCGGATCTTGGCATGTTGTCTCGGGAATGGTGTGAGGCGAGATATCCCAGGACTTTGCCTATGGTTTGTCTCGGACTCGATTCGAGACTTCTGCACCAGACAGTAACAATCGGGGCCTAGAGGGTGGTCAAACCAAACACCGGAGCATTATTCAGCTTTTGATCATCTCCGACCCCAAACTTTGCTGCGGTGGCACACCCTATTTGCCATGGATGCCATACACGACGGGGATCGGTCGGAAGACGCTGAACTCCTGGCCCGTCGCAACCAAGGTGCCCGGTATCTGGGGGTGCCAGTGTACTTCCTTGGCGTGCTCTGAAATATGCTCGAAAAGGAGTTGGGGCGGCATGTCCTTGACGCCCGCCGTGTCCTTGCTCTCCTCGTCGTCCAGCTCGACCGAGAGATCCCACAGTGTAACCTTGTGGTCTCCTGCCGCCACGGCCATCATACTGTCGTCCGTAGGGTGCCATTCGATACTGGTGATCTGCTCCTTGTGGTAGCCGAAGCTCGCAATCGGACTGGGCTTTTCCGCGCCACCCTTCCACTGCCGCAGATCCCAGACTCCCCAGACGCCGTCATCAGCACCAGTGGCAAGCAAGTGGGTTGTCAGTCGGGACCAGGACATGACGTTAACGTCGGTCGAGCTGACCTGAACCGTGATGGCAGGTTTCCGGCTCTTGCTGCGTACATCCCACACGCGAACGGTGCCGTCGCTCGAAGCTGAAGCAAACACCGACGCTTCCTGGGGGCTCCACTGGATCTCTTCGACGCTGCCAGTGTGGCCCTGGAAAGCTCTCGTATCCGTCACGAAGCCCCCACCGTCCGTCCGCGTCGTCCCATATATCAGGCCATCGTTGTCTCCAGTCAACAGCTTTCCGCCGGGCACCAAAGGCGACCAGTCGAGCGCATAACCTTCGGACTTGTGTGCCCGGATGGTCGAAAGGGGCTTGTTCTGTTGCGGCGTAATCATGGTCCCGGGGTTGTCGAACGATGCAAGGTGCGGCGTGATGTCGTGAATGAAGACGTTGGAGGATTCGGTCATGGTGGCGGTCAGCGTAGTCGGTGGCTTGAACATGTCTGATGAGGGGATCTGGTGGGCACGGATGCGGTTCGTTGTCGAGGTCAGCAGGATGGACTTGGACTCGAGGATGGGGTCAGCCTCCTCGTCATCGTCGTCGTCGTCGTCCGAGTCGGAATCGTCTTCGCGCTGCTGGCGACTCAGACCACTGAACTTCATGACCATCAACTGGTTCTCCTTCTCGCGGCTGCCCTCGGCCTGGGTGCCGGCGACTGTGTACATGGTCGCGGGGTAGGCCTTCTCCCGCTTGTCGCCGAGGCCATCGCGGACGATGTCGAACGAGAGACACGGCCAGGGCGTGCTGAGGCTGTGCAGCATCTCGTAGGTGCCGAGGTCGGGCGCAAGATGTTGGCCGCTTTCCAGCTTGTTGCGACCGACGATGAAGGTCCCGTTGTCGACTTCCATGGCGCCGGCGGCTGCGTGTTCCTCGGCCTCGCGTTCGGCATCGGGCCTGCCGTCGACACCAGCTTCCAAGATTTCGTCTTCGCTCTCGAAGTCGTCCTCAAACTCATCGGCGAAATCTCCCATTTCCTTGTCGTCGACATCCATGGGCTCGGGACGATCGCCTCCCTTGAGGGGAGTCTGTGCGTCGCCGGCATCTGCTGTACGTTTCGACATGGTGTGCAGTGAGCTTTCCTGGCAGTGAGAAAGATTATATATGAGGATTGTGCAAGGGCACGGTCAGTTGCGACGCAATCAGGTTCGTCTAATGCGGAAAAGTCGTCCAGAGTCGGGGCGCAAAAATAAAATAAAATAACTTTTTCTGCCCCTCGTATGTATCAATGTCAGGAACCCCGCGATCTGTGGCTGATGTTGTATGGCTTGTGGCTTGTGGCTTGTGGCTGGTCGCTGGTGGCTGCACTTGCCTGTGGCTACAATTATGTGGCACTTGCGTGCACGTGCTGTGCTGTGCTGTGCTGTGGCCGTGCGTTGTGGAAAACGGCAAGAAACTCAGGGGAATGAAAGTGATGAGATAATATCTGTACAAACGACACAATGCCACGACTCCCACCTCAAGGTGCCAGACTTAAGGTCCATCTATCATACCTGGCCTTGCCACCCACATCAGAGCAGGAGTCGCCTCCTCGTGGTATGGGTGCATACGACATATTGGTTGCCATTTTCGAAAACTCGGTGTTCGACAAAATATATTCAGAACTATGTGATCATTACTCACCCTGGTCCCATATCCTCCTTGTAGCATTTGGCTCTTTCGGTACTTCAGTCGTCTGTAGTCCATTGGTCCGTCACTGCTCCATGGCTGGCGTCGCCGACCAGCCTGGCATACTTAGCCAGGGCGCCCCTTCGCACCTGGGCCACAGGCGGCTTCCACTTCCTCTTCCGCTCTTCCATCTCTTGATCCGACACGTTAGACATGTCGATTCGATTCCTCACGGCATCAATGACAATCGTGTCCCCGTCTCGAACTAAGGCAATGGGACCCCCGACTGCTGCTTCGGGCGTAACGTGGCCGACCTTGTGAGTCTTCGTTAGCAAAATACACCCAAGAATATGCAGGCAGAATATGCAGGTGCCAGAGGTTGCTACTCACGATGAAGCCGTGACTGGCGCCGCTGTATCTGCCGTCCGTCACCAGCGCGATATTCTTCAGTCCCGCGCCCATGATAGCAGCCGAGGCTCTCAGTTGTTCCGGCATTCCCGGCCCTCCCTTTGGTCCTTCATAACGGACTATCAGGACCAAGTTCTCATCGCGGGGGATTTGGCCTCTAGATAAAGCCGTGTTGAGCTCGTGCTCCTTTTCAAACACTCGAGCCTTGCCGGTGAAGCTCAAGCCTTCCTTGCCAGTAATCTTGGCTATGGCTGTTTACCTTGAGAGTTAGCGCGCCCTTTTTCTTAAAGACAACCCAGTCGTGTAGTTGACAAGTGGAAAAGGCAATGTGAACGAGTAGTTCTGTTCAATGGTGAGAGCACCCTCTGATTAAAGAGTTGGGAAACTAGGGACACCGTGTACTGACCTCCTTCAGGAGCAAAATTCCCACGCAAAATCCGGATGTGGCCTGTCTCCTTGATGGGATCCGACAGCGGGCGGATGATGTTCTGGTCTTGTGGCAAGTTTGGCCAGTCGGTAACATTCTCCGCGAGAGTACGCCCCGTGACAGTCGGGATGTTGCCGTTGATCAGTCCAGCTCCAATGAGCATCTTGAGAACTGACGGAGTGCCTCCGATCTTGTACAGATCTTCCATCATGTATTTTCCACTGGGCGCCAGATCTGCCAGAAAAGGGGTCTTGCTGCTGACTCGATCAACGTCGTCCAAACTCAGTGGCACTTCGGCCGTATTTGCCATCGCTAGGAAGTGCAATACACCATTGGTCGAGCCTCCCAGTATCATGGTCACTACCAGCGCATTCTCGAAGGATTCTCGGGTGAGCAGATCCCTTGGGCGTATGTCCTTCTCCATGGTTATTTTGATGACTTCAGCTGCGCGTTCGCACTCGCGTGCTTTCTCAGGCGACAAAGCCGGGTAGGAGGATGATCCGGGAAGAGAAAGCCCCATTGCTTCTATGGCTGTTGCCATAGTATTGGCAGTATACACTACGATCGTTGGTCAGCCCCCATGCAGTTGTGCTACTCTGTGTGTACGTACTGCCTCCACATGCGCCCGCCCCAGGACAGGCATGACGCTCGATGTCAGACATCACGTCACTTGGAGTCCGACCTTCGCTTCCCGGATTCGTTTTCGCATGCAATCGGCCATAGGTGAAAGCGCCTGATGCCTCGTAGCATGTGCTGACATTGATGTCACGCTCTACTAGACTCGAGTATCCTTTGCGGATCGTACCGCCGTACTGCAAGCGGTTATGTGAGAAACGTCTGAAAGTGATGGTTATGGATAGTAGCAAGTGTCACGGCCGAGTTGGTGAAAAGATTGAGAAGCTATTAGAGGGTTGCTTACGATCATGATAAAGGGGCGATTATGGCGAGCAGCTGCCATGATGACTCCGGGCATGTTCTTGTCGCAACCAGGGATTGAAATGTTCGCGTCGTGATGCTGAGCATTGGTCACCGTCTCGATGCTGTCTGCGATGAGGTCGCGTGATTGCAGAGAATAACGCATCCCTGACTTGGCTCATCAGGATAATCGAACACTGTACAAGGAGATGAACAATTTCCATACCTTCTCCTCCCATCGTTATTGCATCTGAGACACCCACGGCATTATACTGCCAAGCAAGCATCTTCTGCTTCTCAACAGCCTTCTTTACGATCTTACCAAACTCGAGCACTGCCTACGTCAGCTTGATCCCAGCTTCTGGTGCGACTTCATCGCCCGGACGGTCGACCTACAGTGTGTGCTGTTGTTATCAGCGAAATGCACCGTAAGGCATCGTAGGTCTAGTGTCTCGTATTGCAACCCTCTAGGAAGATTTACTACTTACTTGCACTAGTCATGCTCGAGATCAGTAAGGAAGAATCTGGACGATAGAGCCCCTGCTTAGTACCCTTGTGACTACAAAGGGGTACTACCAGTGCTGACGGAAAGGGGGTCTCACTGGATTGCCTTCCCACCAAATAGTCGCGATACCGACGTGCGGCGCATTCTTCATCGTATCCTTGTCTGGTACACCTGCGCCGTAAAGCATCGCCTGGGGTTTGCCACATCGTTAGTTGTCATGTTCGATTTGCGGCACGTCTCCGTATGGGATTTCGGGGGTAATGAGACCGCATCACTTAAGCCACCGTCGAATCCCCGGAACACCTGGCTTTCTCGTACGAGTACACACCTGGGCACCTGGGAAGTCATGTTCTCTTGTGATCATGTGAGACCATCTGTTCAGTGGACCTCCAGGGGGCAAGCATCTGAACTGGATGTATTGAGGATCTGACTTCGGGTCTGCAATGCCAGCACCCTCGCTCGCGGCGGGAGCGTCGCTGCTCATCGTGATCGGCTAGTTCTCTTCTGACTATACAATGTCCAATATCTCACGGCTTGATCTGGGGATACGTCAGTAGAGCACTACGGGTCCTTGCGGGGTAGTCACCTACCATATATTCACAACGAGGTGTCTGAAGAACAGTAACACTGTGAAGCCTGAACAACGTTGGTCCGACTATTGGGGACTTTTGATCCGGATGCCAATTTTCGCTCGGAGTGGAACCTTGCTTGACGGCAGGAATCCCGATGTGTTGAACAATCGGCAGACGTATAGCCGAAGGAGAAGATCGAAGTGTGGTGTCTATTATACTAGGCCGAGTCTCGGGTTCGTGTCCGCGGGGGGGCATGTGGAGGTGGAGCTCTGACGCAAGACTTCTCTTGCAGTGCCTGACTTCGGGATCGATCCGGTTCGTGCCACACTAGCTGCAGTTATTCCCGAGATGTCAGGGCCTGCGATCATCGGCCAGTCCGGCAGGGTACGACTTGCATCGAGAAGCACGCTGTTCCTGGAAATCCGCTTGTAGATGTTCCAAGGGAACTCGCGCGCAGTAAGCTATAAGTTGGGTGGTGGGCACGTTGAATCGATTAGGCGGCTTCTGTGCTCAGGCAAGTCGAGTAATAAACAGTGTCCCTTCTACTAGACGACATCTTGTGACAGGACACGAACCCCACGGTCATGGCGGCAGCCATCGTGTTACTGGGAAGAAGCTTGCGGTTATAACTTACCAGCCAATTGCCCATAGAGTGACATCTTAACCAGGTGATTATGGAGATTGTTATTCCAAACACTTGGCGCCACTTATGGCCCAATCATGACTCTGCCTATCCTTTCTATGTTGTGAACATTGGCCTGGATAGATATTCTAACCCAGATATCACTAGAAAGCCGGAACTGGTGAGCCCGCCGTTGGGAAGCTGCGTGAAGAGGACAAAGGCGGGTACGAGCCATGTCTTCGGGTCCTTGAGCTTCTTCATATGAATAGCACTACGTGAATGTCCTCGAACCCCCTCATACTCATTCCCAATTGGCAGGTTCGTCAACGCCATTGGCTGTCACACCCTTGCTTACCAGGTTCAAGTGTCTGAAATCCAGAGCAACGTCTCCCAGAGCCCCACGAATCTGGCCGGGCCATCTGTATAAGAAGCTTGGGGTGGACGGCTCGTGTGTGGACGGGGTGGTAAATACAGTACATGCGCAGATGAGAGGGTTGATATACCGGACTACCTCGGCTGTATCAGGATGTTCATGAGAGTCATCGTGGACGTGTGTGACTGATATTGAGATTTGGGCGGCGTCAACTCAGGGGAAAATCGACTACATCCAACTTTCACAAGAGACTACACGACCTCCTCGAAGAGTAGGCTACCTACCGTTGTTCGCTTTCTCATGGGACCTCACACTATAATCTCGCGCAACCTGGACATCAGTCAAACGAAGATTATCACCAGCGTCGAAGACAACACACAGAATACGTAGCCGAAAATTTTCAGTATATACAGAACCCCTAATGGGCCCAGCTACTCTCATAGAACCAGGAGTCACTCAACGACTCCAAATGCAACCGAACGCCTTCCGATCAATGCGATCTCCCCAAACATGACTCGAGTTCCGAGCTTATGTACATGATTACCTCATCCAAGGCCAACCCTAGCAGAGCTCCTTGACAAATTGCGGGCCCATGTTCGGTGTGGCTGCCAGCTCCGGGGCGACAAGCGAAGCACTCGGCAACGTCGCGACCGGTGTCGAACTGAGGGAACCAGATTTGGGGCAGCGTTTGAAGGCAGCCAGGCCGTTGTCACCACCCTGGTTGGCCACGAAGACCAGGCTTTCGTCGGCGTCCATACTCAGGCTGAACATTCTCGGTAGCAAGCCGCCGCTGGAGGTGGTGTCGGCAAAGTGGAGGGTCGCGGAGCCATTGGTGCCGCCAGAGTTGAAGGTGAAGTGTGCGATGCTGTCGGTTTCATTGCCGCTCAATCGGTTGGAGATGTAGACATCCTTGTTATTGCTGGCAACGGCAAGTTCTCCGACTGCTGCTGATGTGGCGTTGGCGGGAGGAAAGCCGGGACCATAAGTGCTCTGCTTCTGGACCTCGGTGAATTTGATGGTGTCCTCGGCATAATGCAGCTGATACAGGATGACTTGGTTCGAGATTTCGCAAGCTATAACGTAAAAGGTCAAGTCGCCGCTGGTAATGAAGCCTCCGTGTCGGGGACCCGCGCCTGCCTCCAAGGTGACATTTCCGGTGATTTCGTAGCGGTCGTCCTTGCCGTCAAGCACGAAAATGGCATCGCCGCCAAGGTCGGGGATGACGAAGAAGCGGCCGGTTGGGTCGAGCAGAGCTTGGTGAGGGTGATGGACTTCCTGGTTGGGGCCGAGAGGACCGGTGACGTTAACTTGCTTCAGAAGCTTCAAACTGCCGTCAGTCGCAGTGGTGTCCCAGACGTCGACCATGCCGCTGCCGTATGCTGCGCCGACCATGCGAGATTGGTCGGCGTTGAACTCGAGGAAGACGACGCCTGACGAGCCCACCGCGGTGGATGCGAAAGTAGGGTTGCTCGAGGCGGCATCAAGCGTGAACAGATTCAGATCGTCGGCATTCTCGTTGACGGCGTAGAGACGGTTGGGGTCCTTGAAAATCAACCAGCTGGGAGCCGAGCCAACGGTCTTGTTGCCGCTGCCAGTGAGGGAGAAGCTCGTGCCATCGAAGTCAGCGGTCAAGATTTGGTAGGGCGTGCCGATGATGAGCTTGCGAGCCATGATTGCAGGTGCTATTGCAGGTGCAGCTGAGGCGAGGCCCAGGGTGGTGGTGAGAAGTAGGGTAGTGAGTTGTCGTAGCATGGTTGCTAGTCGGTGCAGGTATGTCGGTCAAAGGTAGTGGGTATCGTATCGAAGAAGCAAACAACGAGGAAGGAGCAGATGCAATGAACTGGGTACCGCCGGGGCACCAGGGTGTGGAAAATGCTGAGTAAATAGAAAGTGAAGTCGGTCCCCAGGCACGAATAATAGCAGTATATGAGCAAGAGAGCACAATGACTTGTTGGTGTTGCGGCGTGAGACAATGTTTCACGATGGCTTGATGACAAAGGGAGTGTTTTCTCTCTCCAGTCTCATCTATTCGCACCGCAAAGGTACCGATGGCAGACAAAGGCGTCAACCCGGATGTTTCGGCCTTGCTGGACGTGCTCTGCTCTGATCTGATCAGCCCCAGGGAACGCATGACTCGATACCTGAGGTAGGGTTGGAGGTGGCTCACCAGATGCTGGTACCTTACTCAGGAACGACAAACCCAGTCAGCCGGCCAGTCAGTCAGTCAACCATGCATTCAATTGGGAGTCGTATTGATCTGGATGCCAGCCATTCACGTAGGAAGAGGAGGAAGCAGATGAATGAGAATAGGAGGGAAACCGACGATAAAGACGTGAACGAGGTGAATGAGGTGAACGAGGTGAATGAGATAAACCAAGCATTGAGCAAAGACTGCCACTTCTATACTACTCACATAGAGTATTAAGATAAACGCTGGGTCATATAAGCCTTGTCTTTTTGGGAACAGGACGTTTGCAAGGGGAGTGCATGATCAGCCCTGCCTCCGCCTCCTGCTATATTAGGTAGTTACCATAGTATTAGTGAGTCCATCTCGTACCCGCTGTGCCCCGTGGGGATGTCGCTGTAGGCTGCCAGGGACCGACTCGTCAGGGATCTCTCTGGCAGGTCGAAGGTCGTTGGTCGTTGGTTGTTGGTCGTGGATACAGCTGACAGCTGACAGATGGTAGGCTGAGGTTGAATGTGTTGGTTTGGTAGGGAATGGCTGGCGAACAACTAGGCCTAGCAGCTCCCTCTGCCCCTGACAAGGCCTCCAATATGACTGGCTGTCTGGAATAGAGAGGTGGGATCCAAGCCACGGCAGGATGGGACAGGACCGACTGGAGTTGGCATGTTGGGGCTCAGGGCGATGCGGCTGCGGCTGTCGTGTAAAGTCAGTGTCCGTAAGAACATTACATGTACCTGTCAAAAGGGAACGTGACTGGACGTGTCGCAACACCAACAGGTGTCTGCAGGCCAGTTTGAAGCCGCCATTGCCGCTCAACCCAGCAAGCAGCCGAATCCTCGGCCGCGATGCGCAGACGATGCAGGCTGAAACTTGAAACAGAACAAAGATACCTTAAGGTGGATCTTCACTTAGGCACATAATCATTCATTGTGGGGTTCTATAAGGTACCTCTGCGCCACATCGGCGCAGCTCTTTTCAGCCACACTCTTACCTTAATCTTACATGTATTGGTCGTCTCGCTACTACAAAGGTATCTCGGATGAGTCCTTATACGTGAATCATTAGGTGCGTAGCCTTCCTCTTGTCTTCCAGTGCTCATCTACATATATTCATGCTCCACGCCCGAGAATCTGGCGCACAGCTGAGGAAAAGCCTGTCAGTGTATACGATTCTGCTGCCTCGGGACTTGAGCAGGCGACGAGGGCACAAGATAAACATTAGAATGATCACGGCGCATTGAACATGAAAGGACCGTTGGTCCGTTTTGAAGGACACGCCCTTCAGCTCCCACATAATGTCTTCAGGCGTCCAGTTCATGGCCGACCAGTAATGTCACGAAAGGAGCGGGAGCCTCCAGCCATCTGGTCATCAACCTCCCAGACGGTGCTATGTACAATAAAAGTTCCAAGCCCAGAGTTCAGCCATCGTACTTCCGCAAGTGCTCAAAGAAGAGATACAAACGTGCGCCAACCCAATGCCTGTGCAGCCAAACCCAAATCGACGTCCAGTCCGTCCACGAAATTATATATATATATATGAAGCAGCGCCGCCCCCCATAGTCCGCTTCCATTGGATGACTAGAGCCAGACCATCCCAGCGACGGCGACCAGGGCAGCAAAGGCACTGGCCCCGAGCACGCGCTCTTGTCGTACGCCCTGGTTCTTGTTGCTGCTGGAGCTGCCACAGTCCTGGGAGAAGCCGCCAGAAGTACAGGCCGATGAAGAAGAGCCAGTTCCGGTTCCAGTACTTCCCCCGTTACTGCCCGAGGCCTCGCCTCCGCCATTGGCTTGGTTCGCCGCCTGACCGTTGGTTCCGACGCCACCTCCACTCAGGCCGGGGATGACTTCCATGTTGCTTTGGCTGGCGCTCGCACTACTTGGGTAGTCCTTGTCCATGTCTAGGCCGGTACCCAGCAGCGACTTCAGGACCGTGTTTGAATCGCCGTCGTCGACCGTGTCGTTGGTACCCATTGCGTTTGTGTACGTGTAGCTCTTGCCCGAGTTCGTGCCTGGCGGGCTGTTCGTCTGGAAGCAGTCCATAGTCACTTCGCCCACAGTAGCGTAGTAGTACTTGCCTGCCGCGTCCCAGTCGATCGGGCCGCCTGCCCAAGCGACGGTCCCGGGGGCATTGGTGCTGGCACCGCCTGGCCAGATTGAAAGTTGAACACGCGCAGGGGTTTGAGGGTAATCCCATTGATTCGACGTTTCGTTCCACGTATCCGACTTTTTCTGCGTCCGCCCGACCACACCGTCGACAATCCACTGGATCTGATCCGGTGTCCATTGGATCTCGTACGTATGGAAATCATCGTTCGTGTTCGAAACGCCCGTGATATTGGCTGAGTGTGTATCTGCAGTATGGAGTCAGCATTAGGGTACACGTCTTGCTATGTCAAAAATGGTCAGCTGTCACGTACAGTCGGGAATGCCTTGGAAGTAGTAGTTGGTCTGAGCGACGTCCAGCTCAGTGCCCACCCATTCGAAGTCAATCTCGTCCTTGACATCACTCAGCAAGATGAAGGCCGTGACGACACCTGCCCCTTGGGACGTCTTGATCTTCGCCTTGATATTTCCGTACCACATGTAGACAGTGGACGCTAGAACGGTCCCTGCTGTGTTTTTCGGCATTGTTAGGAGAACGTTGCTTTGGTATGATAAAGGAGTGCCTTGGGCAACCCAGTTGGCCGTGCTAGGGTCACCCAGGTATTTGCCGACGTCGACAATTCCATCTGTGCTGTCCATTTTCAGGTCTCTGCTCTCGCAAACTGCTTCCATGTTAGTACACTGAAACAGGCTCCGATGACGTCGTGCCAGCATCAAGACGTAAGACAGTGACGAAGCCAAGCAGATAAAGCAGATCCGGAGGTCTTGAGGACGGGAGAATATGCGACATACCAGGGGCTGGCACGCAGGCGTCGAGCGAGAAGGACATCCGTGGATCGCAACCGCCCAGGCAGTAGGCACCGACTCCACATTGGCCGTATTCTATGCGACACAAACGTTAGAGTGACACCCGAGGGCGTGGGCGGACGTGGACGTGACACGAAGGATGTACGTACGCGAACAGCAGGGGGTCTCCTCCGGACATTTCTGGGTGAGGGAGCACTGCGGCGCATCGGCAGCCAGCACAGTTGAGGCGGCGCTCAACAAGGCCAAGGCCACGGTTGGTACTGTTCGGAACATGGTCGGCGGTTGTGGTTGTTGTGGTTGGGAAGGAAGTCGAATTAGTATTACTAGATTATTATGTCGTCGGGAATGCACTTCTAGGAAGCAATCGGTGCGGACGTTGAATGCCAAAGGTCGTGCCCTTGTATATTATATACAGCGCCGGAGGGCGCAACAGTGTGCGTAATAAAAGGCAGTGAATGGTTCGGGAGGCGCAAGCAAAAATAGCTGAACCGAGTGAGTCGCAACTCGCTCCTGATGCTCGATCGATGACAGCAGCGGGTGGTCGGATTGTCGGATTCACCGTGGGCAGGGACGCCCCTTCAGCGAAAGTGTACGTCTTGAGCACGTAGATACGGACTCAACCGGTCCGAAGCGATCGATATGGACTCGATGGTCCAAAGAGGTAGGTAAACACAGCAATATTAAGCCGAGGGTGGGACAAGAGGTAAGACAAAAATGCGAGATCGCGACACGATCAAGACCCGTTACCCGCTCGGCTCAGCTTGACTTGATTAAAGCGATAGATTTAACTAACTAAGAAGAGGTAGGAGGCTAATAAACGAAAGTCGGGAGAATGGGGAGTAGACAACAATGGCAATGAGGAGAGAGGAATGAATGAAGATGGGGATGGAGACGGAAATGGAGGATCCAACTTGGGTGGCTATGTAGATCCATGGGCTGCAGACACCAGACAGGGCCTAAAAACAACCTAAAAAGCTGGAGAGGTGGACCAGGTGGTTTAAGGGGGCGTAGGGGGCAAATGGATCCCTACGATCCCTATCTTGGGGGCGGATCCAGGCTGCTAGAGACGCTAGGGAGCCCGGACTGACTGGTAAGTAACAGTGCGGTCTGCAGGCCGATGCAGGCCGGACCAGGCCGGCACGTATTTCTAGCTGTCTGGATGACAATTGAATTGAACCTCGTATTGCTCTGGCGCCAGCGCCCAAATCGGCCAAGATCGACCTCACATTCCGCATTAGGCGAAATGCCAACGCGCAGCTGACCACTGTGAAGCAATGTCATGTTTGATTTCATATCCTTCCTTTGGATGCGTTACCGATATTAGTATTGATGTTATTGGTAAAGTTGTTCAGACCAGTAAGTCAAATATCTTGACCTCTTTCCTCGTCGGAAAGGACCCCCTATTGCTTCCAGTCTCTAGCACAAAATCAAATCATGACATCAACCCGTATAAACGGCGGCGCGTTGTAGCTGGCACGCACCAGAGCATATGCATATCCGTTCACCAATATCAACATTCTGCTCCCTTGTACGCCATGCTTTTCCTTCGACACGCTCTTCCGCCATGTTCTTCCGCCGTAGCATTATATGCCTAGGTAGGTACATCCGCACAACCCATCCAGCTGACATAGAGCTACCTAGCAAAGTCCACGCCAGGAATCAGAAGAGGTACTCGCCCGCCCACGCCAGCGCCTGGTGGGCCACCCTCCTGAGCTCCCCCGGCATCCGCAGCTCCTCCACCTTGCTGAAGCTCGCCCAGACCATCTCGTCGTGCTGCTCGGACACGAGGACCGCGGCCTCGGTACTCTCGACCAGCACCGTGAAGTTGAGCTGCAGGTTCCGCTTGCGCACGACGCGAAGGGGCACCGACGGGCTGTCGCTGGTGCCGCCCGTGTCCTGGTCAAGGTCGTCGTCGTCCCACTCGAGGAACTTGACCTCGCTGACGTGCCGCGTCTCCTGCAGCATGCTTAGGATCTTGACGACCTCGAGGCCCGTCTCCTCTTCGACCCGGCGCGCGATGGCCGCCGAGATGCAGAAGTCGCCGTCGCCGACCTTGCCGCCTGGCAGCTCCCAGGTGCCCGGGTGTTGATGCCATCGGAGGGAGCGCCGCAGGAGCAGCACCGATGGTCGGCATGTCTGGACGTCCATCTGGAAGATGCAGACCCCTATCGACAGCTTGTCAGCGGGCTCCCAAAGGTCTCGTAGCTTTGCTAGATACTGCGCCCTCGACATGGCCAGAGCCGACTTCTGAGCCGGTAGGAGCATCGGCTTCATGTCGTGCATGGCGCTGTGATGTGTGAAGTCAAGATTGCCTCCACTTCCGAGGCGATAGAAGGAAATAACTAATTAACGTAGCAACAAAACCAAGAACAACGGTGCATGAACCCATCATGAAGAGTTACTAAGCCCCGGAGGTCGCAACGCAGGCGTGGCGCCCTTCATATATGCCCGTATCCCCCACCAGCAATGGTATAAACTTCAAGCTAGCGACAGGCTTGTGGCAAGTTGGAGCCTGATCACAGCATTCTAAAGAGCCAAGGTTCGAGCCTGGCGTTGAACATGCCCCTAGAGTGCCCCAAGCGCCGTCTGGTTTCCAGGACGCTGGTTTCGATGCCTTGGTAACTATGGGGTTATGCTTGTTCAAGAAACGCCATCTCTCAGCCGCTACCTCTGTATTGGTGCTTGAGGCCAAGGCTGGACGTGTTTTAGATGGAGGATCGTATATACTATTAGGAGTAAGCATCAACCAGAAGGAAAGAGGCATGGTCACTATCAAGGCATTCTTGTGTGGCAGTAGAGGTGGTGGTCTTTGGAGACTATCTAGACTACTGCATACATATCGCCGATTCCCCAGATGAATAACCGTCTTGCCGATGCCTTTGTTCTCCGGAAACCTGGATATCATCCCGTGGGGGAGTCTTTGTGTGAATAAGAGTTCCGACCTGTGCCAAATACATATACCGACAGGGAAATGGACCTCCGAATAGGGGTTTGTTGGGACAGATAATCGAGGGACATTCCTCATTCTGCACAAGGCTGTGAAGGGGATGGGGAGGGAGTGCAGGCAAAACCAGCTCGTTATGTTGCAAGAATCACCACATGCAACACCACCAGATGTTGTCAAGTAGTTGTCAGTGAGACAACTCCGTCCGGGATGATGATGTGCTATTAGTTGGCTCAAGCTGTGAATGGCACCACAGTCAGAGTGAACTTGGCTGCCACCGGTACGAGCAAGAGCCGCATGCGCACCTGTCCTCGAGCACATCTGCTGTCGAATCAAGGTTGGGTATAGAGTGGAAGTGGAAAGCGCAATCGAAATTTCACGCATCTAAGGTCGAATTCGTGATAGTAACGCCATTGTCGTAGTAGCGCAGGCAGCACCGTGTTGCCTATGAACGAGAGCATCGACTCAATAGAGTGAGCAGAGGCCGGAAACAGGGCAGTTCAGGTATGACTGCAGGGAAATCTCCCCATACTGCAGTCACAGGTGGAGGTCATATGCCTGACAGCCGGCCTGGGTGAATGTGACAATAGAGAAGCTCTGATGTCTCAATCAAGAGGGCCTGAACCCTCTAGCGAGCCTTTTGTGCAGCAAAGAGCTCCGAGAAGTGCTCCTTGGCATACTGTTCGCAGGCCTATAAGCAAGCACAAAGAGTTAGCATGACGAACCCTATCAGATTGCCACCCCCGAGGTAAAAGCAAAGATAAACTAACCTTTGCAGGCTTGCCGACTTTCTGGCCAATGGTCTTCCACTTGTTGTTCTCATAGTCCTTAATGGCGTTGAGGAGTGCTGTGCTCTCGTCCTCGGCAAACTCAGCGTAGTGCATGTCCTTGAATGCTGTAAGTAAGGGGTGGTTGGGCCAAAGGGCCTGGTCGCGGGGGTGTTGCTCACCTTGTACCAGTGCTTCTTGACGCTGCCTTCGGTTCGAGTTGGGAACGTCTGGTTACCTGTGTCAGCCACGCATCGTGATGCAAGTCAATGATAAGTATAATACCTTGGCAATGTCAGCCCAGCTGCTGCCTTGGTCTCTCATCTGCTTAAGCCGCAGCTCCTCAGCAGGGGTCCAAGGGGTGTTGGTGCGACTCTTTTTGGTAGGCGGAGGTAGAACCGGAGGGTCTTCAATGACAGGTGCAGGCGGTGCAACAGGAGTAACCTGAGCCGGCGGCGCGGCAACCGGCGCAGGAGCAGCAGCTGGAGTCGCGGGCTTGGGAGCTGGAGCTGGAGCTGGAGCGGCCGCAACAGGGGCCGGTGCCGCAGGGGCAGGTTGCTGGGGCTGTGGTTGTTGCTGTTGCTGCTGATGGGCCTGATGCACTTGCTGGACCTGCTGGGCCTGCTGGTGTGCTTGGTGGTGACTTGGCGCGGGTCGCTTACGGCCTCGAGGAGCCGGGGCTGGGGCTGGGGCCGGCGTGGGAGTTGGCTGCTTTTGCGGGGCTGCGGCTGCGGCTTGCGGAAGCGTCATTGGGGGAGGCACGGGGGTCGCATGGTGTTGCTGCTGCTGATGCTGGGGGTGTGGCTGCTGGTGCTGCTGCTGGTGTTGTTGCTGCTGCTGTTGCTGGTGTTGCGGGTGTTGAGCATGCTGGGGGTGCTGAGCATGTGTGGCGTGCGGTTGGTGAGATTGGTGCGGGTGAGGCTGGTGTTGTGCATGCTGCTGCTGTTGTGCATGCTGCTGCTGTTGCGGATGCTGCTGCGCATGCTGCTGCTGTTGCGGGTGATGCTGTTGTTGGGCATGCTGAGCGTGTTGCTGGGAATGCTGCTGGTGCGGTTGAGCAGCGGGGTTCGGAGTCGGGGTATACCCAGCGAAGTCGCGGCGAGACATTTCGGCCGGGGACGGCTGGTACGGGTGGGTGGTGCTATATCACGGACCCGTGTTAGTCTACCCATAGAGGTTTGTGTTGGCTAGCACGACGGTAGGGAGACACAATCCGAACGAACATGGCGGTCGAACACCGATGTCTCGACCCCCAACAAGTCCGGGCTGAAAGTACGGGGTGGCAGGGGGTACGGATGAGACAGGCTGCCAGCAGCACAGCAGTACGGCGAGGACGGCCCACAATCTCGGGTGAGGCTATCACAGGTCTCCGCGGTGGTTGTGGAGCACACCGACGGACTGACCTCTTCCAATGTTGCCAGGACAGGAACCGCGGTGTTGAGACGGCAGGTGTACATCGGGTACATATAGCACCCTCTTCCCGGTACACAGCTGGGCAGACCAGCTAGCGTCCGTGTACAAGCTCATCTGGTGCAGGCGAGGGGTACGAAGACAAAGAGAGGGGAAAGACGTTCTCGAGCCAGGAGGTGGGGATCCAAGATGGGAAGCGACAGGTACAGTACATGACGGAAATCAGGGCATAGTGCAAAAGGGTCGGTACTCACTGCTGCATCTCGGTGCCATGCTGGGGGGCGGTCTGATACATGTACTCCGGCACGGGGCCGACCTGCCACTGCTGCATGATCTGTAAAGGGCAAACTAGTGTCAGTCAAGTACTGCGAGGGATGAGGTACCAGGGTTGTTCACTTCCCCCCCTGGCACAGATCAAAGTGTCTGAGTGCAACGGGGGTTAATGCAAGGTCAAACTTAATTGAAGCCTCGTGAAATGGCAAGAAATTGATCCCACACAGTAGTCGGCGCACGGGAAAGGAAATGCAAGTACGGAGTAAGAGGGGCGGGTATACGCGAGTGATCAAATCAATCACATATCGACCCGCGTTCAAATGGGGGGGTGCGCAAGAAGAGGATGATGAGGGAAAACGGCTGGGGGTTTTGTGCGATAGGCAATAGAAAACAGGTAACCCGAGAACTAGGAGAAGAGGATAGTCGAGTACGGGGATGAGATAGGTGGTGGTGCACAAGGGTTGTGGTAGTGTGAAAGGTTTGCCGCGCAAAAGCTGATGAGGTTGACCTGATGAAAGCTGAAGGTAAATTCGTTGGGGGCGGATGTACACGCACGAGGCGCAGGTGTATATGAACGCTTGGATGTACGCCAGTGATGTTTGGCTACTCGCAATGTAGTATAATGTATGTTGGTGGCCGTGGTGTTGTGTTTGTAATCCTGCATGTGCCGGCAAGATGTGAAGTGCCAAACCCGGGCCCTCGAAAGGAGACGCCGAGCATTGTCGTGACCGACGACCATGGATTGGGCGATCGGTTGACTCGAGCAAAGGGTAAAGAAACATGCAGCGGTAGGGTAAAGTCACTCTGGGATGATGCATGGTTTGACTCACGGGCGATCGCGTGAATATCAGTGGCGTACTAAGGACCCGTGGGCGCGGGATACTTGGGCGCGACGACGCAAGAACAGAGTCGTGGTCGGAGCTGTCGTGCTGCCAAAGGACGGCCTTTCGTCGAGGTCAATAAGGACCAGTACCGACGAATGCTGCAAGCCGAGTCCGGGGTGTCAGTGTCAGAGTTAATAGGCGCAAGACGCGTCGCGCGGTAGTGACGAGGTGAGGCTCGTGTGGTGGTGGAAACGTGGGAAGGTGTAGAACTAGGATCAGCGAGTTAGACACAACGGGCCGCGTAGCGCTGGAAAGCAGTAGATGTAGGATCGACCAAAGTCGCGATAGGAGTGGTTTAGTGTGTTGGTACTTGGGATGGGTATGGGGCAAGGTATGCGCGAGGTATAGATGTAGCATAAATAGGTATGGAAGGGAATGGACAGCCAGGTGAGTCGTTGTTGGTTGGTAGGCCCGGTACATGTAGGGTGGGTGGTTGGTTGGTTGGTTTGGTAGTTCACCTTGTTGGTTGGGTGACTTGGGAGTGGAGGGAAGGAAACCGGGGAATGAAATCAGAGTCAACTGCAGAGCGCGCACAAAGTGGGCGATGTGGTGGACGCAGTCGAAGTATCATACCTCGATGCTCAAGTACCCTTTGTCCAGAGTGACGGCGCGAGTTGAGAGAAAGGATGTGTGGACAGCAGGCCGGACCAGGGCAAATGCACAGGTGGAAGGTCGAGCAGGAAGTAGAGGAACGGCGGAACTTGGGAGAGACCTTGGTGCTTTGGTGGAGGGCGGAGGGCAAGGGGACTGATTGTGACAGACGGGGAACTTGTTCAAGAAGAGAGAGGGGCGAGAGGGGCTCGAGTCATACTTTTTGCTGTGGGTATAGGAGCGTACCTCTATGGATCAACGTGCGCGCAGGCGAACCTTAAGTGATGTGCCGGCTGGGAGTAGCGGTACCCGTACTCGTGTGCCCACGGCTCCGAGGTTCAGGTACTTCGACTCGACGTCAGACTTCAGCTGTCAGTCAGCTGGGTCCCGTCGCAAAAAGAACAGCACGGAACTTCTCGCCAAGCCACGTGGGATGACGGGGGCTATCAACGATTGTGAATTTCTGTTTGCCTCGTGGCGTCGCAGAAATCTGAATTCGCAATATGACGACGGTCAGGGCGGATGACGGTGAGGATAATGATGATGATGATGTGAGAAAGAGGGTTGATGGCTGCTGATATGGGCCGAGTCCAGTCGCACTCCTCAACGGTGAGCGAAGATGGAATGATGAGAGTCGGACGATGCGACCAGAACAGGTATTTGGAATGGATGTGTGATGTGTGATGTTGGGACGATGCGATATGCGATGGGAAGTATGTATGCCTGCCTACCAGGACCAACTGGACTGGACTGGACTGGACTGGACGTTGGTGGTGCGTGGTGCGTGGTGCGTGGTGCGTGGTGCGTGGTGCGTGGTGCGTGGTGTAGTGCAAGTTTGTCCGTGTCTGGACTGTGAACTCTGCAGGAGTGGCGGTGGTTGGAGTGGAGTGGGTCGGGGTCGGGGTCGGGAGAAGTAGAAGTAGAAGTAGCAGAGAAGTAGATGCAGGTCTGACGGTACTGGAAAGGTCACGATACGCACCAAGGTTCTTGCTTCTCTGCCTTTTCCTTCCTCGCCAGTTCTGCTCAGCTCAGCTTAGCTCAGCTCTGCTTGCTGCTAAGGTTCGGACTGTCGCGCAGTACTCCGCAGTGTCGCAAAGTGGCTAATATGAGTCTATGAGTCTTGAGTCGATGAGGCGACACACGGCGACGGGCACTGGAGACTCGAGACGTTGTCGTCGTAGATGATGAAGGAGGTGGATTGACAGATGGTCGAAGTACCTTCAAAGGTTGATTGCGGTGAAGAACGGCGCGGTACGTAGATGTAAGGTAGCGTTGGCTGCCTGGTTTTGGCCGGGGGGTGCGTGCTCGCGAAAAATGTGTGCGCGTGCGCATGCGAAAACCTCGAACAGGCCAGGTGGCTCTGCGGTGGATGGGATGGGATGGACTCAAAAGAAAAAGAGGGGAGAGGGAACGTCAGGCAGTACACGGGACGAGGCAGTGGTGAAGTACCTCTTAATCCAGCGAAAAAGCGGGACGACAGAACTTTTCCATGTTCCTACTTTGCGCTGCGCCACTGGGTGTACTCTATTGGCCAATTGGACACCTGCTCGAATACCTACCTCGCACCAACTGGCGCTTCGTGCAAGCACCAGCTGCCACACTCAAGCTGCACAGTGCCACCCCAGCCACCCCCAAAGCAATTGGTTTCAATCTTGGGGGCTTTAGCAAGGCCTCAAGCCCTAATGCATCATTCCCGTCACTACTGCGATACTGCTTCCACCTTATCTAGCTGGCTGCCTAGGTACATCTCTAGAGGGCCGGCCGAGGTTCCGCATCGGCCACTAGAGTCGCCGAGGTGGGTATGGGACTTTACTAAGACTTGCTCGGCAGGTGGATTATATAAAGCGGGTCTCGCTGATCTTCGACCTCTTGGCAAATCTGCAGGTGGTTTGCGGACTTGGACCCGACCGATGGACGAATTAAGATCACCGCGTTGCGTTTGGCGTCCGTTTGCTACGGTAGAACTCGCACCGAGACAAACGAGCATACAGTATGGAAGTCGAACCTCAATCGTGTTAGAAACGGACTTAAAGAAATTACTGATATCTAGTTACATGATTATAAGTACCTAGGTCATCTTCTCGAACAGTGACAGGCTCTTTACTAACCGGCAACTAGTCGTGCCGGCTCAGCCCTAACGAGAGCTATTAGGCTGCCGGCTCATGCCGGCTCATGAATCTTACCTACATACTCTGTTGGCTTGCACATTGTTCGTCTAGACCAGTATGATGTCGCTAATGTCACACTTTGAAGTTGTCGACACGATGGGAAATAAGCAACATCACTTTACTTTCCGAGACTGGGTTATAGGGCAAACAGAGCGCGGCGAGACATACGTTATGACGAAGAACATCGTGTTCCAGAGCTACCTGATAAGTACATCGAGGACGGGTCGCGTTTTGCCAAGCTCAAAGTAGCACAACCCCCGGGCAAGTATTGCTACTTTACTGTTCCCCGCAATGCTGGCATCCTTACGATGCCTGCGTCGCCCGGTTCCGCGGATATGGTACCTCATAAAAGCTCGTTGTATAGGTATATGTACGATGTAGCAGTAGTCTACGTAGAGTAGGGTATGATGGAAGCCATGTGATGATACAGCCTCGCCGCTCGCACAGGCACTTATATGTTGCTTGTTGAGAGAGTCAGAACGTTCTGCCACACGGCTGTAGGGTTCTAGTCCTACAAAAGGATACGGCATTGCTCATTGAGATGCTGACATTCCGCCGAATGCTACACGATGGGCACTTCGCTACACTCGCCTTTGCTGCTGGTCCCCACGAGAGCTGATGCATATAATATATCCCTATAATCCATCTACTGCTGCAAATACCGTGACCATGAGGACTCTGTAGTACATACGTGGAACACCCTATCTGTCTGTCGTGGAGCTTGTACTGGTGCTATCCCGGTTTGAAGCGTCTTGTTAAGCTTGATCGCGCATTGAACAGTACCACAAATGCAGTCATACCAAACCTGCGCTCTTAGCTTCACGGCAGATACTCGCAAGGAGTTGCAGTTTTCTTTGGTCCTGTACCGTCAGACAGCCAAGGCAAAGAACATGTATATGCATATGAACTGACTGGTCGACTACTGGCTGACTGACAGCTGTCCGAAGTCCAATACCTCATGGTCAGAAGGCAGCGATGTTAGAGCGATCCCATGTCGAGTGTATACGTGACTCTCAATAGGCCAGCAGCATGGTCTAAAGGGAGATACTAGGTCCAGCACCCAAGACAATCATGACTGCTGGCATCTAGGTACTCCCTGTTTATACACGTTTTTCATGCTTGATGTTGAAGTCTAATCGGGATGATAGCAACGGTCCAGCCATCGTTCACAGGAGAAACCACGGTTCTGATGTGACTACGAAACATGGACGTCCAGTCCTAATTCTGCAAGCAGTTGAACCTACATTCCAGATCTACACGCACCTCGACAGCGTAAGTCCCGCTGAGGCATGCCCATCTTCCCATGCCGTGAGATTATAATGATGTGATGATCTCTAGTCGCTCATTGCACGTGTCTAGCCATCCAAGCTCCACCTCTCAACAGAACGACGCCGACATTAATAATAGATGAGTAAATTTTGATATGACTGAGCTACTTTCGTATTGTCAACCCCTGAGTATCCTAACCGGCACGGTTAGCAAGATGGCATAGACGTCGAAATGGGTTTCGCCGTGACCTCCAGCTTTTGAGAAAGCTTTTGGCTCATACTTGAAAGGATCTCGCATTGCCGGAGTGGTCCGAGATTACCCAGTGAACAGGGACGACGTCAAGCGTAGCATTCGGTTCGAATGGTAGCCAACCTTGCCAACATAGCATTCGCCCCCCGGCGAGCTTTTCCTGGTGCCTGGGAGCTGCAGTAGCGCGCATCTGCCACCCTTCCTGCATGTTCGGGCATGCGGATGTTCAAACAAACGGTCTCCGGAACCTCCCGAGCCTGAGCTTCATGTCGGAAGCAGAAAGGTCAGCAAAGAAAGATTGCAGTTGACAGGCCGCCTGCCGAACAACACTCCTTGTCAAGACACTCGAAACAAGAGATGACAGCGGCCGACCTGGCCCGGAATGAAACAATATCGAAGTCAAAAGTCGGCCAGGCGCAGCACCAGCTCAGCTCGATCGGTACGTTATCGAGCGCTTGAGAGATCACATGAGCTACTCACAGCCAACGGTATTCTATATCCTGGGCTACCTCGCATCACTCCACGAGTAATTACCGCATAACCGAATTCTACGCTGTTCCCAGAACACCCTGCTGGGGGTATCATCTGGCCGTCATAGGTGGTGCCGGGCTACACGACGTACCACCGGTTCTCTCGTAACCCGTAGCACCAGCAGCTACACTAAGTTAGTCCGCTTGCGTATGTCCCAGGCGTGGCGAGTTCATGTTGCTTCTTCATGACAGCGGGTATAAAGTTGACTACTTATCCAGGCATGCATTTGTGAGCTGAAACTGATAAGGTCACAGACTGCCGGAATGCAGTTTGAGAATCGCGGCTCTGCTTGCCAGCGGGTAATTTATACATGGCAGGTCGAATCCCTGTACAAGGGGGATTGACATCGCTTACCAGATACCCCGACCAGCCATGCACGACATATGTACGTGCGCTCAAGGGTGGAGAGAATGAGGGCAAAGGAAATGAGGACGTCCACAGTCCAGACTGTTGCGTTGCACAACGCACATCATAATCACTTGGCATAGGCCATCAGACCTGGTACAATCCTTCGATAGGAACCTAGGGTCAGCTGGGAATCCAACTGGATTGATGAACATGCTATTGCATGCCATGCGTTCATCTCTAACAGAGATGGGATGATGGTCTCATTCGTCGAGGTAGAGCTTAGCATGATGTGCAGTCTAGCAGCACAAGGCTGAGAATGGCGACATAGTACTCTGGCCATATCCAATCTGTTCCAGGCTCGCCCTACGCCATTGCAATGTTCCTGACGCGGACTGATATCTTGTGAGATGCAACGAGATCCGCGGCATTGGCACCTGGTAGTCTTGGTAACTTGACGGCATCCAAGTACGAAGTAGTCCCTAGCACCTTACGAATGTGACAGTTGCACTGTTTTAGGCAAGAAGGTAATTAGATACCTAGGTGAAGTAGTTACCGAGCCATACTGATATAATGACCAATCTCCATAGCGCCGCTGATGATAATCATAATGTCAGTCCTTCTAATTATATTTCCATCCCGGACTATACACCTTCAAGCGAGCCACGACTCCGCGAGACGGGCCACACATCAGATGAACCATCGTGCTTGACGCACATCACGGAGTCACGTTCCAGCGCCACGATCACTCCCTTTGAGCAGATGAACACGCCTGGTGGACGACTCTCAATCGGCAGCAACCGTTATTCAGCATAAAGTCCTTACGAGTCACATCTCCTTCCCTTTCGAGATGAGAGCTCAGGTGGGCAGCGAGGATGTTGAATCTGAGACACGCACGAAGACGCTGGTCTCCATTCGCCAAGACAGGTCATCAGAAGTCAGAGCATCTGCTTCCGTATTCACCAAGAACTCTTCGAGAACGACAGCTCGAACCGATGGTCATTCATGCGCAACATAGAAGCCCGGGTCGAATGCCATCTCGGCGGACCGGAGTCCCCGGCCATAGTGATGTATCGTTGGGCCGGACACCTCTAGGGCCTCTCATCCCATGAAGTATCCCGAAGCTATGATATTTGGAGGTATAGATCGTCGGCGCGTGTGGGTTAGACATCTTTTAGGAGGCTTGTCAGATACCAGGAACGTGATTGGACTCCTGGGTCCAAAAGATGTATGGGCACAGGCATCAACTCAACGACTGACCGACGCATCTCGTTCCAGCCGCCATGAGGGTGCCTAGCTCATGTGGGCATAGTCAGCAAGTCCAACTTCAAGGACCGAACAGCAAACGGAGCCAAGGTAGAGGCGACTAGTTTCTTTAAAGTCTCAAGGTGATAAAAGCTGTGGTCATCAGTACAGGAACGAGCAAGGCGCCGTAGGAGTTAGGCAAGCGACCACTTGAAGAACTACAATTTTACCTCAGATACGCAAGACGTTGACCCGAATGAACGAACGCATAAAAGAGTTTCGCCACAACGACTGATGGTTGCACGACTGAAACGTGAGCAAGACTTGCCTGGAATCGTACCTAGTCCCATGATGTCTCTACGAGGTACCTGGGGTGGATCTCGGGTGACAGATATTCGCCTCTTGCTACGCGCTATAGACAGAAGTATTCTCGGGTATAACAGCAGCGCTCTGATAGTTTTGGGAGTGAGAACATTGATGACCAGTTTGACGCTGGTACTGTCACCATGGTCTGGTGCGTATGTCTTGTAGGGGGCAGCATATATATATACCCCGCTTTTTGAGGCTGTAGATCAGCTTCGCAAGTCCAGACTGGTGGAAGAATTAGTATAGAAGTACACACTCTAGCAAATACCCTCAGTGGAAGGTTATCTGCAGAGGGACGCCGTCTCTCGAAGGGGCACAAACCTCGATATTATATAGTAGTAGTAGAGTATTCTGCTTGGTCAACCGTCCAGGCTTGTCGGAAGTACCCGGGCGAGCGGTCGTCGGCGATAGGACCATGTGCGTCAGAGTACTCGACTCGCTAAGACCAGGGTGGGCGAGGGCTGAGACCATGTCGAGATTCTCCCCAGTCTTTGGCGGGTTTCAAGGGTGCGAAGACAGGGACAGGGTTATGCTGCTCGGATGGTAGCGAGCGATACGCCTGTGGGGGCGCCGGCAAGGAACAGAAAGAGTTTCCTGTTGGGATTGGTTTGCATCTCAGGGTCAAGACCGTGACGAATTGCCATGCACTTCCCTTCAAGTGTCAGTAGGGCATACACTCTTGCCCCTGTTTTTTTTGAACAGTGGAACTGGTACTGGACACAGACCTGTTAAGGTATCGATCTTTGAGAGAAATGGCATAAACCAACCCTTGGATTGACCTCTGGCGCTTGTTTCGAGGCCTGACATTGACCAGCTCCACTGTTCAAAAAAACAGGGGTAAAAGTGTAGATACTACCCTCTCAAGAAGCACGCAGCTCTCGAGCCGTCTGACCACTTGACTACACAGCCTTTCCTTCTTGCCTCGTTCCGTGACAGCTATAAGTAAGATAATCAGGACGTCGAGCCTAGTCGTCAGGTTTCTAATTCGAGTGAGCCACCGGAGCGTGTTTCGCACGGCCAAACACGGTGGACTGCATGCGTCTTCACCGCTGCTGCCTCTCTTGCAACAGCCACGAAGGGCATACATGGTTGTGTCCTCGGAAACAGAAGGCGAGAACTCAAACGAAGCCACGGGCCGAGGCCATCGAGGCCAGGAAGGACAAGAACACAAAACGCAGGTGCAGATGCGGATGCAGATACACATATGGATACACATGCAGAAGCATACTTGAGAGTTGGTGGCACTGTGTAACTTAAAGTTAGAGGCTGAAAAAGTCGAGAAGGAGCCGTGGACGACGAACAGGGGGGGAAACAAGGGGGTTCCAAGAGGTTCCAAGCGTGTCAGGGGTTCAGGGGTCTGGGACCAAAGTGGACTATCGAGACCAATTACGATCCCTGTCGTCTGAATAAGCGCGTCTCTGTAACACGTTGAAGCATCGCCCACACAAAACCCGCCCGAGGTCAGACATCAGACACCAGACTTCACACTCTCCAGACACAGACCTCTCGCAGCCTCTTCCTCTCGACTCTCGACTCTCAACGCGTCCCTCCACGGCAAGACGAGCTCGATACTCCTCGTCACCCGCGTCTCTGGGCGGGTGGCTACGTATCGTTAAAGTCCATCATGCGTTGCGATGCAGAGAGATTCAGCTCGAGATTACCAAACACGCCTTGCCACTTGCCACTTCAGGGCCCCTCTGCCCCTCCGACAACGATGTCGATGCAGCGTCTACAGTACAGAGTACGTCAATCGTCCTAATAAGACATGACAGCGGCAGACGTGCAGACGGCAAGACAGGGTTCATCTTGTCCGTTACCCAGGAGTCTAAAGACCGCTCTTCCGTGTCCACCTATCGACACAACACCAGGCGTGCCAGAAGTCTGCACCGCATGGAACCGAACGGGAAACAAAAGTGGATGACAGCTCGATCTAGGCCATGTTTCCATGACTGTTGTTCCAGCAGCCCTGTCGCTTGTCCACCTGTTTCCTCCGTCCGTGAGGAGTCCGGAATGCGAGAAGTCGCACTCAACCAGTCATAGTCGCGTCTGGACATCCCCTTGACTTAGACTCGAAGCTGTACCGGTGAGTCGTCGTGCTGCCACGGCATACCGGTAGTCCTGGACTCGGGTTCTCTTCTATATGAGCCGCAAGGTTTTGTATTCCTCCCCCTAAAAGCTTGCTCTTGTACCTGGGCTGGTCAGGCAGGGTTCTGCACGTCGAGACATGCACACTCTTCGGTCCTCCTCCGCCACCTCATCCAGTGTTCAACCTGGCTGGGGTCACCGTGGGTGGGCCGTTTTGGATCGCTGCAAACGGATGGTAACTCGGCGGATCAAGCCAAGACTATGCTTCTGATCTTGTCACATCCACCCCATATTCTCCAGGGTCTTCCGCAGGTATGGTCACAGGGCTGCGGCCTACAGTGTAGTATGTGCCTGCATGGTGTAGAATTGTCTACCCCGGCCACTCCATCCCTTGTTCCTGGGTATATCGACGTCCGGATATCATGAAGCATGAAGCCGCAGATGCATTATCATTATTATCCCTTTTTTCCCCTCCTTCTTCTTCTCTCTTAGTTTCCTACCTCTTTCACCCACCGAAAGGTTCAACTTGTGCGTCCATCACGACGTTGTTGCGCGCCTCCCCTTTCTTTCCTTTCTTCGCAGCTAGCGACCACGTTCTTTCATCGCCCAACTGGCTTGGCTGCTCACACTCTTTTGAATAACTACCTTCGTCGTCTGTGTAATCTTGTTTGGTCTACGGCCGCTCGTTCGATTCGTTTTCGTTTCTGGTTTATCCTTACTCATCTTCCAATCCACAACACCACGCCCGCGCGTCGGAATAACGGACAATCCATTGGAGATATCAAGAAGTAAGGTGGAACGACCAGGTCGAAACGTCTTGAGGATTCCCGAATCTATTCATCAACTTCATCAACTTTAACAACCTTCGATTCTCCAGCAGCGTGGCCTGCCCATATTACCAACAACCCTTCTAAACACTTTCGATTCGTTGAGGCCGCACCGTCACCATAAACAGCAGGACATGATGGCACCCCCGATGCAGCTTGCCGCCCATACGGGCATCCCATACATCCCTACGAGCGATGCTCATGACCGCCACGAATATGGCATCACCAAAAACCGCAAGCTTGCCTCGACTGGCGGAGGAAGAGCTTGGAGTGAGGACGAAGTGAGTGGCAAACTCCTAGCCTCGGCTATTCGCCTGCGTACATCAAGGGTACAGGAGCCTTCGCCGGGCAAGATACTGACTGGGTGCCGACGGAATAGGAGGTATATCTTCTCCAGACTCGACTCCAGAAGATGCCGTACAAGCATATTGCCGCCCACTTGAAGAAGACCGAGCTGGCATGCCGACTTCATTATCACCAGCTCAGCCATGGGAGTAACCGCCGCAAGCGTACGACCTCGATCTCTTCAGGCTCATCCGCAGGTCACTCCCCTATCATGCCAGCTGCCATCCCCTCGCCCATCCGGGAGTGTTCTTCTCGGGACATCACCCCTCCCGGAAGTGCTGGGAGTCATGACCCTGGCTCTCCCGCCTATTCGAACTCGGTACAGCTGCCTAGTATCATGATTGGGACTAAGCTCTCGCCGTGCCTGCCTTCCATCCTGCCGAAGCCCGCCAGCATGACTCTTTCGACAGCGGCGCCGTCTCCGGTACTGGGCTACCCTACGCCGATGCCGGACAGTGCTCGATCCCTGGGTCCGTCGCCCTTCCCTCAATCGTCGCCGATCAGCAATGGTCCAATGCTCCGCCTGGACTGCTCCCTCCCGCCACCCTCGGCTCACGTGGACGTCCCTCGCCTCCAGGCTATCTACGCTGCCCACAGGTCGTCATTCTGGGCTGCCATTGCGACTGACTATGGCGCTGGAATAAGCCCCATCGTCCTGGAGCAAGCATGGAAGGCGAATATGCTATCTGCGGGAAGCCAGACGCCCATCACTCCAGTCGCCAGTCCAAATGACCGTGAGGGACTCTACGAAAAGCATGACAGGACTCGGATCAGCGCCATTCTTGGGATAGACGCCAACCCGCGAAGTCCAAAAGAGAGAGAAATGGTGCGTCGTCTGGAAGAGGAGCGAAGTGTCAGCGTTACAGCCGGCGCCTAGGGAGTGTCGTCGGAGTCTGCTTGAGAGCACCAGCCTTGTGACCAAGACGGCCGACTCGTCACGGCCTGCTACATGTGGTGGATATGGATAAGCAGCACAGCCTGGGTTGGCTGGCACCCGGGATATCCCCGTGTTAGCCTGTCACATATTCCATTCACGGTGTTCTCATATCTTGGCCATACCTACGAGGCACAATCTCCAGCATCTTTTCTACCACAACCCGCTGCGTCAAACCAGAAAATTGAGCAGTGAAGTGGTGGCGAACGTGGATTTTACAAGGCGACCTCCTGATTTAACCTGCTTTTTCACTTCTTCCCTTCGAGTCGGAGATTCGTGTTCGCTACGTGGTCAATTACTTTCGGTTGACCCTTTGTTTCCTTTTTCTTGCCGTTATGGTCATACGTCCCTTCGACCTGGAACGAGAACCATTTTGAGCGTATGGCGCCGGTGCGGTGGACGTCATTCAATCGAGCCAAAAAGCAACCTCTCAGCTGAGGAGAGTGGGATGAGCTCTAACGAGTTGGTACGCGTGTATGAGACGGCGGCCGACCGTATGCGGATTTCGGGCTGGGGGGGACTTGTTGGGCGGAAATGCTTTTCCTGTGTCGGGCATGATTGATGATGTGAAGAACACCCTCCCCGGTTTCTGGCTTTCGCTGGAACTTGTACATTAATTGGCGCTCTGGCCCAAAGAAGAAACTGTCGCTCATCGATGCTTTTACCATCGAGATACTCGAGACCTGTTTCTACGCAGTTTTAAGTAACTGACGATTGTTGTGTGAGACCAGCAAGCCTCCTATTTGAGTTTTCGGCGCGGCCAATGCTAATTTCGGCTGGCCACTCACGAGTGTCAACAAGGCTTTGTGCCCAGCTGATCTTTTTCGCATCACGTGTCGTCAAGTGAGAAACATGCAAGCGAAGAAACGCCGACTTGGCTCCCTTCCAAGATCCAGCGGTGAGGGTATGGCTGGGTTTAGCTACGAAAAACGTGTAAGGACAGAGACAACATGTTCTGAAGACGCCGTCTCCCAAATAGGAATACGAGGTCAAAAAGTAAGACATACAGAAGCCATCGCGATATTTTTCAGGCCGCGGTGACCCAAGTCAGTTACCGGCGCAGTACTTTACATGATCTGCAAAAAGCTTTGCCAGCAAGCCTGCAATATCAGTGACCTATCCACTACGAGCCTATAGAAGTACTGTAATTATACAATGTGGGCACTGGGCAGCCACGCACCTACACGGGTCGCTTCCCCTCACTTCCTTCGTCCATGATCTTCACTCCAGATCTGGCCAAGCCTGCCCACTTCTGGGGAAGAAAAGACAAGGACACCCAGGTAGATAGATGCAGGGGCGGCAGGTCGCCCTACAGATGGCAACGATGACACCAGTCGACCTGATATAATGTGCCTATCGACTTGAGAGAGAAATGTGGAAGGGGAACAGAGGCACGTTCTCCTGTTGCGTGGAACCCATGGACTGACTGATCACCAAGCTGATGTAGAGTCTAAACTCGGGCGTACAACTGTAGGTATAGAAGAATATGAGACATGTTCTCGAACGTAGGGCTAGCCAGCCGGGGCCTGCAGTCTTGATCAGAACAGCCGACCAATCTGGGGTGCTTCCAGGAGGGCGCATGAAGGAGGGGAAGTAGGGTGTCCCATTGGATCACGTCCTGCGACGAGGCGTCGTCAAGCTGCACAGCGACTGGTTGGTCAGGGGAGCCTGCCACGCATGTACCCTTCTCTGTCTCACTCACTTCCTACATATTACCTAACGCAAGGATTCTCCAGACCAGGCAGGCCAAACCCCGGAGAACAATGCTGCGCTATGGAAACCCCAGCACAGCCAGCATCGTGTCCTCCTCACTCTGCTACAGTCCATTGCCAGTATCACCCCAGATGTATTCGCCAATCCAACTTCAAGCAGGACGAAGGCCATCTTACTCAACCTGCGCGTAAGCGTAAGCGTATGACAAGTTGACGAGATTTATAATACCTCGACAACAATTCTCTGCCCTCAACTTCGGGTTACCAATATACCGATCTTTCTTGTGCCGTTTTGTCCAATCCTAGCTATTGGCTACCCCAAGGACCAAGGTACATAGCCATGCCGCCCCGTACAGGGCACGGAACCAGGAGTACCAGTCTTTCGTGACCTTGGTCATATCCGGAACCGGGCGGCAAGACACAAGGTTCTCCGCATACTACGCCGTACCCTACATGTACCCGTCAGAGCCTCTCACCACATTACACATCACTGCGTCGTCGACCTTTTCTCGTTGGTGCACACCGTCTGTCGGGTCTAGCTTCTCGTCGCTACACAAACACGGCAGACGCAGTAGCGAACCACGTCCCTCCGATCGTAAATGAGCCACCTGACGACCACGGGCGCCCTCTAAACCTCCCGAGGATCCCACCGTCATCGGAGTGGCTACCCAAAAGACTGCCTGTCAGCTGGGTCTTGTGCTGTCAAGAAGTCGGCACATTTCGACTCCAATCATTGAACCTGCCCCGTTCCGTCGATCTTCTGGGCCGCGTCAGTCTTTCTCTCAAAGCAACATACAGACTCAACCTCTACGTTCATCCTCCACTGTACCAGCTCTCCGGGACTTCGCTTGACCTCGACTATCCTAACGTTGTATAGCTCTGGATTTGCCTTGGAGAAGCCGGTGTGTACTGTCTTCGCTTGCCTTGACTCGGACACATAGCGTCTCGCCAGTTCTGTCAACTGCATTTACTTGGGACACAGGTATTCTCGGTTGAGCTTCCGCCAGCGAGCCCGCGGATGTCTGCGAGCACCACTCACTTCATCACTCCAGAGAATTCACGCGATCATGCGGCACTTCCCGACCTAGTCAAGCCCTCTTTCCCCTTACTCTGCCGGAAAGGAATGCTGTGCCATCGGCACGTTCATTCAGCGCCGACGTGGAAACTTAGGCCTTGCACGTCCGTATGCCAGCATCATCAGCACAGGCTCCTGGGTTAGCCAAGAGAGGACGGGCGACTCACGATGTCGACGGACCAGGCACCGGCGCAATCCCGTGCAAGAAGCGTAGGATACGTTTGCATCTCATCACAAGCCGGCTCTCACAACCATACTCGCTGCCAGCGACGCACATCATCAACCGAGAGACCGGCGATGACACGCCAGTGCTGAGTAGGTTCCTGAAGCTCGCCATAGTGGGTTCCCAGAAGGTGGGACACCAGAGTGCGCTGGTGCGGAAGGCCGCGATACTGAACCGGGTTCGGATCGGAGTAAGGCAGGCGGCGGTTTCAAGGGGCCACACGCTTGTGGTAGACATGGCCGCACGTGGGAACGCTCTCAACCACGGTCTGCAGCTGGTCACGACATCCTCGTCGTCGACTGGGGCGAAGTTCCCCTGTCCCTCCTCCAGCCAGACTCACCAGATGCGTCCGGTGTGGCGGCCGCACACGGCAGCCTTTCATGCGTTCACGCTAGAGACGGATTCTTCTGGCCAGTATGTCCATGGTTCAGCCGAAGTGAGCCATGCAGATACAAAGATGGTGCCACGACGTGAAGTCTCGAAACCCGAGAATATGCATCCTCAAGAAGACGCCACCACAAGTGGGCAGACCGAAGTGGATGACGAGACTTCATTTCCAGCCTTCGATTTCAGCAGCCGCTACATAGACCTCTCGGATGATGACCTGGATGATGTCTATGCCGATTTTGGCTTATTATTCGGACCCGGTGCTCGATCCCCCGAGACCGAGGCAGTGGGCGGCGACGCGGCGGCTAATGGGCATTTCTATGAGGAGTATCTCGACGAGCTCGATGGTATTCCGTGGCTTACCTGATGGGAACTTGAAGAGCAACATCCATTCAGCTAGAGCTCAAGCATGGAGTTGCACGGGGCAGGCTTCTGACGCACTTGAATGTCGCAGTGTTTTGGTTGGAACCAAACGGCGTCTCGGAAGTTCAGGATATCTGGCTCTCCCGTTCAGGACAGTGGAGAGATAGCAACGCATGGACGTATACCATCGGGTTTGCATTTTTGTTGTCTGGCATTGTAACAGCCAACAGCTCGAGGCACATGCCCACCACCTATGAATATATTCATCAGGGACACGAAAAGCAAGCATGGAGCTGCGTGGTCATTCCTAGCTGTGGGGTTCACAATAGCATTCATAGCCCAAGCTGATATCAACTCGCGATCCAGCAAGCGGCCAATATCTTGGTGTCTCCTACGACTTCCACGAGAGTTGATCAGTTTCTTTGATAGAGCACTATAGGCCCATAGATGCTGCCTTTTCCTAGGTGCTCAGCTACCGTGATCTTGTTTGTGTGTCATTATATGAGCGACCTTTCCTGGGCTGTGCTTCGATAAGTCTTCCACATAGCAGTATGAGTATACCTTAGATCGCACCCACAATTACGTAGCGGCCTCAAGCTTTGTTGCGCGGTCAATGGCAATGTCAACCATGGCCTGGCACCACTTAAGTGTCAGAGCCGACATTCCACTCACTGAAGCATCCAGTGCAACGCTGTGACTCACCTGGACGGCTTCTATCTCTTCAGCCTTGGGATCGCCACGATCGATGCGCCTCCGCATATCATCCATGATGACAGGTCGGCTTCGACCGTTGACGAACACGACGTACCGCAACCCCGGGAACTTGGCCTCGTACTGTTCGTTCAACGCTCTGAGCTTCTCGGCCTCGTCGGCGCCGCCGGTGTTGAGCTGTGCTTGCTCAGCTTGGCTCTGCGCGCTGTCGACCTTCTTCGCGCCGAGACGCGGGTGTGATCCCAATATGCTGCGCAGCCTCTCTCTCGACTCGGGGGCTGGTGACTGTGCCAGCTGCAGCATGAGCGTTCCCACGTGCCGGCTCAGAGCTTGGTACGAAGAGAATGGAACGTCGGGGACGGTAGCGCGGGCGGCGGACGGTGGTGGAAGGAGGTCGGGCGAAAGACCGGGATTTGCAAGCACTCGCTTTGGTTGGATGGGCGGTAGTGCAATGGCATGTATTTCGGGAGATGGTTCGAAGAGTGTGTCGAGGACGGAGGTGATGGTATCTATGTCGGCCGTTGGAAGAGACGAGATGGGCGGCAAACTGGGAGATGCCATTGCTGGTGCAGGCGCCGACGAGCTCATCAGAACACGAACCGGGGGAGGGAGTTATTCAGTGGCTATGGGATGGCCTGGGAAGAAGTTGGAGCTTGTATGGCCTTCGCACTCGAGGACGATGACGGGAGCAGTACATGAATGGGCACGAGTAAAGCGCTTCTATACCAGACTCCTTTGTGATTCACGGGGTCGGCCGCAACATGTTGCTTGTCAGTGGAATCAAGCGGCGAATCCCGTTCACCTTTGAGTGATGGCCGGGTCCGTGATGCAGAGAAGGGCGGAGCGGAGCGGAGTGGAGTGGACCGCCGGCACAAGTCTCGGGTATGGATGATCTTTACGCCGCTCGCGCCGCAGCTGGAGCTGGAGGGGCTCCAATTCCAGAGCTGGAGCTCAGCGGAGTCGGGACCCACCTGCGCTCTGGAATCGGGCCCACATATCGCACGAGCAGACGCTAGAATGTCTTGACCAATCACACGGCAGATCCAACGAGGCGCGACATTGGTGCAAAAGGCTGCAGCCAGCAGCATCGTGGAGTTCCCAAATTTTATTGACATCCAGAGCTCACCCAGTTCAGTACATGCGCCGGAGCCACCACCATCGTCACGACTCTCATTCACGATGCTTTGCGCAAGTGAGTCGCTTCCAATCACTGCCCCCAGTGCCGTCGCTTCTTCACCCATAATGGATGCTAACCATAGAAACAGTCTCGGGAGAAGCTCCCCAGGAGCCGGTTGTTTCCAAGATCTCAGGTGCGCCCACCCATCGCGTACCACAAGTTCGCGGCTGATGCTTATGTCTAGGTTCTGTTTTTGAGAAGCGCCTGATCGAGAAATACATCGAGGAGAACCAGAAGGATCCCGTCACCGGCGAAGACCTCACCATCGAAGACCTCCTCCCCATCAAATCCTCGCGCGTCGTTCGGCCCCGCCCACCTACCCTCACCTCCATACCCGCCCTCCTGTCCACCTTTCAGAACGAATGGGATGCTCTGGCGCTGGAGTCGTATAACCTGAAGGAGCAGTTGACGCGAACCCGGGAAGAGCTAGCCACCTCGCTGTACCAGCACGATGCCGCCGTGCGCGTCATCGCGAGGTTGACCAAAGAGCGGGACGAGGCCAGAGATGCGCTGTCCAAGGTGACCGTCTCGGCCGGCGGCCCAAGTAATGGCGACGCGATGGCTGTGGACGCCGAGGGTCTTACCGATGAGCTGGCGTCCAAGGTTGACGAGACACAAAACAAGTACGTCGTTGCTCCCGCGGTTGATAGTATGCAAAACTGACGCAGCTTGTAGACTATCCAAGAGCCGCAAGAAGCGGCCGGTTCCCCAAGGCTGGGCTACCCCTGACGACGTTGTCGCTTTCGGTGTCGCGTCCTCCAGCTCGCTGCCGGTTCCCGAGTCCACGACACTAACGGTTGATGGAGACTACGCTGCTGTTGGTGGATTACAGGGGGATGTGGCCATATACTCGATCGAATCGGACAACGTGGAACGCTCCTTGAAGGTCAACGAACCGGTGACGGACTCGATATGGGAAGGGTCCAAGGTCATCTTCTCGACGTCCAAGGGCTCCGTCAAAGTCTTCGAGGGTGGCAGCGAGGTGGCTTCTTTCTCGGAACACGCTGGACCGGCAACTGGACTCGCAATGCACCCGAGCAAGGAGATCTTGGCCTCTATTGGCTCGGACAAGAGCTTCATCTTCTACGATTTGCTCAACCTGAAGCGGGCCACACGCGTCTATACAAACGCTGGTAAGTGTTTTTTCTCATCCTATAGGTCTGCGCAATATGGTTCAAATTGTTCTAATCATACACAGCTCTGACGGCTTGCGCGTTCCATCCCGACGGTCATCTCTTTGCGGTCGGCACGAACTCAGGCGAGATCAAGCTCTTCATGAGCAAGACTGGCGAAGAGGCGACAGCCTTCACACTCGGAGCGCCGGTGCAGGCCATTACATTCTCGGAGAATGGATTCTGGTTCGCGGCAACGGCTAAGGGGCAGACGACGGTCACGATCTTCGACCTGCGAAAAGAGGGCGACGCTGCACAAGTCAAGGTGCTGGAAGTCGGCAGTGCGGTGCAAAGTCTGGCATGGGACTACTCACAGCAATTCCTCGCGACGGCGGGACCGACGGGCGTGACTGTGCAGCATTACAGCAAGGGCTCGAGGAAGTGGTCCGAGCCGTTTAGAGCAGCGGTCAGCTCGGTCGATATCAAGTGGGTGGCCAATGCCAGCAAGCTCTTGGCGGTCAATGGCGATGGAGTGGTCACCGTCATTGGGCCCAATGAGGCGTGATGCTTCGGCACTCGCATGGAAAGGTGTTTACTGGCGGTGGGAAAGTTGATATGAACGGGCAGGAACTGGACTGTGGCCCGAGTTTGTATAACATCAATCAGCCAGGTCAAACGGGAGGGACTCGGCGGTGGAGAAGTGTACCCCTATATGCAGTGAATGATACCTTGTATGCAGCAGCTCCGGACCTGGACTGCGTTGAGATAAAGCTGACGTGACTGCTTAGGCCTATCCAAGTAGAGACAGAAATGGATATCGTGAGATAGCACATGAAAATATGTGGGAGGATATATGACTAACTGCCCAGGTGCCCATGATGGTTGGAGGTTTTTGCGAGCTGTTCGCGTCGCGGAGTCTCGGGAGGAAACGTCACTTCCCGATCACTAGGTGTACACCTGGAGGGGTAGGTACCTACTGTACAAAGCAGCTCAACACCCCTCATCAGCCACGGCACAGTGGGGACAGTGCAGGTGCACCTGCGGAAGCTAATGCTGGAAGGTCCACTGGGCAGGTATTACCTAGGTACGTACCTGTACCACGAGCTCGGCTGGTGTCAATCGTCTTTCTCAACATCTGCACCACAGTGGCGCATTCATCTCTTTATCGCCATCCCATGTCACTACCTTATCGCTATCGCCATTGCCATCGCGTCCATGATCCCGCAGCCTCGGGCAACAAACCAAATCGACAAATCGTAGAACTCCAGACTTTCTCCAACCTTCATAAATCCGCCTACCCTACCACGCGTACCACGGTTGCGTGCACACATTGCACACGTTCCAGCACTGCTTTAGCTGCTGTCCCAGACAAACCAGCAGACCAGCAACTACCTACCTCCGAAACCCTAGAAGCCCGTTCACATTCACATTCACATCCCCGCGCCACTACGTCTGCAAATCCTGGGTCCGTTGATCAACCGGACAGTCGAGGCATTCGTTTCGCCACAACCACCTGTCATATGCATCGCGTCGGTGCCCGACCTGGGGAATGGTGGTAGTGCCGGTGACTTCTTCATCCTCTGACAGTCTGCCGTCTCACGGCTTTGGCTCCTCTCTGGTAAGTGCTGCCCTCGCGAGGGAGGTTACTCGCATTTCCTTCTCAGACCCGCCGAGACAATGAAAGTAGCCTCTTGCTGATTCTCGCCTGCTAGAACGACTATAGAAGCAACGATACTCTGCTATTTCATTATGGCTGAAGTAGCAGATTCCATGTCCCCCGAGCTACTCTCATCCTCCGACCCCGACTTCGACTTCGACAGTGTTGACGACGAAGAGATACACGATCAAGGTTTCCACGACATCGACGACAACGACGACGACGTGGAAATCACCGGCATCAGTTCCGACAGCGACGAGGAAATCACCGACGTCAATTCCGACCTCGAATCTACCGTCAGCCCTGAGGACCCGCACGATCTAGTCCAACATCTCCCAGACTTCTTCGACGACGGCTTTGAGGAAGGGGGTTTGTTTGTCGACGATTTCTACGGCCAAGGCAGAAACGAACAACAGCTGGCAGTCCCGCAGAGTCCACGCCATTTGCGCAATCGCAATCTCTTGTCTCCCGTGTACGAGGACTTGCATCACGTCTACCGCTCCATTTCCCCCCCAAACTACAATAATAATTACAACAATCTCGATCACAGCCTTTTCCCAGCCAGGATGGATGCAGGAGGAGGTGCAGGACATCAGAGAGACGAGCTAGTTGGGATGGAGGTTCAGGGTCAAGGAAACGCCAGAGACCATCGACACAATGGACGGCCACAACCTGACGTGATCGACCTCACGGGTGATGATAGCCCACCTGGACCTGGCCAGCCCGCGCCATCTCGACAGCTCTCGCAGAACGCTCGCAGACGGCGCTCGCAGCAACGAAGTACACCTCCCCGGTTAGCACGGAGTGACGCCAACTACATGGGAGGCCATGCAGTAATCAGCCTCCTCTCCTCCGACTCGGAGGGCGACGAACCTGTTGCAGTGCCGGCTGCGAGGCAGCATGGGAACAACAATGGTGCCGGGCGTGGTGCTAGAAACGCCAGGCCTGGTCCCCAGCAGCAACCTGCTGGCAGAGCACAAGCACAGCCCCCGAACATGCATGCACTTGGAAGTCTGCATCAGAATTTCCAGCAGAACTTCCAGCAGATGCTCCACCAAATACCCAATCTCCCCATCTTCAGTATTTTCGGTGCAGCGATGGTAGGCCAAGGTGATGATGACGACATTGTCGTGGTGGCTGAGAACAACCGGGCACCCGGGCATCACCCGCCGGCCCCGGCACACGTCCCCCTGCGTCCTGTGCATCTCAACTACAACGCGCACCCGTTCGGTATCGGGCGCGGGGGCGCGGGTGTAAACCCAAAGCCCGCGCATCAACCCCCCAAGGAGACAACAGTGGGTTTCACGAGAGACACGGGCGATGAGGTGGTGGCCATCTGCGCAAGCTGCGAGCAAGAGCTAGCTTTCGATCCAGACGGCGAAGACGACGGCCCGGCTACACCAGCAAAGAAACAGCGCAGCAAGAAGGACAAGGCTGAGCACCATTTCTGGGCCGTCAAGGCCTGTGGACATGTGAGTGGCCCATCCCTGTGCTGTTCCCGCCGGCACATTAGCTCGAATACTGACTGAGTGGGTTTCTAGGTCTACTGCAAAAAGTGCTATGATAATCGCAAGCCCGCTGCTAGAAATCCGGTGCCTGTGAGCTTCCGGCCGGAGCCTAGTGGTGCAAAAAACAAGATGATGTGCGCCGTGGACGGTTGTGATTCGGAAGTGAGCTCAAAGACGGCATGGGTTGGTCTCTTCCTATAGTGCAAGACTCCTCGGAATCCCTTTGCCCCGGCTGAGTTGGGCCCTTTCGAAACTGGGAAGATCATCGGCAGGTTTGCGCACACTCGCATTACTAGGCGTCTAGGTGGAAGGAGTACAGAGCACGGTGCTCCTGGACTGGAATCCAGTGGTATATGATTCCCAAACAGCGTAGACACATGGCATTGTTTTGCGTAGCTTTGCCTTTCGCCTTCTACTCTATTCTCTCAAGAGTGAGAAGATTCACTATGCGGCAGCATAATGATGTACAATACTTGCGATGGGTTATTCGAGCGCAGCTACAAAAGTAGTTCCGAAGGCAGGCGTTGCGAATTCCTTGCAGACGGCAGGTGTACATAAACTACAGCTTACACCTCCTCGTTCTACCAGGAGATGTATTCTTGCATGCGATGCATTACCCAGGTACCCAAGCATTTCTTCGCCCCGTGTGTTAAATGGTGGAAGATCTCGGGAGGAGTGTATGCTGATGCCGAGAGACACCTAGGTAGTCATAACCTTGGACCGACCGACCCAGCAGTGGCCAGCCCCATGACCACCTCTTGTTTACGTGGCATTTCGCTCTATATATCGCGGTGAACCATGTACATGCGAGGAACCACGACCCGATTCAACCCTGTCGTGAGAACCACGGTTCCTTCTCCCCCTTTGCAAACGGGGCGCAGGGCGTCTGACTCTGGGTGGCGACCCCCTATCCGTCCTCCCTACTCTACCGCCAAAGCGGTGCTTCTCACAAGACCGGCGGCAGGAGCAATGCAGAGGTGTAGGCAATATCGGGCCTGCCGTGCCGCCTTGCGTGCTTGAGTATCGAGACTTCCATGCATTCTTCCTCGAAGAAGCAGCTCAAGGGCGCACCTCACCATCCTCCGAGGCTTTGTTGAGTTCCACCCCTGGTGTATCTGTGCCCCTACTCACGACAGCTTGTGGTTCAGACGACAGCGTCCGGAGACGATGTTCAGCAAGGATAATCTTTGTTTTCACCTTTTGTTTCAAGACGCAAAGTCCAGGATGTGGCGGTCCCGACACGTTGTCCAGCTGCGTGAACAACTTGAGCCAGATCAACTTCTCTGCTGCCGAATCGTCGCGCCGTATTTTGTACCAGAACTTCAGTCCTCTGTACCGAGCCTGCTGCGCGAGGGACGCTACACGATACGTATCCCCGAGGGACACCCTTTCCGAGCCGATCCCAAGCCTGCGCAGCCAGGCTGGAGTCCTCGCTGCTTCGCCCGTCGACAGTCCTCCCGTCATATCCTGGCAACGACCGTCTTCCATATCCCATCCACCGTGTTCGTGAATAAGACCTTCCAGGTACTTGACCTCGAGATGCAGCAGCTGCTGGCTGTAGGCTCGTGCCGTGTCGATGAAGACCGTGGCTCCCTGGGTGCGCCTGACGCCCTGGCGGCGCAATGCGAAGCCGCTGAGGTTGTCGCACGAGGTCGTCCATTGTTCGTGGAGTGTCTGAAATCGCGCGTGGGATCTGGCTGCGTCGTAGATGAGTGAGTCGAAGGTGGTGGCCTTGTCTCTCCTGAAGGCGTCAGTGCAGCTCGTGATCGTAGTAAGAACTTCTGGTCCCGTCGCTCGCTGTTGTCGCCTGCGACTGGGAGGTGCACTTCGAGACCTCGGGGAATCCATGCTGTTGTGATGCTAGTCTTTGTCCTTCGTAGAGGGAGATGACCAGCCAGTGATAGATTGTTCATGGCCAACGAGTAATACTTTGGTCTCCGTCTCTCCCTGCTAGATCGTGACGGTAGAGTTTGAGCAAGGCGCAGTCCTTAACTATATACGTTCTGTCCATGGTTGAAGAAATGTTTACTATTGTCTTGGTGCGAGCCAATTGTCACAAGCCACAATCATATAGTAAGTGCGCCGCGCATTTACTGACCTGCCATTGTGAGGCTATAGAACTATAAATCCTCCAAATCATCAATCGCATTGTGTGTATGTCAGCATTGCCAGCAACCCCTGAACCCCTATTCATTCACTTTTGGTGACTCCAGCAACGGGCCGAATGGTGAGTCACGAATGGGTCCAGGGCACTACAGTGACAAACACGAGCAAATTTACTCTGTCAAACAGACAAACAAACACATGCAAGCGACTTGGAGCAGTTGGAAGCTCGTCAGGCTCATATTAATGCAACCTGAAGGTCGTTGGATCAAGACCAACAGTCGCTATCATCAATCTTTTTTGATATTTTTACTCCCTCATCACCCAATTTTTGGGAATCTCAACCTCCCTCCAAGCCACCATGTGGCTTGCAGTGCTGTTAATCTTCAACCTTTGCACTTGACAAGGGGACTCGAAGTTTGTATTATCTCCCCTGGAAAAACTCAAAATCAAAAGACTCATGTATAAACCCTCGAGACCACCCTGCCTCTAATCACCCTCTTGACTTAGCAGTCTCCCAGAAGCGTCGCCATGCTTTTTGAAACTGGATCAATGCACCTATGGCTTAATCACTCGCAATATTATTCGAACGTGAAGATAAGGAAAGATAGTATTGGCAACCTATGCTGAACAAGCCCTGAAAATTATGGCAATGGTAGGTAGGTACACCGGCTATTATCGTCTCCTTCAGACGAATAGCGGCCGGCCTCCGAGTTCAGCCCGTCGGCGCATAACGAAAATTTCCGATCGGAGTCGGGCATAGTCAAAGGACTCGTGTGCGAAGGGGTGCACCGAGACAGCGGATTGGTACTCGGACTACCGAGCGGACTCCTCGAGAATCTGGCAAGCGCAGGCCCGGATTCTACGGTACCCATCTGAGTCGCATCGGCCGTCGTGTTTGAGTGGCTGGCGAGGTTCCGCTCGGGGTTGACGGTCTCGTGCTCAAGGGTCTTGGAGAATGCGTAGAAGCCCGAGGCGACCAGCGAGCCCAGCACGGGGCCAGGGAAACCGAATTTCCACCTGCGAGAGGGGCACGCGCAAAACAGACCAGTCTTTCTCTTTGGTCTTCTCCGTGATCGACTCTGCAGCCATTCTTGTGTTGTTACGAGACCACGGCCTTCCGAGCTCAGAATTCGAAGAGAATCCCGCAGCCATCACATACCAAGCCACCCCACCAACACCATCACCAACATCACCATGTCTGCCCAAAACGGCAACCAGAACGCACCCGTGGGCCAGGCTGGTGGCCCTCCAGGTGCCGCTCCGCCCGTTGCTCCCGGTCTCGTCTCTCTGTCCCTCTTGTCCTCCCCGTACTTGCTTTACCACCGGTGTAGTATACTTCCCGGACGACATGTCAGTAGAGGTTGAGGCACAGGTACGTCTCGCTGGACTCTTGGCCGGTTCACTTAACTCATCTCGACAATGAGGAGTGACAGTACCTATGTCGGTTCCGCTGTCCGTTCCGCTATCCGTTCCCATGTCAGTGCCCGTTGCGGCGCCCATTTATGGAAATAGGCACGATATACTAAATTTCTAAAAGTCTCAGTACAGCCCTTGTTCAGCAACAAAAGGGTGTATTCATCGGCAGTGGCATAATCGTTCACATAAGCATAGGAGATGGCCTATTAGATTGAACCTGCTTATTCTAGGTTGCTTATTCCATTCTCCCAAATAGCCACCTAGCTAAAGTTCCAGTTCATCACCGCCGAGAGGTTGTTGCTCTTGTAAGCCGACAAGCTGTTGCCGGGCGACCACGCGGTCGAGTTGCCCACCGCGGAGGCGTTGTTGCAATGTTGGGACATCATAGGTACCCCATCACCACCACCACCACCGCTGCCGACACCAGAGACCAGAACCACGGCCGCAACAGCTCCCAGGACGCCGAAGACAGCCAGCGCGGGAACGTCGTGGAGGCGGGCCATGAGCCAGGCCGACCAGCCAGCGGCCGGTTCGGTTGGCTCCTTCGCCGTGGCCTCTTCGCTGTAGTTCTATAGATCCTGTATTAGCAATTGAAGTGGGAATATGACTTTAAGCGTGACTCTGTGGGTGACTTTGTGCGTGACTTTGTCGTACCTTGATGAGACCCAGCATTTGGGCTGCGGACACGAACGCCATGCTGGCCTCAACTCCGCATTTCTGTAGTGCTTGACTGGCTTCTTGGACATCCATGGTATGCAAATTGTCGGCGGTCCAGCCCAGCCAGTCGACACGGTCCGCGGGCAAGCTCATGTATTCGAAGTAATCGATCAGCCAGGCGCAAGTGGTTTCGGGCGACGCATTGGGGCCAGGGACGCGCGCCAGGTTGCCGAACGCCGAGTTGGGCATGTTGGACGAGTTGGCCATGGTGAGCGAAGTGGGCATGGTGAACGAACGATTGAAGGAAGATTTGCGACTGGAGGTTTCCATGCCGAGGGAGAAGAAGGAGAAGAAGAAGTGGCGGCGGATCGTCGAGGAAGTGGTCGAAGAGCGAGAGAGGAGGGTTGGTGATTGCTCGGGCAGGCAAGCTGATTCTGATTCACCTTCACTGCAGGTGGTCGGCGGGCCTATCGATTGGATCCCAGATTGTCGGTGTGGTGTCCTTCGGATGATGAAGGGTACATGCAATGAATGTAGCAAACGATCACGAGCTTCCTTCATTCGTCGACCACGGGATGGACGACTCATCGCTGTGCAGTGAGGAGTCAGACGTTCGGCGTCGTGGTTGCTACAGGCACCGGCAACGCTCGCTCCATCAACTCTGGTTCCATACGTTCTAGCAGGCGGCTGGCTAGATATAATGCTTCATAACCTTTGTGCCTATGTTATTCGGTTCTTTCGTCAGGCGAACCAAAGGCGTGTCGCTGCTTATTAGGACCGCCGATTAAATTGAACATCACGGGTATTCGCTGCATACTTCTAGCTAAAGAGTAGATAATCCTGCTGGACATCTAAAGATACCCAAACAATCGTTGGGTCAAACATTCGGCTCCAACCTTTCACGCTACAGAATATCACAAAGCGCGTCATCCCATCCTTCTTCATAGTCTGTCTCTTGCGAGGCCGGCATTGCCTGCTCCTCTTGGTCTCTGCCTGGTTTCTGCCCCTTGTTCTGATCCAAGCTGGCCAATCCTAGCATTCGCTCGTATGAGCTTGGTACCCTTCGGGCCTTATTCTCCATGTTCGACGGCTTCGTCTTCTGACTAGTTGTATGCTTCGACATCGAGCTCCGTTGTTGACTCGTCGTCCGGGATTCAGCCTCCCGCTGTGTTGCTGGTTTGCTGCGGGCCTGGCTGACGGGATCCTTGACCGATAAAGATGACCCGTTCGTCTCATCTGCCCCTTGGGCTTTGCCACCCTCTTCCTCCTCATCTGCCTCCAGCAACTCCTTCAACCGTTCGTCTTCGCGCACCCGGAGATGATCCAACTCCTCTTGGGCTTTTTGTCGGGCCTCGGGATCTTCCCAAGCAGTTGTCTTGCTCCGCTCCAGCACGTACTTGTATTGCATGGTCCGACCGCTCGGAGTAAAGAACGGTTTGGGGGATAGCCGAGGGGTCACTGCCGATTGCGCCGCGGATGATCTTCTTTCGGGATCCGCTGCAACAGACTTGTAAGGCTCCGGACATGCCTTGACCGCATGTAATGTCAAGTTCCCAAGATCCTTTCCCATATTCGAACTTATCTGAACAAACTCTGCACTTCCACAGCCATCACCAGTCAAGCCATCCAGCTCTTTCTGCGCCTGATGTTTCACAAGCTCGGAGCCTTCCAGAGCCATAGCATTGGGAATTGGCGTGGGATCATCTGGCGGACGCGTCGGAGGGGTTTGTGTACGACACGATGCCGTGTTGACATCACGATTCATGTGACCGAACTTCCCACGCTGTAGTTTAGGGTCAGGTTTAGGGTTGGTAACCGCCATACCAGTCCGGTCAACGCGCACAGCGGATGCGTGTGACGAGACGTGCCGAGCACTAGGACTACTTGTCGGCAATGCCCTCTGCGCTGGCGGCTGTGCCTTCACCGGTGATATCGGTTCTTCCTCGATGTCCTTGACATCCTGGGACGAAAGGAACAGATCCTGCGTGGAGAAGAATGGTATGTCCACTGTAGCTGCGATCGCTGGAAGTCGAGAGTTGGCACATGGATTATCAAGCAGGCCTGGAGATCCCTTACACCTGGTCTTCTGGCGGCCTGGAGTAGCGAAGCGCCCAAGTCTAGATGCTGAAGGTATCGCAGGAGGGGGTAAATGTCTTTGCAGTGGTAAAGGAGCTGGATGCGCGTTTCTTGAACGAATTGGGTTGCCATGTCTGACTGGGCTGTCTTTGGGCTCCTCAAACAGTTCCCGTACCTCCTGCGATGGGCTCGGAAAGAAGTCGTCGAATTGGCCCAGCATAAACAACTGTGTGCTCGTTGGCGGACATTCTGTCGGAGCCTGCTGTGGCATAGTAGGATTGTATGGCTTTGCCGCAGCTTGCCGGTCAGATAACCGTGGCTGTTTTGGCATGAATTGAGGTGACCTTGGCGTACCACCAGATACAACATGGGGCGACTTGAATTTCGGTGGCACAGGAGGTGGCCCCATTGGGGTCTTGGGGTGTCGGAAAGACCGCGAGGCCGAGCCCAATGTCTGTGGTTTCGGAGCTATGGCAGTAGGTGTGTTGATGATGGGCTGGCGAGCGATAGGTTGCCTCTCCTGAACAGGGGGTTTGTTCTGGGGCGTGGTAACAGCTCTAGCGTTGACCTCCTTTTTCGACAGATCTTTCAATGGTCTCGTTACCGGAGCAGGCGTATTGATAATGGGCTGGCGGGTGACAGGTTGCCACGCCTGAACTTCGGGTTCGCTTTTGGGCGTGGTAGCAATTGTTGCGTTGGCCTCCTTTGTCGACAGACCTTCCATCGATCTGGCTACTGGAGCAGGCGTGTTGATAGTGGGTTGGCGGGTCACGGGTTGCTTCTCCTGAACAGGGGGTTTGCTTTGGGGCGTGGTAAAAGTTCTAGCTTTGACATCCGTTTTCGATGGACCTTCCAATGGTCTCACTACCGAAGCAGCCGTGCTGATGATTGGATTTCGCGTGACGACTTGCTTCATGGGGGTAAGAGATGTATCTTGGAGTGTGCTGAATATGCGTGCGTTCGTCTTCTTCGCTGAAAGGTCCTGCAACAGCTCTCGAGCTTGACGCGGAGTGTGATCTTCCTTCGCTCCAGACTCGCACGTTGGCGCATATGATTCGCCTGCTTTTTGGGACTGCATAGAGTCTTCAGGGTGCTTTGGCGGTGGAGGTTTAGCGGGAGATTCATGGCCACGTAACCGGGTTCCTCTCTGCGGCTCTGCTGCTGCGATCTCCCGTGCGCTGTCCATCACTCCCAGCAGGTCACTCAATAATTGGTCATCCACGTCGTCGATCAACAAGGGGTCTTCGTCCGCATGACTACCGCGACTTGGTTTGGTATCCGCAAGCTGTACAGGTCGCACGGGAGCGTCGTCGGTAGCTTCATTCGACGCTGGTTCGGGTTCGGGTTCTGGAACTGGCAACTGCGGCACTGGTTCACTTGATATCCTTGTAGACCGACAGTTCTCTTGTATTGGAGGGTCGAGTCGTGGCTTCTTGGCTGGTGGCTCGTGGTCATCTTCGGTACAGCTATCACTGCCGTACTCCTTCCTCGCAATGATAGCAGGCGATTCGGTCCTCGGCCTAGGACGGACGAATCTCGCAATGGTGTCTTGGGAGGGGTGGACCTCGACAAGAGGCAAGCCCTTCTTCTTCTTCTCGGCGCGCTCCCTGTCCTCCTTGTCTTTCTTCTTGTCTCTCGCGGCTCTCGCGCGGGCTTGGCTCTTCTCCTTCTCGAACTCCTTCCGTATGCGGTCCTGCTCGAAAAGATCCTGGCGCCTCTGCTCGGCCTTGGACAGCTTCGGGGCCTTGTTCGCCTTCTGGTATGCCTTCTTAGCTTGCTTGCTGGTCATGGGCCGGCGGCTGGGTCGCGAGTTGGCGGCATCGTGGTTGGTGTTGATGGCAGACGGGGCATCCGGGATGATGGAGAAGATGCCCTGGATGGGAGCCATGCTCTCTAGAGGGACGTCGGGGTAGGCCTAACCACAGCTCCAGGCAAGGCTGGTCGAGCACATGGTACGGCGTATGATCTGTCGACTGCGGTGGTGATGTTCCGTTTGATTGCATGCGTTGACATGCGAACTGGTGGGGGGAGGTAGTCGCTGTGGATGTTTTGTTTAATTGATTGCAGCGCGTCCGCCGCGTCGGGTGTTGCCCCGTTACAGCACTTGCATGTGACGCGCCCGGTATAACGGTAGCCTGTGGCCCCCGCATCGTTCCAGCCTGCCCAGTGCAACCAAGGGTGGTCCTGATCATGAGTTGAATAAACAGTACCGCATGGGCTCACATTTTGTCCACCTCGTTATGCACTGTCGTAATGCCACATGACAACGGCTCTGCACAAAGTCCCCAGCCCCTGCCTGCTGGTTGACTGTCGTGGAGGACTATAAATACTAACACACCAGTGACGGCATTGCTATTGGTAAAGATGAATGGCTGCACAAGTGAAACTATCATTATTGGGGAGAATCTGGACAGTTCTTTCCTACGTGTGCTGGCAAGCTGCTGAGAATTGAATGCTGCCCATTGACGAATAGGGGGGCGGACCTTTTGACGGATGAGTGTTTTCCCCACGGCATGTAAGTGTTCCTTTATTGGCTTTGACAACATTTTAACTGTTAATGTGTAAGATGGATGATAGAGCCAGCTTCATGTCTACGTGAGCCAAGTAATACCTTTTATAATGCCTTGTTCCAGCTAACAACTGCACCCTCCCTACAGTCTGTTGAGACTACCGCGCAACTAGAGCCTCAGCAGCGAACCAAGCTAAAACCTGTAATCATGTGGTATCAATAATCAGGTATGTCATGATTGACAGCTGCTCTGTTCGTTCCGTTAAGAGAAATATCCTGAGAAGTTACTTTCTGAATACTGGAAGGCGTCCGGAGCTAGAAAGCCCACACGGTTTATTCATCTGGGCAGTTTTCGCGACTTCAAATACTCTGAAAGTCGAACTGCCAGCTATTTCATTGATCTTCTGGGTATTCAAGGGCAATTGATCAATCATGGTACCCGTTAGATCGTCAGAATTTGAGGTGTAGCAGGTAGGCAAGAGTGTTCAAAGCCGGGACTATGTCCCATCCAAGCTGGGGGACCAGTACGTGGTCTCATTGCTAGACTACCAAGCCGTTATCCAGGCAAATATTACGACTTGCTGCACTTCTTTAGAACTCTTATTAACTTCAAGGCAAGTTTCCCGTCAGACTATCCTACCAGCATGGACGTGGACTTCGCATTGAGCAAGCAGCTCGTTCTCTAGAAGTACCAACACTAGCTTTTGATAACCCATCTCCACCGTTCTTGTTATTTCTTTTCCAGGCTTCGGAGCCCATAGATGTTAGAAGCTATGTAGGCATGCTTGAAAGCAATAAGTTTAACTTCACTAGTCGGAAATCACCAGACTCGGGTGCCGGTCCGTCCGTTGCAGCCGGTGTGGGTAGCCCGATACCCGACGACATCATTCTTATCTACCTAATGATAGTCTGATATGATATCACCTCGAAAGCATTGCTTCCTAATATATCTAGACACCCCCTCTACGCTGGGCACTGCACTCAATATCATCCATACCCATCACAGTCTCACCCCCCTTCACCTACCTACCCCGTCCCATACCATGGCCACCTCAACCAAGCCCCCAGCTCTCACAACCCAACCCCTCATCAACAGCATTCCAGCGGACCTCGCGCCCCAGTTCGAGCCAACATACGTAGAGTACTACAACAACTACAGCGCCGGCCGTCTAGCCACACACCAGGTCCCCATAAAAGAATACCGTAAAGACCCGCTGCGATACACCATCAGCTACGGCCATGAGATCATCGACGACGGCCCGCTCGTCATCACCGAGGAACAGTGTCCCGTTGCCGACGGGACGATAACCGTGCGCATCTTCCAGCCGGACGAGGCGTCTGGTCAAAAGCCGCGGCCCGTGTACGTCAACTTCCACGGGGGCAGATGGGCCTTTGGCGGTTTGGAGACGGATAACGAGTTCTGCAAGCGGCTGGCGTTGGAGCTGGGATGCATGGTGTTTGACGTCGATTACCGGCTCGCCCCTGAACACAAGTTCCCGACTGCTGTCAATGACTGTTGGGCTGCTTTCAACTGGGTGAGCGTCACTCGAAATTGATCAAGATCGGACTAGCAAGATGCTAACTCACACAGGTTCGAGATGAGAAAGCAAAGTCATTGAATCTCGATCTAGAAAAGGTATCTGTCGGCGGCTGTTCAGCAGGCGGGCACCCCAGCGCCGTGATAGCACACAAATGCCGCGACAAAGTCATCCCGCTCGCTTTCCAGCTACTAGGCGTCCCTGTGTGCGACCTGCACGTTTTCGATCCCCATGGTGAGTTGAGGGGAGACTGCCCATACGAATCCTACCGCGAGATGTACCACACCGTGCCCCTTCCCGCGGAACGGATGGGGTTCTTCCACAACCACTTCCTGGGCTGCCCGAGGCCCGAGCAATTGGACGCATATCCTCTAGTGAGTGGCAGCCTACCTGTTTTTAACTACACTGAGCCTCCAAAAGTCTCCGTACGCCCCTTGTTGAGCAAGCGAGCGGTATATTTATTGGAAATGGAATAAGCACTCTGGAATAAGCACTCTGGAATAATAAATCAACCTGCCTTGCCAAATCGAAGCTGCTTATTCCATGGTGTTTATTGCCAAAATGAATATAACATTGATATCCAATAATGAATAGAGACATGGCGGACGGAGACGTATTGGGGGGAGGGGGGGGGGGGGGAGATTGTGACCCGGAGCTGATACTTTTCACAGGACTGGTTAGTGTCGCCTATCAAGGCTCGAGATTTTACAGGCCTGGCACCCGCTTTGATACTGACAGCAGAGATGGATCCGCTGAGAGAAGAGGGCGAAGCGTATGGCAAGAAGATGAACGAGGCTGGGTCGCAGGCCGAGGTCATCCGCCTCAAAGGAGCACCGCATACCTGCATGCAGATGGACGCCATCTTAGAGAGCGGCAAACAGATTAACCGAGAGTCCATACGGGCCCTTGGTAATACTTTTGGCAAGCCTAGTTGAATATCGAGAGACCTTGACCTTCCGTACCTTGAGACACAAGACGTACACAAAACACACTCATATACACTCAAATATGTCAAAACTGGGTTCGTATACTCAATTATTACGTGCAATGTGGTCAATGCAATAACAAGGGAAAAGCCCGAAGGCAAGAGGTATCATCCGACGAATCCGACCATGATTCACTAAGCAAAGCCTTCCTCAACCCTGGGTATCATCACCTTCTCGTTTCCTGACAATAGCTGCAAACTTTCGCTCTGCTTCTCCACCTATGGGCTCCTTGTAGCCCAAAGGGGGATCCAGAGCACATTACTTCCACCCCTAGATCGTAGTAGTGTTTCCAGTCACGGGGGCCCCGGCATAGTTACCGTGCAGCGCAATACCGTTAGAGTGGTTGCCACTGGAGTAGTTGCCACTGGGGTAGTTACCACTGGAGTGGTTGCCGTTGGTACCGCTGCCAGCGACAGCGTGGGCCTTGCGAGTGACTTTGGGAGCAGACGGGATGTCGTGGCTCTTTGAGGCACTGCCAATGGAGAAGACGGGGCTCTCCCACTTGTCACCCTTGCGCGCAAGCTCCTTGTATTCGGTGGCCTTGGAGCTGATGCCACCGGGAAGGTGGATGTTAGGGAAGATGCTTTCCTCCTTGGTGACAGCATAGTTGACCTTGGTCTCGTTTGCCGTCTTCTCGGCCTTCTGCTTGCCCCGCAGCACCTGCTTCTGAGCGGCGTTCATGTAGCGCTGGTACATGTTGGGCACGTTCTCAGGGTCGGAGCGGGCCTCCTCGAGGGCACGGTCAGCTTCTTGCTTGACCAGGTAGGCCATCTCGTCGAACTTGTTGAACTGGTCCTTGAGCTGCTTCTCGAAGGTCTTCTGTATGACAGGGCGGAGCACCTTAAGCATGATGGGCTTGAAGAGGCCGAATAGTAGCTTGTGGTTGGACTTGACGAGCTTGACCTGGAGGTGCGTGACATCGACGTCGACCTTGTCGATCTTGAAGAAGTGTTGCTTGTCGTTCTCATCCGCAGTAGACAGCTTCATGCGGAAGCAGAAGCCATCGCCGCCCATCGTGATGTTGGCAACACCAGTATCGGTGATGGAGGGGAATCCCTGCTTGCGCTTGACGTGGTAGCTCACGTCGCGCAGGTCCATCTGGATTCCGGTGACCTTGACGTCAATAGAGTTCTTGTTCTTGCTGGCAATCTTCTTGCGGCCCCAGCGGAAGTAGTTGTCGCTAGCAACCTCCAACACGTTGGGCATGAAGTTGTCACTCTCCAGGACAAGATTCTCCACGACGGCATCGATCTGCGGGTCGGAGTACTCGATCCGGGGGATAGGGATGTATGCGATGTTCTCAAAGGCGGCCGGGAGGATGACATCGGTAAGATCCTTGATCAAATGCGGCTTGAAGGTGGGCTTGCCGTTCTCGTCGTTGCCAAGATCCTTAAATAGCTTCTGCATGGACGCAGCAAAGGCTTTATTCTGGGCATCATGATCGAATTGCTCGGCTAAGAACTTGATCTCGTCGACGATGCGGTCGGTGCCAGCCTTGTACTTCTCGCGCAGCAGGTAGTTGCCGTGGTCGTGCAGACGGTGCCACTGCTCGTTGGAATCGTCATCCATGATGTAGCCCTGCTCCTGCAGGCATCGCCGGATGTATGAGTCGAGAGACTTGAACCAGTTCTTGAGCTCTGGGTCCCTGTCGGCAGCCTCGTACATAGCGTTGATGGAGGACCAGAGGTCGTCGCTGGAGGTACCGTTGGCAAAACGCTCGATCAGAGTCTGGAAGTGAATTAGTACGAATGCGAAGGGCATGCTCATGAGCAGTGGCACATACCTTGAGATCAGCTTCAGCGGCGGCGAGGCCGGATCTGGCTTCCTGTACCGTTCCAGTGCCAGACGTGGCCACCCTCTTGCCATGGGAGCCGTACTGTTCGGCCAGATCGAGCAAAGTAGAGATAGCCTGCTGATAATCGGGATGCTGCTGGCACTCAAGTACCATTTTCTATAATCATCATGAGCACAGGTTCCAACAAGGGCAAGTAGAGGAATGCTAACCTTCAAGCGCCAGATAGTCTGCTCACGTCGGTCCTGGGGCACCTTCTTGGACAGATACTGCTTTACCCGAGCGCGATACTCGGCAGCAGCCTTCTTCGCGTTCTCCTGGGTCTCGTCAGGAACTCTCGCCTTGGCCTCATTGACAGCAGCCTTAGCACCAGCCTGACCGCCGGCCTGGGCGTTGCGCTGAGCATCATCCCGGTTGTCGATTGTGTTGCTCGTGTTTTGCTGCGCGGCGTCGGCACCGGAAGAGGCGACAGCCTTAGCATCCTTGGTAGGGTCACTCTTGGACAAGCTGTTCAACTGGCCCTTGATGTTCTCCTTGGAGAAATCGGGGGCATCATGCCAAGTGTTATCCTCGGCGGGTCGGTCGATCTGTGAGAGGGCGTCCTCGGAGGGCTTAACTTTGGTAGCGGCAGTTTCGGCAGCATCGCCGACCATGTCGCGCAGGAGGGTGCTAGCATCATTCACTAGATGGGAATTAGCAATTGGTCGGGATGCTCACGCGTAGTGGCATCGGGGGTTACTTACGTAGCTTGCGGAACTGGCCGTTCGTGATGAGCAATGTACCCAGAGTCCTCAGGCCCTCCAATGCCTGATCGCCGTGCTGCTTCGCGGTCTCCTTGTCGACGGGGGCACCGGGGGCGCCCACAGTCTTCGCATCGAAGTGCTGCGTCTGCCAGATGAAGTCCTGCAGAAGATTTCCCTCGTTCTTGGACAATAGCAGGTGTTTGGCCTGCTTCACGACAACCTGGAAGTCTCCGACGAGGGCGCGTCCCTCGGGGGAGAGCTTCTGCGACGGGCTCTTCAGAACTTTGGAGGCGAGAAAGCTGTTGAGCGCGACGTCGATCTGGTCGTTGGAGGGCACCTTGCCTTGCTGGAAGGCATTGATGATGCCGTAGATCTGGAGCTTGCGGTTGACATCGGCCTCCTTCACCTTGGTGTCGGTGGGCTTGTTGACAGAAGCCATAATGACAGTGGAATGGGGTATCTCAGAGTATGTAGTGGAAGTGGTTTGTCGAGGAGGGTCGGGGACGGAGATGGGAACGGGGATTGGGTATCACAAAGAAGTATATTACTGGGTATAATTAGGTACTCCCGGGGGTATTGGTGGGAGAGGTCGGGAAAATGAGAAGAATCAGTTTCGGAGAAGTCGACTCGGGAGGTTTGGGGGAAACAAAGGGTGTTTATACGGCAATGTAGGCAGGTGGGAGGGAGGTGGCCCGTTTGTGTGGGTAGGTACCTTACCTAAGGTAATAGTAGTGGGACCCGTTGTGTCAGGTGCAGGTGCAGGTGCGACGTGGGCGAACTGGCGACGAGCTCCAGCTGCAGGTGCCAAAATGGGTGCCAAGTGCTGGAATTCAGTTGGTTTGTAGGTTACCATATGGAGAAGGACAAGTATGAGGTACCTCCAGGCTTGGTCGTGGGCGTGCAGCTCCAACCGAGACTTTCTGGTGGACGTGAATGAGACAGTCTTGTACGTCATAGGCGCTAGCCCGGGTTTTATGTACTATTTTGGAGCTTGGAGCTTGGAGCTGGAGCTGGACTCCTCTCGCAGGCGCAGGGGTAGAGCTCCACTGAGGTGAGCAGTGAGGCCGGGCCAGGCGCTGCCCGGGAAATTGGTTAGGAGCTATCGCCGTAAGGGGGCACTATGTCATGCTGAGTCCACCAAGCCAATAGCTTCTTCAGTGGGTGACGTGCTGTTATTGGCTCCTCCTGTCAAGTCCAGCTTCAATTCCAAGATTTGCTGAAATTGCGCCGACCACCAGGGCCTGGAGTCTGGCAGTCTGGCAGTCTGGACACACTTGTCACTGACACAACAAAACCTGGAAACAAGCCATTACGCGGCAAAGGCATTCTATGAATTCATCCATCCATCATCATCCGCTACTCATCCCTCGCGAGCTGCCAAGACATGTCTGCATTCCATTCCCGATCCGCTATGCAGATGAGATGACACCGACTTGGACAGAGTACAGGGGTGAGCTACGCCCCTGTCAATAAATATCTAACCAGGTCCATCAGACCGTGTGTGCCTCGCAAGGGAGCTCTCTCTCACTCACTCTCACTCTCACATGTTGTCAAAGGGAATCCCGTATGATGTATTAAATAAGAAAGGGAAAAGAAAGGGGTAGACAGCTGGGAAGTTGGCGCAGGAACGCGGTGCGTGTTTCGACTAGACATACCTTACGACTGGACATGGGACATGCCAGAGTTCCCTGGCCGACGACGGGTATGGCGTCAGGTATGCGCCCGTATGTGTGCCGTCGCTGTCAAACAGCTTGTGCATGTAGGTAGTAGAACTCCCGGTTTGCAGCAACCCTAAGCACAACTTATGACGCAGCCAGCCACCTGTGCAAGGTGAAGGTGGCGAGGTCACAGGTGGTTCAACTTGAGACTGACGATAATGCCAGAAATCAGGATGGATTCAGGACCGGCCATCTTTCTCAAACAGGCGCTGAATGGGGACCAAAGAGCCAAACAGCCAAACAGATCCCCAATTTCCACATTCGGTGGTCTACTATGACTCTATGACGTACTGGGAGATTCGACTATGATTGATGAGACGAATGAAGGATCCTTGCATTAGCAGTGTAGTGGAATCTGGAGAACACCACCAGTTGGCAGTTGTGGATGTCGGCTCTAAAATAGTCGGATGGATCTCGATCTACCTCCTTTTCCAATATTACCCATCTGTACCCCAAGACTCTAGTCCGGTTCGTCTACCTCGTGTCCTGTTCGTGTCCAGTTACACGTCGATGAACAGCATCACGCGCTCAAAACTTGGTGAAGCCATCGACTTACATAGAGAAGTTGGACAGCGCACTGCATTCTGGTGACAGATGTGTGCGAATGAAAATGAATCCATCTGCCATCTCATCTCTGCAGCGCCGGAGCTTTGTCTCCATTACATACTAACTTGATTACCCCGGACGCCGCTCCGGCCGTCGTCCTCCAGCTGTTTTAGTGGGGTTACAGCGCAGATCGCCCGCACGCTGTGATGACTGATGGGCTGTGATGGGATGGATGGGAATGATGATGGATTCCTTTTGCCATGATGATACAAAGTTGCAAACGCACCCCTGCCGCCGCCGTGGACCCAGACGATCTACGCCCGGGGTCTACAGTCTGCATCCTATCCGCCTGTCATGCTTATTTCAGTTTCTGGGATCAGGTTTATTAATAATAATTATATGAAGTTGGCGTCGCGACATGTCAACACGTGCGCGAACGTCTTACCGTCGCGACTTCGACAACGTCGCCGGTAACCCGCGTCTATCCATCTACACATCGCCGTTTCACCCTTGGCTCCAGACGTTTGGTAGTTGTTGATTAAAGGCTTCTCATCGGTCAACTCGCATCTCCTCGCTTGTCTATCCGCACCCCATCTGTGCTTTTCTAGAGATGGCGACTGCTTGCCTGCGGTGACAGCGTTGAATTAGTTGAGAACCCCGAGTTGGTATTCATGTTATGTCGGCTAGTCATGCGCCGTCGGAACAGACTCGCTCTGTGACATCGTGACTGAGGCGTGCCCCGATGAATCAGTCAGTCCGCATGCACTGACATCTATCGCAGTCCAGCGCAATAGGCCCAGAGCGATTTTTCTCTTTATTGAATGTCAATAGAACCATGCTTCATTCATCTATGGACTGGAACCCGCGAAATCACGCACCTGGCCGCTCTGACTCGAAGCCTTCCATGATCGAAGCCTTCCATGACAAGAGTGACACGGAACCTGGATTCTATACTCGTCTGATGTGATGGCTATCTTCGGACTAACGGGTCGGAGGGACGTTCGGGTAGCTTAAGCCTTAGTATGGAGTCGACATTAGACCCAGACGAGTATAGAATAGACAACCCCAAAGGACCTTCAAACCTGCAACAACACTGCCATCATACCCTAGAGCAGCACTCCAGACCCGTCAGCTGGGCCCTACCACTGCAGGAACCCGTGGTTCAGAATGAGAGTGCCGACCTTTCAGGCAGCATCCCAGTCAACATTCAGGAGCCGTCTCGGTACTTCTTTCTTTTTGAAGGTAGAGATGAGAGGGCTGAGAAACTCCACTTGGATCAGCATGATCTACCGCACCCCGATATGGACCGCCGTTTTATATAGGTCTTAGTTGTCGGTAGATGGGAACGCCTTCACGGAATCAAGGCTCGATCATGAGATCATGTCGAAAAGAAAAGACCGAGCCTTGTCTCAGCAGGCTCTTCTCTCATATTTATGCCACCTCTGCCCCATACATTGAGTGATGAGGGTGGTCCTGAGCTCGATTGTCGACTTTCTACCACTCGCCCTCTTACCTGAGTCCCTCATTGCGAACCCGAGTGTCCTGCTAACTCCCGAGCCATGAAATTCCTCACCACGGCGGCAGCCTTCGTGCTGCTGGGCGACGCCTCCGCAGGAGCCATTCGCCGAGAGTCTGCCAACAGCAACTACAACTGTACGGCCCCTTACTCCTGGTATTGTGATGTCCGCTCTGCTGACCGAGACAGGTGTTCCTGGCATGGCATGCTGGCCTACCACTGCAGAATGGGCGGCCTTCAACAAGACCGTCAACGGAGCTCTCAAAGCTACGGTCCCTTGGGCAAAGCCCTGCTTTCAAGGCAATGCCGACAACACCTCTTTCAATGCCGCTCAGTGCTCCTACATTGCATCACACTACGCCGACAACCCTGTCGTTGGGCCTCAAGACCTCCCAAGCGGTCCATACCGTGAGCAGCAATACGGGTCGTTCTCCCAGCTGAACTGGGAAGCATGCGGCGCCTCAGACTGCGAGCTCCAGAGCGCCGCTCCTCAAGTCGTGCTACCCATTGTCAGGCAGTGCGGCCTTGGTAGAATGTCTGCTTACTACGTCAATGCCACGACCGCATCCCAGGTCCAATCCACCATTGCCTTCTGCCAGCAGCACAGGATTTTCATGACCATCAAGGGTACCGGTGACGATTACCTCGGACGCTCGTCTTCGGCCAACTCGCTTGCTCTGTGGACGTGGAACATGAAGAACCTGTCATACATCGAGAGCTTTACAGCGAACAACTGCCCGGCTGCGAACACCCAGAACGTAAGTATCACTCTGATACAGTATCAACACAATGGGACGTTCAACTACTGACCTCACCATATAGGTCGGTATCATGGGCGCGGGCATTGCTGCCAATGAGGCCGAAGACTTCTTCACCAGCAAGGGTATGCAGATCACCGCTGGCGCTGTGCAGTCAGTTGGTCTCGCTGGTGGCTACGGACAGGGTGGCGGTCACGGAGGTAAGGCTTTTGATGTCATGATACTTAACAACATGCTGACATTATCGTAGCTTTCGGGCCAAAGTATGGCCTAATGGTTGACAATGCTGTTGAGTTCGATGTCATCACCGCCGACGGCGAATATCGGACTATCAACCAGTGTAATGACCCTGACCTCTTCTACGCCATGCGAGGCGGGGGAGGATCCACTTACGCCGTCTTGCTCAACTACAAGTTCAAGGTCTTCCCGGAGGTGCCCATGTACTTCTACCAGTTCACCGCGGAGTTCGACCAAACCCAGAAGCCGCTCGCTTTGCCACTCAATAACCCAGGCCTCTACACTGCTGTCCATGCTCTTGCATCAAACCAGAAGAGCTTCGTCGACCACAATGTCTCCAGCTACAACTTCTACTACCCGGGTAGCTTCGAGACCTACCAGATCTTGCCCTCGATTGCGCCAGATGGTATGGAGCAGCTGAAGAACCTGACTGCCAGTTACCGCGCCACACTTGAGTCCATCCCTGGCATGGTAATCACATCGGACAATTACACGGTCTTCCAGCACCAGACGGACTTCTCGAGCTACACCACTCCTGTTGCCGTCCGCAACACTCCGCAGGGCTTTGCGGAAGTTCTTGCAGGCCGCTTCATCCCGGACACCATGTTCCAGAGCAACGACAGCATCAACACTTTGACGAAGGCTTTCCTTACTGGGTATGTCCTGACCTGCAGTAACCGAGCGAGACGTTAGCTGACACTTCTGTTCCCAGACTCCAAGCGACGCAGAACCCTCTCGACGTTGTCAAACCCATCGCCGCCCAAATTTACGTCACCGGCCCCTCTGGGCCCAACGCACCAAACAAGGACAACTCCGCTACCGGCGTCAATACCGCCTGGCGCAACGAGTACTGGGAGGTCGTCTACGCTGGCGGCTGGGTACAAGCCACGCCGCAAGCGGCACAAGACGCCATCACCGAGATCGTGCATACCGGCATGGACAACCTGCGCGACATCACCCCGGGAGGTGGCTGCTACTTCAACGAGGCTGATTACCTTGAGGAAGACTGGCAGACTGCTTTCTTCGGTGAGAACTACCAGAAGCTGCTATCGATCAAGCAGAAGTACGACCCGACCACTTTCTTCAACTGCTGGAAGTGTGTTGGCTGGACTGGACCAGCCGAGTAAGTTTACCTTCGTCCTAATAACACCGGGATGTGTACTGACTGTTGCGCAGCCCGGTCTACTCTTGCTATAACCAGAGCACGAACCCGCTGGTGGCCACTTTGCCGATCTAAAGTTCGGTTGTTGGGCACAACACACAGGGGTGACAGAGCTGGTCTCTCACTATACACGCAATCATGATACTACGACAGAGCTGGTCTCTCACTATACACGAATCATGATACTACTTTTCGCTTCCACGGTTGATATATATGCAGCTCTTGTCGCTCATTCTCCAATACACAGGCCTGAAATCAGTGTCACGGCACTAGAAGATAGCCCCACAGGGTCAGGGGTCAACCCCTATATATACCAGAGTGTGTCTCCTAGCTAGCTTCGTAGTTTCCTTTTCTCTCCACGGACATAGGGTTCATTTCTCTTCACGTACAATAAGAAAGTCATTTCCGGAGTCACCAGCAGTCTACCAGTGACCATCAGACTGTCGGCTTCCGTAGCCAAGATCCCAAATCTAACCGTCGATCAGGAGAAGATGCTGGATGAACTCTGTGAACGATCGAGTTCCTCGTGTGAGAAGCGCGGCATCAAGGCCTCCTGACCGAACGGAGTGTCTTGCACGGACACAGCCAACCTGTCCGTCCTATTTGCGCTTGGTATTTTGGTTGCTCAACATCGCAATCTCATCTGCAGCGAGAGTTGATCTTGAGGTTCCTGGGATTGCATTTTTTGCATAAGTCGCACAAATTCCGCGGTCGCTTGTCATACATGGCAGCCCCTCTCTGTTATCTCAGTGCTCAAAGCAGAGACTGGCCATTCAGGGGCTAATTGTGGCTAATAGTGGCTGGTGCGGCTTGTTTTCGGTGAATGGCCAGTAGAGCCAGTCTCTGCATGTGGTTTGAGCACTGAGATAAGATGTGTGAGCCACGTACGTACATTCATTCACCCAGGGGTCTCTGCCATATAGGACTTGGCTTCGGTTATGATATCAGTCATTTTGATCCATCTACATTTACTCACCCAGGAGTTCCTGCTATAGAGGAGTGTTCTTGGGTAGTGATTCCAGTCATTCTAACGATGACGAGGACCATTCACCCAGACTCTTAAATCTATTGGTAGCCGCATTATCTTCTTAAGGGTTCCCCTTGCTCTCGAACTTGGGAAATCTCGGTAGCCTTTATATAACTCGACACCACATTTCGGCTGCAGGCATCGTTAGGCTTCTCACCATGTCCTGCCGCACCACACGAACCAAGTGCAGTACGGAGGTAGCTGGCAAAGCACACCCAGCACGATATACCCAACATACCAACCCGTCGCGTTCCACCACAGCCCTCACAAGCCCACTATATGCCGGTATCCGTCGGGTATGTCGCAACACGCCATTCTCAGCGCATGCCACGAGCGCTGATGGGACATTCATGGCCCTTCTACTCCGGGAGAGGGCGAGTTATATCAGCACATTGTCGTATATGGGTTTCAGGGAAGATATCAGCTGGTCGATCCTACGATATTGGATCGCGCTCACCATCCATGCCTCATCAGCAGGTCCCTACGACATGGTCGGGATGGCATTGGCAGCTGTCGCTGAGCTGGGAGAGCCTACTGGACAGGATCACCTAGACGACCCTTACTTCGGAACGGCAAACAATATCCTGAGATCCGAGTGGCCGTCCATGCTTGGACACGTCCTGACCGAGGACATGCTTCGACACATCGACACGACCGGGATATACTTAGCGCCTACTTTCTCGGACGCGAAGTTGTTGGTGTCTCGGATCATCGTTGGCCGGAGGAAGAGGCTTGCGGCATATAGGAGGCTCCAGGTGGAGGGAGATCACCTCTAGGCGAACCGATGTTTGAGCAGCAAGGAGGTCGGGGCATGAAGATGGGAGGCGCTTGGATATCGTATGTATGGCTATACAGACCCCATCTACCCATTAACTTAGTGATACATGAGATTGAGGAGCAACGAGACCATGCATGATACCTATGCTGTTTGACAGCATCTCCCGGCACCTTTACAGCTTACCGTAAAGATTGAATTCTCGGTGAAAGAGATTCAACTATGGAGAGAATGGTAGGACTTGCTCAAATTCACTCACTCAAGCACCCCAACAGGCTGGGCGAGCAGTGCATACTTCCCCGCAAATCAATGCACTCATGCATGCATGTCATACCTCGTCTCATCCCGCATCTCCATAGGTAGGTTTTACGAGCTTTGATGAGCTTTCGCTCAGCAGTAAAGCGGGCGAGATTCTGCGTTCCAGTCAGAACACCCTGCAAACATCGTGAAGTCAGTTCGCTGGGATGGGATACTCCCGCCAAGCACTGGGCGGCGTCTCTTGGGGTGCGAAATGTGCTCTTAGGGGGCGTGGAACTCCGTGAAGAGTGGCAGATATGAAACAGCAATGGAATCCCTGTTTTCGCGGTCCAGAAGCGCCAGTCCAGAAGTATCCCGTCCTTCTCCTTGACAGCCAAGGAAAACAGCTACCAAAGACCTAAATTACTTGACCAGCGATGTGGTATTCATCACCGTCCCTCGCCGGCCTGAGCCTCCTGCTGCTCCCCGGCACCGCATGCGCAGGCTCGACATCCAACGGGTCAAGCTCAAGCTTCCACGTCCGCACGACAAGCGGCGAGGCCCACGGCACCATCAACGCGACATCGCCGCACGTACGTCAGTTCCTCGGGATCCGGTACGCGGAGGCGCCCGTTTCGTCTCTGCGCTTCCAGCCGCCTGAACGATACGCGACCTCCCAGAATGCCAGCTTCAACGCATCTGCCCTGGCGCCGTCGTGCATGCAGTACAGATTGACGGCCGAGGAGGACGCCATGAACGTCTACATCCAGTACATCCCCGAGTTCGAGGCCGGCAGCGCGGACGAGAGCGAGGACTGCCTGTTTCTGAACGTGTATGCGCCACTCGAGCCGAAGGGGGAGAAGCTGCCCGTGCTCATCTGGGTTCCCGGCGGTGGCTTCTTGAGCAATGGCGCCAATGTGCCGTATACGATCCCGGACCAGTGGATCGGGAGGACGCAGGAGCTGGTTGTTGTTACAATGAAGTAGGTCTGACTTGACGTGCGAGGCGCAGGCCACGATCAGCTAAGGGCCTATGCTGATACCGTTCTCTGCAGCTACCGCTTGGGCATCTTCGGGTTTCCCACCGCAGCTGGCCAACCGCTGAACCTCGGTCTGCTCGACCAACGAGTGGCGTAAGTGACTATAAGCCTTCCAACTCCCTCGAGAAGATCACTGAAGCGTTACAGAGTCGAGTGGGCACGCGACAACGTGGCAGCCTTCGGAGGCGACCCGGACCGGATGATACTCTGGGGCCAGTCCGCTGGAGCCTGGAGCGTCAACTACTACGGCTACGCCTACTCCGAGGACCCGATCGTGGCAGGTCTCATCGCCGACTCGGGCGGTTCCGACGTGTTCTCTGACGGCGACCCCAGCAACTTCACGTCGATCGCCTCTGCCGCCGGATGCGGTGACCTAGATGCCGAGGCGGAGCTGGCGTGCATGCAGCAGGTCGACGCATCTACCATCGAAGCCCTCGCCTCCAACACCACTGGCGTGGTGTTCGCGCCCGCAGCAGACGGCGTGACTGTGTATGCGAATAACACCGAGAGGGCTGAGAAGGGGCTTGTCGCCCCGGTGCCGGCGATCATTGGCACGAACGCTCAGGAGGGCACCGGCTTCGGCGGATGGACTGTCGAGGGCGGCGTGGATGAGGAATTCTTCATTGAGGCTCAGAAGTATGTTGTCTGTCCTACAGTCTCAGAGATCCAGTAAGTTTGATGTCCCTTTCTGCGCAGTCGTGGCGGCGGGTGGTCGTAGGAAGACTAATCGAATTTATTAGAAACCGAATCGCGAATGGCCTCGCCACGTATCGATACATGTACAGCGGCAACTTTTCGAACATCTCCCCGCTGCCTTGGATTGGTGCCGTGCATAGCGGTAAGTTGTCGTTGTTTACAGGAGCAACATGTTCGCCTCTATATGTCCCACGCGTTTACTACCACTGCATGTGTAATGTGAGTTACGTGTAGGCTCAGACTGACATGGTAATAGGGGAGCTGCCACTGCTGTTCGGAACCCACTCACAATACCGCGGCAACTCGACAGAGTTCGAATGGGATGTCAGTTCTGTAATGCAAGGTAAGTCGGGAAACGAGTATGCCCCAGAGTTAACAACAGCTTCCTAACTAATACCTCGTTCTGCATAGGTCTCTGGCTTGCATTTGCCGAGGATCCGTCGACAGATCCGACCTGCGAATCTTTCAGCTGGCCGCAGTATACCCTTGCTACAGGAAGCATGGCCAGCTTTGCCCCCAACGGGACGGTCGTCGCGATCGGAGATGGAGCAACTGTTGATGGCATCTGTCAGTGAAGATATGGGAACTTGTGACCACACAGTGTAGATATCAATCGGTCCGATGGTGAATTGAGCTGCATTCCTGTCATAGAGTGTGGCAGAGCCTAAATGTCACTCTTCAAAATTCCGACAGACTTTTAAGAGGATTTCAAGTCAGATCGTGAGGGTATGTACAGGATGTGAACTTGCAGGAATATTGCGAGAGCCGCCACAGTGGGGAACATCCCACATGTCGGCGCCTCATTGGATACTGCCTACTAATCGCCACTGGAGTTTTTACACTTTCCAGGGGAGTGGCGCAATTTTCCAGGGAAGTGGCGAAGTTTTTCAAGGGCATTGAGACAGACGGAGGCAGCCTATGCGGTCGGGAACATCGTGATTGGATAGCGGAGTGGTTATCAATTGGGGGCGAGTATCGGTCTCAGTCGCGGGCACTGTTTAACTGATGCAATCGTCGATCATTCACTTGCCACCTGAATGTAATTTGCTCGGGGAACTCTCCCGGTACTTCCTATCTTAATAGTCGATGTTAAGCGCTGTCACCTTTGGGAGGGCTGTACTCCTGAGCAAGGTATTTGAAACTTGCACTGCCAGGCCGCGAGGCCACCTACCATCCCCCCCATAGAAGTCGGACACCCCTACTAGTCGGACAGCCAAACCCTACCATTATTACCTAAACTCCTACATGTTTACTTATACGCTTATAGCCCAGTATTGAAGTTATTTAGAATGTAAATAGTGTTTTAAATAGCCTTGATTTTAAGCTTTTCCTTAAAATAAAATTTATCCCGCGGCGCTTACGTAATTAGCTGTTAATTACCTCGCGGTTTTTACTGTAAATAGCAAATTTACGGTCTTACACGGCTTTTTTAAACCTTGTTTTATATGTAACGTAATATCGTATAACCGTTTAAAATGCCTCATTATTTATATATAAAGGATTAAGTAGCCAGTGCTACTTTAAATATTATAAATAAGGACTTGTCTTTGCAAAAAAGCGCTTAAAACACGGTATTTCGCTTTAAACGCTATTTAATTGACTTAACAATAAGCCTATTAAAATTAAAGCTTATATATAGTAATAAAGATTTTCCCTTGCGTAAAAAACGATTATAACCAAGTAGATTTTATTATGAAAAAGCTAGGCTTAGCTACTTTATATTCCTTAATTTATAAGATTATTAAAAAGATATTTAAAAACGGGATAAAGCCCCCTTAAAAACACCTTTATAATAACTTTTAAGCGCTGCAACCTTTAAATTAAGATAAAAAAAAAAAAAAAAAACCAGCATGTCTTAAAACCTTTACGCTTAAATTAATCAGTTAGGTTTTTTTAATATTTCGAAAATTACAACCAAACCAAGTTAAAAAACACTTATAATACTAATAAAGGCGGCTGTGGGAACAGGCTTGAACGATCAATCATAATACTCGAGTATGGGGTCAAGGTCATGATGTTGCTGATGGTTGGATTGTGAAGTCTAGCTGGACCTGCAGGTCTGGCTAAGTGACCTTACAATCTGGTATCTAATCTCTTATTTAATCATACATGTGGGTTCTGTATGGATGGTTTAACTGTAGAATCACATGGATCTAACAGCGGCATTATATCGGGTTCTAATTGTTATATTTACCTTTTTAATTTTAAGAGAAAAACCAATCAAATTTATAAGCAATAACGTAGGTCACAAGCGAGCGGCAATTACAAGCGAGCGGCAACTTTTCACCAGCCACCCAACCTTTCAATCAAGGCTCCTAATTGATCAACCAACAATAATGGCATTGCGTTATAGCGAATCAGACTTACAGCTTGCTGTCCAAGCTAAGCGACGCGACCCTCATATTACCATTGGCAAGCTTTCTAAGACTTTCCATGTCCCATACAATACCTTGAAGGCTAGAATCGCCGGCCGACCATCACGACGCGATAGCATGCCTAATTCTTTGAAACTTACGGTTTCTGAAGAGAATGCCATTTGTTCTTTCATAATCGACCTGGATGCGCGAGCATTTCCGCCCCGGTACACTTATATTGAAGATATGGCAAATCAATTATTGGCGGCACGCGGGGCTGGACGCGTTGGAAAGAACTGGACGGCAAACTTCATCAAACGTACACCAGGCCTCCAGACGCGTTTTCATCGGAGGATGGGCTACGAGAGGGTCTTGAACGAAGATCCGGACGCGTATCGCGCGTGGTTTTGCCAAGTTGCGGCGGCAATCGCGAAACATGGTATCCAAGACGCGGATATTTACAACTTCGACGAGACTGGGTTTATGATGGGCATTATTGGGTCCGGCATGGTCATTACAAGCGCCGAAAGACGTGATAGGCCTAGACAAGCCCAGCAAGGCAACAGGGAATGGTCTACAGCAATTTCTGCTGTCAATGCTGATGGTTGGGTGGTCCCGCCGTTCATCATTCTACAGGGCAAAACCCACCTCGCGTCATGGTATCGCGACACGACATTACCACGCGATTGGAAGGTGGCCGTGTCCGATAATGGGTGGACTACGAACGAGATTGGGTTGGAATGGATTCGGCATTTCGACAAGTATACCAGACCGCGTATGACTGCCGGTAAACGCCTCCTCATCCTAGATGGTCACGAAAGCCACCATTCCCAGATCTTTGAGAGATATTGCCAGAACAACAATATTATTACCCTTTGTATGCCTGCCCACTCGTCACACAGGCTCCAGCCTTTAGATGTCAGTTGTTTTAGCCCGCTCAAACGAGCGTACGGTTGCATGATTGAGGATCTCATGCGGCGTCATATAACCCATGTTTCGAAAGAGGACTTCCTTGCAGCATTTTGTGAAGCACACAACGCTGCTATGACGCCAGGGAACATTCGAGCAGGTTTCAGTGCCACTGGGCTTGTTCCTTTTGACCCAGAAAGTGTCATTTCGAAACTGGATGCTGTCGCTGTCGTACGAACACCGTCGCCAGACCCCAATCTGCCACCCACTACTTGGACTTCGAAGACGCCTACCACCATCAACGAAGCGGTCAACCAATCGGTTCATATCCGAAATCGAGTCAGAAACCACCAGGGAAGCTCACCTACATCAATAATTGATGCATTGAGCTCGTTTTCAAAGGCTACATACGGTCTTATGCACAAGGTCGCTTTGGTTGATTCCCGGGTCCGCGAGCTAGAGGAGGCCAATCACCTACTAAGTAAACGCCGGAGGACAAAAAACAAACGTCTAGTGAAAGGAGGAGTACTTTCTGTTGAAGATGCAGTAGGTCTCCAGGCTGTAAAGGATGGTGATGAGCTGGCAAGACAGGAAATGGGTGAAGGTAGTCGTCGTCCGAGGAGGGCGGCAGCGCGTGAGCGACGTTGTGGCGTTTGCGGCAACACTGGCCATAATGCGCGAACTTGTACAATAGAGATAGAAATGTCTAAAGAAGAAGAATCCGATTGATTAGATTGAATTAAATGCGTTGTGGTCGAGTTATTTGACATGTTGGTTAGAAGATTGGTGAAAAGTTGCCGTTCGCTTGTAATTGCCGCTCGCTTGTGACCTACGTTAACTCTTTTATATTAAGTAGTTTTATTATTAAAATGGCCTTTTTAGAAAGCCTTTAAAGTCGGAGCTAAACATACTTTATTAGAACAATTTCAATAACTGTAACGTTCCGTATATGCAAATAGGACATAAAAGCCCTTGTTTACCATGTATGTATAACTATCTCTGGCTAAAGAGGAAAAAGAAGACCCAGCGGCACAGCCAATCTGGTGGGCAACTAGATAAGTGTGTCCGTCCCACAATTCAGAGCCCTAGTGGGTCTGGGACAACCAGTCGTCTAGGAGGTCACGTGCTGTCACGTGATTTCAAGACCATCACCGATGATAGCGACGTAGCAACTATCACAATAACTAGAAAAATCTTTAAACTAAGTATTATTTTTGATAGGAAGGACTTTTAGCCTAATAGTTTATCAAAGTGTTTCTAAAAAACTGATAATTAGCATTATATACGCTTAAAAAACGGCTGGATTTTAGATAATATCGCTTACAAGTAACTAGAAAATGTCTTCCTTTTATAAGCAAAAATAAAACGAAAAGAAAACTAATTTAAAACGATCCTTTTAATATTAGATAGCTATAAAAGCTATACTTCTATACGTATATTAAAAAAAATTCTATAGATTTTTTAAAGTTTTTCTTACTTAATATAGTTTAACGTGTATTAATAAGACGAATTTATAAGTATATATTATTTTAATAACATTTTACTTTATTTCTTTCCCACATATATTCATTACAGTATGTAACCTTCAAATAACAGGCTTTATAACTCTTTAAAGGCTTACTATTATAAATTCTTTTTCAAGTTGAAACATTTAACTGATATTTTGCTTGTTAATAAAATTAACTTTATCCGCTGTTATAACAAGGCGAGAATTTCTGCTTTTATTAAATGAAATATCTTTGTAAGCTTTAAACTTACTAAATGTTATCTTATTAGCCATAGAAAGTGCTTATAACACTTAAAATATATAAATAGATAAAAGACCTTTAAGCTTAATACCTTCAAAAGCTTGAAACTAAAAAACTAATAGACTTTTACTATAAGCCGTTAAATTACAAATTTCGGTAAGAATAAGTATTTCAAAACTAGGTTAAAATATAAGAAGATAACAAACGCGTTCAAAAAAAGAAAACCCAGAATTATTATTAAAAAGAAAGATTAAGGCTTTAAAAATTAAATCAAAGCAGCTACGGCTAAAAAAGCGCTAAAAGATCTTTTATTTTAATAAAAAGTTTAAAATAATAACGGAAATACTATCTTATAAAAGTATTATTAGCCCTATTGTACGCGTAAAAGTATAAAGAACGATAGTTATTAAATCGGAAGACAAAAAAAAGATAAGGATAACCTTTTTAATAAAGACGTTTTAAAAGCTATATAAGAGCCTTGCTTATTACGATCCTGGTGGGCTATTTAAGCGCCGGCTAGATATTACGCATTAGTAGCTTTAGCGCTTTTGAATAATAATTTTACTGTATCCCTTTAACTTAAACGGCTTTATTCGTATATAAGTGAATAAGGGGGTGTTTTGGTAGTGATGGTGGGGTTTGGCTGTCCGACTAGTCGGGGTGTCCGACTTCTATGGGGGGATGGTACTTATACTGCCCTCCAATAACCAGATGAGGTCAAACCAAACGCTGCCCAGAGTGACCGTCAAGTAGGCCTCTCGGCATCAATGGCAACGTAGAAGAACCATACCCATACTCGAGTTGGAGGATTCACGACCATGACATGATTAGGAGACCTGGTCGGAGTCCTCCCTTCAGGGACTTCGCATGGTTTCCATCCATGTCCAATACAGAAAAGAGCATCGATGGTACTTCATTACCTTCCAGCTACGTTGCCGTGTGCTCGTCCTCGATCCATGCCAGCACCCGTACCCGGATTGCTCAAACTTTCTGTAGCTTTTCTTCTGTACTGGCTACCTAACACTAGAGTATAAATAGGGACATCCGCTCTTACCAAACGTGGCTACCCCCAAACACCTGTTACACCACCGTGATCTTACCTATAGATCCTTCGATACGTCTTCTCCAATACGTCGCTCCGTTGATCTCTAGTCATCTGATCCAGGTGCTGCGTTCAAACCCAAGACCCCGAATGGGCCTTCGTCTCTACCGATCTCGACCCGATAAAGTCATCAACATGTCCACATCAACCACTGGGTCGGCCGAAGACCTCGGTGCCAAAGTTATTGCTGATATCTGCGAGTTTACCAGGAAGAGGGTTCAAGACGACGTTCTACGGGTATTGAAACAGCTGCGACATGAGTCATTGAAGGGCGGGGACAAATACGACCCTGAGACGACTCGCTTCTACTGTCAGCAGCAGAAGGTTTTCTTCCAAGGGTTAGAGCACGACCTAGTACAGAGCCTCCGTCATGGACTTCCAAAAGCATTGAACTGTTTGCTCGACGAGCTCGAAGAGGAGTCGAACGCTAGCAGCCAGCAGACGACTCGATCAGAGCACACACCTCCACCGACACCACTCGCCGTGTCGGCCGAACTCCCCTGCCCACCTGTCGACTATGATTCCGACTCTCCATTTCCAAGAGCCCCAGTCGCTCCCATGTCCACTCCTGGCCTTGGGCTGGATCTTCCCAGGAGATCCGCCACCCCTCAAGCACCCGAGGACCAAACACACAACCAGCGAGACAGGGGATTTTCTCCCAGCGTCACTGTGATGGGGAGCCCAGTCATGCAATCAACGGCGGGACCGTCGCAAGAGAAGAGACCACACGATCAAGAAGAGGCACCCAAAAGACCCAACAAGCGGTCCAGAGCTTCCAACCAGGTTAGCTTCCTTCTTTTCCAAGTCACGATATGAATACCAACTAATAATATTCCAGGGTTCCGCCGCCCAATTGCACTGGGATGGAGGTAAAGAAGTGACCATGAGCCAGCTGCCCGTCGACGAGTGTGTTTTCACAAGAAAAGACCGCATCGGCTTTTACGTCTTGCGTTGCTGCAAACATGACAAATGCAAGAAGCCCGGCTGTGACTTCTTTTACTTTACAAACCATCCCTATCACGAGAAAAGGGCGTATGGGCATTTTGTGAACAGAATGCACAATCGGAAGAACCTTCAGCACGTTTTCAACAGATATGCCGTCAGAGGTGAGGGACATTACCATCGTGTGACTGTCGGAATGACCAGCTAATCAACGTTCTTCGCAGTCATCGACGCAACAGAAGAACGTAAGTCTTTTGGGGGATAGACTGTTGCCGACCCATCACTCATAAGCGCCTAGAACGAGCTGACACAGTTCCCCGTAGGTAACATCGGAGACAAGAGTCTGCAATACAAGAAAGACAGCCACGCCGAAACTACCCCAGTCGTCGATGCTAGCTCTTACTTCGCATCGCCACCGATCAGTCCGCTGACGTCTCGCGACAAGGGGAAACAGCCCGAGAGGCCCATCGATATGAATTTCAACAATCCGACCAGTTTTGGGACCTCGGGCGCGAGGTTTACCCCGTACGACAAACAGCCCGAGATAGGGGGCGCCGATGGCACCTCTACCCCAGCGGCGGAGGACCAGGCTCGCCCAATCAAGCAACAGGAAGAGAGCGGAGGTCTGTTCGTGACCCCTTCTGTCTCGGATGAACCAGAAGCATCTCGTCCGGTGCCTGTGAACACGCTTGACGATGCTATCGAGATCGCCGACAGCGACGACGAGGAGTTTCCTTCTATTTGTAATCTCTTCAAGCGCATAGGTCAAAGGTCAAAAGGGTCAGACTATGTGTATTAACCGCTTTGTGGATTGTTTCATAATATTAACTTGGTCGTACGGATCGGTAAATCCTGGGATGCCTTGTGAACAGTGGCAAAGCTGCTGGTCGACGAGTCGGCTCTCTTCATCACGAATGCAGAGTCATCTGGCCCTGTAACAGAAAGTCAACGGAAACTAGGCTTCGTGACTAGCAACACAGAAAAACCTCTTCTAGAGCACTAATGAGAATGATCAATACGGTCCATCATGTTGCGTACTCTGTCTATCACTCTATTCGTATTAGTCTAGTTCTTCTCTTCAACGATGCCCCCGTTCTTCCTCGCCTTCCGTGCCGACTTCCTTGCTTCCTTCTCCTTACGCCACCTGACACCATGCCGCATGATCAAGTACAATGCCGGCAAGCCAATGACATAGAGGGCCCCCAGAATGGTAAACGACCAGCCGGCCCCTATGCCGTTGATCATGGGCCCGATGACTGCAGTTGCCGCAGCACCAACTAAACATCTGGTCAGATTGTTGCTGGCAGTGGCGGCTCCCGCATTCTTGGGATTGATATCGACGAGCAAGACGTTCGTCGTGTTGCTGAAGCCGATAAGTCCCCATCCTAGCAAAAATAGCAGCACGCATAGGACGGCAAGATGAGCACGATACTGAAGAGCCCAGCCCCAGGCGAGGAGGATGGCCGAGGCAAATAGAAGCATAGGCCCACCGATCTCCAACCGCGCGCGCTCGATCGGAAAGCCGACCAAGTCCTGCTCCTTCTTTCTCTCGAAGGGTACGCCTTGAATCTTGCAGTGCCGGCGGTAGTTCCAATTGATCAACTTCCCGTTGACGAGAGCCGCAATGGTACTTCCACCAGCAAAGGGGAGAAACATGAGTCCCACCTTGACGTCGTCCAAACCGTAATGCTCGTGCAATTGGGTGGGCAAAGAGGTGGCGACGCAGTAGAAACCCGCGAAGACGATGCTGCTGTACGAAAGCAGGATGAAAATCTCCTTCTCGAAGAGGATAGTGAGTGACTTGAAGACGTTGAACTTCTTCATGTGAACACTGCGTTTTGTCGATGCATGTGATGGAGTAACTTGCAATGCCACACCTCCCGAGGCATCGCTGCGTGCGGCGCGACGCTTTCGCCAAGCGTCTTTGCATATTTGCCACAACGTGCGGTACATTAGGTGTGGGCGGATTGATCCGTCTCCCACAATGTTACGGCAAGTCTCTGGTATGAAGAACGCGTACAAGATGAACTGTCCCCCATGTTAGCAGCGTAATAACAAGCGATAATGAAAACCGAAAAAACAAGGTTCTTCTCGAGAGAGTGCTCGATATCTAGCACTTACCACAAAACCGGCCATGATAGCCAGGACCCAGAATATCCAGCGCCAGCCGAGGAACTGCGACAGAACGCCTCCCAATACCGGGCCTATGGCTGGGGCAAGGAGAATAGGCAGAGCTGTGAATCCGACGTACTGGCCCCTCTCGGCGGAAGTGACAACGTCGGCGACAACTGCTTGACAGAGCGCAACCGTTGTGCTGGACCCTGCAGATTGCAACATGCGAAGAACTAGAAGCGCCGCGTAGTTGGGTGCGAGGGCGCACCCGATATTGGCCGCAATATATACCACGAAGCAGATGCAGTATGCCGGACGGCGGCCTGTGCTGTCGGCGAAGGAGCCGATGAACATAGGGGTGATCCCTTGGAAGATCTGCGCAGGTATTAGCGGAAACTCCCAGATCGGGTGTAAGAAGAGAGCGCTTACCATGTAAGTCGTCACCGTTAGGTTTATACGGCTTATCGAGACATCCAGATCCGCTGCGAGGGTATTGAGCGCAGGCAAGTAGATCTGGGCCGTAAGAGGAGAAAAGAAGGCTCCAATGGCCACACCGAGCACGATGGCACGCTTCTCCCACGTCGTGAAGACGGAGTAGTCAGGCCTGTCGTCGACGACAGGTGCCTCGCTGGGAGGCTCATCCGATGGACCGACATCCTGAGTAGGGCCGGCTTTCGGGCTGCCTAGGCGTGTGGGCCGAATTGCGTCTGCGTCGTTGCAGTCGTTGCAGTCGTTCTGCGACGCCGACTTTGACAGCTCCGATGGCTTGGGCATTTCTTCGCTGAATCAATGCTGCATGAGAGACTGCCCGCATCCAGTCTTCACAGCATCATTGAAGAGCACCGGGCCAGGGTGTTTATAAGGGATTTATGATGGTCGGAACTTCTTCACGACGACCCTGGCCCGGCTATGCCCGGCCAACCAAAGCCCCACTTATTCGCGGCTTCGGTTTCAACATTCCCACATCCCGGAGCCGAGAGCGGCGATGGCAAAAGTTCTGGTCGTTCCCATTGGCTACGCCACACACGGGCATCCGTGACGGGACCGTTCGAAAGACGCTGTCTCTCTTGAGCCTCATTCGGCCCGGGATGACCTGGGCAGACTTCCCATCGAAGCTGATGTGCCTCTTTAGAAGACGCCGTGTCCCAATCAGGAAGTCTGTGTCAAACCCCCCGGGTCCCAATACTAGAAATGCCCTCCAAATGCAGCATACTCGTCAGTTGATTGTCAACTTCAGTTCCATTCACATGGAGATGCATATGTGACACGAACCAAGGACCACGACAGCCCTAGGACATCGTTTGCTAGAGCATCGCGGTGGTCGGTCAACAGCCAGGCCACACATGGTTAGAGAATACGGGCTTACCGAGTGCCCACGCCTGTGCTCAACGGCCACAGCCGAAGTGGTGGCCGAATCAAGCTGCCAGTGACGGGTTCTCTACCGGGTGATACTATTGACGATACCTTTGCCTGGGTGGCCCTGGGAATACCTCCGATTTACCAAGACACAACATCGACCCCACTCTATTCTTACAGGAGAATGGTAAGACAGCAAGAGGTGAACGAACTGGAAGCAGCTATAAACGCATCTAGTTAGGATTGGGCGAGAGGAAAAGAAATCAATTCCTTGGTAATATTAATGATGTGCGTCTTTCAGAATTGGAATACCATAACCCCCCCCTACTGACGTGCGTCGTGTACTTCGCAGCAAATGGCGGCGCATAGAATTAATGGAGCAAGTATAGGGGTCAGCGCCAGATGCCAGATCCTCGTCTGAATAGTTACCCAGTCTGCTGGTGTCCACCATGAAGCCGTGGGAGTATTGGTTTGCGGATTCTTTCCACCCTTTTAGCCTGCTGCTCGCGCGGTCTGATTCTTGTTGGTGTGTTAGTTCACGCATTAGGTCCCTACTCGCGTTCGAGAACTTGAAGAACAATCGTGACCTATTAAACAAAGGGCGTTACTTGGACTTGGGTACAATATGAGGCAGCCTCAGCTGGAAGTCTTCGGGGAAGTGCGAACAGAGGAGACAGCTGCCGGGAAGGTGTCTTCTACCTCGGTACTACACTTCAGGGCTACACGGACAAAGGCACTACCGAAAGCATACATCAACTTATCTTCGTTCTTTACTTGCTACTCATGGCCAAAGTGAAGACCGCGATGCCCGTACCCATCATGCAATCGTCAGCACGCACCTGACAAGGTGATTTCAGATGGCGTCGTCACTAAGCGCGGAGGACGCGGATAAGGTCAAAGATTGGCGCTGGCCACAGGACTACTTCGCAAACGACTCCCGAAAATTCATATACGAGCGCCAACTCGGGAGCGGATCTTTTGGGCACAGCTTGGAAAGTAAAGGAAGAGAATGAAGACGGCAGTCTCAAGCGACAATTTGTGGCCAAGTTCGGATACACACCAGAGGAGACGACCTCGATTGAGACAGAGCAACGGCTGGCAAAGGTGAGTAGCTGAGCGCCGCTATAATGACGACCACAATTGCACACTAATTGAAGCAGAAATTATACGGCGCTCTCCATTTCGCCCAACCAATAGTCCAAAATGGAAAAATGTTAACGCTCGATAGCGTCCCAGCAAGGGATTCTAAGGAGCGGCGCATAATCCTCATGACAGAGTTCATCCCCAATCTGACCCTAGGCCAATTTTACATTAAAGTGAACTCGACTCCGGGCAGCACGTGGTCGCCGATTCCGAACCGCGTTCTATGGCTCATCTTTCGCTGTCGTGAGTGCGGTCCTCTCCAATTTCAGTATGACTTTGTCTCTCGAGAACGAGCTGACTGCCGAGTTATAGTGGTCAGAGCCGTCCTCGCAATGGCGGCACCTCCGGACCGACCGTATTGGGATGCCAACGAGGCACCTACCCTTGAGGTATCGACAAGGCAACCAGCGCGTGATGATTATCAGATCTACCATGGCGGTCTTGGAAACATAGAGAACAGTAACTGCGCCTGTCCTAGCAACCTGAGACGTATGGGTAGGGGAGGTGCTGATGGCTGTAGTGATCTTCGGCGACCTCGATAGAGGCGAGCACCGCCTGGTACCTATACTCAAGGTCATTGACCTGGGAATGGCTACGGATCACTATGAGTATATGAGATCCCGGTAAGAATCTTAAATTGACGAGAAAGTAGACACTGCCAACTAACCCACGTTCAGGAGGACAGGCACAATGACGGAAGAAAACGTGAAGGATATTGGCGATGTAAGTCCACGCCGTTGCACCGATATTTTCAACCTTGTTTTGCCTGGGACCCAACTCCACACTGGTCCTTGCGTGATGCCTAATGAGTCCCCCCATTGACAGAGCTTCAGACAATTGGATACTTGTATGGGCACGGGGAAGACCAGCTTGCCGGAGCCACACCGTGCGCTTCCTTCCCAAATTTGGATTTGGATCTGTACAAGCTCGTCGAGAGATGCACAGACGACGATCCAGCGAAACGGCCGAAGCTGACTGATCTGTTATGGACGGTCCAGAACGCCATTTCAATCAAAACAAGACCGGCACACTTTGGAAGACGACCACGTGCTCAGTGGGAATCAAACTTGAGGATTCGACAGTACGTACGGGATGTTATACTGTCCGCCAATACTTAATAAAGACCAGAGTTAACTGGGAGAGGACCCCCTGTTGCGAGTGCCGCGATGGACTACAGCCATGGGTTCTCTTTCAGGGGATAGGCCTTCTTGCCTGGGGTGACATAATGGTTCGAGACGAGAGTTCAAGTCACGTTACCTATAAAAGCTTCATCCTGTACAATCACACATGAAGACATGGGCCTTGGAAATGTTAAAGTATTATGACCGCAGCGACCTATGCCCATGAACGAACCTCTGTATGTATGTGTTGATGTGTTGATGTGTTGAAAAGGGGCGAGGACCGGTATGTAGGTAGGCGGGGCAGCAAAAGGAGAGATCGTAGGCTGTAGCTTTAGTGGACGGAAGCGTTCCGCAAGGCGGGGCTGCGGACCCTCACCGCCCGACCGGCAGTAAAAAAAAAGTTGGAGGTTCCTCTCTCAATTGAAGTCTTTATTCCACCTGCACTACGAAGGTAACCTACACAGTTGTGGAGAGTCGATTCGAGTGTCATCCCATCACATCACACTTGCGCAGGGCAGCTCTTACGATTCTTCTGTACTGCACCAGCGACCGCAAAGTCGGACCAGTATACCGCCGCCATGGCTTCCAAGCGCAAGGCCGACGACTTCATCTACACATTGTCCGACAACGACGAGATCCCCGGCGAAGAGCTCCCCGAACAGCCCAACCCCCCAAAGAAGAAGTCCAAGAAATCCAAGAAGACCACGAAGACCGCACCGCTCGACGAGGACGATGAAGAGCTCGGCGTTTGGGGCAAGAAGGAGGATGATGATGGTGCCATGGCCTCCGACTTCGAGTTTGCCGAGGATGCGACGACCGATTTTAGGACAGAAGACTTCGAGGGCTGGGGTTTCGATCGCGCGAAGGGAATGAACGGCACGTCACAGAACAAGAGAGTCGACATTGAAGAGATTGTACGGAGACGGAGAGATAAGAAAGGCAAGACTGCAAAACCGGATGCCGAAGCGGCGGCACCCCAAGAAGACGGAGAAATCGACGTCGGTCTTGATGACGAAGATGACGAGGTGCTGGCCGCAGACGGCTTTGGCATGGGCGCTGCCTCGGATGAGGAGTCGGGGGACGAGGCAGCAGCTGACGGGCCGGAACAGAGTGACGAAGAAAGCGAGGATGACGAGGCCGAAGGCGACGGGGATGCTTCAGACAATGATTCTGTTGCGACTGCCTTGGATCACCCTGGCGACGTGGAACAGTCCGACGCCACAGATGATGAGGAAGACGTCGAGGAAGCGGCTAAGAGAAAAGCCTTCTTCGCACCCGAGGAGAAGCAACCGAAGGGCAAACAAGAGGGGAAAGCCGCTTTCCAAGGCATGTCACTGTCGCGACCCATTCTTCGCGGCCTCAACTCCGTGGGCTTCAACACACCTACACCAATTCAAGCCAAGTGTATACCACTTGCCTTGGAGGGCAAGGATCTTGTTGGCGGCGCCGTGACCGGTTCAGGAAAAACCGCAGCATTCGTCGTGCCTATACTAGAGCGCTTACTGTACAGGCCAAACAAGATTCCTACCAGCCGGGTAGTCATCTTGGCACCTACTCGAGAGTTGGCGATCCAGTGTCATTCAGTAGCGACGAAACTTGCGAGCCACACGGATATCAAGTTCTGTCTAGCAGTTGGTGGCCTGAGTCTAAAGATCCAGGAAGCAGAGCTGCGCTTAAGACCAGATGTCGTTATTGCGACACCAGGTCGGTTTATCGACCACATGCGGAACTCTGCGAGTTTTTCCATCGATACGATCGAGATTCTGGTACTTGACGAAGCAGATCGAATGTTGGAGGACGGTTTCGCGGACGAATTGAACGAGATCTTGACGACAATGCCCAAGTCACGGCAGACTATGCTGTTTTCGGCCACCATGACCTCGTCGGTCGATCGATTGATCCGTGCTGGACTGAATAAGCCTGTACGGGTCATGGTTGACTCCCAGAGGAAGACTGTGGACAAGCTCGAGCAAAAGTTTGTCAGGCTCCGACCGGGTCGTGAAGATAAGCGCATGGGATATCTTTTACACATCTGCAAAACCATGTACAGCGAGCGGGTCATCATCTTCTTCCGGCAGAAGAAGGAGGCCCATCGCGCCCGACTAATCTTTGCGTTGTTCAACTTGTCGTGTGCCGAGCTACACGGGAGTATGAACCAGACTCAGGTAAGAACCGGCAGAAGCATTCAAAGTACGAAATTTAGGCGTGCCTAACAATATCCAGCGTATCGAAAGCGTCGAGGCCTTCCGCGATGGCAAAGTGTCGTTCTTACTGGCAACAGATCTGGCCTCTCGAGGTCTCGACATCAAGGGTGTCGACACTGTTATCAACTACGAAGGCCCGCAGAATCTCGAGATCTACGTCCATCGTGTCGGCCGTACTGCAAGAGCCGGCCGCTCTGGTGTGGCGGTCACGCTTGCAGCCGAGCCGGATCGAAAGGTGGTCAAGGCTGCTGTCAAGGCGGGCAAGGCTCAGGGGGCCAAGATTAGCAGTCTGATCATTGAGACGGCAGAGGCGGACAAGTGGCAAAACCAGATTGACGAGATGGGGGACGAAATCGAGGCCATTGCGCACGAAGAGAAGGAGGAGAAGCAGCTCGCGCAGGCGGAAATGCAGATCAAGAAGGGAGAGAACATGGTGGTGCACGAGGATGAGATCAAGTCACGGCCGAAGCGGACGTGGTTCGAGACGCAACATGACAAGCAGAAGGCCAAAGACGCCGGACGCGCAGAACTGAATGGTCTGATAGAATCGCTGAAGAAGAAGGGCAACGGGAAACTCAGCAACAAAGACAAGAAGAAGCTAGATGCGAGGTCTACGCAGAAGGATGGCACTTGGAAGAAGGGGTCTGCCGAGCGAGCCGGCAAGGGTGCGGTTCTGAATCTCAAGAACGACAAGAAGCCGAAGAGCGGGAAGCCGAGCGGGAAGCCAAAGAGAAGGTAGTCTGATAGAAGACTCGTATACCCGACTCAAATATACCGGCCATCACATGCGTTCCTGATCCCCTGGTTCGAATGGGTTCTGTCTTTCCTGGACACCGTAGAGCTCACGGTCATGCAGAGCTCCGAGAAGGACATGTAACGGGTGCATCATAAACATCACCAGAATTGGCACCATTTGCGTTGCAGTAAATGTAGTGAAGAAGCTTGCGTGCATACAATCGACAATAACCTGTTCTTGACGTAGAGGTACCCCTATTCGAAGTGCCGATCGAAGACTGTTCTGGACCCAAGACGGAAGAGGGCCGAGGCGCGCAGCAGCGGAGCACCTCAGTTTGGCAGTGCAACATGCCCTGCAGCGCTGATGTCACCGGCTCCCGAGGCGAAATGGCACTAAAAGTGGAAGCGGACGGGCACCAACGCCATGGATCCATCCCTGTGATTCCATTATGAAGCATTCAGAGCTCCAGTCGACAAGCTCAACCCTGACCGAGACACAAACCCGCCTTCTACCTATATGTGTTGCTATCACAATCGACACCTACCTATATATCCCGGTCTCTAACTTACTTTAACATTCAGTCCAGCAGTCGCTCTCCCGGCTCACGTCTACTTACGCCGCACGTCTATACAAACCTGACCAATCGCCCCTCGAACCTGGCGGCCTCTGCGTCCGTTGCCCAAAGTGGCTCCTCCACCTAGATTCTTCCCGCCTCGCCCGCCGCGTCCGCATCCTCGTCATAAGCAGAGCTTACTGCAGTACCTCTTCCCCCGGACCTTGCGCGACCGCTACCACGAGCACCTGATTGGCTTCCGCCTCGATACCCTGCCATACTACAAGCATCGAGTCCAGAGCCGTATCTATCATTTCATCCTCGAGCGCCAGCGCCGTCGCCGTGAAAAGTCGCGGCTCGTCGACCACGCGCGACGGCTGTTGTTCGGCCGCCCTGCACCCGCAACCACAAAGCCCGTGAGGAGGACCGGTACAGATAAAATGACGTCAATGTCGGGATATGGGATGGGCAGCGGGAACTATGGCGCAGACGGTGGGCGCGAAAGGGGCGGGAGGAGAAAGAGAATCGCTGCCATGGCTAGCGGCGTGTACAAGGTCGGAGCAGTCGCTGTGAATGAGATCAGGGAATCCTACAACCAAACAAGAGCAGGCGAAATCGATACACCCGAGTCCGCCAAGATTACTATACCAGGATCCTTCCCCGACGTCGCCATTATTACAAAGGGGAACGAGCAGATGGTCCTGTTTCCGTCGTACGCGAAGAGGCATGTTAAGGGCCAGCCGAGAGAGTTTGCGAATCCTGGTGGGCCGCCAGATGTTTCGAGCGTGGGAATGAACGAGCAGGATTACTGGCGGTCCGAGTGGGCACGCCATGAGGACGAGAAGGCTGTCGTGGACGTCGATGTGCGCGGCTGGATATACAATCCACACAGGGGCCCCATGAACCGCCGCAATAGAGTCTTGGTCGGTTTGGCTAGGCAGCTCAGTGGCATTCCAGTGCCAAAGGCACAGCAAGCAGAAGCGGCTTCGAATGCTGACCCATCCTTTTCGAGTATCCACCAGCAGCACGAAGAGGAGCGAGAGCGGCTAAGCATCGCAAGGGAAGCGAAGGAGATCGAACGTAGAGGCCAGGCCGAGAAGGAAGCTGCTCAGAAGGGAGGCTACAGTGAACGCCCAAAGGACGAGGACTCGGAGGACGACGGTGATAAGCGTCTGCATGGGTTCCAAGATGGAACAAGGACACCCCCTTCCGCGCCTCCTTCTCCGACCCTCTCGGCCAGGTCAACCACAATGGGGAGCAGCGGGCTCAGCGAGGCCGAAGTTGCGCTGGCAAATGCGAACTTGATGGCTCGGATTGGCCCATTCATGACGACTCCCCTGGTCGACTTACCCATCACCTTGTTCTTCTTCAATGACACACAATCACAGTCGCGCACCGTCATGACAGATGATTCAGGACACTTCACTACCCGCGCAGCTCTTGATTTTGTGCCCACCCATGTGCGGGTGCTGGCCAATGAGGACATCTCCTACACTGAACCCGTACAAGTCATTGAGCCTAAAGGCGTCAGCCTCATCAGTGATATAGACGACACTATCAAACGCTCTAACATAGCACTCGGAACCAAGGAGATATTCCGCAATACCTTTGTCCGGGACCTGGGCGAACTGACCGTGGATGGAGTCAAGCGTTGGTATAACAGCCTTCACGATATGGGTGTGGATATACACTACTGCTCAAACAGCCCTTGGCAGCTCTACCCAGTGTTGGCTACATATTTCAAGCTTGCTGGGTTACCGCCGGGATCATTACATCTGAAGCGGTACTCTGGCATGCTCCAGGGGATATTTGAGCCTGTCGCCGAGCGGAAGAAGGGGACGCTGGAAAAAATCATGAATGATTTCCCCGAAAGAAAGTTCCTCTTGGTCGGCGACAGTGGCGAGGCTGATTTGGAGGTGTACACCGAGCTGGCCGTTGCCAACCCCGGTAGGATCGTTGCTATTTTCATTCGTGATGTCACCACGCCTGAACGTGCAGGATATTTCGACTCTGGGTTCGACCCCGGCAACAGCCGCAGACTTCGGAAAGTTCCCAGCACTCAGCTAGAACCCAGATCCAGGGGTAGCTCGCGGGACGATGCGACGGGCAGGCCAGCTCTGCCTCCGCGGATGGCAACAACACCAAAGCCCGAAAGCCCTGTGATGGGCGACTTGATCGATTTTTCAGACGAGCCTGAACCTCTCCGGCGTGTCGAATCGGAAGAGACGTCTACGCAGCAGCTGACGAATCAAGATGCGCGAGATACAGGTCTGCCGGGTCGAAAGCCGCCCCCTAGGCCGGCGAAGCCAACGTCCCTAAAGAGCTCCCCGTCTGTTTCTATTCTATCTTCTAAGGACACTGGTGATAAGAAACCTCCACCACCACCTCAGCCGCGCAAATCTGCGCCTTCGAGCGGACACTCTTCCAGGGACTCCACACCTCATCCACTAGCACAGACGCAGAACTCATCACAGCAAACACTTACCCAAGAGACCACCTCCTCTTCAGCGTCCATCTCTTCTAAAACTTCCGCCCCGCCCCCTCCACCGCCCAGACGGAGGGGGACAACATCAACCCCTAGGAGCATGAGTCCGCGTCGCTTGACCCGTCGTCGAGCTGGAGACTCGGATTCTGATCTTGAAGCCCCAGCCGGTGCGATGAGTGCTGCTGCATCCGGGCGGACTACACCCTCGGGCAATGTCAGTCCCACCGGCGGGCCAGTGAACAAGAAGCTAGACCTTTGGAGACGACGTCTCCAGCGGGCCCAGGATACTCTAGACCGCCAAGGTATTCCTTTGTACACGTGGCGGCGTGGGGACGATGTCATCGCTGAGGCGTTAGGCATAGTGAAGGACAACATGAGGAAAATGGGCGTCCAACAAGAAAGGCGGCCGTGACGGAGCAGGTTTATATATGATATCCCGGTACCCTGACTACTCTGATTGACCTGAGCAGCAATACGTACATCAGAAAGATAGAAAAGCGGCTTTCATAATTTGATCCTGGCCGCTGACCCCTATCTGCACACCACCTGTGCGGCGTTCGCTTCTTTGGTCCACATTGAGCAAGTTTAGCTGTTGATTGCCTCATCGCCTGTTTAACCTTTTTGATCGCCGTCCCATCTAGCTCGCCCCTTTGTTTTCACAACACATGGCTGGAACCTGAGTTCGGCTTTGCGGCCCAGCATGGGATCCCCCTCCACATTAGCTCGTTGTGGGCCGTGATCTACCCGCAGTCCCATCACTTCGCCGGGCCTCTCCGCCGTACAAACTTTAAGTTGACGTTACAGATGCATCTATTTGATTTGCCGCCTTCTTCCTTTAACCGCTGCCCGGCTATAGCACGTATCACATGCTGACAATGCTCAAGCCCGTAAGCATTACTACAGGTCGCCAGGATGGAAAGTAGTAGCGCGGCGCCATGTGGAGGGGAGGTATATCCTCTGCCATTTTCTATGGGAGTATACTGTTGATCACGTGGCTCCGCTTAGCAGCAGTGTTATGCCCGATGCTCCGAGAGGTATCTTTGCATAGAAAATCACGAGGGATATACACCGCCAGGCCCCCAGCCTCGCGTTTGCGCTACTACTTTCCATCCTGGCGACCTGTAGCTTTAACAACGCGGGAGGACCGGCGTATTTACAGTTTCTTGATGAGCCGGGGCTTTCTCGCGTCCTCTGAAGCCAATTATACTTGGGGGTTGGGGCATTGTTATTATGTAGTACGTGCTAGCTGGCTAGCATTTAGAAGGAAATGGCTGTAGTAGTTTTATTGTTTGCCGGTATCGTCCTTTCGGTTACGTCGTATACCACGCAGTCAGGACATAGCCCTGCGATGTACTTGTTTCGTTTCCATCTCCAAGATAGGGTCATAATTCCAGTGGCAGCAGGAACCGTTGGTCTGTTAGATGTACGGGGCTCTCATATCGACGAGGCGGTTACTAAGCGTCATCGCAACATAACAATGTGTCTGCAGTTGTATGGGTGTAATGGCCACCATCAGACTAACGGGTAAAGCCAAGTAGCCTTGGTTGCTTAGGTGCATTAGACCCAGACGGGTATATGTAGTCCGAGCACATGATACATCTCCATAAGTTATCCGAAAGTCTAAATAGTGGTGTGGCCCGTGGGGTAAGCCACGGAGTCACCCCTTCGAGTCCACACCCCGACTACTTAAGTTAAGGGGTAGGGCTGGACTCCAGCCGGAGTCTCAGAGATGTCAGAGCCGAGCTGTCATCCTTCCCCATTCTAAACATCAGAGCCAAACAACATCACACACATCTTATCCTGTCCCAAACCATCCACAAGGTGTCTCACTCAATCATGTCTACCCCACACCATTTACAGATCATCAATCCTGATCACAGCCAGAGCGACGAAGCCGCCTGGTTTCCAAGGTTCGCTCTGCTTCCAACAGAGCTTCGCCACCAGATATGGAAAAACTCCCTGGAGCATCAACGACTACTGAAGGTCGAACTGGAGACACGACTAGATGATGAAGCGCTGGGGACGCCACGGCACCCAAGGGCGAGCCAAGTCAGTCAACCCGTACGCGGCGGGGGCTACCACCTCGTGAGAACGAGCCACCAGGCATACGGCGAGCTATTACGCGTGAACGTCGAGTCGTGGGAGGTAGCCCTGCGTTTCTACCGCGTCCAGATACCGTACTGGTATTCTAATCCCACGGGCCACGTGGAAAGGGAGCGTGGGATCTTTTACTTCAATCCGGAATACGACATCCTGCAGCTCGAATGGTTTGATCCCATGTGTTTGGTCGAATTTCTGTATGACCTCAAGACGTATGACCCAAAGGGTATTGGCCTCCTCAATCTGGCATTGGATATCGACGACCTCGACAGCCATGACCTGGATCTGCCGCAACAGTCAGGCCAGGAAGCCGCCGTAATGGATGCCTGTAAAGACACGATATCGCAGTTGCGAGAAATCAATTGGGTGGCCAACTCCTATAGCGGTCGGCAGGTGACGGGCATGATCAACGACTTCCCGCACGTGAAGAAGGGGGAGTCCAACCACTCGTGTCCCATCATGCCGGTAACGGTCTCCTTCGACCGCATGTGCCGCGATCCGCGACCCATCGCACCCGACCTACATCAGGTGCTAGCGTCGATGGTCGATCCCATCTTTGTGCGCATGCTGTGGCGAACTTTTCTGCGGGAATTGGACATCCGACCTGCGCAGCCGGCCAGCCAGCGCTTCATGGTTGCCTGCATGCCGATCTCACACGAGACAGCTATCGTGGACGTCGAAACGGCGGACGAGCTCCTGGACGTCGAGGACGAGCAGTGGCGGCAGGCACAGAAGCAGTGGCCCAATATGGGCTTGGAGGTTGCCGGGCAGGACCCCGTGGAAGAGCTGGAGAGCGCGGTGAGGCCAGCGGTGGGGTTTTGGCTGTTGCCCATGGACTTGTATCAATTGATAGAGGCCCCGAGTGACTCGCAGCCGTCGAATTTGGTGTTTGATGCGACGAATCATTGGCCGGAGTTGGGGTTGGCGATTTTGCCTTAATTTCTTTCGCTGGATATGTTGACCTCTCGTAGCCGACCTCCTTAGAAGACAATAGGGGAGCCCCTTTTCGAAGCGAAGCTCTACACAGGAGGCGGTCACACCTTGGAGGCAGACTTGGTGCATGTATCGGCTCCGTCAAACAATGCTGACTGAAATGACTTCGATAGAACGGACAGTATCCAGATGCGACATTGATAGGTAACAAGTGACCTCCCTAACCAGGTGTCTATCCACCTGGATCATCGACTTGCCGGTACAGCCAGTATCATTTACCTTCAGCCCTGGACCTTCCAAGCGACACGCACAGAGGATGTGCTTGTTGTACCACCTCGAGCTGTGCATGAAACAGCTGATTCTGCGTGGGTTTTGCGACTGCCAAAGCTGGGAAAAGGGGGCTTCATCACGTGGCTTGGCCCTACCCACAATTACTCTTGTGGTCTGTGCACTAAACCCCACAGCGCATCAGTGGACAGGCTGACAGCCAGGGGTGAGACAGGCTGACAGGGGACGGCAATGTAGGGTTGATTGGGTGACGCCAACTGTGATTTTTCTTTAGTGGTTGATTGACTGCAGTCCGTTGCCGCCTGCGCTGTGCTGCACCAAACGAAACTACCTACCAGACGCCATCGTCGCCGTCGAACACCGCGTCTTTTCCCTGCCTCTTCCAAAACAGCCCGACTTGTGTTTGATCTGGTTCTCCTGCAGTTCACTGCGATCCACGCCTCTATTCGCAATCACCATATCCCGCGCGCATTCCGTCCCATTCAAAAGACGACCATCTAGTCAGCGCCTATCTAGACAAACAAGCAGCCGCAAAGATGGGAGAGTCCCGGTGCGTCCTGACGTGCTCGACAATACGCGCGCCACACCTCAATACTGACATATTATTCTCTCTGCAGACAGGAGCTTGTAGCATGGCTCAACCAGCTACTCCAGCTCAACATCACCAAGGTCGAGCAATGCGGTACCGGGTATGCAACACCATTTTTACGATTCGCGGTTTACCCCTCCCCCGCCATCCACACACACACTCACAACCATCGCCATGCGAACCCGTCTCAGCACACATCCACCGACGACACAACACATTCCCCACAGGGGAGAAGCCTGTCTGGCATCAAACTCAGTCGGTTGTCACCTCGAGGCCGGACATAGCTAACCTTGTGCTGTGCGACTGGTAGTGCCGCCCTCTGTCAGGTCTTCGATAGCATCTTCCTCGATGTGCCCATGTCGCGGGTCAAGTTCAACGTCAACACCGAATATGCCTACATACAGAACTTCAAGGTGTTGCAGAGTCAGTTTGTCCCTCCCCATACCTCGTCCCCTCCAGTCGAGGTCAACCAGGCATGCTGACAAGGGCCCTCGTTTTCTTACAGACACCTTCACCAAGCACCAGGTCGACAAGCCCATCCCCGTGTCCGCCCTCGTCAAGTGCAAGATGCAGGACAACCTCGAGTTCCTACAATGGGTAAAGCGGTTCTGGGACCAATACTACCCTGGCGGAGATTACGATGCCGTTTCGCGACGAAAGGGCGCCCCTCTCGCTGCTGGTGCCGGCGGTGGATCCGCCCCCAGAGTCACCAACAGTGCTGCAGCCCGGAGAGGCGGCGGTACGACCCCTACGACTGGTCCACGCCTGGTCAAGGCTGGCGGCGCTGGTGGTGGTGCTGCCTCGGCCGCCCTCATGCAGGAGAACGCGACGCTGAAGGAGACAGTGGTCGGCCTCGAGCGCGAACGGGACTTTTACTTCAGCAAGCTCCGCGACATAGAGCTGTTGATCCAGCAGGCTGTCGAGGAAGATCCGGAGATCGAGAAGCAGGAGGATGGTCTCATCAAGCACATCCAGACGATACTGTACTCGACCGAAGAGGGATTCGAGATTCCCGAGGGAGAGGAGGCGGCGCTGGACGACCAGGAGACGTTCTAAAGGGGCTGGTGAGTACACGGGCGAGGAACGACGTAATGAATACCATGGAGGCAAAGCATTGACGCATTAATGTCACGGGAGTACGGCTATATGAAGAATAAGAAGGGAGTATAGAAGTACGGACTGTAGAGGATATATCCGCTTGGCAAGGAGTCTCCTGAGACTCTGCACCGATCATGGTACGCTGACCCGCGGAGGGCCTAGGCAGGAGGCATATAGCCACCGTCAGGATCCGAGGCCGCTCTCACTCGAGAGTCCCGCTGAAACTGCCGATAGACATCAAGAACTATTTTCTTCTACTCTTGTTCCCCGTTATGTTAAACCCCTGCCCCCCTCCTGTCTGCACCTTTCCTGGTGCCTCAGGTGTCTACAATAAGGTTTGAAGCGAACGGCGGGCTCTACCTTAGGAGCCGCCTGCTGCTTCCCACCACCATCACCACCACCACCACCACCACTTTTACCTCGAATCTCAAATCTCGAATTGTCACCCAGGCCGTCTCGCCGTGGCTGAAGCGGGCTCTCGTCCTCGTCACATTTTGGTTCCGAGTTCATCACATTCGTTCTCGTGCGCCTGCCTTGGGCCCTTGCCCGTTTGCACTCAACGATCACCGCATCACCGCACCACACCAGCTCCCTCAGACTTCCTCAAACCACCAACATCATGCCGCCGAAGTACAAGTTCAGGGTTACCACGGCCCGCGCCGCGCACAAATTTAAGAAGCGTGGCCCAACTGCTTCAGCGCAGCGCAGTTCGATGCGCCGGGCTATCGAGGAGAGCTTGCGCATCGCCGGTCCGGACGTCAGTCTGCCCTGCGACTCGCCGTCTGTTCGAACCGAGGCTTCTACGTCGTCTATCTCTGAAGATTCCAATGTTGGATCGCAACCACCATCGTCACCTTCCTTCTCATCGCAACCATCGACGCCGTCTTCATTAACATCATTCTCTGGCCCTTTCACACCCGCTTCCTCCATCTCATCCGCAGCAAGCTCGCCTGCCTCACAGGCCCCGAGTACGCCACTCCAGACGAGCCAAAGACGCCAATCTACCGCACTTTTAACCTTCCAGGCGCCGAGTACGCCCCTCCAGGCAAGCCAAAGACGCCAACCCATCACACCTTCGACTTCTAGCTCGACGGATGATAGCGAAGCCGGCGACAATCACTCCAACGGCGTCCCAGCGCTGCGCAAGGGCTGGTACCAAGTCAGAGAGATTGTCTCGGAGGCGCGCAGGGCAGGGAAGCTCACCTACCTCGTTGAGTGGGAGGGTGTCAATCCGAAGACCGGTGTCATGTGGCCTGCTTCTTGGGTGAGTTCTGACATTTCTATTTACATTCACTGTTGAGACATCGTTGGGACTATTCCACCATCATGGATGATGGGTGAAGGTGCACTGGAATAAAGGTGCAAAAGGCTATAGTGACCTGAGGTTGAAATTCGAGGTTGCACAAGATTGGCAAAGCTAACGGTTCTGCGTCCAGATCAACGCCAAGAACGTGTCTGCTTCTGCAGTTCAGGCGTGGGGGGAGACGAAGGAAGCAATGAAGGCGTGAGGTTGCCAGAAGTTGCCGGAGCCAGTTGGAGTTTTGAGTGTCTTGGAAGAGACTTCTGGGGTCAGTCGATCGACCAGACTTGACGACTTTGCAGACGAGGACATGAAGTGGCGAGAGGATTTTGAAGGGAGAACTGATCAACGATCATACAAGCAGACCAGCCAGCTTCTGCATTAGCACAAAACGGGCTCGCATGAAGCCGAATATCACGAGTGGGATTCAACCAAATACCATAGTTAAAACGTCACATCCAGGGGTCGCAATTCAGTTCCCATTCCATCCGGTTGTGCAATAGTTGACAACCAATACATTGAAAGCCAAAGAACCCAACCCGCCCCAATCCCGTCGGTCTTGAGTGTATTACAAATCGCAAGTCTGTGCTTAGCCCCTATCCATGAACCCAATCATCTAGTACCCATCACTTCCTTATACACAAAAGCAGCAACCCAGAACCTGCTCCCAGAGCCTCTCGTAAACCACTACGAAAAACAACCAACCACCTAAAGAATACCGGTCCCATTCCCATGAGCACACCCAGCACCACAGCCCTCCCCGTCCTTCCGCCCCGTCGCGAACCCCACCAGCCCCTCAAAGTACGTCGAAGTAGCCGACCGCACCGTCGCCGGCACGAGCAGCAGATGTGGGTGGCAGCCCAGGGCGGCGTCCTTGGGGGTCTGCTGGCTGCCGAGCCGCGACGTCAGCGCCAGGATGGCGGCCAGGACCGACGCGAAGAGCATGCCCATCACCAGGTGCTGGAGCACTTCGGAGGTGACTTCTTTGGCGGTGCTGGTGAAGGGGGATTCGGGGAATGTGGGGGTTGTGAAGCTGGAGGCGGGAGCGGGAGCGGGCGCTGGGGCTGAGGAGGGAGCCCGGGCCGGGGCTCGAGCTGGAGCTGGAGCTGGGGCCGGGGCTGGAGATGAGACCGGAGTTGGAGCCGGGGCTGGAGCGGGGGGTTTCTGCACAGTAGGTATCTCCTCAATCACGCTCTCCAGATAGGCCTCCAGCGCTTGGTCCGAGGCTCGTCGGGAAGCGGCGCCCAGGTTTTTGGTCGAGGTTGGCTTCTCGGCCTCGTCGCCTACAGGGACCTGGTCATCATGGACGGCAGGCTTCTCGGTGGTCTCGTCGACTTGCTGCTCTTGGGGCTTGCTGCTAGGCTTCGGAGCGGCTGTTGCCTCCTCGGTCTTCTTCGCAGCGTCGGCTTTCTTAGCTGCAGCTTTCTTAGCCTTCTTAACGGCAACCTTTTCAGCTTTATCCTTCTCAGCTTTATCCTTCTCAGCTTTCTCCTTCTCAGCGGTGTCCTTCTCAGCGGTGTCCTTCTCAGCGGTGTCCTTCTCAGCGGTGTCCTTCTCAGCGGTGTCCTTCTCAGCGGTGGTCTTCTCAGCGGTACTCTTCTGCCCGCTTCAGCAGGCGGGGCGGACGACTTTCCACCAGAGCTGCTGGCCTCTGCTTCGGGTTCAGCGGCAGCCCATCGGGAGTTTCCGAGACCCGGGTTGGGCGAGGGGCCCCGAGAGGAATCTCGTGATCCTGCAGCTGAACCCACGCCGAGGGACTGGCTGTTCGACGGTACGAACTCCCTCGCGTTGGGGTTGGGCGAGGGGCCCCGGCTGGCTGAGGAAGCTCGTGACCCTGCAGCTGAACCCACGCCTAGCGACCCGGACGGGGTGAACTCGCCGGCGTTGGCGTTGAATTTGTGGTCGGCAGCTGCCTTCTTGCCCCTTTTGCCGGCCATTGGAACGTTGGGTGGGGTAGTGTCTTTACCGTGACGAATGGTGAGTCGGTAGATGATGGTGACGGCTACGATAGATTCTGATGGAGAACAGTTGAGGGCTGTAGGTAGATCAAGATCAAGATCGTCTGGTTTTCAATAATACCAGGGGATTGGCTTCGGGAAACACTTATGCATTCATCCCGCTGCTGGTGTCAAGCGCCACGAGGCGGGGGTGGAACAAAGATGTCTCAAGCTGAAAGAAGCCACCAAACCTGTTTGCGGATGTTTGGTTCATAAGCACAAAGAACTTCGAGCGCGCGAATCTCTAATTAAATAATAATTCAGCAATGATATACGATAGAGCATATGTTTTGTCTGGTGCACGGGTGTCCAGGTTAGCATGGGAGGCAGTGTTGATAGTCTGAGAGATCACGGCAATGAAGATATTGGTAGCTGTAACGTATAAGGAACTCAAGATATAAAAGTACGACACGATGTGACCTGTCAACGCGACTGAGCTACCTAGCAACCCGACACATCGATTGATCCCCTATTCACATGTACTGCCGGTGCTGGCAATAGTAGGAGAGGACAGAGACATATTGTCCCAAACAACCAAAGGAACCCCAGCTGTAGACGACAATGGCACAAGACCATACCATACACTCTCCTGGCCATGTGACCCAGGCAAGCCATGAATCCGCGAAAACGGGGGACGAGGCTGATGATGAGTTATTAGTCTTTTCTCTTTTAAAAGGGAAAGGGGGAAACGGACATTACTACCGGCTATCCCGCATTTTCCGGAACGAGTCCTACTCGGCATCATCTGGACATGATCGACTGTTGTACTCTTTTCCCGGCCTCGACGGCGTGCTTCGCGTGCCTTCTGGCGAAGATGTTCTGCCTCTAAGTTAATGCCTGACGACGTTCCACCCTTGCCCTGTCATGACGGAGCTTCCTGCGTTTGTCGAGGTAGTCGCTGATGTGGCCCGATCGAACTGCAGTCTCTCAATAGTTGTTTCACTGGCTCGTTCCGACTTTCCAACTCACCTTCATCGTTGTCAACTCGGACTGCGAAAGCCGCAAGGAGTTCTGCGTCTGTCCATTTCGAAGGTTGGTACGCCTTCCCCCGCCACATCTGCCTGATTGATTGTAGAGCGCGTTTGAGCTCCTTTGCCAGATTATCAACTCCCTTTTGCTCAAGGGGTCCTCTGAATAGGGCATGACTGTGGTTGGGGTCCTTCTCTCGGCATTCAGGTCCACGCAGTTTGAAGGCGTAAACCTCACCCGACTTGCCATATAGTGCCCCGTCGAAATCGAAATTGAGATGGTCTTCAGAGCGCTCCTGTACGGCAATGTGTACTCGTGGCTGATGCGGAGCTGTGTTGCTCGTATCCGCATCGATATGACTGCCACATGGTGCGCCGGTATGAGTTGGAGTATGGACTCCGTGTGGGATGGGGTCCGCATCGGGAAGAGCTGAGGTGCGTGCTGCGTCGTTCACTATGCCCTCATCACGTGTATGCGTAGTTGTAGAGACTGGGTCCACGGTCGGCGCAGAGAGCTCGATGCCTGTCCCAGAGGACACAGGACGTTGCCCAAACGGAGCATTGTCCGAAGCGTTCGATCCCTCAAAGCTGCCTCTCCAAAAGTCTTCCGATGTGAACTTTTTGGTCTTCCTATTCCCGGAGTGATGTTCGCACAGGGACAGACCGGCCGGGCATGCCTTCATCCTCAACGCTCGGTTGGAGGCAAATCCGGTGGTCCCGACGAGGTGCCAGAGTATGGCTGAGAACCCGGGCGCCGGTTGGCTGGAAGCGCGAGGACCCCGGAAGTGTCGAAAATCCCGAGGAGGGCAAACGTGATACCTGAGCAGAAGCCATGTCAGAAGGAGGCGCCACTTGCTAGTGAGACTAAAACATGAAGAGGTATGAAGGTAGAAAAATGTTGGACCACTGTGAAGAAACCAATATGACAATAAGTAGCAGCCAGTGACGTTTTACATCAGCCTGATCAATCAAGGCGGGCTCCGGACTCCGGACTCCGGGTTGGTTCGAGCATAGGTAAGATTTAAGTTAAAAGATAGAGCCCGGTGAGGCGAGACCAAGCCCAAAATCCACAAGAACCTTGATAGAAACACCCCTCAAGCCGCAATAACGATACCTTACACCTAGGAGCAGCTCGATACGTGTCGTCCCCTCCTGAACGCTCCTTCTCATACACACATGTCTAGCTTCTTCCCCAGATCATGTGCAAGTAAACCTGTCATCACATCCACCCCCGGCTTTGTGCAAGCCTACCTCAAATGCCTTGAGCCATCCTTCACGAGCAAAACGAACAGCCAAACGCAAATCTTCTATCGCTTGAGACATTTCGCCACCAAGTGACCAGAAACAAATTCTATCTGTGTTGTCCAACGACAGAATCGGGACATGGTTTGAGCAACTCGAAACCAAAGTCGAGGACTGTGCAGACAGGATCGAACAACGGAATCGTATTACTATACATATTTGCAGAGACATCATCGATCTCATCAACAGAGCTTCCAAAACAGATATTGAACTTGTCGCGGAGTTGCAGGGACTACAAAAACAAGAGTCCCACTTCAAAGCAACAGCAACGAGACAGCTCAAGAAGGGAACTTTCTCAAAGGAGAGCGCCAAAGACCTGCAACTGCAGATCAAGGAAATCGATGACTGCAGAATAACCGACAAGGCGGCCAGGATATTCTACGGTGGAAAACTGAAACGCTTGGACGACGCATGGGATGTGTTCGTCGAGTATCAGGACAACTTGGAGAATTGGGCAGACGAATTGGAGATGGAGTTTACGGATCGTGACCCCGACTTGCAAGACAAAGAACCAGGGGCTGATGTCGGTGACAATCCGGGGCATTGCAACGACGACGACAATCAGGCGGATGAGCATGATTTGGAAGTTAGCGATACGTACGCTTCCACGCATGATGGCAACCGTGGCGGCCGCAGTGAGCCTAGCGATCGTGGACCAAGTCTGGGACAAGGAGGTCAGTCAAACCTCGAAACCATATCAACATGTCTGAAGATACATCGAACATCGCCAACGACCCTTGTGTTCCGAACGTGGTCGTCAAAGAGCCTCTTTCTTCAGAAGAATTGGGGGATCCTGTTGTCTCGGATTTACCGGAGGTCGAAGAGTATGTTTCTTCAGAAGATTTGGAGGGTCCTGTTTTCCCGGACCTTGCCCAAGACACAAAAACCTGTCCAGACGATGCGCAGAATAGCTTCGTCGAAGATATCTTCGTTCCAAACGAGGCGCAGAACACTATCATCGTTCGAGACGATGCCGCAGGCCCAGGGAAGAAGAGTGCACGTGCGAGCAAGAAACGCGATAATACGAAGCAGTTAGACGGACGAGAAGTTACGCAGGCAGCCAAGCGTAGGTGCAAGAACAAATCCCACGCGAGCAGGCACATCCCCATTGAGGCGTCTGCATAAGCTGCCCCGCTACCTGAGGTCACTTTTCTGGGCCTGGGCCCGGTTGTGGGAGTCATCCGGAAAAGCGAAGTACTCGAGCACGAGTGGGTACACAACTTGATTGAAGGTGTGGTTTGCGGGCCACATGTCCTCCGCTTTGGGCCAGAACAACCGGCATGGAGGAAGTGGGCTTTGTTGTGGAAGCCTGGCAGGTTGCCGTGGTCAGCAAGTTTGCACACAGGCAATGAGGAAGTACTCGATGGCATTCCACTGGTGCCCAAGGAAGTAGCTACTAGATTTGCACATATCGGTATGTTACCCAGGTCCTGCCAACGCTGCGGCATAACCTAAAGCTAACCGGTATTGTGCTTCCCAGTTCACGATGCCGACAATGAATGGATTGTTGCTCATAACGCTGAAGCTCTTGTGTCCGCGGCCAGGTCCTCATGAAGGGAACTTATCCTTCAGCAGGTGGTGATAATGGTGGTGGTTTCGTGGTTAGGTAGCACTATACTTATACTAGGTAGATATATTGCGTTCACATCCTACACCTTGAAGGCGTCGTTTCCAAGCAATTCAATCAGCCACCTTCCAACTGAAGTAAGCCGTGATGACGAAGCATCTAAATCAGTTAGGCTACCTCTAACTTGATTGGCTTATTTCACTGCCGGAGCCATAGCGCCAAAGCTCCAGACCAATCATGACCCTTTATTTTTACCCAAACCCATATTATCAGCCGCACTACCAGCCGCACCGCCTGAAATGGCCTTTTATGAAAATAAAAATTGGTCCTTTCGCTGTTTGGTGCTTTTCCGAGGTAACCGCTAGCTATACTAGTGTTGGATTAAAGGTGAGCCCAGAGGGCACCTTGATAGATAGACACCGGAGCCTAGTTGTTCCGTCCCGATCCAGCCCCCTCTGGCACAAAACTGCCACGGTCGCACGAGGACACTTTAGAGAGACAGAATACACATACACACACACTTCAACCTCACGATTGGCTCAAATCTGACAACTAGATACCGAGCCGACCCCTGTTCACTACACCCACTACATCTACCACATCCGTATATGCCGTTAACTTCTTTGATAACTTGTAATACTGCTAACACTATTAGTGGCTCCGGTTTTCACTAGTAGAGCTAGTTTAAGATATAATATAACTTACTCGTTTAAGTTTAATATCGACTTTAAACTAAGTAACCAAAATTACTTAGTTTAAGCTAGCGATTAATAAACTTTTTTAAATATACTTTAAATAATAAGAGTTTTCTAATATAAGCGTGAATTTTGTTTTATTTATTTAATTTTGACTTATATATTGAATAAGTTTATAAGATATAAAATGCTGTATAAATATAATAACGGCTGTTAAATAGTTATATTCAATTATAATAAGTATGTGTGAGTAGTGGTGCCTATCAGGTATGTACTGCAGCTGGCAGCAGGCTGAAAGGGGTGAAAGGGACACAAAAGGGGTGAAAGGTCTATTGTGGTGACCACTGGCAGGTGCGTTGTCTGCAGTAAGGCAGCCGGATATCACGGGGCTCTCACAACTGTATTTAGGTGGGAATATCCCTCATAGATCTATAACGAAGACATCGAACCTGATCCATCCCATCCTGACCCTATCTGAACACCTGAACTTCACAAAGTAGTTGAAATAAAGAACGGGGTAAAAGCATTAAGATAATAACTTTTAAAGTGATAAATAAGGCTTTATTAATAAGTAGATTAATAAATAAGTAAATCTTTATATTTTAATAAATGTTTAATATTGTATTTAATGTTTCAACTTGATGAATAATTACGTAATTAATTGACTTTAATTTTAACCTTATATTGAACCTTAAGTTATAATATAGTAATATTTCTTTTAATATAATCAAAAGACCTTCATTTATAAGATCTCGAAGTGTATTTGTACGGTAAGTAGGCGATTTTTATTATTTTTAAGCCTAATACGCGTAAATACGCGCTGCATTTTTATTATCGTCGTAATAATAGTTTTTAATTTTACGACTTGATTTAATTAACGCGGGAGCTTTTTACGTTAAAAAGAAGATTTAAAGTATCCAGCTTTTTTAAATAAAGTTAAAAATAGCGCTTTAAAAAAAAGAAGAAGTAATTAAGACAAATTTATTAATTATAAAGTTATATTTAAATCGTTGGTAAAGAAATACAAGGCGCTTGTAAACTAGTTAAAAACCTTCCGATTTTAAGCCGCGTTTAATACTTTTATACGTATTATTTATAAAATCGACGTAAATAATACGATTTATTAAATTACTAAAAGCGATTTAAACGCCTTTTAAAGGAGCGCGCGTACCGTTTATACTTACGATATTAAAAAAGCGGTTTACGAAAAAAAGTAACCGCGGCAAGAGATTTTAAAAACGACCAGACCTTTATATTGCGTTGTGCAATGGGTGTCAATTGATGTGTGAGGCAGGGTTGGGTTGCAAGGACTAAGATGGGAAAGATTGCAGCTACTTAAGGTAACTGCAATCCCTATCTTAGTGCAACCCTTATCTAACTAGTCTAGCCCTAGCTATCCAGGTCCCCACACACAATGTGTAACCCACACACATACCAGTGGCTGTGTTAATGACTGTGGCTGTGCCAGCCACATTGACTACTCCCCCTGATGACGCGTATCACCTTTATTAACGCGTTTTGAACCGTTAAACCGAATTATAAAATCCCTGGTTTTTTTTTAAATAATGAAAAGGGTTACATTAAGCGTGTTGAATTAATATTTGACTTTGTAAGCGATATAAATTAAAAACGTGAGGTTAAAAAGGGCTTAATTTTAACCTTAATAAGTTGAAAAGCATCTTTTTGAATGAATTTTATTCCGACGTTTTTATTTAACGCTTTAAAATTTCTTTTTTTTGAAAAGGGTTATTAAAAGTGTAAAAGCGTTTATAAAGTTAATGTAACGAGTTATAATTTTTTAAAAGTTTACGATTATTAAAAAGAATTAATTAAAAAGCTCTAAAAATAAGTTTTAAATAAAGATATGCTTTTTATTCTTTTAAAAAGGTTATATAAAATTAAACGAACGAGACTAATTATAGAAAAGGACTTATAATTATAAAAGTTAATATTAATATTTTTAAAGTTGATTTAATGAATTTAAGGTTTAATTTACAGAGTAGTGTCGTTATAATTTAAGTATTAAATAAGGCGTATGTACCGAGCGGTAAAATATATTAACGTTTTGTTCAAGATAAGCTTACAAAATCAAAATATAATAACATTCAATACGTTAATACCTTAATTCGGGACTTAAAAAAGTAACAATGAACTTGTTATTATTATTTTTATCTCGATAAAGAATAAAGCGATAAATAAAATAAAACAAATCGAAAAGGTTTTAAAATATCTTAAAAATCTCGTATAAACGTTGTTATTAATTATTTTTACGACGAGTTTAAGAACAAAATCAATTATAAAACTAATTCTTTTGAAGATTAAGACTTCAAAAATAACAAATAATTTTATACAGTTAATTGAAGTGAAAATAAAGGCTTAAATTATAAAAAAACGAGCTTGGAAAAGTAGATAAAAGTTTTTAAGTAACAAATATAATAAAAAGGCTTTAAATATTATAAGTGTTGGAACAGGCTTGAACGATCAATCATAATACTCGAGTATGGGGTCAAGGTTATGATGTTGCTGATGGTTGGATTGAGAGGAATCTAGCTGGACTCAAAGGTCTGGCCAAGTGCCCTCTCAATCCACTATCTTATCTTATCTAATCATACATGTGGGTCCTGGTATAGATGGTTTGCAGTCTGGAATCGCATGGATCCAACAATAAGTATAAGAATTAAAGTCACGTCAAACGACAATATATTATTAATAACTGAAAATTAATTTAAAGATACTTTATAAAAAGTTATAATCAGATTTTTAAAAAGTCGATTTTGAATTAACTTTAAAAACTTAAAGAATGTATTAAGTTTTAATAATTTACTTATAACTTATACTAACCTTACTACGCTAAAGGTTTTTATTATAGTAGTTTTTAGAAAAGCGTTTAAAAAATCTATGATGAAATTTTTTTTTACCGTTAAAGAAACGATTATTTGAAAGCGATCAATAATGTAATATAATAGTTTAATTAACGGCTTATTTTAATTACGTATTCTTACATCAAAAAAGACTTTAAACCAGATTTATTATACAATATCAACTCGAAGTATTTATATGTGACGAGCCGTCTAACCTATAAGGCTAAAAGGTTCCATAGTGTTTATGTTCTAAGGTAAGTCAACACAAAAAACGATAGAGGCTTCTGTCAACTAGAAGACACTCAGATGCTGGGGCTTGGTCTGAACTGGGTTCACTGCGTAGTTGAGTCGTCAGAAGATTTCTCTCACCTTAGAGTTGGCTAAGATGCTTAGATTGATCACTGAGGTAGAGACTGTCTATCTATCTGGTTGAGAAATGTCTGTCCTTATATATCCAATCTCTCCCTCTCTCCCTCACTGATTAGGTGGCTCACCCTGGATCACCGGTGATCCAAGGTGATCCTGCTCACTGGATCACCATGGTGATCCAGTGATCCAAATTCTTAGTCACGTGACCCAGGCTCTGCTGGTCGCGTGATCTGTGTACCGTTGCTCCGTTGCTCCGATCTCTCCACTGATCAGCACCCCACTCTCTGGTCAATCTGTTTCCAATCATTCCTTCTAGGTCTGCTATCAGGCCGCACTGTTCGTTGGTTCGTAACATTATTACAAACATTAAAACCGATTTTATTTAAAACTTTGTTATTAATGGTAGTAAAAAAGACTTCCGTATTTATACAAGTATAAATATGTTAAAGGCTACGAAATATAGCGTAATTTCTTCTAACTTAATAAGAATTAAACGAATTTTTTTTTTTTTTTTTAATATTTGCTTTTACGGAAAAGATTTTTCTTATCAAAAACTTCAGCGAGTATTTTTATGAAATAAAAGGTAGTATTTAAAATAATCGCTTTATTAGCTTTTAAAAAGTTAATCTTATAACTTTAAATATTTTGAAACGCGGGTTTTTTATGTAAAAAACTTGAACTAAATTTTTATTTATAATAACGATGTAAACTTAGGTTTAAAAATAACGAAACTGTTGGATCCATGCGATTCCAGACTGCAAACCATCTATACCAGGACCCATATGTATGATTAGATAAGATAAGATAGTGGATTGAGAGGGCACTTGGCCAGACCTTCGAGTCCAGCTAGATTTCTCTCAATCCAACCATCAGCAACATCATGACCTTGACCCCATACTCGAGTATTATGATTGATCGTTCAAGCCTGTTCCAACAGAAACTAATAAATGATAAATATTTTTAAACATTTAAGCTTTTTAAAAGGCTATAATATTATTAAATAAACTGAAAATTTTATTTATCTTTCAACACCGCTACTTACATTATCTTAAAAAATAACAGTTAATATAAACTATTAAGATACTTATGATGATTTTTTTAAACCTTGAAAATATTGTAAATCCCTTTTATAAGGCTTATAACGAAATAAAGGCTTAAAAGATCGATTTCAAAGACTTTTAAAAGCGTATGAAATATGTTAATAAAATCTTTTAAGCTGATTTAAACGAGTTAAAGTTTGTTATAATCGACGGCTATAAGTATTTATTTTCTTTACGGATGATAATAGCCTTTTTAAAAGTTTTTAAGCTTACAAAAAAGATTAAATATTTTTTTTTAAAGTAAGTAAATCACGTTTAAATAAGCGGTACTTAAAAGTTGAAGTTTTAATAGAACCGGATTTATTCGAAAAGTTAGTACTTTACGTTTCAATAGTGGTAAAAAGTTTAATATGAAACGAATAAAGGCTTTTTATTTTATTCAAGTTATTATTTTAATCTTTTTTATACCTGCTAATGCCAGATTTGAGCCAATTGTGAGAGTGAAGTGTGTGTGTGTATATTCTATTTGTCTGGAGTGTCCTTGTGCGACCGTGGCAGTTTTGTGCCAGAGAAGGCTGGATCGGGACGGAACAACTAGGTTCCAGTGTCTATCTATCAAGGTGCCTTCTAGGCTCATCTTTAATCCAACAGCTAACTAGTATTAAAACGGCGCCGTCGAGCGCGAAATCGGCTTCTTTTAAAAAGAATCGCGCGTTATAATAAAATATACGCGTACCTTTACGATTTGATTAAATAAAATTACATAATTATGACGGTTATAAATAACCGAACGAAATCGTTGACCTTTAAAATCATAACCTTTAAAAACTAATATTATTTTAATTTTTAATCTTTTTTAGAAGTATAAGCTTAATTAGGCTTATTTTCGTATTCTTAAAAGTCGTTATTACGTATATATTAACGCTTAATTTTATATAGAAGCTAAAAAATAGAAATAAATAAGTAAGAATAATATTATTAAGTTATAAAAGTGTATATAATTACGTCGTCTGATTGATTGAAAAAGGGGTTTAAAGACTTTTTACGTTATTATTATAAAAATATGGTTTCAACGGCTTTTGAAGATTTCATAAACTTTATATTTTTTTAGTCGATGTGAAAACGTCGTTAAAAAAGATCTTTTCTTCAAAAGAAAAAAAAAGTTTAAAAAAACCGCTTAAAGTAAAAGATCGTAAAATATTTCATTAATAAGGTTTGGTTAAAACACTTTAACGTTTTAAAAACGTTTTAAAACGCTTTTTAAAAGGTAAAAATACCGATTCAAAGGTAAATAGCCTTTATGTCACGATTCCGTAAATGTATTGCAAGGATACAAGGACCCTTATTAACTATCGACGTATAACGAACTCTGGTTGAAGGAAAAGAAAGATCTGGAGATGGACCCGAATTGGTGGGCAGCTAGATGTGGGCAGTCGTCTCCCACCAGACCCACCTTGGCATAGATCAAATTGCCAGATCAATGGATGGGCGAATCTTTGTGCTTTAGTGTGTATTTAGTACTAGATTTGGTCCCCAGATCCGATAGACGATTACACAAGCAAATCACCCCAACATTGGACCGTAAATTGTGACAATATGAAATAAAAGCGTTTTCTAAAACTATGTTTTTAATAAATAGTAAATAATATTTAAATAAAGACCCGTTTTATATTACATCTTTATTAGTTATTATATTTCTTTTATATTATTCTTTACTTATAACATATCTTCATAAATTAAGATATACTTACTTTAAATAATTCATATTATTATAAAACATTATTTTAATAATTATTCAAAACGGCATTTAATGCCTTATTATTATTTATTAACTACTTTAACCCTTTTCTTTAACCACGATGATTAATCCTTTAAAGTGGGTAATGTGACAAGGGGCTGTCTTAGCCGTACATCACAACTTGGTGCGGAATACCAGTCAAGGGGCACAAGGGGATAGCTTTCCAACGTCCTGCGCCCAGGCGTGGAGTACCTAATCGTGGGGAAATGGTTCGCGGTGGGGCACATCACCCTTGAGCCAACGGTTATGCACCATCAGCGGTAAGAGCTGTAAGTGCTTCCTAGCTAGTAAGGAAATCACATGTGAATGCGCTCGCGAGGGCCGTAATGTATACTCTCACGGTGTCACTGCTTACTCCGACAGTTTCTCTTTAAAAACTGGCCGTCTCAGGCACTCAGCCATAGTACCATCAGTTTGCTACATCGCCTACTACGATCGAGGTACTGTTTCTGTCTCCGAGAAATAATCTGTTTCCAATCCAAGTGAAGCCATCCACGGCGCCACCAGGGCCTTTAGGGAGGTAGCCACGACGAGGTTGGCGCAGAGGTTCGCGGCAAGACTGCTCGAGGCTGTCTAAAAGAGGGATAGCGCAGGCAAGCGACCTTCTGTTGATGAAATCGTTTTCAGAGCTCAGTCATTTATCTGATTACTTCGATCCCATTTGCATTGCAAGTAATACGTGTGATAGGAAGAGGTACCTACCATTTGGTGCAACTTGTACCTGGAAGGGTTTACCTAATTTCCAAAACGGAATCAGGCCTATTGCAAATAGGAGACCGTCAGATTAGACATTCCGGCGAGGTCTCCCATGTGACATAACCGAAACCGTACTGTACCTAATTCTTGGTGACCTCCGGTCGCACAAGCAAGCCCCTCCACGTGGACATCACCTACGGGAAAATCGGGGCTTCAGAAAGTAAATGCAACATGTGTGTGATTAGCGGAGAGAGCCCCAGGGGGCAGCTGCAGCCCTATGCCTCCCTTATTAGCCCCTCAAGGTGGCAGCGCGGTCAGGGGGCAACCGGCGCTCCGAGGCCCCCTATTCTTCCTTGCTTGCGTCTAATGCCAGGGGCACGAGAATAGGGGCTTGAGCAGCTGCCCTCCAAGGTCCCCACTTCAACCTGCCCTCTACACTCGGGGCCTACACTCAAGACAGCGCGAAGAGTCCGTGTGGTCTCTCTCATACTGGAGGAACGACAGGAAAACTGGGTCAACGGTGATTGAAGCCCTGACGAGTGGTCGAATTCGCACTCTTGTCGCCATGACAAACTTTAAATGGTCCACTAAGTGATCAACATTGTCTGGTTACATGTACACCCCGCCACTACCAACCACTCCTTTTGCCAACACTAGGTAATGATATGAGTGGCTTTAACAGAGGGACAAATGGGTCTTACTGACTTAGGAGGTACGATAGAATAGCCGTGAATAGGTTTTATTCAAACATTGCAAGAGGTATAGCATAAACTCGACATGGTTCTCGCGTAGTCCGACGTCGGGGGAAGCTCCCATTTCTTGCTCGCGTCCAAGTGCTCCTCGACAGGGCCTTATCTATGCCGAACGACGCTCCTCGGTTGTGACTCTAAGTACATGTGTCAAAAACCATATACCTTGACGGACGACGGACCTTCGGCCACAATAAACTAGGTCTGCTCTGGTTGCCAGCCCGACCTACCTCTACCAGAGCTCTCCAATACCGACTCTGACGAGCACCGAAGAGGCTCAACTCTTCCGCGACTATCAACGTCTCAGTCGCTAAAATGTCTAGCACGTCCAGAAGAGACCGTGCTTTTGCGGCATTCTACCAATCTTCATCAGAGCAAACCAACAGGATCGCTCGCTGCATCAATAAGCTACTCATGGGAGATGTTGTTGACGAACTGATAGCAGCCCACGATGATCTTACCACGGCTCTCCGATTCTTGGAGTCAGAGGTTGGTTCATCTGGTTTACCACCAGCGATCGCAGAAGCTTCTCGACAGCTCTGCGAGTTGTCTGGCGTTTGGCGAGCGGCAATGCCTGGCTTCGAAATAGAGTTGCTATTGTCCATCAATGGCAATATGGAGAAATGGGAGGATCCATTTCGTTTGGTCCCAACATTCGACTCAGGTAGCCTGCCCTTAACAGCGCAACCACCATCCTCGGCCCAAGAAGAGCGAGGACTACAATTTCCGCCTACCGCAGACTACCTAGCGGTCATGAGTCCCAAAGGTCCACCGAAAGAGGATCACCAGCATACCACAGCATATCCCCAGCAACAGAGTCGCACTACCAACAATTCCGCCAGTAGCAATCCAAACCCCACCCATTCATGGGAAACGCAGGTGGGCACGGAAGAGGCTATTGAAGAGTAAGGAGCTGCATCTTCACCTGTTACTCTTGCCAGTTCTTCCGGATGCCCTCTAGTCGCCATACGAAGAACGCACAAAGACCCCTGACATGCGCAGCTACTGAGCAATTGACCGCCACTCCTCCCATTCTCAGTTTTGCCGAAATCACGTCCCAGGGTGAGTCACGCACCAACCGTACAAACCGTGATTGAAGACTATTAACGCCGGCAGCAACCAGGTTGATCGAAAATGCCTCCATCACCAGTTCTGCCTTCCACGCCCCTCAAGGTGAGTTGGACACAAACCTCTTCACGACGGCAGCGGCCGAGTTGATTGCAAATGACTCCATCGCCGGTCCTACCAGTCACGCCCCTCATGGTGAGTTGATGCTCCCATGGTGAGAAGAGTGCTCAACGGCTCCTAACACGTAGCATCGGCAGCAACTGGGGAACTGACCTCGAATGCGTTAAAACAACACATGGAAGGAATCCGTAAGTGAATACAGAATGTTAGGAAGATTCGGGCCCTAACAACCTCGCACCTACATGTGAAACGGCAAATTCCTGTGTTCTCTCCTGTTAGTAATGGAAGCAACTAACCATGTCAAGCAGAGTATGATGGGTCCCCAACTAAGCAGGGCAGTGACCAACACGAGCAAAACGAGCAGTACGAGCGCCACGACCCAAACGCGGGAGACGACGAGGACGAGCAGGGCACAACACGACAGAAGGGATTATTTTATCCCCTTGGACATGGTAACAACCATACAGGTACCGATAACGGTAATGCTCGCACTGATCATGCTTGTATAGACGGCGAATTTGATGAGACAAAACCCTACGTCCGCGACGCCGACATAGACCGAAGCACCGCAAGCATGACTCTTTCTGATCGGAGGTCTGCCGAAAGCCGAGATCACAGAAACTATGAGCTGTATAATACTCCAGTCGCCGAAGTCGGCATACAGTTAGCGACCAGACCGGAACCTCACATGGATCAGAACAGTTTCCCTATGTCCGCCTTGCCACTCGACAGAGGGGATCCCCGCGCTGCGGAATCCGATATGCCAGGTCGTCTGAAAAGAGAACGCCCTAGCACTTTGGGCTTGGAGGAAGCAGAGGCAGGACCTTCCGGGCGGCGTAAACGTCCGAAGGCATATGCAAGGGCTTATGTAAAAAGAACTCACGCACCGCGATCACCAATGCTTTCATATCACCTCCTGCCATGGACAGCCGCTAACCTGATGTAGGATGAGCATTTCAGAGGCTTCATAAGTAAAGACTTGGTCCTTGAGAATGAATGGGCTCACGAGCCCATTGGCTCTGTTGTCAACAAGCCCATGTATTTCGTTTTGGGAGCAGCCCGGTACCCAAGTGGTGGAATGAGTGGGAGTCCAACTCGAAGCCGCAATCGGGTTCATGGCCATCAGCGGTAATCCAGAAGGAGTTCAGCATTCTCGAGGAGGTTTCTGCCCAGGTAAGGGCAATAGCTCGCAGGTTTGCGATCGTCGGTAAGTGCATAGGTGGCCCTCTGCTTGTTGCCGCTTCTGCTTTGTGACCCTGACAGTAGCTGACAGTAGCTGACATGAAGGTTCTCCTCGTTATTATGGTCACCGGTGCTGACAATGCTTGGGCTCGTGAGCACAACATTGCAAGCTTAGAAGCACTCCAAACGAAAGACCCTCCCCGCGGGCTCCCTTGAAGCCGAGACATCTCGACCCGGTCAAGCCGTCATGGTCACATACCTCTGGCTAATACGCCGTGGTCAATTACGGATTCTGTTATGCGTTCTGGAGTCAGGTCTTATGGTGGACTACTACACTCATTCCACTGTGGCCGTATGGTGATGTCGCTATGGAGTCCCACGTATCTGTGTGGCTACGTAGTGCTCCTGCGGCGAACATCACTGTTCCAGGGTTGCTATTAGTTTTAGTCGTTCAGTGCCTTACTATCTGGTCATCCATAACATGATTATAATCTTGCGGCAAATATATGTTTTGGTTGTACAGCTGTGTCCGGAACCCTGATGATGATGATGATGATGATGATGATGATTGTATTTAACGTGGGGGATCGCTCCTCAGTAGTGCAAACCACGCCTCCCAGAGCCTCTGCATCGCAGGGTTGTGGAGGTATCAAGATAATAAGTACAGTCAGTCCCGTGTCCGGAACCCTGAAGTAGACTTGCTCCCCATTGGTACTAAATGATGACAGAGGCATAGGCAGTGATAAAGACACATTTATGAACAACTAGGGTTTTGAGTTCATGACATAATCAGAGTACAGTTTCAATTACGATTACCTCTATCTTGATATCCAGGCTCGCGGCCAGTATGTCTAAACACTTCATTTCCATCGCTATGTGCCCAATCCATCATTATCATATCCCATTATACCTGTGCGACTCATCTCAAGCGACAGCTCTGATCTGGGAGGGCTTGAGAGGCACGGTTACCAGACCACATGTGACAGTCCGGCTTGAGTAGATTTGACCCAGCTGCCAGTCGGGATTCTGTTGGGTCACGTCTGTGCAATCCAGGGTCAAGTTGGCGCTTCCACTTGCAATAACGGTGATACTATAGAATTGTTAGTCACCTGGCGTCTGCAGGCCGGTCATCGCATCAGTACTCACGGGTATTTTGGGTCCTGGTCACTGCAGCTCCATGTCTGATTGACATCCAGATGTCCGCTGGGCCGGCTGAAGTCGAATGAGGTCTCGGTGGTCGAGCCGTCCGGTACTGTGCACTTGTAGGGGAAGTTGCCGTAGAAGAAATCGGAGAGCTGGTCGCTGCTGGCACTGCATGACGCCTTGTACGTGAGAGCCGGGTTGGTCAGGTTGAAGCTGGCGTAGCCCCACGAGTTCTGGTGGGCGGGCGTGGTGAAGATGTAGGACGCGTGGTAGTCGAAGTCCTCGACGGTCCAGGTGAAGTTGCCGAACGACGCGGCCTGGCAGCCTGGGTTGCTGTCACGCATGCTCAGACCGTAGGGTGCTGCGGCTGCCAGAGGCAGGATGGTGGCGAGGGTTGAGATGAAGCTGTGCATTGTGGCGGATAGGTTGTGAGGTTGGAACTCTGAGTAATCGTTTTGGTGGGGAAGGTCGGCGGTATAATAGTCGATTGTTTGTTCAGTGAGAATCCTGTAGGATGCGATAGTTTGATGAGCTTCCTGTTCTGATCCCACTGCATGGTAGTCGACGGATGAGCTTTATATAGAGCCCAACCCCTGGCAGTCGGTGACCATGCTGCCATGTTCGACCGTCGGTCTCGTGTTCGGCTTTGCGGTGTTGCTGCCAGCAAGGCCCCGGAAGCGGGAAGGATGTGACGTCGAGGCGATCTTTTACCAGTTAACTGCGTTGGGCTGCCAAGATCTCGTATTCCCTAGGTTGCTGGGTTAGCCAGGGCTGCCAGACATGCCCAGGTTTGCCGGCGCCGCCGTGCTGGGCTGGAGAAGGCGAGGGAATGGCGAATAGCAGTGCAACGCAAGGTCCTAGCCCTTCAGCTCAGCCACAAAGAAGCTTGTCATTTGTTCGCTGGAAAACGGGCAAACGGGCTCACTGACCGAAGCAATTGGGTGATGGTCGTGTCCCCCACCAATCATCGGCGATTTGGAGGTTACTAGTAGTGCCCATGCTGCCGTGGGCCCTGCTAACTGGTGAACCCCCTTGACCCCCTGACTGGTTGCATGATCGATCCAAGCCTAAGAATAGCCCGGCTGCCCTGCTAGAAGCTAGGTACGCAATGTAACGTACCGAGAGGGTGGATGAGCCACGCGCCGTTGAAACGGTCAAACCTTCTCTTAGGTGGTAACTTGTAAGTAAGATCGTGATGACTTGGCGAATAGAAGCAGCATTGTTCATTCCGCTGCAACCGTGCTGAATGATGCATAGGTGACACAGCAGCAGCATCGACATATAGCGGTGTGTAAGCCTACCTAGGTAAACGAAGCCTTTCGATTCGAGGGGTTTACGATGGCAGCCACAAAGTAGCTGGCATTCTATCACTCTCCAAGACTTGCAATGACGTACTCTCATGATCTCTCTGATTAGACTATGAAATGGATATGTTATAACTGTAACTTCCTAGTAGAAAGGTTCCCATTTTATTTCAGACTCAGATACAGCCCCACTGCCAATTGCCCACAAGACTATACACTAGCACCGATCGGCTTCAACCTTAAATCGAAGATCAATGGGGAGATCTGGAGATCAATAGGATGACATCAGGCATGATGTCACGGTGTGGGTTGATTCACAGAGGTATTGTAAATGCAATACAGCCCCTTGTCTCAGGGAAACTACACCAACAACTGCGCCGACAACCTCGATCTAATGGCAAGCCGTGAGCTTGGTGATGCCCGCCTCCATGGGGGTGGAGACAAGGTGCAAATATGGGAAGCTCTTTTCTCACGATCCATGTCATGCCTGTCACTCCTTCGTGGACATATGCTATGGCTTTGTGGATATGACCTTTCTGTTCGATGTATATTATTGTTGCTTCTGATGTGTCATGATCAAGGCATCATATCATCATGGACGCGTGGTCTCCTAGAGTTGTGTGTTCATCCACACTGGCACGGAGTGACGAGGAGTCACCACCGTGAATAACAATCCCTACATAGAATGGGCCAATTTGTTAACTGTTAATGTCAAGGCCATACAACGCACCTATTCATATTAATGCATTGGGCTTACCCCTATCCTACCGAATTCGTCCTTCTTGCGTGAACCAAGACCAGCGAGTCAGCTCCCAGAGGCATCGACTGTCAGCAGACGGTACCTGTTAGGTGAGTCGTTTACTATAGGGCATAGACGGTTCCAAACATGTTTACTTGATAAACATGACTGAGCCGGTGACTAAGTCATAGCCGGTAAAAACAACAAACATGTTCATCTCACCATGTGTTAATGATCAAATCTCTACAGACACACCTTGTCCTAAGAACTGTGAGATTTCAAACCGTTCTGTATTGAAAGGAAAGAGAAGAAGATCTCTGGGGGAGAAGCCCCCATATGTACAGGTGTGCCATCAGGGTGACCAGATAATCATACGATAATGGCGCCAGGATCCTGGTGGCCTGAGGGTGGGCTGACTGCCCTGAGGCTAAACCCATTAGCGCATTCAGCCCCGAAAGCCTCAGCCTGGTATGATATCCAACAAGAACTGACACAGTCATGGTCGTTGAGTTTAGCGTGTGTTCTAGCAGCATCATACGCAATGGCCGCTGGTAGAGCTGCCTCCTAAGGAGAATCATTGCTCGCACGTTCGTTTCCACAAACGCCCACGTCACCTCCGTATGGAGGGTATAAAAACGTGTCCAAATATCTTTCTCTTCCGCTTGTCCATTTCCATGCGAAATCAAGGAGTTCGAGGTCCGTTGCGGCAGACTCGGCACCAGTGCACGTTGCGAAGCCCACAGCTCATGGTAGAATCCAATTGCATCTTAGGGCAAAGCCCGATGCCACTATCAACAAGGTCACAATACTGCACTGCTCAGGTATTGAATGCGCTCACAGGCCTGCACGTCAGCTGTATAATAGTTATGTAGATATTGCCTAGCGTGAAGAAGAGGCATGCAGTGCAATCAATTTTGGGGTACTGCCTTAGGAAGTAATGCATCAATTCTTCTACCAAAGCTTGGATTCTTTATCATGCAAATTTCTCCCTCCCTCTCATCCACTCCAACACCTATCCACCTCTGGCCTACTTCTTCCTGCCTCGAGCAAGCCAGACAAAGCTTCACTTCCTCTACCGAGTACCACGCGTCAGGCGATTCAGGTAATTGTTTCTAACTAGCCTTCCCACTCCCAATGCTTTCCCTTACACCTTGCCGATTCAATCTCCGGGCAACACAATTTTCACCCACCTTGCCGTTTCTGTCTCCGGGCAACGATTTTCCACCCACCTTACCCGACCTTTTTGCTCTCACAAACCCTCATCACTGCTCCCGATACCTCCCACTCATGCACCCGTGCCTTTTTCGCTCTTATCTTCAACCTCTAGTCTCTACCACTTGTCTTCCTGCAGACCCATAATCCATTGCTGCGCACCACTACATTCAGCACCCACTGCGACCCCTCGCACTACCCTTCACTCACACAGAACTCAGACCGTCTTTGTCCAGATTGTTAGCGGCGCAACGATGGAAGCCGACCAGCCTGCCAACATGGAGGTCGATATGGATGTAAGCAGGTTTACTCGCACGCAAGTATGTGTCGACTAACAAGGGCTAGGACAAGAACAACCCCAATGACACGAAGGGTCCCATCATTCAGGGGTGCGAAGCCAGCAAGGCAATGCGGCAATCGTTCTCTGCCTTAAAAAAGGACATGGGCGGGCTTGAGACGACGTCCGAAAGGATCCGGAAATACGTTGATGCGCACCAGGTAACTGGAAGTGAGAACTACGCAAGGAAAACTCTCTGAATCAACAAGGTGTTCATGGAAGACATCAATTCGATGAACGAACGCATCGTTGAAACTCAGAAATTCTCCCTCGATATCAACGAAAAATTGCGGGACGCCCTGGCAGAGAAAAGGGAGTCCTTAAAGGTTAAGACCCCACCAAGCATGTCGTTCCCAGCGAGGCCTTTCTTCGTGTGTCCAAAGTCGACAGGAAGCTAAAGTTCGATATGCTCCAGCACGGCAAGGACGGCGGCGCCGAATTTGCTCCTCCCCGAGTTCTACAGCATTAGGCATCGAGCGAGCAAAAACCGGTGGTCACCAAAAAGACTTTCATCCTCGAGGCTACGCCCCAAACCATCGGAATTGTAGGTGCTACGTATAACTACCTCGCCACTCAGAAATCAAAGCTTCGTCAGATATACTATGGCGCCCACCCTCACCGATCGCTTCGACACTATGCAACTCAGTGGCACGAGTACGAGAAAACCCAGGCATCCCTCCGTCAGGACAAACGTAAGGGCAAAGATCACAAGAAGATAGCGGTTGGCAACATCCTCGATGGTACGGTCGTCCACGTGGGCGTTTCAATCGGAGCCCGTCTGGACGGCATGCTCATCGTTACTTGCTATCTGCCGAACAATGAAGATACCATTGCGTATGTCGAGCCCGTCAGCAGAGTTGCCTACGAGCGCGGAAGCTTGTCCGAGAACGACATTGTCCTGTGGATGACAGAGGAGAACTACAAGCTCCTCTTCGAGCTCAACCTAGGTGATGCGGCAAGCAACACCCACTAGCAATGAGTCTTCGGCATGCGTTGCTCGTGGCATGGGCGTCATCTCGGGTTGCATGGTGGCGGTGTCCTTTCGATACGCTGCCTCATGAATTTGTACTGTGCATTCTCAAGTTCTTGACATCATGCGCTGAACCCTTTGCGCCCAGCTCTTTCACTAGTAATGGATGTCGTTGATTCAACTACCTGCCGTGACTTTGCTTACTTTCTGTCCGGGCGGCCATACGGAAGCCCTTAGCCGGAAAACCCCTTTGCTAGGAATTCGTTATGGCCGCAAATTGCCGCCAACCCGCCAAGGCAGATTGGCTTATTGCCAATGAGTTCCCCTTGGTCTGCACGGGAATACAGTCCGTGTCGATCTATGGCAGGTTGACAAGTGACAAGACCGAGACATGGAGCCTGCAGGTGGTCACTCACTACGTGTACCATGCTAGCGAACATGCCATGCATTCTAATGTTAGGCTATCGAACCGCAGTGGACAAGTCAAACGTAACAGCCTTGAGATAGAATGACACGCAGGGCTCCTTCCTAGATACGCAGCGTGATAGGAAGGAAGAAGCTACTGACTATCTCGAGGTATGACACACCCGGAGCATGCGTGCAAAGCTCTTGCCTTGAGTACCTACAGAGCCAGTACATGATACCTTTCGTTGTTGTCTACTTTGTCCTCCCCCAAACATCCCAGCTCCCAAAACATCACCACAAGCCCGCCCAATTGTTGTCTACAAACACATATACACAGTTGCCTCCATCATAACAATAACAGGTTGCCTTATCAACTCTTTAGCAATCATGTCCGAGGCCCCTCGTTATCACATCCACAGCCGAAAGACAGAGACGAATCGATCGTGCTATTCAGGCATTCGAAAACAAGGAATTACCATCCCTAATATTGGCATGTCGAGCAAACAAGGTAGGAGGCAAGAAGGAGTACCACAGAGAGAAACGACGCCGTGAAATCGGTGACTGGCCCTTGCCGGCCAATTCTACGCGTATCTCTCTGAAGATTCGGATGATGAAGAGGGTGATGGTGGCAACGCCACGCTTGCGCAAGGCAGCTCTGCGGAGGCACATACTCCCAGTGGTAAGCTACTTCTCTGCGAAACAGGGCTATCATATCTTAACATGACGACATGACACGACCAACCATCTGCCAGTAAGCCTTCAGTGCAGGATGACAACCCATTACCTGTTTCCAAGGGTCAGTTATTGTCACAAACCCCCACAAGGCCCTCCTTGATGCTGACACTGACTCTGCGATTCAACAGACCGTGCCGACTCACCTACGAGCCCGAAGTCGACTGGGGACAATCTCTTGGATCCCGATCAGACTGAGGCTCTGATGCTCGAAACCGATCAGACTGAGGTACTGATGCGCTAACCTTTGCGCGCTTGGGTGGAAGACAATCCTGCCACCGAACGAGACGCGTCGAACAAAAAGAAGCAGGAAGGTCGCAAGTGTCAGGTTAGCTCTGGATGGTTGCGTTGCTGTGGTGTTAAGAGTGGAGGGTGTAATAGGGGTTATTGTTTCTTTAGGTGACCACTGGGTTTGATGCTGCATGCTGCTACTGGCATAATCTCGTAATATGCAATTCTTTGATTCTGTTATGCGCTTGAAAGCCTTATTCAGTGTCTGTGAAGATGCCGCTAGCTCCCTGCTCCCTGCGCGCGTGCCACTGCCACGCCTCGGGCTCGACCCTGCTGCCAGCTGGACCCTGACAGCTGAACATGACCGCCTGGACTCTGGAGATCTGATCTCGTCAACCGACTGACGACAACAATAACAACAACAATCGCAACAACAGTGCATACCTTACGTACACTTGCATGATTCAGTACAGCAGCCTCAATCCGCAGACAACAAAAGCATCCAACAACAAGAGCCTCGTCTGGGGAGTTACTGCGCTCCTACTGGATAGACCATGGCGCCGCCCGCCGAGATTACCATTCCGACAACGTCCCTCCACACGCCCGCCGATAACTCGAAACCTTACACGCTCTACAACATCACACTGCGTCTGCCGCTGCGCACCTTCGTCACCCAGAAGCGCTACTCCGACTTTGCCACCCTTCACCAGACCATCACCGCCTCAGTCGGCGCTTCGCCGCCGGCCCTGTTGCCGGGCAAGTCGTGGTTCAAGTCGACTGTTTCGTCGCCTGAGCTGACAGAGGACCGTCGCCGCGGCCTCGAAGCCTACCTTCGCGCCGTAGCAGAGTCGCCCGACCGACGTTGGCGGGATACCCCCGCCTGGCGCACCTTCCTCAACCTGCCCAGTCCGAACAGCGCCGGTAACAGCGCCGCGAGCGTGAGGCGTGGCTATGGCATCCCAAACAAGGATGCTGCAAACGCGGCTGCGGCCCAGGATCCGGGCACATGGCTCGACCTGCACGGGGAGATGAAGAGAGACTTCCAAGAGGCCCGGCGTTGTCTGGCAAGGAGGGATGGCGCAACCGATCACTCGGCGGGAATGGAAGCTGGCTCGTCCGCCAAAAAGGCCCTGATCAAGGCTGGCGGCTTGTTGACCTGTCTTCAACAAGGGTTGAAAGCAATGGAGGACGGAAAGAGGCTCGGCGAAGGCGAGATCAGACGACGTAAGGACTTACTTGCGTCGGCCCGGGTCGACAGGGAAGACTTGGACACGCTGGTCTCCACATTACCAGCTGTTTCAAAGGCGGTGCAGAAGGCCATGCCGTCGACCTCGGACAAAACTGCATTGCTAGGACACGCCCCTAGCAAAGCACGTGGGAGAGTGCTGGGCGCACCACTGCCCGAGACTGACCGAACCAGAGAGCTCGACAATCAGGGCGTGTTGCAGTTACAGCAGCAGACGTTCCAGGAGCAAGATGAGGATGTGACGGCCCTGGCTAAGATCATCAGGCGACAGCGCGAGATGGCCGAGGCGATTGACCGCGAAGTGAGGGAGCAGACGGAAATGCTGGACGAGGTCAATGCCCAGGCCGACGTCGTGGCAGGCAAGGTCAACGTGGCAAATTGGAGGACGAAGAAGATATCCTGACTCGAGACTGGGATCGGCCTGGCCGTGCGAGTGCTTCTACTTTTGGTCGAAGTCGCTGTTTTTATCATCTGGCTCGTCAAAGGGGCCTTTGAGTGGGCAGTGTGGTTCATTGAGGCCCTCCTGTTGCTACTGCAGATGGACTGAGACAGCTTCCACGACAGGCCTGGGGGCTTCCGTGGGGCTCGACCGGATGGTAGATTCGGGTTTTTAGGTTGGAACACATCGGCAATTCCGCTTAATGGGCGCGGCCACGTCGTCTAGGTACATGGGTAGGCTGTCGTGTTTTCAGGTTATCGTTGCGAGCATTATCATGATACCAATAGACTAGGATTTTATTTTCTCACGAAGCACCATGAGTTTGCTGCCTCCGTCTTTTGTGTCTGTTCGCATCGGAGCGTCGATGACATGAGCCGGTTTATTCGGATATCACCTAATCATGTCTGGCGTAAGTGACCCCAGAGCGGCATGGTCTGATGGTCTGACCATAGCAGCGTGGCAACAGAGCCAGGGGGGAAGAATACTATGAAAAGAAATTTGAATATGCATAGGCATATCACTGCAGTTCGGGCCAGATACTTGAAAGCCGGCGCCGACAGCTTTCGCCTACTACCTAACCCAGCCCGCTTGTAATGCCCTTCGAACTTCGATGCTATGTCCTTCTGCCTCGACGCGAACCGCGGCATTGTGCTAGCCGGCCACGCATGAACGGATCTTGTTTTAACGCTACAGCCGAACACACCGAGCGTATCTTGAGTAGACTCGCAAAGGAGTCAGTGCAATCCACCATGGCGATTTGACTACACATCTCAGGGTGAGGTCACTCGTGTCCACCCCGGAGGGTCTCACAAGCACGTGGGAAGCGATTTCTCGGGCTCGGATGGTAACATGTTTCTCGAGTGATCCCACTACTCCCTTTTGTCGTGATGTGTATACCTGCTCATCAATGTCGCAGCTTTCGTGCTCTTCCTTTAAGAGCAAGAGCCCATCTCTACTTCGACATCCGTGTGTCAAGGGGTTCTTCGGCGCCAGGCGTCAGGCGTGCGCCATCAAGCATCCAAGAGCCGTACTTGGGGTACAGGAAAGATCCCATGACTGCCTGAGCACCGACTGAAAAATATGCAAGGTGTGGAGTGAGCCCCTTCTCCCAGTCATAGTGAATTCGCATGGACATGTCGGATAAGTAGGAGCCAAGACTGCGTTGTTGTGGCGTATGAAGTGCAAGCTGCCATTATCAAGATGAGTCTTCAGGGCAACCCGTCGATCATCGTCGTGGGGGAGGCGCCTTCGGCATCTCGGCACCTCGACCGCCTACAACTTGGTTTCTCGTAGCTACACGTCAGTGGCGGTTCTGGATCGGGTTGACGCGCTGTCCAAAGACTCAGCAGCGTGTGACCGGAACAAGGCCATCCAACCCGACTATGTCAGCCCATTGTACGTTCAGCTGGGAGAAGAGGCCATGAACAAATGGAAAAGCCCAAATTCCATGTTTGCAGTCCTCTACCGCTGATCCGGCTGGATCATGGCTGCTCACAACTTGACGCGCGGGAGGCTCGAGAGCGCTACGCAGTTGGCCGTCAAAACTTGGAGAAGAGCTTTCAATACTTGTCGGCGATGGAGGTCAAGAAGCAATTACCTGCTTTTACTGACCTGGCTTTTATGAAATAATTTGCGGATAGGGGTACAATAATAATGGCTACACATTCTAACCCCGACACATTCAGACATTCTAGGAAATTTAGGGGTTTAGGATGTATTGAGTCGGGTATATCTGTGTCTCCCCAGTTAGCCGGACGGTAGCGAGGTTAGTATACACCGTCCTGAGCACGTAATCATTCGACGATTATCAACTTCTTTACTCATGTACAGTCTACTAGATGGGGCAGACCAAGAGATGGCCTTTGTTTCTCCGGTTCCAGTATTCGTTCTATCTTTTCCATACAGCACGGGAGCTTTTCTTCTTGTTTAATTCTTGTAAATCGGCATTTGGCTTCTCCCTTGCGGTCGAAACGTTTAAAATTAGGGGAACAAGCAATTCAGCCCTCCAATCCCTTGAATGCTGGCACCTTAAGACTAAGCCTCAGGAAATCGATTTGTATTTCGACGACGAAGTTGCAGTTTAACAAAGGGAAAGAGTCTTTAATTGTTAACGAATTATACACTGTGTCAACCTGTATACAGTCTTAATGAGGCTATTAGGGGTCTAGTCTAGTCTATTACTCGGAAACAGATAACATAAGTCGTTCCAGTGATTTACCATATTACCCGTTTCAAGCCGCATTACAACACCTATAAAATACTAAAAATTTCATTTTCAAATGACCCCTAGGTCTGTTGTGTTCCGTTTCCAACGAGCACGTGGCGGACTTCAACCTTCGTAACCTATATTGTCGAAGAATCTCCATCAGACCAAAATCATGTCACCGAAGCCTGTATGCGACGAGACTACCAGCAAGAACAACACCCGATGGTGATATGGCCCATCGTGGATGTATCACACGGGAACAGGTATCCCGCTCCGGGTCTAGTTCCATGGGATGTCGCATCGCGGGCTTCTTGTACGACTTCCCGTCCTGGCAATGTTGGTCGCCCAATGACAAGTCAAGCAAGACTCAAGTCCATCGCATAGCTACATTAAAGATCGGTTCTCGGATCGCGGGACGTTCAGATCATCGCATCTTTGATACTGGCTGATCAACGACAGTCACAAGCACTAAAATACTTCCATGCCAGGTTTAGAAGTTCTCGCAGAGTAGCAGTAAGGACAGAGCTACCCGTATGGCAAGTGGGCCACAGTAGCCGAGATTCCGGCAACATGTATTTATAAGACCTAGTGAGAGCATCACGGAAAGCAGAGAAGTCCCATATACGTGATTTGGCGGTTGCCCACTTCAAGGCCATCTATGCATGCTATCGATTCGGCAACATGCGCGACGGAAGAGATGATGTGCTATAAAGTGACACAGGCAGCTCCGAGGCCTCGGTTTGACAGGCCGTCAGAGCGGGTTGTTTTCGGTAGCTTGCTTATGAGCAAACAACCCCAGACGATTCGAGATAGGCTCGTCTCCAAAGCCGTAGAATTGTGATATGGGTCAACTCACAGGAGGGGGACGACACCCCAAGATTCCTGAATCCTCGCAGCCCGGGGCCCCCAGATGAGCAAATGTTGTATGTCCTAGCTGCAAATCATGCAAAGACAGTAGTGCTTCGAATCAATACATGAAAGCCGCCCTCCAACTATGCGCCATCTGGGCTCGCTCGTCTCAGTCTTCCTCCTCTTCTTCGGCACATCAGCAGGGGCCACCATACCGTCGAACAAGTCCTCAAACACCCGAGATCCACTCCTCGATCATAACGACTGCCAATTCTACGGATATATGGAGGGTGACAGCGAAATGTGGAATGTCTACGGAGTTGAAATCGCCGGATGGGGCAACAACGGCATCCCCGGCACCTGCGCTGCTGCCGTCCCGATAAACTTACAACAACAATGTCTGACCGAAGTCTTCGACTGGGAATGTCATGACGTCCGCGAGAACCTGCACGACACGGCTTTCAGCTTCAGAATCTTGAAGTCCGCCCGATCTCAACCGGCTTGTGTCAACGAAGCCATTCGGCTGGCAAGTCAGACTGCTCTTCAGGAACAGATTGTTGACTGTTCTTGTCTGGCTGAGTGTTGGCCTTCGGAGATGTAATTAATTGGGGACCATGGGGACTAGGATCCCAGCGTTTACTAGAAACGTCTACGAGAGGAAGTGCCTTGATACTGCCATATGCGTCAAGGTGGCACTGTCTTTCATGTTGGAGTTCAAGCTTACGGTGATAAGGGGCAGGGCAAAAGTCAGGTCAGGGACGGCATGAACGTCAATTCCTGCCTTGTTGGCAATGGGAAAGATGCAGCGGTTATTATTGCGAGACAATAGGCTGATAGTTTTACGGGGATCTTCGCGTACACCAGCATTCGGGTTTGCATACACAGAGTCAGAGCGGTATCAAGGGTAGGAGGAGATAACACTTCGAGGCGAGGATGAAGCTTGAGGGCCGGCAAACTGTTTCGAAAGCCATATGAAGAGGTCATCCAATGTTTAATAGTGATATAAGCAACGCTCTCTAGATAGGTTTACATCTGGTGAAGGATAATATTAGTCATAGGGTCAAGGCTATTAGGACTATAAAATGTATAAAGCAGCTTGCTACAACTCACTATGTTGGTAGGAAGGCGACTTTTGGACTGACACAAACCACTAAAATTGCATTAATACGGGGGCATTTAGAATATTACGCAGAACTTGAGTCTTGATGTAGAGCTCTGGCTTGGCAGGCAGTGTTTTTAAAACAGGCACAAACCTCTAACATTATATTGAAACCACTGCATTTGGATTTCGAACTTCACACACGTCTAACTCTATTGAAACCACTGCATCTGAATATTTGACTTCACAACCTCCAACACTCTAGTGAAACCACTGCATCTGTACATTTTGAACTTCAGTTTTCATGTTCTAGACTTGTTGCTCGAGAGGCGGCACCACCTCAACAGACACAAAACCCCATATGTGATTGCTAGTCTTTAATAGACCGTTCAAGAACTCCCACTACACCTGATGGTATGGAAGCTACTTTGTCTATCTAGTACAAGCCCATATTACGCTCTCCACTGTCCACAGATAAAGTTCAGGAAGGTTTTGACGGTGTGGAGGGCGCGCCAAGGGGAGCAAGGATAGCGTTGCGAAACGAGCGACGTCGAGTCATCAGCAGAGCCGCATGACCATATCGCTGACACGGCCCAGCACGTTACTTATCGGCCAAAGGGTGGACGCAACGAACTACTCGAGACCGGCGATCACGATAAAGAAATCACCGCTATGTGCACCCAATCGCAGCTTCCAGAACCACAAGACATAGTGTCTTCGGCTAGCAAGCTTCCCCGGATCATCAATCAGATCAAGCTCCAAGCGCCATCCATCTCCGAGGTCTATGCCCAACCCCACTGCCAAACGATATCCCGAGAACTGCCGTTCCCCGTTCTCCAGGAATCCGACTTCAGCAGTCATACCGCGCTGATCTGGAAGATTTCTCAGCAAAGAGCAAGGAAAACAAGGGCCGATAGCAACGAAGCCTAAGGCGCATTGCAACCATTCGCCACTGCAACGTTGAAGTGAAGCGACGCCGTCATAGCTAGTATAGCTTATATGCGCGTGCGGCCTGCTCGCTGCAACAACCACCGAAGCGGGCGGGATCAGCTCTGCTAGGACTGTCAGACGAGCGCGAGCATCCGGTTCACCGGGTGGGATCTGCAGCGGCGAAGTTGCGCCAGAAACTAGGCATGCAAGGAAATAGTTCACAGAATACGTCTTGTGGTATGCTGCAAGACGACCCCATGGAAGGTAATCTAGTGAACCTGAGCAGCCGATGGGCGGATCTTCTCTCCCGAAACAGCTGCCTCGGGTGCCATTACGGAGATACCGTTCTTCGAGGTGCAGCAAGCAGCAGGACGGTTGAATTACCGGCTGCCGACCGAGCCGCTTGGCACATCGAGCGATGTTGTACTTTGACGGTTTACGTACACACTGCATACATCGCATGCGGGAGTCGCGACACGCATGTCCGGGTTTGGGAAACGTGACATGACGTGAACGTTGACCATAACTGCAGTCTGCATATAGTCGAACCAGCCGGGGAGCCAGCTCACATCCCACCACATAATCGTCGGGGTGGGGAGCAGTGTGGGTGGGGAGCTTCGAGATCCTGTCTGCAGGCAGCCGAAGATGGGAAGAGAGCGGCCGTCGCGATGGATCTGGGTATGCCGATCGAGAAGCAGGGCTGGCAGGGTCTGTCGAACTACTGTAGTCTTTATGGAGATATCCTGCAGTGAAAACTTCTCAAAGAACCTATCACCGACGGGAATACCTTTGGCGAACGGCAAACGATTGCTCCCCCGACCAATGACGACGACCCTTGAAGCACCGGACTTGTCGCCGCCATGAACGGCGTTAGGCTGGGGGGTCAGGAGCACTTCGTACTCGTCCAGCTGACCTCGTGCCGCGCTGCTAATAACGTGTTCGGTGCAAGTCGTCATGTCGTGGACGCCCTATTGTGGAAGCGGAAGCAAGACATGGACAGCGACCTTCGAAACAAGTCTGGTGGTACCCGGCGACGACAAGGGACTATGTTCACAATGCTATTCAACTGGTTGGCGGGCCCTTGCTTTGGATGGTGTACGGATGCCACCTCGCCAGATGAGTTGACGATGCCCCAAACGTGGCGGATAGGTGGTGCGCAAAAGCAGGACTACGACTGCGTAGCTAGTGCGATGGTTCTCGTGTAAATGAAGTGAAGCTCCCACTCGGTGAGCATGCAATCGAGCCAGTTGCGAAGGCGTAGGTACCGTATTGAGGCACTCACCCGTTACCTAGTCAGTTGAGCATATACCCTTGCCCACAGTCCTGGTAGCCTGGATACCGGTAAGTGCTCAGCAATCGGCAGGTGCAGGATGACGAAGGAATGCTGAGCCCTATTACCGTATGCTTGCCACCATCGCCACATCTGCAGCTCTGGCTCCCGATGGACATTTATCGCCCGAACCAGCTATGGTATCTTGCCCGAGTATACCACAAAGGGCAGGGATATTCACGATTGAGCTGCTCGAAGCTCACGATGACTCGCAGCGAATAGGCATGTGGGCGGCTCGGCTCATAGCGTAAAGCTATACTACGTAGCAGTATCCAGGTAAATATGCAGAGCGCCGATCAGATGTCTGGGCATGGCGCGAAGCGATATAATGATTCCGCACAAGCGGTTCCACGACCTCTGGTCTTGTCAGTCTACAAGCCGTCGAACTTGCATATCGACTTGGGTCCAACGGCCGTCGCTTGTATGTCGACATCGTGTGGCATGGTCAACGTGAGCGACTGGATCAATGGCCCCAATTCCGAGCGTCTCAGCTCTCCCGACGTGCCGATAGTTCGAGATGTACGGTAACAGAAAGCTAACAGCCGAAGACGCGGTGTATAGTTGTTCCAAGTCGTCACGAGAGACATTTAGTGGCACTGCCTATTGCTAAGCAACGACTGAGCCATCCCCTATGCATAGTCGAACGACGCCGCGATGTGAGTTGATGGTAGAAGACGACGGCGACGTCATTGCAAGGGGCAGACTCAATTGCATTCGTGGGATCGGGCAAGGTGAGGCACCTACATAATACTCGTCTGCTTGTCTGGACTCTGGAGGGTGGTGTGGGTGTGGCTAGGCTGGCAAAGCCGGATGTATGTATGTATGTAGGCATGTATGCATCCGTATGCAGGCCAAAGTGGTCGCTCTTCGTCAGCGCGGCATTCATTGGGCAATTCGACGGCTCTCATCTGAAGCTGTGATTAATGCCAATTGACCTTTTCCCCTTTCGGACCCAGCCCGAACAATGGCCTGGTCACAGAGCAGGCGAGAACTGGAAGCTGACGCCGTGATTGATCGGCATTCCTCGAAGTGGTATGCCTTGCTGCGACTTCGAGCGAGCTAGCCCGTTTCCAACGGTTAGGTCCGAGGGATGGTCTGGATGGTGTCCGTGAAACTCTGGGGAAGACAGGGGTATGCTCGTGATGTGGATGGGTGGGCAAGCGCCTCGCTGTCGACCACAGGGTGGTATGGCTCATGCGAGGGGTTGCATTGTGTATGTGTGTGTGTGTACACATCGATGCTGGGACCGAGCTTGCAGAACCATCAGAGGGAGCAGACACCGTAGCGAGAGAGTGGACCACTGGGGGCCTTGCCTATGGTTATACTATCGCCAAGGAAACCCAATGCTTCGGCAGATCATCGCCTGTCATTCGATCGGCAGAGTCCAGAATGCTCCAGTCTGGCACAGAGGATATCATCTGCAGGAACTTGTATAGGATCACGGCAGGGAACGGGAATTGGGGAAGCAAGCAGGAGAACGTGGACGGAAAGCAACGTGCTCACCAAGCCTCGTACCCCTATACATGTAGCCGGGTCGCTCAAGGGAGGTCGATGAATATGATTGATTTGCCGTTTGCTTGGACTAGCCACGAGGAGAGGACAGCAGTAGTTACCAGTGGCAAACAGACTTGTGCCTCGTGCTTCGATATCTGGGACCTATCAAGCTTCGGATGCGGTTTCTTCCATATTGTATAAGAAGGTAACGCCAATTGCAAAAGCCGCGGACATGCAGGTACTTGCAGTATACCAACAGGCGGTTCGAGTCCTTTGGGTGCGTCGGAACGCTTGGAGCCTCGAGGCCAGCGAAGAGTTCGTTATATTCCGACTGCACATCACGGAGCGTTCCTGCCACATGCGCACTTTTCATGATGAGCTTTGCCATCTGGTGGCTAGAAAGCGTATCATATCTCATACGTAGCATGAGAAAGCATTGCCTCGCATGTTCGCTCGCTCGCTTGTCAGTCCAGTTCGAGACGAACGAGTGTGACAGTGAATGAAAGCCATGGGTAATGCAATGGCTGCAGCGTGCTTCTTCACCCTTGAACTTGAGAGCAGATGACCTTTCGGGCTTTCCATCTCCATCACTGTAGGACGGGCGGAACGATGCCGAAGTCTACACAGCTCGCAGCAATGCAACTAATGGGAAGTTGGTTGATAGAAACCTTGAACATGCGTGACAGGGTATGGGGTAAAGCCGCACGGTTGTAAGCGTTTGAATGATTGCCCGGCGCCAGGCACAGGGATAAAGGGAGAGGTCGTATCGAATGCTGATCTGACTAGAATAGGAGTCAATGGGCATTTGGAGAAGCTTGGGTCTTTTGGGGAACCTGTTATTGGGGTTCTTCCACACAGAGTACATGCTGGCCACACTTCTCGGCGGTCTCGGAGCTCTTGTACGCTTTGAGGGTAAACTGGTACGTGGACGACACAGTAGGCTGTACCCATCGCAGGATGACACTCCCTATGATCAGTGGTGAGAGTGTGTCTAGCCGTATGACGCCCGCAGCTTCGACTTGCCTCGAGATCTAGTGGCAGCATTGAGATCTTGTGACCCGATCCGTTACCCGTAACGCGCTGGCCAGGCCAGTGCCGAGACCATGACTGGACGTCCAGAGAGCGCACCGTGCCACCGTGGGATTGATGCAGATGCGAAGAACAGGCATGGCACGGTCACTGATGCTGGCACAATACCGGGATCGAAGCTTTGGCAAATCAGACGGTACGCTCGGCACCTTTGGTTGACGCAATGGCTGCAGTAGCGTAGCATAGAATGGACATTGGAAAGCCCTTGGCCAAGGGCCCTTGTTACTCCCAGAGTTGATACTACCGCTGTAGTATTTTTGACTGACGATCCCTCATGATGGCAACTTGCAAGCGCTGAGAACTAGAGATTTGGGTTTACTCTCGTCGACTTGACGAGCTGAGAGGCGATGGTTTGGAGCGGGCGTCTGAGGTTGGTATCTGGCGGTGAGAAGAAAGGTCAGCCGCTACAGACCGCCAAGGTGAGACCGGCGTGAAGCAAGGTGAGAAGAAGCGTGATCCGTTCTTTATCGTTGCAAGATGGCCTGGAGTGGCTTCGATAGCCCCTGCCGCCACCATGCTTCGCCGCAGACGGAGTGCACGGGAGCGGTTCTCGGTGAGCTTGATCTATCATCTGGCAGCAAATGGGTCTTTGTGACAAGTGTGAAACCTGTGACTCTTTGTTAGTCTCGCCGTTGGGCTATCTTTGGGTTAAAAACAAGACCACCATTGACTGGGATGACCCCTTCGTGCTTCTTCCTTGCTGTCCATTTGCACTGAGGCTGAGAGCTGGAGTTCCGGAACGATGGATCATCTTTAGAAGCTGACCCCCAAATCCGGAGCAGCACAAGCACACGTGGACGCAAAATGATGATACAGTGTCCATCCTCACCTAGTATGAGTTTGCTCTACACTGTCGTACGCGCTGGTGTAGGTAGGTACTGTCGCCTGCTCATCGTCGACTCACTCTCTGACTGCAGGTTGGAAGGCCAGGACCGGATGGTTGGGTTACGCAGTGCGCCGAACACCTGACTGGCGAGGTGGATAGTGTCGCGCCACTGAACCCAGACAGCAGCAGGCATCCTTTCTGCCTCTGCCTGATCGATCCGCATGGCATGTGAGGGTCGCCTTTAAGCCGCTGATATCCCCGAACCTACCGAGCCTCCTGGTCGCTGCCCTAGCAGGTATACTGCCTAGGAGGTGGGTATGTAGCAAGGCTTTCGCTCGGACGACGGGATGGTGAGATTCCAAACTCACAGCAACAGTTCACCTGCCACATCTCGGGCTTCGTGGCACTGTCGGCGCCCTTGATGGTGTTGGAATAAGGCGGCCATGCCTTGGCAGGTAGTTAGCAACTCTGATAATCTGATTAGGTCCCGTGTTCTAGGCTATTCGTCGACGGTGGACACCAAGTGTGCACAACCCACTAACGAACGACCTGGTGCTAGACCTGCAATGCAGCTGACGACGGTGCAACCATGGCCAGTATCGGGACATGGGATGACAACGTGGGACGCAAGGCACGGTGGCATGGCAGCCCGACTACTGTGGGTGGTCGAGCTTCGAAAGAACTGCATGTTAAAGTAATAACATGAAGCTGCCAGAGGATAATCACCTACATACTACTACCGTAGCAGAAGGCGATCCATCTATCCCGCCCCCAGTCGTGCCGCGGGACGAGATCTGGAGAGCCTAGGATGTCCATATCATATCAATGAGGGGCAATATAAATTTGAGGTTCTGAACCCAGGCTTCGAACAGGTGGGATGTATCCCTACCTACCTATAAGTACCTTACACTGGTGTCCCAAACAGTGAAGACCCTCAACACCAGGCGAATCGTCCTGTCGTCCCATGGACCCATGCACGTTCGTCTCAGATGCATGGATGGCGATATTCAGGTACCATACTGTACGGCCCGTGAGACGAGGTCTTTTGCTCTCGCCCACGGTTCACGGTCCACGGAGGATTGCGAGCTGCGGTGTTCGGCCGCTCCCAGCATGAGCGACCCTGAGCGACCCTGAGCGACCCGCAGTTGCGTGGATGTCGAGTGAAGATAGTGTCTCACACAGCGGCACAGCCTGCAAGTTGTGCAGTAGTCGACGGATCCCGTACAACGGATGACTCTTGTAGCCATGCCCTGCCCTTGGGGCGGTGCGGAAATAGAAACACGGCTACTAGTATGTACGGATACAACGGGTCGTTGTGTATCAGAATGTTCTCGATCCGTGACAGCCTCCGTGGCCGGCTGTTAGATGAACCATCTTGTATCACTAATTTCTATCAGCCTTGTGAATCTTACAATATGGACATGCCATATGACCATCGGACGGGGTGTTTTGCAAGGGTTCTCTGCAGGTGCGGAATCAGAGGCGCAGAGGGTGAGATGTTCAAGCAACCAACAACTCCCGTCCCGACCAAGGGAGTCATACACAGTACAGTACTGACAGTACCACAGCACGGCACGTAATCGCAGCCATGCTGCCATGTAGGTACGTTTCAATGGTGATGCAAGTCGGTGGATATGCCGGGTTCGCTGGCTCGGTCAGAGCAACTCGGGTTGGCTTGGTGGTAGTCAAGGCGGGACATACGCAGTACTATAAGTACATACCATCTCTGTGAGTCTGTCGGCTGCATTCCATTGTGAGAGACTGAGTGAGAGTGTCACCCCGCCACATTTGCCCCTCCAAGGGTCCCTCCTTCGGTTGGAGCTAGAAGTGGGTCATTGGTCGGGACCCAGGAAGCTCGGTTCCAAGTATACGAAATCGCCGAGTTCGCCCCGGAAGCGTTGGATACGGGAATAGAACACTGTACATACTGACAGACTGGTCGATTGACAAGCAGGAAGGCAATGCGTATAATAATAAGGTAATGAGAGAAACGATATGGATACGACTGGCTGGCTGACCAAGGTTCCGATATCTGGAACGGCACAGATACCAGGACCGTGATGTGATAGCAGGGGGACACAATAGCACCGAAGGACAATATCCGAGACAGACATTCGACGCGACTCTTGACTTCGAAGCGAACACGAACATGGCACGTCAAGGAGGACCGGCAGATATATAATGGAGAGGCCCATACCCAAGCGATATTATCACAGCTTGTGATAAGTTGTTACTCGATGGAATTAATAAAGAGGGACAGGACTGGCATGAGGGCCAACTTGAACTTCACGTTATGAAGTTGTGAAGATGCAACCCCCTGGCAGGGTATAGATACTCGCATCTCAAGTACTGTGTACTCCGATGGCTCTCGTCCTGTGACCAGAAATTGTGGGTATGCCCCTGGTCACTTTGGCTGACCGACCACTAGAATGTCCTAGTCGTCGTCCACCCTGCCGGTGAGGCACCTTGTCGCTGGGGATTGGCGGCTGCAGTCCCCCCCAGCTTGAACCCTAACCGCGCCCAACAACAGCCCACTTCGATTGGTGCAGCCAGGTAGATGCTACCTCGAACGCTCGTCCTTCGTCCCAGACGGACGCCTCTTGGTTGCATCGGATCACCTCAAGCTGCATACCTTACGCCCGTGCATGCATCCGTTATTCTTATAGCCAGTGAGCTTGGAGAGAGAGCCTCACGGTTGACGGTCACACTGTGTCTAGGGCTGCTAGGCACCTCTTCCAGTTGTGCCACTGCCTGCTGCGGACCTACAGGCTACAGCGCCCTACACGAGCAAGCTCTCCCTTTGCCGCCGGGCAACATTGAACATTGAACATTGAACCTCCAGCTCTGACAAGAAATCGGGTTGAAACTCTGAACCACAGTGACTGATGACTACTGTATTGAGTCAACCTGCTGTGTTTTCTTATGGCAGTTTCCAACTCCCACGTGAGACCGCAATTGCCAATTGCGTCGGCATCAGGAGTAGGTAGCACAGGTGAAGGTGAAGGTGAAGGGAACAGTCACCCAACTCTTCGAATTATACACCAAACCACCACAAACAAGCCTTCTTGTGATCACCACCAACACCACCAACACCACCACTACCACCACTACCACAGAGCTGCTTCCAGTTATTACATCAGGCCGTGTTATGCAATGTACGTGCGCCATTGACACGACCCTTGGTCAGAACCAATGGGTGACCGGTAGCCGGCCTGGGCCTGCGACGAGTCGACGACTGATTTCAGGTTCCTCCCAATCTCCCCTGCCTGTGCCTACTACCCTGCTCCCATACATCCTCCCCACCACACCTTTTCGCTCGCCCTAACTCTCCTCCCACTTACCCAAGTGCCCAGCCCTCCATTATCCAGTCTGCCAGCGTCGACCTCGGGATTGCTCCTGTTCTTGCTTCCTCTGCCACGGATTGTTGATCGCTGAAACCAATTGTCTCGATTTCTTTTGCTTCGTCAGTCCTCGAGCGTCCACGGTTGTCGGCCGTTGGAAATCCATCCTCTTCTTCCCTCTCCTCCAACGCAATCGTCATGTCCAACCCGTCGCCGCCCGCCACAGCTCCCGGAAACACTGCTGGCAATGATGACTCTGGTACGCCCGAGCCCGCTGACCTATGCCCCTCCATCCCACCATCCATCCCCTCCAGTTCGGCCACCCACCGACGGCCACGATCAACAACACCAAGTTCAACTACGCGCACCCGTACTGACTACAATCCTCTCGTGTGAAGCTTCCTCGATCACCGTGAACACTGCCAAAGCTCCCGCCCCCTTCCCGCCGCCCAAGACCGACAAGCCTCGTCCCCATGTGTGTGCTACTTGCCAACGGTCCTTTGCCCGACTGGAACACCTGAAACGTCACGAGCGGTCTCACACCAAGGAGAAGCCCTTCGAGTGTCCCGAATGCACGAGATGCTTTGCGAGAAGGGACCTGCTGCTTCGCCACCAGCAGAAGCTTCACCAGACCACCACGCCCGCGTCGCGTCCGAGGAACCGCCGGGAGAGCACCAGTAGTACCGTAACCGCCCAGAGCCGAGCCCGGAAGAACAGCGTTGCAAGTGCAAATGCCAATGCCAACGCCAATGCCGCCGGCAATGCCGCGTCCATGAGGCCGAGGGCAAACACCATCAGCCATGTCGACGGCAACCACATGCAGATGCTTGCCGCTGCCAATGCCTCCGTCGCCAGGAGCCAGCACATGCCGCCAGCCCACAGCCGTCACCAGAGCCTCGTCGGGTTGCCCATGCACAACCACAACATGGACCATGGCTTTGCCGGCATGTCCTCGGTCATGGGCCAACGCGGCATGCACCATGGCTTGCCCAAGCTCGAGACCCACGGCATCAGCAATATGGGCTTCAACGCCGGTCTTCGCACCGCTCCTCCGCTGGCCTACAACCCGGAGTATGACTTTGAAGCGCTCCTGTATGGCGGCCAGTCGACGATAAATCCCAATGCCCTCCACTACACCGAGTCTCCTCACTCCATGTCCATTGATCCAATCTCCCCTTTTGGCAATGCCATGACTGATATACCTAGTCAGCACATGGAAGACAACTACGACTGGCTTACCGGCTTTGATCACCAAATGTCGTTCAATAACCCCAATGAGAATGCCGTGGACGGTTCGTCTCCATCCGCCATGAGCACTACCAGCCAAAGCGGCATCAGTGATGTGATGCTGGACGGGTCCAACAACACCGCCATGACAACCGGGTCCAGCTCCATCTGGCAGTCTGCTCTCATGGGACCTCCGCAGATGGCCAATCCCTTCTCCATGGACATGAACGGCAATGTTTTCCCTGACCTCTTGAACGGCGCCCCCCTCTCGCCCCAGCCGCACTCGCAAAAGACCATGAATGACGTGTATTTTTCAACGCCGCCGCCGTCCATGAGCTCTCTGAGCCCCTCTATCATGCCGGGATTGACCACCCAAAACTTGAATCAGGCAATGAACTTTGGCCCTGGCCCGGAGACGCCCACTTCGATATCAGGTGGACATCAGACACATTCTCCAGTGTCCACCATCACTGACACCACTAGGAGCGCGATAATCAGTGCCTTGTCCCATTGCGCGTCCTTTGGTGGCCGCAAGTACTCCTTTACCTCGCCAAACTCCCCAGTGTCTCCGCAATACCAGAACAACTCCGATGCTGTGCCGGAAAACGTGAAGAACCTGCCAAGCACACTGGACCTGCAACGATACGTTGGAAGCTACCTGCGCTACTGTCACCCCCACCTGCCGTTTCTACATTTACCCACGTTGTCCTTTGATGTGCCGTCAGGGCCTAGCCATGGGCGGAACAGCACAGTAGGCGGCAGTGGCTGCCTCATTCTCTCCATGGCTGCTATTGGTGCCCTCTATGAGATGGATCGCACGCAATCGAGAGAGTTGTTTGAGATGGCCAAGAGGATGATCCAACTGTACCTGGAGGAGCGCAGAAAGGTCGACATGCGCAAGGCGGATTTCCGGCGGACCCCATCGTCTGACCATGGATCCCAAGGATCGGAATCGTTCATCCATACGCCGCTGTGGTTGGTACAGGCAATGCTTCTCAATGTTGTGTACGGCCACAACTGTGGTGAGAAGACTGCCAATGACATTGCGTCCACCCACTCCGCAGCTTTGGTGAGCCTTGCCCGAGCTGCTGGACTGTTTGAACCGATGAAGATCGACTCGGCCGATGCGCAGGAGATTCAGCTGAATGATGCTGAAGGCAACTGGAACGGTGGCATCAAACCCGAATCCGAGGAGCAGGCCGAGTGGTTGCGGTGGAAGACCATGGAGGAGCGAAAACGCACTGTCTACGTCATCTTCATTCTTTCGAGCCTCTTGGTGGCAGCCTATAACCATGTGCCAGCGCTGACGAATTCCGAGATCCTGTTGGACCTTCCTTGTGACGAGGAGTTCTTCGCGGCCGAAAGCGCCGCGTCGTTCCAGTTGAAGGGTGGCGTGCGGGTTGCCGGCCACAACCTAATGACATTTCACGAGGCTCTGGGTGAGCTTTTGCGCACGAATGAAAAACAGCAGAAGCTGGCGTTCAACAACGGGTACCAACCATTCGGATCCGCGCCCAATGCGGTTGATATTCCGAAGAGTGAGCTGAAACCAAGCACTCTCGGCTGTCTGGTTCTGATCAATGCGCTGCACAATTATATATGGGAGACACGCCAACGTCACCACAACACGGTATGGACCAACGAGGAAACCGAGAAAATGCATCGTCACATTGAGCCGGCCCTGAAGGCATGGCAGACGGCATGGGCCAGTAACCCGCATCACAGCCTGGAAAGGCCAAACCCCTTTGGCATGGGGCCCCTATCGGCTGATGCGATTCCCCTGCTGGATCTGGCTTATGTCCGCCTCTTTGTCAATATGTCGCGCACCAAGGAGAAGTTCTGGAACCGAGACTGGGATGGACTGGCAGAGGAGCTTTCGCGCGGCAGCGAAATAATTCAACATGCCGAGCACTCCCCCTCGTCCAATGCCGAATCCTCAGATCCGTCGGATGCTTCCGCCACGAGCTCAGTCTTCGTCGACTCGCCTCCCACACAATCATCTTCGCCTGAGTCCTCTGCCGTTAAATTCCCTCCCGCTATGTCCTCCCGCCCTCCAAGTTCGTCGCAAGTATCCAGTCGAATGACCTCGCGCCGGGAGAAACATCTTCGCAAGGCAGCCTTCTATGCTGCGGACTCGCTTTCCATGTCCGACAAGCTGGGTGTGACGTTTGCCGAGTTCACCAGCCGGGAACTCCCCGTACAATCCGCCATGTGCTCTTTCGATTGCGCACAGGTGCTCGCCGAATGGATTGCCACTCTCCAGGATCGGGTTGGGAGATACCTGGGTGTGCTCGGAAAAGATGAGGTGGATCTGACCGGGGTGCCTGCGATCATGCTTCTGGAGGACGAGGACTTGAAACTCATTAGCAAAGTCCAGGAGCTTCTGGCCAGTGCTGAGATCAAGATGAGTATGGATTTCGTCAACGGCAACGCCAATGGGAGCATCGACTCACGCATGCAAATCGACCAATCGGGCGGATATGCGACCAAGATACTGCGGGTTACAGCATACATGCTGGATAAATCCGCCGTGTGGCCAGGTAAGTTGTCCATTCTGATTCGCGCTCAATCAAGATGATCTGACTCGGGAAACAGTCCTCCACCTGATGGCGCAATGTCTCGAAACTCATGCGAACTTTATGCGATCCCGTGCCGACAAATCTGTTGTGGCTAGTGAGTAGGAATGTCGAACATCCACGAAGCCAATGTTCAAACCTATGTACTTATACGCATCGCCTATCTCCGTCGACCTCGCGGCACGATGGAGAGCCAGCCCTCCGCCCACTGCCACTCGGATAGGTCGCAGCCGATGTGGTATGCTGTTGCTATCAAGCGACTGGGAACCCACGTCTCGGACTGCATTCCACTATCCTGTTTCAGCATTTGGCCAATTGCCGCACATCTGCGTATCGCCGCAGTGGTCAACGCGCCTGCATCCTGAGGTCGGTTGGCAATGGGATTGTGGACAGGAGTGACTATCAGTCGACTTTTACGCGCCATATATGAACAGCTGCCTTGGCTGTTGATACCACGAATGGCGAATCTGTCCATATGAGCTTCATTTCGTCAAAAAATAACTTACACCTAGGCGCACCGGGGCTGGACGATTCTACTTTTTGCATCTATACAATCCATCTGGCTATTTGGCTTCTACGAGTCGTCCTGTTGCGCAAGCAAGTTCGGAAAGCCAGCATGATATGAAAGATTTGCCAACGATTTACGTTGAGATGATGAAGAGATGACGCATTATGTTTTGAGATGCTCCTTGTGGAGACTGCACGAGTTTTGGATTGGTCCGAGGTGGCGCGGAAGGGTCGAGAGCACGTTGCTAGACCCCTTGAAGATGAGGGACTAGGAAGTCGAGTCAGGCCTTCCGCGTATTTGTCGAAAGCAAATGCGAGCATACAAGACAACGTCGAAGCAAGCCTGTGGATGCGGGGACGATGTTGGGGGACGTGATTAGGCAATTGATGCGAACCCACACAGGCTTCTGGAAGCCGGAGATATTCGAGGTTCAGTGGATGAAACACCCCAAGGGCTGGTCGAGCCATGGCGGAGTTACAGGCGTTATCGGCAATCATGGTTCGGACGCCTATCTCACAACTTCGGGCTTCAAAATCGCAGACATGATCTGTATTGCCGAGGTCTGGTGTTATGGGGAGTAAGGCGGGAGAGGAAACAGAACGATGCCTGGTTTGCGATGGATCTCTGTGTAGTTTGTTTGCGCGGATGGCTTCGGATGCACACGCACCCAGGCATGATGTAAATCCCGGTCAATAAGTAGGAGAAACATATTTAAACGTCATAACAACAAAAGTCCGGTATGCGATGTGTATTTGTGAGATGCTTGAGGCAGTGATTAATTTTATATTACTAGCATGGTTTGTTCTTGCTTATTTCCGTTGCGTGACTGATTACAGATGAACTCTTCGGCATCCTCTGGTATGCGATTTATGTATCTGAGATTCTCGAGTCTGCGATGAATTTTGCGTTTCTAGCGTCATCTAGCGCTGCTCAAAATGCAGTTCGTGACTGATTGCAGATCAACTCTTCGGCATCTCTGCCCCAGAGACATCGTCACATGAAAGCCGTTGAAGAGACACCTCTATATTCAATTAAACAACACTAGCTAGGTATCTATTTAGTCAGCCTTGCCCTTCCCCTTCCCACCACCATCGCTTTCCGTCCCCGAGTCGCTCTGACTTGCGTCGCCGCCCCGCTGTACGCGGTAGCTGAAATCCACCACGCCGACGAGCTGGCTCACGTTCTCGACCAGGCCCTCGAGGTCGTCGCACACGAGCGTGCTGCACACCTGCAGCACGGCGAACTCGGCGTAGCCCGCCTGCGTCATGTTGCGCGCGTCCAGGAGCACCACCCCGCGGCGGCGGGTTTTGGTGGTCCCGTCGCTGTCGCCGTCGCTGTCGGTGCCCGCGGAGCCGAAGCGGGAGTCGTCCCGGGCGGCTGCTGCCTCGATCGACTCGAGCTGGCGGGTGAGCTCGTAGGGGCGGGGCAGGGACAGGTGCGGCGGGAGGGAGTGGCCCGACTGCAGGGCGTTGGAGAGGAGGGTCAGCGTGCTGATGATGGTGTGCTGCGTGGGCGAGATGTCGGTGAGCAGCTCGGCGAGGGCGTCAATCCAGGCGCGGCTGTTCTTCTTGTTGGTGAAGACGCTGTGGTCCTCGCCCGTCAGCGTCATCGACGGCCCACCGCTGCCGCCGACCGTGTAGGCGAGGAGGGTGAGGTACGAGTTGATGCGCGTGGCGCGCCGGATGATGTCCTGGTAGGTCTGCCGCGGGAAGGCGCCGCCGATGGTGGGCTCCCAGCGCTGGAAGTCGGCGTGCTGCTTCAGCGCGGGCAGCAGCAGCATCAGCTTGCCGAAGAGCTGGCGGCGGTGCTTCGCAAGGCGGTGCGCGGGCGTGCCCTTGACGTCGGGGTTGCCGCCCGTGGCCTCCAGTTTGGACCGCAGCGTCTCGTTGATCACGCTGAAGTAGGTCGCCAGGAGGTACAGCGTCGCGGAGAGGTCGCGGCGGAGCCATGTGCGCTCTGTCACAGGCCAGGGGAATATGGTCCAGATGAAGGCGACAAGACAGCCGCCTGCTACGCAGGCAAGTCGATAGGGTGCTAATTCATAGATACTGTGGTCTGGTCAGCTCGGTTGTTCTGATTGTCGGATGCAATATTGCTTACGGATAGACCGGCTGGCCCGTTGACTCAGCCGCCGCTTCACCGATCTCAAGGACTTGCAGCTCGTAGCCAATGATCATCACTTGAGTGACCATGCATATCATGACCGCGGGGATGAATTGGGGGTATTTGAAGAGGAAGTAGTGGTCAAAGACCAAGAAGAGATACAGGAAGATGAATATCCCTGGCGTCTTCTCGTCCACGATGTACCACGTGATTAGTGAGAACACCATCGCCAAAAGGGTTCCAATAGTTCGACAGAGGAAACCAAATATGGACTGCCCAGATGCTAGAGCGGCTATTGTTAGCATGGCCGCGGTTGGGTGGCTTGGGGTAGTCACGCACTCTGAGTCATCCCGATGGCTATAATGATCATGGCCCAAACGAGCCTTTGCTGTGTGAAGAAGGTGTGTGTGTTTTCAAGAAAAGCCACGATACCAATAGTAAGCGTGGCACAGGCAACACGAAACCCGAAAGAAGACTCCTCTGACGAGAGAAAGCCCGAGATGCCACGGAGGCTATTGCCAATGCGCTGCCAGGTATTGGTTGGGTGTAGGTGTTCGGGGTCCTTCTTCTTTGCGAAGCCATCACCCATAGACACGATGGTCATACCCGTGTCAAAGAGATCGGCAGACTGCTCTTGCGACCTGTCCTCCTCGCTGAATATGCTCGAAATCCATTTCTTAATGAGTTTCGATTTGGGCACCATCAGACGATTTTTTCTCATGGTCCCATCCTCAACTTTGCTATCTGCATACAGCACGAATTGAATGACCGCCTGGCCGGCTGCTTGCATCTTGTAATTTGGTCAGTGGGGCCGGGTGAAAATGGCGAAAATGGCGCGAGTGTGTAGACTCACGAGTGTCTCGATGTAGAGGAGGACATAAAGCTGTGACTGATCATGTCTATGCTTTTCGTCCTTTTGCGTCAAGGGGATGGAGTCGACCTTTTCAAGGGGCGTTCCCTCTGTCGCCAGACCCTTTTCCCAAGCCCATGTGTAAAGGATCTCGGACCGGACATCGCGAAAGCATTTCACTCTCGATTTGAGTGAATCCGCGAACCCGGGATCCCCAGGTAGAACGAGGCTACCCTTCGACTCTACATCGGCATCCGTCGAGGACGAACTACTCTGGCCGTTCCTCTTCTTCTGTGCCTTTGGTCTTGGAAGAATCTCCAACATCATTGCAGCATGTTGCAGTCCTTCGTCTATGGCCCCTGAGAGCTGTTCGAAGGGCTCGTGAAGGCGTTTCATCACTTCATTCCAGACTCGTTTCTGTTCATTCTTCTCGGCTATCAGTGAAGGGGGCGTGTCGGCTGTGGTAACCCACCCACGCTTTTCGGCAACCCTTTGGAAAATATCGATGACGGTACTCATCCCGACAACGGGGATCACAATGGCGCGAAGGTAGTTCAAAATAGCTGACAAATCCCGACCTTCCAATTTGCCCCAAGCTATCTCTCTCTTCGCAAATGGCAGGTCGGCGTATATCTTCCCCACGACTTGACGCAGCTTGAACACGGTCTCCTTGATCGCGTCGGCCTCGGCTGTAGAGTTTGGTCGGGCCGAGTCTTTCTCTTTTTTGTTCGCCCTTTCTGCAGACTCCCCGTCAGTCCCAGTGCCGCAACTGATATCGCCAGGCACAGCAAACATATCCTCCCGTTCCAAGCTTTGCAGGTATTTTTTCTCTTGCTTGACCGCGCCCCGGAGCAGCATGATGGCCCCTTTCATCTGTCCTTGAGTGACGACCCGGCTCGAGATGGGAAGAATGAACAGAGAACAGATGGTGGCGATGGCAAAGCCCGTCAACATGGCGGTGAACAGCCTCTTGACGAGACTTTCGAAGGACGCGGTGGACGTCATTATCGGGCTGTAAGTGCATGTGATGTTCGTCATGATGGAGTAGACGATGCTCGGGAGATTCACGCTCGGGTACTTGGCTCGCAACGTGTTGACGAACCAAATATTCGCGAAGAGCCATATAGCTGACACGGCGGCCTGACTCGAGTTGTACGGCGGGGACAAAGAGCCGGGAACGGCCGGCGAGGACTGGGTATGAAGGCGAGCTTGCAAGGAGGACCAGAGCATCAACAGAGCGACAGCAGCGCCGACGCTGGCAAACAGCACATTAAGCACCATTGTCTGGATGAACTTCCCCCGGGGCATTATCGACATGGACAGGACGCTGATGATGCCAACCAGGTATCCGAGGGTGGTGAACTGTTCGGCGACGGCGTGGGATTGGCAGATGGCCAGGGCTACGACTGGGGGGATGGCGCCTCTGCGACGGCGTTGTTAGACAGGCTTGGGCTTGCAAAGGCGCATTGGGGTCGCTCACTTGAACATCAGACTCAGGGTCGGCACGTCGAGTCCCAGCTTGGCCATGATGCCCGGCTTGGACGGCGCTGCCGGCTTCGAAGGGGGGTCCGCCTCGCGCGTGCCCTCGCCCTCGGCTTTGATATTCCCGTTGCCATTGCGGGCGCGACTCTCGCTGCTATCGCTGTTCGACTCGTTGGACAGCTCCGGTGACTGCATCGGGTCGTTCGCGGTGCTCTCCGGGCGGTCAGAGTCCCTGTCGGCCATGGTAGACCATTAGCTCCCTTTGCCCTTCCGCGAGGCGATCGTCGGACTGGACCACAGACGGGGTGGAATGCGGAGTGGAGGGTCGAATTGGAGCGCACCGTCACTACACGTCATCGGCTCTCAGGTAGGCAGAATGCAGTGAAGAAAAAAAAAGGGCACGTCTGATAGCCCTCTGTCTGTCCGTATGCCAGAAGATGCTCGATGCTCGACATGCTGATCCACAGACAACAACAGAGTCTGCATCAATGCCTTATGCATGTTTGCGATTGTCGTGACTAAGGGTAGCGCCATTGACTCGTAAAGATTTGCCCCGCCCGCGTTGGTGACGACAAGGATGAGCCTTCAATGTTCTTGGCTGGTAGATGCGGGGACAATCTGGCCCCATCCCGTTGCACCCCCTCGTGCCCCTCCCCCGCTGCCACTCCTCTGGGATTCACAATCACGTTACCTTCCACGCGCGCCCCTATCGCCAAAGGCAGTGCAACGCCTCAAGTTATACTTTTCTAATACCAATCCGAGGGAAATGGGTTAGGATATACGATACATGTAGTCATTCACATTTGACGAATCACTATATTATGGCTAGAGCCAGCGTCAGCAACCTACCAATAGTATCTTTAGAGTCTTGACGACCGTGCTCATCGGCGTCTCGTTTCTGATGTTAAGTTCCCTCTTGTATACTTTGCTACATGCGCGGAAAGGGGGTCTGCACATTAATGGTCAACCTTATTAATGGCTCTTTTATAGGAGTTCGGGAGTTTTCAACCTGCTAGTCCCCTTCTTTTCAACGACGATTCTTGAAGGCTTGAGTAAAAGTTCCAGCTAGATTTCAATAATGAAAGCTGGGATTTCAATAAGACTTCTGACAGTGTTCATAATTACCTGTTCATATGACTTAGAGCCTCTAACTACTTGAGAGACGGCGTCTATCGAACGGGACAACCCTACCGCTACCGATAGTGTTACCAGCAGAAGCACCGACGGGAAATCGTCGTCAGATGCAGAAATGGATAGAATGGCGGCTGAATCAATGAGGGTAATTGATGGGGGTTCCTGGTTAGGGAATTGACCATGAATATAGGAGTAGAGGACTTGGAGGTGGCTTTAGGTGTGTCCACATTGTTTGCGTTTGATTGGGATACCATCTGGCAAGAGGAAACCCAACTCGAAACCAAAGACTCAAAGTTGAATAGTTGAAATGTTACTGAAAGAGCAAAGCCACCTAAGACCATCCATCAAGATCCGCATGCTGAAACTCAGAGGCAGCCGCAGTTTGATCACACCAGCCCTGCCTCGTATCTATCGTCCTACCATCTATTCGCCTATAGACAAACTCGGAACTTGAAAGCCAGGTAATCACTGATGATCGCAGGGATACCGTAGGATTCGGTAACCTCCCCTGCCAAGTTCATAAGACTGCCTACCCCAGCTAATGAATGCGTCAGTCGTGCACGGGCATACCACGGGAAAGTCTGACGAAGACGGTGCATCGGTTCCCGTCCAATAGCGCAACAGAAATCATGCAATGTCCTTTATTGTAGGTGTCCAAGATGTTAATGGCTAGCGGTTCCACGGGTATCTGCAATGGTAATAGGTAGAACTTTACGCGACGGGAACTTTCTCATATGTAAGAACGTTCTCGTTAGGAGGCAGTCATGCACTATTAACATGGCAGTTACCGGCGTCATATAGGATAATACAGATCTACACCCCCAACATGTAGAGCCGCTAACTATTACTATCCTTGCTACCTATAGATCAGCATGATCATTGATCGTCAGGCCTCTTGATCCTTTCGTGAGGTGACTGAGCTCCAAGCGAGACCGAAATCGATGTCAGCATTGGAACCCCTAAATCAGACCCAAGTAGACGGTGGAACTTCTGGGAACTTCTTCGCTGTCAGGATCTCAGCCTCACACTGACAACCTGGTAAAGTGGTTCTTATGTGGAGCGTTTGCAATGCTGTCGCCTTGGTAGAAGGATGACAGGAACACATGACGACTGTGTGTGACGTCGAGGCGGTCTGGACACTTCCGATCCATGGAATACAAATAGGCTGCCTTCGTTGCCTTTCTGAATCCTGAATTCGTATCGTCTGCCCTACACTATCTCCCGTCAAGACGAACAGCACCACCTTGCCATCAGACCCTCAGATCGCCTCCCATATTCAGTCAACATGCAGTTCTTCCAGACCATCCTCCTCCTCGGCGCCGCCGCCCTGGCCATCGCCGCACCGGCCACCACGAACGACAACACTCTCGTCGAGAAGCGCTGCATCGCCGACGGCGCCAGCTGCACCAACGACTACACTGGCTGCTGTAGCTCCCTGTGCGACATCGCCCACGACGAAACCGCCACCTGCCTTTCTGCCTAGGGGGGCTAGAGGTGAGAAGCATCATGTCGAGCACTCTACTTTCTAGAAACTAATCATGGCAGATTCGCGTCAGATGTGGTCCCCAAAGCTAGCCAGGTCAGGGGCATGGAGTCCGATGTTAGACTTCGGGTGCCTCCTACGTGGTATGACGGAATGAGGGCGTCTCATGTGCTGTGAGCCTCTTGGCTTGGAGGACAGGACGTGGGAATGAGTTTTCTTCTGATCGGTCGTTTGTTCCGGCGAGTTGTCGGGTTCATATAAACCTGGGGCCGATGCGCCGGCTATCAATTTATACATTGGTGCACCAGTAAGATTTCGAGGCCTTGATATCCGCAATGAGAGTGTTGCTGTGGTACTGGTAATTCATGTGACATTGACGGAGATCTATCAGATCCGCAGCTGCGGTCGGCTGTAGGTCCCATAACATAGGATCAAGAAGTTGGGTCCAGTCACAGGCTCTGGTTTTTTTTCTTCGCATCCCCAAGAACTTGGAGAATGCAATGAAAAAATAGAGTGGGTTGAAAAAAAGTTGTAAGCGTTCGCATCAGAGATACTAGGCCGCAAGACATGCCTTTTGGTAAACAAAACATTGAGTAAAAACTCCGGTCATTCACTCCCAGCACCAAGGCGATAGAGAACGATACGGGTGCCCAATGCCACGGACTCTACTGCGCACCCTTCCTAGGCGTTTCCCTAATTGTCAGTGGTCAGTCGTGGGAGGGGATATCCTCCCAGGTATTAGGTTATTGCGCTCTTCCTCAGAGAGGGGCTGGTAAAGGAGGGTGCACCTATGCCACACCACTCCACCCGCGTCCAACCAAGGGCTTGCGCCGCGCTCGGTCTTCATCCACGGTCGAGCCTGGCCACAAAGGGTGGCAAGCCACTGCAAACCGTGAGTGCTCCTGGACGTGCCTAGGTCGGGACTAGACTACGCCAAACTCGGGTTTTCGAGGGGAGGTCTCGAACAACCACTCTCATTGCAGTCCAGCCCCGAGGACGAGAAAAAAAAACACTCCCGAAGGAGGGAAATTGCTCCGCTCGGATGAAGGGAATACCTGGTCGGTCCCAGCAGGTACCGTTGGGTATGCTCCCGCTTTGAATTCCAGCCGACTGGGAAAGGCACACAAGGCAGGAAGGGATCTCACCGAGCTTAAGTACCCTCTGGCCGCACCACCGATGAGGCGGGGGTCGGTGGGCTGCCGTCGATGAGGTCCAGGGACGCGGCGGTCTCGAAAAAAGAACGACCACCGAACAAGCGTTTGAGTGGGCTCTCGTGGTGTGCATGCAAGTGAATGACCAAAAGGGTGTGACTACACGCGCTTTTTGCGGACTGGCCCCCTCTCGGCAGTTACGCCCAACGTCGGGCTCTCTTCACCTCGGTTCTGCGATGACGCCGACTCCGAGGTGTTGTCCAGGGACCCCTTGGAGGAAAACGAGCCTATGAATAAGTCAATAAAACCAAAGGTGGGTGAGCTCTGCTCATGAGAGCCTGCTGAAGGGTGGTCGGTGATAGCTCTAGACGGGTTAGCAGACGGCTTGGGCAGGGCTGATCTGAATCATATTCGGCTGATTGGCACATTGGTTTGATGATATCTTCTTCATCTTTTTCGGAATGGCGTCTGGGTGTCGGACCTGCTGTCGCTTGTTGGTGTGCCGAGGTTCTTGGTGTGCAGGGTTTCTCGGGTTCTTGAGGTTCTTGAGGTTCTTGATGGTTTTGATGGTAGGCTGAGAATGATTCTATTGATGTTCGGAGGTCCTGGCTGCGATTGCGTAATTGAGGAATGCCGAGACCTCGATATGGCGAGAGGGAGTGCTAGAGGTGGCGCCTCTTCGTGCTTGTGAACTTCGATGCCATGATGTGTGACTGCATCTAGAGTGTTGCTGGGCGAGCGGGGACTTGATTATTTGAGGTGGTGATGCCTTGGGGGCGCCTCAGGTGTGGTTCGAGTGAATTATCGACAGTGACTTGTTCAAGCAGGCGGCAGAACTCGAATCTGAGTCGGATCAGCTACTGCAACTTATGCTTCTGTGTGCAGACACTTAATGAGAGTGCGTTGGAGAGCACTTGGGGTGCAGAAAGGACTTGCAGCGACCCGCGATGGTAGAGACGCGCGAATGGGTACATGTGGTGGGAGGTGGCGATCGAGCAGGGAACGGCGATTGTGGAAGCGAGGATACCAGTGCCTGAGAGAACTTGTAAAAAAGAAAAGGGCCATTGGACTTACCCCGAACGTCCAGATGAGTGCGTGTGAAGACTGAATGACTCTCATTGGAACTGGTGGGTGTCAAGATAAGAGCGACTTGCGGTGTGTTGGAGAGAAGACTGATGGGAGAAGATTGGCGGGAGAGCAGTGATGAGAGAGGACCGATGGGAGGAGTGCATGGAAGAGTCGTGATGGGAGAGGTGACAGCAAAGAAGTGGTGGGAGAATCGATGGGAGAATCGATGGTAGAGAAGTGGTGCTGAAAGGATAGTGAGGTCAGCGGGGAGTGGTAGAAGAAGTGAAGGCGGGATGTTATAATGGAGGACGCGTGAAAAGGTTGTGCCTTGCAGTGTCGACGCGGGTCGCGAAAATGGAAGAGAGGACCACAATGAAATGAACAGACCAAGATGACTTACCAGAGCTTTTGTGGCGATAGAAGTCGAATGGCATGTAAAAGTGCGGAGGATGAGAATGCATGCTGATGTTGTTTCGTGCATGGAAAAGGTACTTGGGGGGGGGGAGTGGGTCAAGGAGCAGTTTGTTGCCCAGCTGATTTTAAAGACGAGGGTACTGGGCGCCGAGAAAACCAGGTGCATCGAATGAGGGGCAGGCACACAAGTAGATAAGTTTGGGAGTTGGTGCCTGAGGGATATGGTTGTTGTCAGAGAGAGTTAGGCACTGGGTACTGGGTGGGCAGTGGTGGAAGATGGGGAATTTTGAAGATGAACCAGGACGATGTGATCACGTACCGGAAGGCCGCAAAGCACCAGAGCCCATCAGCTGCCCACCTTCTTCGAGTGTGCGCAAATATCTGGCTGCCTGCTGCGATGGCGTCGAGGTTGTCGATAGATACAGGTCTCGATAAGCTGAGCACGTGATATGTTGATTGAATACCCATAGCAAGGGAATATGATTTGAAGGACTAGCTTAGGCGCACGAGATATATCTGGCTGATAAGGACTTCAAGGCTGAACGTCTTCATGCGGATTACTGTCGTGTTCGATTGTACTCTTCATTCTTTGAGGCCATCTATCGATGCTGCCTCAGGGCCATCTGTCGATGTTTCGTTGCCCCACCACAAGGATGAAAAGGGGCCCGCCCTGTTCCAGCATATTTAAACCGTTGGGTGCCTTTTATCGTAGTCGCGTCCATTGTTTATTAAGGTTCAATTTCCATGGTTACTTACTGATGAATGGCTAGTATGCACAAGCAGCAAGAGGCTGGGATTTCATGTTTGGTCTTCACCAGATCCCGTGTTCCCCTTTCAGTCCGTAAAAGATGCTATATTTCAATTTTAAAACCTGTGCTTCAGCACCTTGATGAAAGAAGAGGACTAGTAGGTCAAGGGACCCCAGATATAGCCGGCGCAACTTTCGGACCAAATTATTTGCTTGTGTCGACCACATATCTCCCAGCGATCTTGCCTTCCTCCATCAAGTGGAACACGTCTTGAAGCTTGCTGAGACCAATCACCTTGTACGGCGCCTTGATCAGGCCCCTCCTGAAGAAGTCGATAGCTTCGGCGGTGTCCTGGCGGTTGCCGACGTAGCTGCCCTTGATGTTGATCATGCTGTGATGCATCAGCTTCTGCTCCTAAAAACCGACCTGAAGAAAATTATTGACTCACCGAGTCACAGTATCAAATACCGGCGCCTTCAAAAACGCGTTGGCAGGCAGACCGACGCACACAATAGTGCCGCGACTCCGGACATAATGACTCGCCTGCTGGAACGGCCCCTCGCTCACAGCGAGCAGCAGCACGGCCTGCGGGCCCAGGCCGTCAAACGACGCCTTCTTCACGTCCTCGACGACGTTTTTGGACGACTTGAAGTCGACGTACGCGGCCGCGCCCAGCTCCTTGCACATCTGCTCCTTCTCGGCGCCGCCGTCGATGGCGATGGTGTGAAAGCCCATGGCCTTAGCGTACTGTATGGCCATGCTTCCGAGGCCGCCGCCAGCGCCCACGATGGCGACTTCCTGTCCGGCGCGCGCCCCGGACTCTTTCAGTCCCTTGTAGACCGTCAGTCCGGCGCAGAGGATGGGCGCGATGGACTCAAGGCTGCATTCCTTGGGTATGCGCGCCACATGCGCGGCTTTGCCGATGGCGTATTGCTGGAAGCTGCCGTCGACTGTGTAGCCCGAGAGTTGTGCTTCGGGGCATAGGGGCTGTGTTGCGTGTCAATACTAGTCTCAATATTAGCTGGTCTGGGGGTGAGAGCTCACCTCGTCTGCAGTGCGGCAGAAGCTGCAGTTCATACACGACCCGTGCAGCCACTTGATGCCGACCTGCTCGCCAAGCTCGATGTCCTTGACGAGCTCGCCGCGGGCGACGACGATGCCGGCGCCTTCGTGGCCGCCGACCAGGGGCATCTTGATCGGGATTGGCCAGTCGCCCTTCATGGCGTGCAGGTCCGTGTGGCAGACGCCGGAGTACTTAACGTTGATGAGGACCTCATCTGGCCCGGGCTGTGGTACGGGGATCTGCTTGTAGCTGACGGCTGCGAGACTCGTTAGTCGGGAGTCTGAGAGATGGGTAGGGTCGGAACGTACGGCCGCCGGTCTTCTCCACCACCTGCGCCCACTGTTCCTTGGGGATGTCGGTTCCGCTCATCTTGAATGTCCTAATGAGGCGTGTGGTATGTTGTGTGCTGGATGTTGTGTTGCTTCTGGTTGACAAGTCAAAACAATGCGAGCCCAGTCAAGACCTGTAGTTTTATATAACGTCTTCAGGATCTTTCGCTCACAAGTATCTTGATGATGAATGCACGTTATAGCGAAAGCATGCTACCCCTCGTGATGAGCATCCCACAGCTGTGGATCCGGGAGCGGCAGACCAATAGGGCCTCCAGTGACACGCACTTATGCACGTTGGATCGGCCGGGGACGGGTCTTGGTGGTCCCACTGTGGCTCCTCAACCCATTTTCCAGCCACAATGACGGATGGGTCACGGACCAGGATACAAGGTACCTTGGAGCCCAACCGGTACCCGTTTGTACCTGACTTGTACCCAACTGGGATGATAGCTACTTCTGGGGTGGGGACACCATCCATCCCTTCTTTCAATCAGGCAACTTCCAGAATACAGACCAATAGCCACCATTCGTGACCCTGGTCCTTATTCTGGATACCGCTACCACAAGGCACACCACTGCATACTGTTGAATGGGAGCCGGAGATAGACACCGGAAGATCTCCAGTGTGGCAGAGACGCACAGGGCATCTGACCCACCAAGAAGACAGATGATCAATCTCTGCACGCAGACGAAGAACACAATCAACAGAATCAATCAACATCCGTGTATTCAACACATACCTTACAAGCTTATACCTTCTATATAAGAAAGGTGTGTATTAGGTCTAGGTGCCTTCCGTATAAGAAAGGTGTTTATTAGGTCTAGGTTTTAGTTTTACATGAAGTTTTTCCCCCTCAATAGGCTTAATTTTACACTTTAAATATAACAGTTACAAGCCTAGTTCGTTAAGCTATTATAGCTTGAAAATATAACTAGGTTATATTAAGTTAATAAAGTCGGTAAAGCGTGTAGGCAACGGGCGGTACGCCCGACGCAAGCAAGCCGCAGCCGACCTTATGAGCTTTAAACACCTGCTATTAGCTAATATTACTCACCGCTAATAAGTCTATATAAAAGGCTATTAGTATAAGCTTTAATAAAGCTTTTAAATACTTTTTATATAAAAAGATTATTTATTAGGTCTAGGTTTTAATTTTACTCGAAATTCTATTCTTAAATAAGCTTAACTTTATACTTTAAAAATTAAGCCACTATAGCTTAAAGCTAGGCCATATTAGACCGATAAGGTTAGTAAAGCGCGCAAGCGGCAGGCGGTACGCCTGACGCGAGCAAGCCGCAGCGACCTTATCGGCCCTAAGCACCTGCTACCAGCTGCAGCTGATAGGTCTATACAGAAGGCTATTATTACGAGCTTTAATAAAGCCTCTGAGTATGCCTGCGTTGGCTGGACCTCTAAATGCTGGATGCGGTATAGTGTTAACGTCTCTCTGATGCAGATATGTAGTCCATATCAGACTTCAGTGGCCTACCAGGGTCTCATGCGGACGGGGAAGCGAGGCGGCGTGTGACATGTGGATTCCAGCGGTCTGGAGAAGTCGAACGGTGTCGCCGTTGCGTTCTCGTGGTTTGGCTGGCTGATGCAAAGTTGATCACGGTTGAGTCGTACGATTCCTGTGGCGTCAGCCTCACCGGCACGACCGGGTGAGGCGCCGTTGCAGTGGTAGTGGACCCATTATTCGATCAGCACAGCGAAACACGGAAAGTTGCACTCTCGGTGGAATGGAAACGCGAGAGATCACTTGACTGTTCTCTGGAGACAGGTCAGGAGCCATGTAAGAAACCAGGTTACTTTCTGGTTCTTGCAGCATCGGCTAGGCACCCCTCACCGTGATCGTACGACGTCTCGGGGAAGTGCGATCATCGTCGTCTTTCATTGGCTGGTGTGAGAGTCTGCATAAAGGATACTAGGAGAGCGGAAAATCCTCGTATTCTGAAGCTTCGGCTTCTTCACGATCCACGGCCACTATGCACAATACGCCATTGGCGACGGGAAACTGATCACCATAGAGTCAGTCCTCTCGAAGAACAACCCTTTTCAAGATAACATTAGGGCAGGCAGAGGTAAGCCGACGAAGCACCCGATCCATAATGCTCATCATAAGACTCTCACTGCCTTCATCACGTAGTCCACTAGGTTACCGCCTACTTTTGGATATTCAACAGTCTTGGTGACCCGGTATTCTTGCTCTTGTTCACAGTTTCCCCAGGTTGATCACCGGTAGATCGTTGCCGGAATTCTATCACACTTAGCAGCCGCAAAGGAAATCGGGTCGCCTACGTTAGTCTACTTACTTGGGTAGCTAGGTGGCCATCTAAGGTTTGATGCAGCCCCTCAAGCGACGCCTTGTCCACACCGTCCGACTCTAATCATGAAGACGACGTCTGCCCGACGACCAATCAAGACCACCCTGACTCGTCGAGCAGCAAGATTCGTGCTTTTCGCACCAGTGCTGTCGCAACGGACAGTCGCTGGATGATGGACGACATACCAACGCTACTGGGTTTGACGAGCGCGCCGTAACATCTCACCCCCCCCTGCGGACCACCCCCCCACGGACCACTCCACACCACACCACTCTCATTCAGATGAAGCCATCTACAACCACCACAGTTGCTAAATACACTAAGGTCGTGGTGTTCTAACCATAATACAGCTCCCAGAATCCGATTCCGACCCTAAATCTTCACCAGGGACCTCTTGTGTGACCTCTTCGCCTGCAACGGAGTCCCTATAGACCCTCCTGTTCCTTAGCTCCATTTTGGCCTCCTTTATGGTAGCCATTGTGACGAATCGTTCCCTTGGTGTTGGTTTGACTGCTTTTCGAGTAGTATTAGCCTTTTTAGTCACTTGAGCCTCAAGCAGCTCATATTTGGCCCGTAGATTTGCAATGGTAGCAGCCTGAATATCCATGGCCTTGCCAGCCTTCCGCACCAACAAGCGCTCAGAGGGCCCCCCAAAAGAAGGGTCCTTTCTTTCGAGCTTTCGAGCACTCTCCCGCAAAGCCCGGCTTCCAGAGGGTGTTGTAATAATGGTTTTAGCTACCATCTCGAGAAAATCTGGTATTGTGGCTCGCTCGGAAGCCTTAGGGTCCCTCTGGCGTACCCTGGCCACCCCCTTGTCCTCCAGAATCACATATTTCGACTTCAACGCCTCCGTTCGGTTGCAAGGAACAATCCCAGTCTTTTTCCAGGCAATTCTGATGTTGAGGAGCGTCATTGTGTCCTTCCGGGCCTGCTCGTAGCACTCCAAAACCTCCTCCTTAGATGGCCTGAGTCCCAGACGGCCGCTGGGCGTCTCCTGGAGTAAGGTCTTCAACCTCTTCTTTACCAAATTGAAGACTCTCATATCTAACACCTGGACTACATGGGAACAGTGAGGTTCATAAAAGATCAACCATACTTTGTTTCTCAAGCAGGTGGCTAGGAACTCGTTATTTGTGTGGGAGTCGTGGCCATCACACACCAAAACCACCCATGTGTTGCCGTGGACCTCCCAAATGTGAGGAATAAAGATACATTGAAGCCATTCTAACGCAATAGGATTCGAGGTCCATCCATTGTGCAACGTAATAAACCTCCAGTCAGTGAATTTGTCCTCGTTTTGGTTGCTAAATCACTGGGCTTGTACGTTAACCCCCTTGAGAATCACCAGCGGCGGCAAGGTCTCACCAGATCCGCTCACACACTCTAGGGCAGTTATCTATTCACCCTTCTCGACCCCTTTCTTCATAGCCACGTTGCCAGAGGCCTCGGAGACGATTCCCATTTCGTCGACGTTGTACCAGCGTGCTGGCATGAGGTTAACCACGTCAGGGGCGTTACACCGATAAAAAAAAATGTTGATATTTGCCGCTGTAGCACCATTCACTCGGTTGTAGTCGATAATACGAGACTTTATTATCTTGACTTCCGGGTTTCGAGACAGGAACTTGGATGCCCAATTTTTCCCTAATTCTCGAGCATCCCTGGTGGCATGGAGCATCCGCTGGGCCATGAGACGGAACTTAGAGACCGCCGGAGAATACCCTAGCAGTGCTTGCCCCAGGGCCCAGCTTGCCAGCTTATGTTCGAGATACGGTGAGAGAGCCTATTGGAGAACGCTGGTCTCATTCCGCGTTGGGGTGCCAGAGATTCGTCGGTTGACGTACGAACGACTGATTTGCCATTCGAGGGCTGACGAGCAGACTGGAGCTCCGCGTTGGATGGCCAAAATGGCGGCTTCAGCTTTTATTTGACGGTCGTAAAATGACATCATGAGATTCAGTAGTGGATAAGGATTCAAATAGTGTGCTTTGTGAAAAAAAAGATGCAAAAGTGATGGTGTAGATGGTGGATCACCATAATCCTGGTGGTTGGTGAATTACGCGTTTGTGGGTCAGAACGCGCTGGTCTGCGGGGGGGTGGTCCGCAGGGGGGTGGGAGATGTTACAGTATAGGCACCGTGATGCTTCGATGCCCACACCATTCAAAATTAGGTATGTAACATGTATCGCCTATTCCAATATCATGATGAGACTTTGCCCCAGGGTTGGCTTGATCGATATTCGATTGATTGATTGATTGATTGATTGTATTTAACGTGGGGGGTAGCTCCTCAGTAGTGCAAACCACGCCTCTCAGAGCATCTGTATCGCAGGGTTGTGGAGGTCTCAAGATAATAAGTACAGTCAGTCCCGCTCACGGGCCCATCCTCGTTGTTGCGGCGGTATGACCTTGGGGTCATCCATCTGGTCCTTCAAGAAAAGCTATCTATTGGGGGCAGATTGTTGAAAAGAATTTGCTCTTCTCTACGAATTATGCCCATTTTGTGCTCCTCTCCTCTAAGTATTGTAAACAAACTGTCTTAGGCGAGTACCTAGGCAGCAGCCAGTTTTTCCCCAGCCTCTTACAAAAGAAAATATGTTGTGGTGTTTTCTTTTCACCATAGCTGCAGTGATCATTCGAGTCTGTATGCCCAAAGCGTTCATGGTATCTGGCAAAGTCGCCATGTCCAGATCTGGCCACTAGAAGTCTGTG